GGCTTTTTACCTTTGTGAAAGGAAAGGGGAGTACTGTGACGCATATTTCAAAGTGAGTACGAGGAGAGTAGTCATATGCCATCGCAATGTGAGTACGAGGGGAGTAGTCATATGCCATCGCAATGTGAGTACGAGGGGAGTAGTCATATGCCATCGCAATGTGAGTACGAGGGGAGTAGTCATATGCCATCGCAATGTGAGTACGAGGGGAGTAGTCATATGCCATCGCAATGTGAGTACGAGGGGAGTAGTCATATGCCATCGCAATGTGAGTACGAGGGGAGTAGTCATATGCCATCGCAATGTGAGTACGAGGGGAGTAGTCATATGCCATCGCAATGTGAGTACGAGGGGAGTAGTCATATGCCATCGCAATGTGAGTACGAGGGGAGTAGTCATATGCCATCGCAATGTGAGTACGAGGGGAGTAGTCATATGCCATCGCAATGTGAGTACGAGGGGAGTAGTCATATGCCATCGCAATGTGAGTACGAGGGGAGTAGTCATATGCCATCGCAATGTGAGTCGTGCAGATAGTTTCAGGAAGCTTGCAGGAACTCAGATCATTATCGGAAATTTGAGCATTGCGCAGCGAAGTGAAATTTGCTTTTCGATCTGCCAAGTTCAGCCTCCTTGCCCAGCATCGTATTTGTATATCAGTGGACGTTCTCATATAATTGTGCTGTCCCCTGGATGTGTGGATGTGCGTTCCGCTGTGCAGAATGCTGCCCTGCGACTTGCCCGCCACGTCCAAACTGCTCCACAACTGTAGGTGTTCCCGTTGCTGATTACCCTTGTGTGGCTTGTCAGACTCTGTTGAGTTTATGATTCCTAGTCACAGTGTTTGTGTGTTTCGTGCGGCACTTGATTATATTTCTAGTTTACGATGGTTCTCAGTTTCTCAATAGACTAGGGTAGCCATTCTCCAAAGTGGTTGTCTTCATAGAATGTAAAATTTGTTGAACCACACAGTCAGTAGAGAGAGAGAGAGAAAGAAGCTCTGCCGTATAGCATTAGTGGTATTTAGTACTCTTCAAGCAGTGGAGCACCCTACTTGATGATATGAATTAGTTGGACCACGTACTTAGTACTGCACTTGTTGGCCTTTCCCCTTGGTGTGTCCTCTCCTCGTGTCGTATAGTGTCCAAGACAGCGGCTCCAGCTAGTGCGTGCTGCTACACAGAGAGGAAGAGACTGCTGTGATCAATACGAATGTGGTAAGTCACCTGCTGCTGCTGCTGCTGCTAATCTATGTATCTTAACATGCACAAAGCAGAGTCCAAAAAAGAAAGAAAGCAGACAGCAGATAATCGAAGAAAAGCACATGCACAGCCACGTGCGTACCAAATAGAAATCCAGCTTAAAGACCACAAGCAGGCGGGAGAAATAGCTGCAAAAGGCCGAGAAGCAGCATGATCAGTGGGTGACGTGGGTAACTAGGGAGCAGGTGGAGCACCGCCTGAAAAACAATGACTCCTGTAATACCTAGCCGCGGCCGCTCAGCTGGACATGTTGACACCCGGGGTGAACTGAGTGACGGTGGAGTGCAGCCCAAGGTCAATGAGGAGCAAGAGGAATTGCTGTCAGATGATGATGGCACTTTCTTTCCATGCCCCCCCCCCTGCTTCTCGCCTTGTCAATGTCTAGCTGAAGAGTTGACGGAGTACATAGAGGGACTTGGTTCCCCACCCCTCCCATCACCCGCTGGCCATTGCCACGATCCTGGTTGCTGCCTGTCCTGGAAACGTGATTTTTCACGGACTGATCAATACAAGTTGAATATCTCAATGTAACCCTCCCCCGGTCTTATCCGCAGCTCTGACACGATTTCAATTCTGACTTTTCTGGCACCCTGTATATGTTGTGTACTTTTGCAGTTGATGTTCCAGCCACCAACTGCCCAACGGCAACCTGTTGTGTAAGTGTGTGTGTGCAGTGTTGTGTAAGTGTGTGTGCAGTGTTGTGTTGACTACCTGTACATGACGTACATGTAGTTTGTATAACAATCCGCAAGCAGGGGCACACTGGCTGTGTGTGTGCTTGCCATTGTTGCTAGGTTTAGAAGTTGTAGTGAGATGTACTATTGATCCTCACTTGTCCCGTACTCTTTCTCTGGATCCCTCGCCAGCCGGTGGGAACTTGGTGAGAGACACACTTGACAGCAAGAAGAAGGATGGTGTGCGGCAAGGATAGCAGCAGCATCATGCCCTGAAGAAAAAAGAGTTCGTGCATAACAACATGTTGTGCTCTGCATTTCCCTTTGATGGTGTTCTCCAATCAGGATGCTGCTGATGTAGTAACTCTACCTGATTTGTACAACACTACAACATGTTGTAATGAGTATCGCTGTGGTAAGTACCATCAACGTATGTGTGCGTGCAGCTATCTATGTGTATGTCAGTATGTGTGTGTGTTGGGGGGGGGGGGGGTTGTGCAAGCATGGCATGGCTCCTTGAAAACCTGCACACGTTGAACACACACTGCTTCAAGACACAGAACTACTCCAGGCATAGAGTACAATTTAGTTGAGCCGTCAGGTGACCAGCACAAGATATCCGGGTGTTCGGGTCTGATTCTGGCGAGGGGCGCTGTGGTACGGCGCAGCATACAGGTGACGTGATACCCTATGCTGGCATAAGTCCTGCATTACAGCACAATACTAAGCCACAGTGCTTTCGCTGTTGCGTAGCAATGTATTCATCCAGCTGACCAGAACAATGTATTCATCTAGCTGACCAGAGCAATGTATTCATCCAGCTGACCAGAGCAATGTATTCATCCAGCTGACCAGAGCAATGTATTCATCCAGCTGACCAGAGCAATGTATTCATCCAGCTGACCAGAGCAATGTATTCATCCAGCTGACCAGAGCAATGTATTCATCCAGCTGACCAGAGCAATGTATTCATCCAGCTGACCAGAGCAATGTATTCATCCTGCTGACCAGAGCAATGTATTCATCCAGCTGACCAGAGCAATGTATTCATCCAGCTGACCAGAGCAATGTATTCATGCAGCTGACCAGAGCAATGTATTCATCCAGCTGACCAGAGCAATGTATTCATCCAGCTGACCAGAGCAATGTATTCATCCAGCTGAGCAGAGCAATGTATTCATCCAGCTGACCAGAGCAATGTATTCATCCAGCTGACCAGTGTGCATCGAGCACGGATAGTGTAGCTGCATGTAACTGTGTGTTGTCATAGCTTGGAAGCTTGGAGTCAGACCATGTAACTGTGTGTTGTCATAGCTTGGAAGCTTGGAGTCAGACCATGTAACTGTGTGTTGTCATAGCTTGGAAGCTTGGAGTCAGACCATGTAACTGTGTGTTGTCATAGCTTGGAAGCTTGGAGTCAGACCATGCGTTTCTGTTTCTGTTGATTTTCTTTACAGACTGTAATGCAAGCAAATGTTCCGCTATCCAAGAAGGGCTTTCAAAGCAGATCATCACTGATCCCAATCATGAATGCCAAGTTGTAAGTAGTTCAGGTGACCCATGGGTGTATCCTATATGTACGACGGCATTTGGGAGGGGTTGGGGCCACAGGGAAGATTTCTGGCGAATTTTCCAGAATAAGATTCTGCTTTTACTCTGGAAAATCATGGTATACGTGTATGTAGCTGCTGCTGCTGCTAGCCTTCCACTTTCCACTGGGCTTTTCAAATGCCACTCCGGTTTGAAGAGTGTTATCGCGATAGCCTTCCACTGGGCTTTTCAAATGCCACTCCGGTTTGAAGAGTGTTATCGCGATAGCCTTCCACTGGGCTTTTCAAATGCCACTCCGGTTTGAAGAGTGTTATCGCGATAGCCTTCCACTGGGCTTTTCGAATGCCACTTCGGTTTGAAGAGTGTTATCGCGATAGCCTTCCACTGGGCTTTTCAACTGCCACTCTGGTTTGAAGAGTGTTATCGCGATAGCCTTCCACTGGGCTATTCAAATGCCACTCCGGTTTGAAGAGTGTTATCGCGATAGCCTTCCACTGGGCTTTTCAAATGCCACTCCGGTTTGAAGAGTGTTATCGCATACTGCAAAGTTGAAACGGGTACGTCCTGATTGAATTAGGATTTTATTGCAAAATTCTTCCAGGCTGAGTTGGCTGGGTGGCGGATATTGTTTTAGATCTGCAGTGTGCTCTGCATTGTAGATTCTCAACGTATGCATGGGTGCTGCGGCATGTAATGTTCTAGTGTGTTGTGGTTGGTCTGTGTGTTGTACTGTGTTCGGGTTGATGTGCATGTAGCATATTGTAACTAACTTGTAATGTTCTATTGTGTTCTGCTTGATGTGCATGTGTGTCTCTGCCCAGGGATATTGTCTAAACTCATCGCGGGTCAGCAATGTGTCACCCGGATGTGATCACTGCTGTTCTGCTACTGAGTATACCTGTGTACCTGCTGCGTCACATCCTGACTGCTCTATCGGTGACAAGAACCTGCCATGCCCATGCCAGGTAACTTAGAACATGTGTAGCAAGCTATGCCCCCCCCCCCTGTGTCTGTGTCTGTGTGTATGTTGGTTGTGTCAGCCTAGTGCCAGTGCGTACCGTGCATTGTGACTACATGCATTATTGGTGTCTGTACAGTGGACTAATGCGTGTACGGGTTACTGTCATCTATTTGTGTTTTCTGTAGAATGAAGAACGTGTTGTTCAGTACACCAACTCTTCCTGCTGTCCAGACTATGTGTGTGGTGAGTACTACGTAGCCAGGCCTGTCTGTCTGTCTGTCTGTCTGTCTGCCTGTCTGACTGTGTGCCTGTCTGTCTGTCTGCCTGTCTGTCTGCGTGCCTGCATGTGTGCAAGTCCTCCTCACTATAAATAGCAGCATGTATACGTACAATACTGACTGCCATTCCCACTGCTATGGGATGGCCAACTTGAACTACATGTACACGTATGTATGTGTAAGTAGCCGTTGTGCGTTTGCGTTTGCTTGTTCTGTGTGTTGCTAGTTTGTGTTGGCTCAGCACAATGCGATCAGCTGAAGACCGAGTATATCACTGACCGTCCTGACCGTATCTTTACTGACAATCACAACTGCAGTGCTACTAGCGTGGTAAGTACAGGCAAGATGGCATGCCTACATCTCTAGCTTCAAGTACCAACCTTTACCATTGTAGGGTTTTGCTGGGTATAGACCTCATCCTATCCTTCCCCGGTCCATGTAAATCTTGGTTTGCAATATCGAGATGTCTCTCATGCTGATGTAGATTTGGGTGCAAACATTGCTACAAGGATAGTGATTGGTTTTCAAGCCTTGATTACCATGCCAGCACGTTCTCACAAAGAGCCACAACATTCAGATTAATTTTAGGCTCGTTCTACAATGTACATGTGTAATAGTATTGTTGACACGGACTGTGGTAATTGTTTGATTATTTTCAGGGTAGTGAGCTGGTCTCATCGGGCACAGAACCCGTACCAAGTGGGTCCTGCCGTAAAGAATGCTGCAGCATTGAGTCCTACCGTTGCAGTAAGTATTCATGACCGTGTCCACCAGTGTCTTCCCCGGCTTAGCGCACATAGTATAACACATAGCTTCCTCTCTCTCTCTCTCTCTCTCTCTCTCTCTCTCTCTCTCTCTCTCTCTCTCTCTCTCTCTCTCTCTCTCTCTCTCTCTCTCCCTCTCTCTCTCTCTCTCTCTCTCTCTCTCTCTCTCTCTCTCTCTCTCTCTCTCTCTCTCTCTCTCTCTCTCTCTTCTGTACTATGGCGGCATTGAACATTCTTCGGGCAGTGGAGCACCCTACTTGCTTTCATCTACTAGTATACACATAGATATAAGTTGTTGTTTAACTACGTTTTCCAAGTATGGCTATGCAGTGCCCGGCAGTACCTGTCCATGTCCATGTCCAGGTAACAGTGCATATCTATAGCAGTGCCAGTACAATGTGGACCCAATGTGCCAGCCCAGTGTTCCGGCCCAGTGTTCCGACCCAGTACTAATACCAGGTGCCTGCTGTATCAGTAACCTCAATGTACCGGTGTGCCTTTTCTCGTTTGTAGCGTGCAACGCAGAGCTATGCCCGCCACAAGTGGAGGAGCAAAACCAGTGTCTTCAAAACGTACGTACACAATGTTCTGGCTCTGATCCTGTGTGTGATAAGTTTGTGCTAAGGCGAGACCAAAAAAAAATAGAGATTCCCGGGCCCTCCCGCACCAAAATCGAGCCAAAGCCAATTTTTTTTTTTTTTTTTTTGAACAGTTCATACATGTACAGTACTGATCATGTGAGTAGATCTGTGACGTGGAGTCACACAAACCCGAGCTTGTACGACTCCCAGATGTACAGATCAGGGCCATCGTTGGCCGAATTATAGAAAATTGAACGGGTAAACCGCGTACCTATTTTCTGTAAAAAAACTGAATAAAAATTACCGGAAAATGCTGTAAAAAAAGTTCAACATGGCATGCACACATATATAGTCATGTACATACATGGGAAAAAATGAAAAAATAAAATTCGCCCGCCCGCACCAATTTCACATGGGTCCTGCCCGGGAATCTCGATTTTATTTTGGTCTCGCCTAAACAATTAATTATTTATATGAAGTTTCTGTGTGATGTGACGTTTCACTGCCTCCATTAGGCCATGGTAAAAAATAAATTTGATTCTCAGGTCATGAGCCTGTGAAAATCGGTGCGAGCGAGCAATTTGTTATTCTATTTCCCACAGTTTTTTTATTTCCAAAGATAGGGTCACACATATGTACATGGTCACGTGTTCATATATTCAGGCCAGGGAGTAGAAATATACCGGTATTTTACTACTCCCTGATTCATGCATTTCGCATTGACCGTTTTCATGCGCGCATGTGCATGCATAGAAATAAAATAAAATAAAAAAATAAAATAAAAATAAAATAAAAAAATCGTCGGTGCGCCGCCAAAAATCGGTGCGCGCGTACTTGAGAATCAAAGATAATTTTTACCATGGCCTTATGTGACTGTCTGAGAATTGCAGTCATGAATTGTTGTTGAATGCCATGTACATGTATACTCTATGGTACTGAATGGGGATGTATTTTGAGCATTGCTTTTACACGGATAAGAATATAATATTAAAAAGTGGTTTCCTGGCTAGTAACTAATTCTTTTTCAAATTTGCTGTCTGTGTCCTTGTTCAGGGCGGAATCTGGAGCATAAAACGCAATGCCTCTCATGTGTTTCCAGACTGCTGTCCAACGTATGAATGCGGTAAGTTGGGATCCGAACTGTGATCCCAGTTTATTCCCGTGACAAATGTCCTTCTCATCTAGGTTGTGGAGAGTGCCACGTTATTGTGTGTTCTATGTAGGACAGGGTTGGTCTTAACTGAGTACGGTTGAGCTTCTGGATGCTGCAGTTGCTGTGTTGTGTGTGGGTGCTCGCTCCAACAGTATGTTTTGTGTCTTTGTATCTTGTTGTTACAGCGTGTGGCTCTTGTGCGGACCACCAACAACAGAGTGCCGAGCTGATGCAGGAATGCATCAAAGTTGTGAGTTCTTAGTAGCATGAGTAGGATATTTGGTTCTCTTCATTGTTTCGCTGCAAGCCTTTTCTGGTGTGTTTGAAAAAACATGTATGTGTATATCACCTGCTTATTTGGGATGGCTTGTCCTGGAGACTACAAGTACATACCAATGCAGGTGCTTTTGATTTTTCATGGTGGTAATTCTGTGCTTGGTCACTGAGCATTATGGTTATGTTCAACTCCTCTCTCTCTCTCTCTCTCTCTCTCTCTCTCTCTCTCTCTCTCTCTCTCTCTCTCTCTCTCTCTCTCTCTCTCTCTCTCTCTCTCTCTCTCTCTCTCTCTCTCTCTCTCTCTCTCTCTCTCTCTCTTTCTCTCTCCCTGTGACAGACCTGATTGTATTCATTGTGGTGTTCTGCTAGGGTGGGATTGTGGTTGTTGGCGGATCACCATCAGGCGTACCACCAGATTGCTGTATCCGGTCAAAGTGTGGTAAGACCCAGACTGGACACTGTTGCATGCACTCTGTAGTCTGTACAACACACACTGTTGTATTCACTCTGCACAACATACACTGTTGTATTCACTCTGCACAACATACACTGTTGTATTCACTCTGCAGTCTGTACAACACACACACACTGTTGTATTCACTCTGTACAACACACACATACATGTATCATGCCTATGTATGCTCACTCTGGATGAATCCAGTTTACTCTTGACAAGTTGCACACCCGATCTTGAAGACAAAAATGCGTTACTTATCACGAGTGTATGACTAACTGTTGGTTGCTCTACGGGCCACCACTGATTTAGTGTGTGTGTGTGTGTGTTTGTATGTGTGTATGTGTATGTGTGTGTGTGTGTATGTGTATGTATGTGTGTGTGTGTTTGTGTGTGTGTGTGTGTGCGTGTGTTTGTGTGTGTGTGCTTGTGTGTGTGTGTGTGTGTGCGCGCGCGTGTGTGTGTGTGTGTGTGTGTGTGTGTGTGTGTGTGTGTGTGTGTGCGCGCGTGCGTGTGCGTGCATCCATATATACGCCTGTGTCCTTCCTACAGTGTGCCCATGTTCAACATGCCCGCAGCAAGCCTGCTCATATGTAAGTCTGTTGTTTTTGCAGTGCCATCGATCTGCAGATTGGCTTCTGGGTCCTGGAAACACTTGCTTTCTTATAGATTAAGCAGTGTGCACTGTGCTATGCTGTGTTGCATAACAACTTGCTTGGATTGCATGTACTGTTGATCATCTTGTCAATACTGCTACTGCTGCTTTCCTTTCTCGATGCGCTGTGCCGTACTCTCCACAGTGTCAAGAACCAGCCCATGAAACGGAGAACGGTCTGTGTACAAACAGCAGTGTCCTTCCCAACCCTCAGCTGGCCACGTGCTGTCCCGAAGTGGCCCCATGCGGTAAGCCCTACAGTTACTTTGTAGGTTGATCATGTGCACATACTGATGAGGTACTGATGTGCGGGTAATTGTTAGTGTTACTTTCTGGTTAAGCTGTCCTTGGGGCTTCATTGTGACAGAACAGCAGACTAGCTGTTAGGTTCCTAGACAGCATTGAACTCTGCAATATCTATTTTGATAGTTTGTAGTTACTAGTAGTAGTTGCCTGTTTTGGAGCCATCAGTTGCCTGATGATCGTAGTAAAACGTGAAACTCAGAGTTGAGACACAGCTTCCAATCTCTCTTGTGTTGTTACTAGTATCTGAATAATGCCTGTGTCCTTTCTTGTCCTTCTTTGTAGTGTCAAAGTGCACGGGTCCTGAGCCGTCCTCCTGTTCTGTAAGTTGTAGTGCCATCGCTGCTGCTGCTTTTTCTGTAGAAACACTGCAGCCTGATTTAGATAGTGTTAGCTCTTACACATGCACACATGCACACATACACACATGCACACATACACACAAAATGTATATACTATTGCTCTAGTAGACAATATTTGATTCTCGCTCTGATGGGAGGCACAAACCATTCAAGACTTTGCTACCACTAGTAGCCTGTCTTGCTCTCATTGTGTGTTGTTCATCTCTATACCAGGACAATTCTAACAGGACGAGGTGTTGGCATGTCATTGTGTGTGGACAAGGGCGGGCGAAGTGCGCCTTGATGCCACCCCTAACTTGAAGATCAGATGTCATTTTCCTGCCACAGTTCAGCATTGATTTTCTAGGCCTGATACATGGGTGTATGTATGCGTGTGTATATGTATGTACTTGCAGGGTAGCAAAACTGTTGCGATGGGCACAGAAGCTGAGGGGTGTTGTGACTATTGTGGTAAGTCTTCCGTCGTGAAAATTTAGTGATGCAAACATTGTGTGGTTTACTGTATATCAATAGCTACTGACATGGTATGCTGCCGCTCGCAGTCTTTATATGTGGATACGATAATTTCTCTCTCATGCCCCTCCTCTTTTCCTATGCATAGAGCTAATGTTGTATCATGACCTTGTATCTTTTTGGCATGTTCTGCTGTAGAATGCAGTGCAGACACTTGCTCCAACTGCCCTCCTGAACCAAGCGTTATCTCCGCTGTGGTAAGTTATCTCCGCTGTGGTAAGGCCATTCTACTCTGGTACTTAGTATACACTTGCTGGTGAAACTCTTGCCGAGTGACGACTGCTGTGGCTCTATGCCACTTGCAGCTGATATTTGAGCTCTAAAGGCTTGCTTTGTCCTTAGAATGAATTCTAATGAAAAGTAACTGCTATTTCCAAACGATCAGTAGTTGCTTGGTGCAACTGTACATTGTTCAGACAATACAGTAAAACTTGGTTTAAGCGACCACCCCACGGTGCAAGCAAAAGCGGTCGTTATTAAAGCCAGGTGGTCTTTAGAACCAGGTCCCACAGTGTCTGTGTAGAACTGTCGGTGCATGGGAAAACGGTCGTTAAGAGCAGGTGGTCGCTAAACCCAGAGGTCGCTTACACCAGGTTTTACTGTACAAGGAAGGGAATGGTGCATTGCAACTCCAAGTTTCGCATTTTCCCATCATAGGCAAATAGCCAGTGGGGGTTCGGAGGGTGCAGACGAGCCGCTTTTTCTACTGACAGTTTTGAAAAACCGGCAAAAACTCTTGTGTAGAACTCTTAGACATATCCATGTACATGTATATAGTATTATGTAAATGATATCCCCCCCCCACACACACACACACACACACACACACACACACACACACACACACATACATTGACAGCCTGGCTTCGTACCAGCATCAAACAACTGGTGGATTAGGGCAGTGGTGATATGAACATAAAGAGAGAGTGAGTGAGGCGATGGTTGCGAGCACAAAGCTGATTCATGCCATGCAGTATGTCAGATAAGACCGCAGCAGCAGCGGCAGCAACAGGAGTAGCAGCAGTAGCAGCAGCAGCACAATGTGAACTGCTTTTAAGTTGCATTACTACACTCACATACATGTACCAGGGAATTTTCTAGAACCGCCCCAACCGGTTTTCGACCGGTTGAAATTGTTGGCGACCGGTTGAAAAGTTACAAATCAGTTCCAACCGCCCGTACTTTTCTGTGGGTGAATGGAGCTGTGAATGGTCAAACGCTTTTTTCTGGACGGATACTTCCAGCGAAGCCGCGTGGGCCGGTACTAGGGTCACGAGTTTGTACGGTTTGTGTGTCGAGTGTCATATTTGGGTTGTATTTTGAAAAAAAATTCCGGGGGACCCCCCGACTCTTCATTGGACCGTAACCGGTTGGAAATTCGTCCTAGAATATACCCTGATGTACATGTTGGAGGTTGAGCACAGGCATGTTATGGTTCTCTATTATAGTCGCTCGCCCAGGTATGTGTCACTCATTGTAGTGGTAGCCTGACACATGTGAAATTTCCCACGCTGATTGACGTTCTAAACACAAATGTATAGGCGGTGGTAATGTGGATGTATGAGCTTTACTTCCAGTGGCTTACTCACCCTGTTTTTCTTCTGCTACCCAGTGTCAACCGATTACAAGCACTCTTGGTCAGTGTAACAGCACAGAGGATGAAGCGGAATGCTGCACTCGCTATCAAGTTGGTACGTATCTCACTACAGTTCTATGCACTTGTTCATGATTTTTGAAGAGGAGATCGTGGTAACTACAAGAACAGTGTGTACCGGCTGGAGGCATTCAATAATCAAGTGCTTTCAGTTGAAACAGATGCATTTGTGACTGCACATGTCCGAAGTGGAAGTGAACATAGTTCCCTGCAAGTACGTGTAGGTGTGGCAGACCTTCGTGTAAGAAAAATCCAGGAGAGTGAACAATCACTCTCGCTATCCTCTCAAGGAGAGTGGTGGGAGAGCAGTCCCCACCGCCCTCCCCCCCCCCCCCCCAAAAAAAGTCGCTCGCCTTTTCTATCTAATGTGAGCACAATACGGGGTTTTTCAACATCTTGCCATACCCCAATCGGATTCAATACCCAATAGCTGCCAAATTCGTTCTGGAAAATCGCCGTACGCACTATAAATGAAAGCTGTTCGGACCACAACTTTAGTTTCCCTTCATCAGAGACAATGACACACGCAATGGGAAATTGAGACAATTCGCTAAGATCCATGGTATTTTTTGTATTATTCATCGTAGAGCGCTCCTTTCTTCTGTAGCTGACGGCTAAAGACCTGTGCCTGGCGTCACACAGGTCTATGCATGCCCGGACTGTCACACAACAGAGGGAAATCCTCTATGTCAAAATACTAATAAATTATGATTGCCGCCCAAGTGCGGAAGTGAAAATTTGCAACGGTACGTAAAATACCTTACAAGTGCCGTCACTCCACTATTGGACCTCGGATAGACTTCCGATTTGTTGGAGCCGACAGCTGAGACCTTTCTAATGCGAATAGACCTTTCGATTACTCGATTCCGTTCAGGGAAAGCCGGGTTACGAAACGAGAGAGCTTGGAAGCTCAGGGCCCTACGCTATGCTTTTTTACCTTGATGACCTAGACAAAAAAAAGCATAGGGATGTTATAAATTCTTTAAAAAATTCCTTTTTTTAAAGACATAACCTGGGATTCGAACCCGCACTATCGCGTCCTGCATGCATCCCCCGATACACTTCGCATACATACTAATTCTTCCAAGTTGCTTCACATTATGATCTTGCATTTGAAAGCCCTATTTGAATATGCATTGTGGCCAGCCGTCTTTGATGGTACGGTACGGTAGGGATAGGTACGGGACAGGTACGATCGAGGGTAATACGACACCGTCTCCCGTACCGTACCATCAAACACAGCTGGCCACATACAGCTGCCCGCAATATTCAAATAGGGCTTTCAAACGCAAGATCATAACGTGAAGCAACTTGGAAGAATGGGTATGAATGCGAAGTGTATGGGGGAATGCATGTAGGGCGATAGTGCGGGTTCGAATCCCAGGATATGCCTGAAAAAAAAATAGGAGAATTGAAAAATTTATAACATCCCTATGATTTTTTTGCCGTCAGATACGGGATAGCGCCAGGCGTGACACAAACAAACAAACAAACACACAAACAAACACACAAATACCAAATTAAAGCTGTGCGGACCCTGGCTAGCGCCAGACGTTACTGAAGTAACGTCTTCTGCATAGCTACGGGAATAATTTTGAACTTCATAGTGATGCGGATGCGCTCGAAATTCTCAAGGCGCGCGACGAAAAGTGCGCCCTAAAAGAAAATAAGGAGAGCGAAGGCGCACGAGAGCGATCGCTCTCCTTTTACCAGATGGTCTGGTGTGGGGGGTTCAGAGGAGAACAGACAGCGTGTACTGCACAATGCCAAGAGAGAGAAAGTTTGCAAATCTCTCTGATTGTGTACGTATATCAAGAGAAGAGGTCCGGTGTCTCATTGTGTATATATTTTCTGTGCGTCTGTGTGCGCGCACGTGCGTGTATATGTGTGTGTGTGTGTGTGTGTGTTTGTGTGTGTATGTGTGTGTGTGTGTGTGTTTGTGTGTGTGTGTGTGTGTGTGTGTGTGTGTGTGTGTGTGTGTGTGTGTGTGTGTGTGTGTGAGTGTGTGTTCCCCGGTATAGGTAGCCCTGACTGTCCTCAGCTGGCTTGTACTTCGGTTAGTCGCGACTCGTTCAGAAAAGGATTCCCGTCTTTTGTCCCAGTGCACTCTACTGTTCTATTGATTGAGGTGTTATCACTTACCGAATGCAGTCAGCATGACGGGAACTATCGCGTTTTACTAATACTATGTCCTTATAAGTAATGCTCTTGCGTACCATATTCTACACAGAGAAGCATGGACAACTACGTATTGTATATATATTTTGGATTTCCCCGAGATTTAGTAGCAGTTTTGCCGAAACGTTGTAACAATTGATTGAAAAACGAGTTCGAGTTTGCAGAGTGAATGGGAAGAGAGCGGGTCTGCTCTGAAACCTTGTTTTCCTTCCCAGGGATTGTTCAGCTAAATGTCCAATGTGCTTGAGGCTGTGTCTGAGGCTGTGTATGAGTGTGTTTGAGGCTGTGTATGAGTGTGTTTGAGGCTGTGTATGAGTGTGTTTTGTGCAGTGCCTGTATTTACTGGTGGGCTTTCCTCTTCATTTATCTCTTTATCAATCTCAGAATCAAGTGATTTCCGACGCTGATTTCTTCACTGACAAGTGCTGCCCCAACTGCAGTAAGTGATCAGGGGTTACACTGTTCAACAAGTGATGAGTGTGTGACCTGCATTAAGCAGTTGTTTTCACAATTGTGTCCTTCTATATACCGTGCGTGTCTGTATGGGCATATGTCTGTGCGTCTCTCTCATGTATTCATGTACCCATTAAGTATTCATCTGTTCATATATTTTCTGTGTATATGTGTGTGTGTGTGTGTGTGTGTGTGTGTGTGTGTGTGTGTGTGTGTGTGTGTGTGTGCATGTGTGTGTGTGTGTGTGTGTGTGTGTGTGTGTGTGTGTGTGTGTGTGTGTGTGTGTGTGTGTGTGTGTGTGTGTGTGTGTGTGTTGAACAGCATGTGACTGCCTCTCTTGCCCAGCACCACCAACATGTAGTGAGGTAAGACCCATTCATCATCGTCCGAAATCACGCTGCATAACTAACTTGGTATGGCCCCAATCCACCCTGGCATTCGGCTTACTTGTGCTTTGCGTCATTAGGAGTTTCTGTATGAACCAGCATTGTGCATTTACCTGCTCTCTCTCTCTCTCTCTCTCTCTCTCTCTTCTCTCTCTCTCTTCTCTCTCTCTCTCTCTCTCTCTCTCTCTCTCTCTTTCTTCTCTCTTCTCTCTGCATACAGTGTGAGACGGCTGTACTGATAGAAAATGGCTACTGCAGCGACACATCTGCATCACAAGATAAATGCTGTCCAGTTTTCCAGTGCCGTAAGTCACATTGGGTTTATTCATGGTGTAGTTTTCATTGTTGTCCAGAGCACATTCAGTGTAAGTGCTGCTCATAAGGAAACACCATTTTTCACCGATAACCTCTTTGCTCAGTATCATCTGTGCTCAGGATCACCTCACCCTTTGATATGACTGTATTGCTGACAACAATATTAACCCTGCACACAGAGATAGAAACTGGCACCTCCCTCTTTCCGAGTCCATACCTCGCTCTTTCTTCTTTTTCGTTCTCGCACAGGTACCACGTGTGCAAATGCATCTGCACAGCCACTGGCTTGTCCCGTGAGTATTTTCTGGTGCTAAAATGCAATTAGCTGCTTCTTGTGTCATTCTTACATCAGCCCCGAGGAGGACCGGTTCTTTGGAGACAAGAGACAGACAGACAGACAGACAGACAGACAGACAGACAGACAGAGACGAAGACAAAGACAGACAGAGACGAAGACAAAGACAGACAGAGACAGACAGGTACAGGCAGAGCAAGAGACAGCCAGAGACGGACAGAGACAGAGACAGACAGGTACAGGCAGAGCAAGAGACAGCCAGAGACAGCCAGAGACAGACAGAGACAGACAGAGACAGACAGACAGACAGACAGACAGACAGACAGACAAAGAGACAGAGAGAGCTGGTACTTGTAATGTATTTGTAAGTGCTACCAGTAGTCCTGTTTTACACTGCCCATGAGCCCAAAGAACCCCCACTGGCCCATCATGTGCACAAGGGACGGTGCTTGGCACTATGTGGCTATGAGAACAATAGCATGCTTGTTTTTGGCCTATTTGACTGTGCCATCCCCTATGCTGGGCGTCAGATTTCTTTGCCCGTTATTGTAAGTAGTATGGGAGTCTTGTGTGGTTGATGTGTGTATGGTTGATGCGTATACATGTATGTGTGTACGTGTGTGTGTGTGTGTGTGTGTGTGTGTGTGTGTGTGTGAGTGTGTGTGTGTGTGTGTGTGTGTTTAGGCACATCAATCTCTGGAGCGGCAAGAGGACTGTTGCTATGATTGTGGTGAGTGTAGCCTATCAGTACTTTGCTTCAGATGGTGAAATATCTATCTACAGCTAGTACTGTACACGAATTGTCATTTGATGTCAGCTTTGTTCCGGTAGTCCCTTTGAAGACTTCCCCTGCCTTATACAAAATGTGTTGTGATTGTCTCTGTCTGCACCTGTTCTTCTTGCTAGCATGCAACTGCTCAACTTGCGTTATCCCCAAGCCTCAGTTTCCACTGGTAAGAATATCTTGCTTTTCTAAAAGTTTTCTGTTCTTCCATTTCTATGTGTGTGTTCGTGCGTGTGTGTGTGTGTGTGTGTGTGTGTGTGTGTGTGTGTGTGTCTGTGTCCATATGGTGCAGTGGTATGTGCAGCGATTTCCAATCGATAGGTTGCGGGTTCGATTCCCGACGATTATGGTCACACACGTCTTTCTTCTCTTTCTAAGACTCTTCCTGACTTTTCTTTCATTCTCCTGGGTGGTTACCAACAGCCAGTGCATGCCGGAGTATGTGGTGTGATGTGTGTGCGGGAAAAAAAAAAAAAGAAAAAAGACCAAAAATAGGGATTCACTGGCCAGAAAAAGTCACTTCAAATAGCTGTATGGTGTAGACCAGGCTGAATAGTGACGGTCAATTCTTCAGCCTTGCAAGCTGTTGAATGGTGCAATCCCAGCACAAGTTGCTATGGCATCTGCCGTAGCATTGCTATCATCGCCTCCGGCGATGGGCGTCAAAGGTCAAGGTCAAAGGTGTGTGTGTGTCTGTGTGTGTCTGTGCAAGGCTTCATAATACTTGACTATTTGCTGCATGCACAGTGTTATTGTCTCTCCTCTTGTGTAATGTTCTGTGTGTGTACGTGTGTGTGTGTGTGTGCGCGTGTGTGTGTGCGTGCGTGCGTGTGTGTGTGTGTTAAAGAAACTTCAAGCAAGGTTTCATAATACTTGACTATTTGCTGCATGCGCAATGGTTTATTGTCTCTCCTTTTGTGTAATGTTCTGTGTGTGCGTGCGTATTAGTGTCAAGAAGTTGTGCTCACACAACTGGGGTTTTGCAGTGATTCATCAAGTGCTGGCGGTTGTTGTGATCAATATGAGCAACGTGAGTATGGTATACCTTGTCCATGTCTTTCTCCGTGATTACGCACAATCAGAGAGCTTTCTTTTACTCTCTGCTCAGATAGCTATGAAGTACTCTTCACCACTCACTATGTAGGTTGTGATGTATGACATTACAAAATGGTCCTGCATATTGTTAAAGGCCCCTCTCCAGAGACACGTGAGGTCAAGGGCTGCTGAGGTTTCAGAATGACTTTAGTGCTGCTGATACAGCTCATTTCTCTTGTATTTGATGAACTGATCAATCCCAAATGCCCATGACCTGCAGCATAAGAATACCTACTGGCCAAAAATTGATCATTCCGGATGCATGCTGCACCCGTATGATACATAATTGTTTTGTGACAAGGCAATATTGGAAAATGAAAGAAATTGGTTATTTTTTTCTGGCTAGAACCCTGCACAGCATCATAAGTCATGCATTCAGCCGACTGTATAGCAAAACATCGAAGGCGAACCCTATTGGCTGTGCTACACAAGGCAATCGGTAACCCTCCTGTTCTGAAGACAGTATGCAGTGGTGTGCGTTCTGTGTGTTTTCTGTGCGTTCTCTGTGCGTTCTCTGTGCGATCTGTGTGCGCTCTGTTCTCTTGTGTATTCCCTGTGCGATCTGTGTGTTCTTCATGTACTGTGCAGAAGACTCCAGATATTGTAGAATTTACGAGTGTCACTATTATTTATCTACTGTGTTTATTCTATATTTTGTTAATCCTTCGTTCTTCCGAGAGCACAGTCAAAGCGTTTACTAGGAGTTAGTTACTAGTACATCACTGATTGTTACAAGCAGTTTACAGGTTACAAAACAGCTGGTGTTGTTTCTAAGTTGATTATCTCGAATTTGAATTGTTACTTATCTTTGCATTCCTTCAGAAAGTCCGTTCTGCAGCTTTAGTCCGTCCTAGTGTAGGTTCTGCTCTGACAAGGCTTGCCTTCACCCTGTGGGTGCTAACACTCTCTGACAGGACATGGTTGAAATTGCTTTGAGTTCCCATCAGCACAGATCTTCGTTTTCCTTGTTCTTTGAACTTCCTTTGACTTCTACTTTCGAATTTCACTGTTTGTACTATTTTCTGACTTTTCTTGATTTTCCATTATTTTTGTCCACTGCGTGCCAGTACAGCTTGTGTATCGTCATGGCAGCGTGACATCATTGTTTTTCTCATATGCATGCACGTGATCTACGCATTTCTTCTTTGGAGCGCTGTGTGCCACGTAGCTTTGCGTGCGCCAGTGTCTTCGTTGTTGAGAGTTCTTGAGAAGACGAGCAAGTTGTCGTTTCGGTTTCTGATGTGCGGTGGAAAGCGTCTCCACGCGTACATTATCTGGTAGCAGAGGATGGTTAGAGGTTCAGTTTAGTTTAGTTGTAGTGTATGTATCAAATTTAGTTGCACCATGGACGAACTACGATCGGCAAAGATTCGAGTGAAGTCCAATTTCACGAATATCAAACGTGGAATACTGACAAAGCTGCACAGTGAGACCACGCCCATAGACGCCAGAGACCTGAACGCTGGGATAGATGCACTGAACAATGCGGCAGAGGAGGCAGTGCGGGTGATGCTTGAGCTGTGCAAGCTGATGAGAGCGGCAGGTCGCCCTACTGAGGCAATATATGATGAGCTGGACGAGCTCCAAAGCAAGTACGATAACGTGTTAGAGCAGGCCAGCGAAGTGCTCGCCGAGATATGCTCTTCGCGGCCCAGTCGTGGAGGGAGATCTCCAGCGGGCAAGGAGCGAGCCCAAAGAATTAGGGAAGTGCGGGATCTGCTGCAAAGATCGGAGATCGTTGCTGAGAGCAAGGCTGACGAGGAGGAAAAAAGTGAACAGGCACCAGAAAAAGAAAAAAAAGAGAAATTTATGCATACTGTGCCGAAGCGAGAACCGCACCAGGGACCTGTCGGTCTGGAGTCAGGACTCTTACCGAGTAGTCTATCTGGGTCGTCGGCACCGAGTTCCTTGAGTGGGACTGCTGCCAGCTCGGGGACTGCTGCCAGCTCGGGGACTGCTGCCAGCTCGGGGACTGCTGCCAGCTCGGGGACTGCCGCTCGCGCTCCGAGTGGCAGTAGTACTAGTAGCAGTAGTACAAGTACGTCGGCTAGTTCTGTGCCTGCTGCGGCTCCCATCAGTACGTCCGCTAGTTCGGTGCCTCCTGCTGCTCCCATCAGTACGTCGGCTAGTTCTGTGCCTGCTGCGGCTCCCACCAGTACGTCGGCTAGTTCTGTGCCTGCTGCCGCCTTTAGTAATAGTATGTCGTTGAGGTCTGTGCCGGCTGTTGTAACAGCTTCAAGGGGCATAACCTCGGTTGTAAACTCGGGTCAGGCTGGACCACTGACAGCCAGTGGCGGAGGCAGAGCCACCAGTCAGCCTGTAAGAGCACCAGTGGCCAGTACTAGCCTTCCGCCAGCAGTGTCAGCACCGAGTGTAGTGGCACCAGCACCATTCGCAGCACCAGCAACGTTTACAGCACCAGCACCGTACGCAAACTTTCCACCAGGTGGAATGGTAGAGCCATGGCGGCAGATGCCACGAGTCGGCATTCCAGTTTTCACCGGAAACCGCAAAGAGTACGAGCAGTGGCGAGCTGCCTTCAACGCATGCGTAGATGTCTCGCCAGCCAACGATGCGTACAAGCTGCTGCAGTTGCGTACTTACCTGAAGGGCGAGCCGCTGGAGACGATCAGTGCCCTCGGGTACTCGCCAGCAGCTTATGCAACGGCAAAGGCGAAGCTTGAGCGCAAGTACGGCGGCAGTCGAAGACAAATTGCTCTGCAGCTGGAGGACATTGAGAGAATGCCAACCGTCCGCAGTGGTCGCCAGCGCGAACTGGTGCGGTATTCTGAGCTGCTGGAGATCGCAATAGTAAACTTGACGGATGCGGGGCGTTCCCATGAGCTGGGTCCGGGAACTCTGTATAACCAGCTGCTGCGAAAGCTGGATGAGAAGCTGATCGCGCAGTATCAGCGTTGGCTATTCGTGCAACAGCAGCCAGAAACAGTCACCATGTTAGCAGTGTGGCTGGAACAAGAGGCAGAGTTCCTGACTGTGGCAGCAGAAACGGCAGACGGGATCAGCATATCCCAGCCAGCAGCGTCAGCACATGCGCCTGCCAACCGGCCAGCTAAGCCAGGATCTCACCCATACAACAGATCTTTTGTGGCTCGTAGCGGAAAGTCGTGTGAAGTATGCGGCGATGTCCATGGCGTGTGGCAGTGCGACCAGTTCAAAGGAATGACTGTTGTAGAGCGCTGGGTCAAGGCCAAAGCAGCGCGTCTGTGTTATCGGTGTCTGGCGAGTGGTCACCGCGGCAACGACTGTGAACGGACGAGAGTTTGCGGTGTTGATGGTTGCGACTCCACGCACCATAGGCTCCTGCACGGGCAGCAGCAGATCAAGAACAGAGATCCGCCCAAGGACCAACCAAGCACAAAGAAGCAAGGTGTGTACCTCGCCACTGAGGGGGAGGCGCAGGAGTCTCAAGCAGCAGCAACGACCATGAAAGCCAGTGGCGCTGGGAATTTGGCTTTGCGAACCGTACCAGCCATGATCGGCAATGGCAACAGACGTGTGCGTATCAATGCTCTACTGGACGACGGCAGCACGCAGACGTATGTCAGCGCCCGAGTAGCAGCAGAACTTCAGCTAAGTGGACCAAGCTCCAAGATATCAGTCGGAGTACTAAACGGACAGCGCTCAACGTACGACACCCAGGACGTCGACGTGCAGCTCAGCAGCGTAGATGGCAGCTGGGAGCGCAAGATCCAGGCGAACACGCTACAGCAAATCACTGACGACATGCACGCAGTGAATTGGTCAACAGAGCAGCGGCATTGGCCACATCTCAAGGAAGTGACATTTGCCAGCTTGCCGAAGCGTAGAGAGGTAGATATGCTCATCGGCATTGACCAACCAGACATCCATTGTGCGCTGGAAGAGATACGTGGAGCTCCTGGAGAACCTGTGGCGCGTCTGACAGTGTTAGGGTGGACATGTGTCGGTCCCACGACGTCGACAATGGCTAGATCGTCATTGCTCCAGTACAGCTATGCGTCAGTGGTACGAGACCAGTCAGATGTAAACACAGAGCTCAACCGCACGAGGGCAAGTGGTACCAACCCGTCATTTCTACACAGTGACTCAGCCGACTGGCCGACATTGCCAGCAGGTCCACCGACAGCCCCGAGCGCTGAAGAGTTTAAGCAGAGCAGCGCAGCGGAAGCAGTGAGCTTCGTAACTGTTGCACAGCCGCCAGGATTTCGCCTGAAGCCCGAGCGATATTCCGATTGGTTGCGTCTCGTGCGAGTGACAGCGTGGGTTATGCGCTTCATCGGCAACTCCGCTGGCCGGACTCGCATCACCAGTGAACTGACAGCAGCGGAGATCAGTGACGCCGAGCAGTTGTGGATCGCGCAAGCTCAGAGCGAGGCGTTTAGCGACGAGCTGAAGAGTGTGCGCAACAAGCAAGTAGTGCCAGCCAGATCAGCGCTACTGAAGCTCAACCCCAAGGTTGACGCAGATGGGTTGCTGCGATGCGACGGCCGGACGCAGTACGCCGAGTGGCTGCCACACAACGTGAGATTTCCAGTGATCTTGCCACGCAATCATCACATCACGCAGCTTATTGTGAAGCACCATCACGAGCTACAGCAGCATGGCGGCACGAACCAGACGATGTCGTCGCTAAGCACAACGTTCTGGGTAGTGTCTGCCCGAGAAGCCATTCAAGAGTGGGTGCCAGCCTTGAACCGCCGGACCAAGTGGCCGCATGCACAGAAGAGCCTGCAGCCTGATGATGCCGTTCTCGTACTGCAGTCGGACACTCCGCTTGGACCGTGGCCTCTGGGACGTGCGGTCAAGGTGTTCCCAGGAGCGGATGGCAAGGTGCGTGTCGCCGAGGTAGTGGTGTGCGGCAAGCGCTACGCTCGCCCGATTACTTAGCTGAGCCCACTGGAGTTCTAAGCAGTGTTGATCCGTGTCTGATCAAGAGGGGGAGAATGTTCTGAAGACAGTATGCAGTGGTGTGCGTTCTGTGTGTTTTCTGTGCGTTCTCTGTGCGTTCTCTGTGCGATCTGTGTGCGCTCTGTTCTCTTGTGTATTCCCTGTGCGATCTGTGTGTTCTTCATGTACTGTGCAGAAGACTCCAGATATTGTAGAATTTACGAGTGTCACTATTATTTATCTACTGTGTTTATTCTATATTTTGTTAATCCTTCGTTCTTCCGAGAGCACAGTCAAAGCGTTTACTAGGAGTTAGTTACTAGTACATCACTGATTGTTACAAGCAGTTTACAGGTTACAAAACAGCTGGTGTTGTTTCTAAGTTGATTATCTCGAATTTGAATTGTTACTTATCTTTGCATTCCTTCAGAAAGTCCGTTCTGCAGCTTTAGTCCGTCCTAGTGTAGGTTCTGCTCTGACAAGGCTTGCCTTCACCCTGTGGGTGCTAACACTCTCTGACAGGACATGGTTGAAATTGCTTTGAGTTCCCATCAGCACAGATCTTCGTTTTCCTTGTTCTTTGAACTTCCTTTGACTTCTACTTTCGAATTTCACTGTTTGTACTATTTTCTGACTTTTCTTGATTTTCCATTATTTTTGTCCACTGCGTGCCAGTACAGCTTGTGTATCGTCATGGCAGCGTGACATCATTGTTTTTCTCATATGCATGCACGTGATCTACGCATTTCTTCTTTGGAGCGCTGTGTGCCACGTAGCTTTGCGTGCGCCAGTGTCTTCGTTGTTGAGAGTTCTTGAGAAGACGAGCAAGTTGTCGTTTCGGTTTCTGATGTGCGGTGGAAAGCGTCTCCACGCGTACACCTCCCACATCAGTACACAGTTACACTGGCAATCGGTAACCGTCCCACATCAGTACACAGTTACACTGGCAATCGGTAACCGTCCCACATCAGTACACAGTTACACTGGCTGAGTACCCCACTGTAACAGTTTAAAGTTTAGAACAGCTTTACCCGCTAGTGAAGTCATGCCCACTTCACGTTGAAAATGAAGATTATTACAGCGGGAATGTACGCGATTGTGAGTATAGTTCTGTGATGTGTGCGTGTGTTGACTGTGTATGTATGTGCTCATGTGTCTATACACGTGTGTGTGTGTGTGTGTATGTATGTATGTGTGTGACTATGCAGGTGATCTATCGTGTCCAGACGCTTGTCCACTTCTTCCTGAGGTAAGCCTGTGTTCACTATTGGCATCTTGACATGTTGTGAAACTTTTTATTTGTTGAGTTGTAAAAGTAGAGATCTGCATGTTGTTGTTTGGTCACTGCTCTCCCGTATGCTCTGGTGTGTGCAGTGCTGATAGATCTTGGTGACCTTGTTATAGGGATCGGTGAGTGTGCTTGTCGAATGTGGAGAAGGTGGTTGGGGGTAGTGTGCAACACACCCGTGGCAATACATCTGTGATGACATGATTGTATTTTGCATGCTTGTTTCTTGCGTTTAGATTGACTGGCAAACTGGACATAAGTTCATACCTGTAAGTTGTGTGGATCTGTTCCCCTACATGTAGTGAAAGTCTTTGATATGCACAGCTCTAGAGTACATGTGCACTTGCTGAACCACACTGGCTTGTTATGGTATTCTAATTCTGTTTGTGTATTACGCCGTACGTTTATTTTCTTTCTACAAGTGCCCACGGGCTCCTATCTGGTTAGAATCGGGGAGCGAAAGGGTAGTGAGACCTTGTGCCCCCGGCCGACATGAGGTCTTGGCTTCACAATGAACTAGATGCACGGATATGGCACGAAAAGTATTTGGAAAGTGGAGAGGGAGGAGGAAGAGTCCTAGTGTGTTTCACGATGCAGTTGTGGTTCTTGGTTGCCAGCTCTCTGGTGAGCAAATTCTTGATTTACTAATCTGCTTGAGCAGTGGCCATGTTGATGCTAAGGGTAATGTTAGTCTTGACTCTGTGTATCCACCAATGATCCTTGTCTCTGTGTGCCTTTGTGTGTCACCGTGTGTGCCTTTGTGTGTCACCGTGTGTGCATGTTTTTAGGGCCGTGACTACATACCTCAGAACTATTCTTCAGGCCAATGCTGTGACACGTGCAGTACGTTAACCAAGGCTAAGTGCAAGCGTTGTATTGATGCTACTCTCCTTTCAAATATCTGTGCAATTCTTACATCATAGTTGATTACCGGACACTGGTCAACATCATAGGTCTTTGCCGGACACTGGTCAACACCATAGGTCTTTGCCGGACGCTCTCTGACATACCACACCCTTAGCTAGGAGATTGTTGCCATGCCTAACACCATTGCTGTGGGGAGTCATATAACTGGTCTAGCATCAACATTTCCCGTAACAATTAGCAGTTGCGTTTTTGTGGCCCATAGTTTGTTAATCGGCACTATGTATGGCCTTCAATGAGGTGTAGAAAGTTTGTACCAACACTTGAAAAGACCAAAAGAAATTTATCTTGTTCTGACATCATGGTGCCAGTTCTGCAGTGTGTTTGTGTGTCTCAGTTCAGCTGTGTTAGAGTGTTTGCTCTTCTCTTGTTTCTTGTTTATGCTGTTGTTCTTGCTGTCTGTAGCCTGCCAATGTGATCAGTGCAGTAATGAAGATGCGTGTGTACGTTACAGTCTTCCGCGTTATCACTCAATCACACTGTGGCGGTCACCATTCTGTTTGCTAGTGCATTACTTGTGTATTTACAGTCTACCACGCTGTGCTGCTATGCATTGCAACAAGGCAGCTGGTGCGCAGTGCAACAAGATTTTTTCGGAGCTTCCTTGCTACCTTTCCATCTGCATGTTGAAGTTTCATGTGCTGGTCAGATATTTGTGCTTGCCTGCCTGGGTGTGTTTGCTATACGCTGTGATTGTTTGCATTTCAAACATGTTGTGCATGTGCTATGTAACACATGTGCTGTGTTTGTATGCAGTGTGCTAGTTTGGTGCCGGAGGTCAACATCAAAGGTGTTTGCAGTGGTAATGGCGGTGTGTCACACTGTTGTGATGCCGTTACCTGCAGTAAGTCTTATGTCAACTTGGACTTTGCTCTTCTTGCTGAGCTGTGCACTTTGTGCTCGCTCACATTATCTAGGTGTTAGCAACATACTTTTTAAAGAGTACAAGTCACTGCTGCCATACCTGCCACTGTCACTAACTCTGCCGCTCCTGTCGCTGTTGCGGCTGCTGCTGCTGCTGGGGCTGCAGTTTCTTCTACTGTTTCTGCCTGTCGTTTCTGTTCTCTTCTTCATCTACTCCGTAGTTCAGTTTGATTGCTGGACTCAGTTAGCTGCTCAGATGTTCAGTACTTGATTGTTGGGATTAGTTTGTCTGTTGTGCAGCCAGTCCTAAAACATTGTGTGCATGCATCTGTCTGTTTGATGCTCAGAGTGTGAGGAGCATGAATTCCGGGGATGTTCGGTAAGGTTGTATGCTGTGTGCGTGCATGCATGCTCACATGTTGTTGTTACTTCTTTTTTCTCCAAATGTTGTAATGCCAGTACATATGCAGTTTCTTGCTTTTGGTCCACTTGAACTTCTATTGAGTAGGCAATGTAGACTGTGTGGTATGTCTGCTAGTATAGTATGTGTACGAGAGACCAGGCCTATGAAGTAGAGTGTGCTCAGTATTGATCATCTTGTGCTGTGTGGCTTGGAGAGTGTCCTTCGTGAACACATGCATACGTTTTGTCCAAGGTAACAGTTAGTATATGTATGTGTTCTGGAACATATCTCAATAGAGATTGTTTTCCATTGTGCTACTTTGTGAGTATCACTGCTACAGGTATAGATCACCACTGACATGTGTCTGGCAATAGGCTGTCTCCCTATTTGAGCTGGTTTTGGACAGTTTGTGTGAATGATGTGCTCGTCTGTCTCCTAGGATGCCAAGAATGACACGGACAGTTGTGGATGTGTATCGGAACGTGAGTAGTGGTGCTAGTGATATTATTTTCTTACAATTTACATCCTCCATTGCGTCAATCGTTGCTGCTGATGCTGTTCCTCACACCAATGGGTTGTAGTAGCTAAAAAAGCCTAAATGCGTTCTGAACTTGAGAACTCACCCATGTTTGCCTGTTACTTTTGCGTGTCTCACTATAGAATGTGACTCAACCAAGGCACCTCGTCAAGAACTGTGCTGTGTAAGCACTGTGTGTGTGTGTGTGTTTGCCCGCATGTGTCTGTTTGTCCACAAGCATGTGTGCATGCTTGCATGCGTACATTTTGTGTCTGTATGTATGTCTGTGTGTGTTAACATGTATAATCCCATGACACGTGTGTGACCCCAGTTGATTTAGAGTTTAGGCTACCCAGTGCTTGCCAGCATTGTACTAGTATTGTACATTACATGCTCTAGTTTACTGGTTGTGCTGGCACTCATACTGACTAGCATCTGTTGCAATATTGCTGTTTTGACGCAATAGGCCTTAGAGTGTGTGTGTAGCTTTGCATTGACCGTATTGACCGTGTTGACCGTGTTTTTGTTCAATTTGTCGGTGTCTTTCTCACAGTGTGGGCCTCTTCAAGTATCTAGCGATGCCACTGGACAACCTTGCGACTGTTTTAATCAGACAAAGTGTGGTATGGACCTGCCAGTGTATGTTTGTTTGTGTCTATTATACTTCGCACATTAAACGGGATCTGGGCCCAATAACAAAGCGGCGAGTATGGAAGGAAAGAAGCAAAGGAGGAAAGGAAATATATGACTGTAGGACAGAAGAAAATCACAAAGCAAAAAAGGCCAGGCTCCAGAAATGCTCACTGGACATTCTTTCCTGTTCCCTCTTGGTTCCCTGTTGGCTTACGTTGTATTCAAATAAAATTAATGCTGGTTTGCTTTTGTATGAATGTTTGTTTGTCATATTGTATGTGTGATACGGGTACATGTACTGGTGTGAGTCATGTGACCCAGGTGTGAATCATGTGACCCAACCAAACACTATTAGAGGAGAGCTGTACAGTTCACTACTTTGTTCAGTGCATGGGCATGGATCAGTGCATGGAGTGTACTCTCATGCTCAGTGCTTTTTACGCTGGTGCATAAAACAATGTCGTCCTCACTTCTTTGTTGACAATTGTGCTTGTGCTTGCGATGTGTGTGCCGCCGCTGCTCGCCTGCTATTCCAGTAACTGAAACCCGCTGTCCTATTGATGTCAGCTTATGGTCACTGGCGGACATTAGTACTGACCACTGCCCAGCTGTAAGTATGCTGTATGTATTCCAGTCAGCATGACTATATGACGTGTGAAATATGCTGATTGCTACTCAGTGAAAGTAGCTCGTGTTGTGTTGTGTAGTGTTGTGCTGGTGCTGAGCATTGGCAGGTCATGCTTAGATAATGTATTATGTGTCGTGCTTAGATAATGTATTATGTGTCGTGCTTAGATAATGTATTATGTGTCATGTGTCATGCTACCGGTAATATCCCATTAGTCTGCTGCACTTTTTCTACTGGGTCCAGCTGATCAATAAATGATTTCATTTGTCAATGTTGAACTCTTCTTGCTGAAGGGCTTCATTGCCAGAAAGACTCAACGCAGATCTGACCATGGCGATGCAAGGTGTTCAGCAACCATTTGTGAAGAGTGCGCTGAATGTGGTAAGTGCCTGCTGTGTCCAGACTTAATAAATAGAGCGAGGCGTCCAGTCGGGCCAGGGTACTGGTGTGCCCTTTCACACTCTTTGCATAGCTACCATAGGCAGTGCTGCACAGTGCCTAAGTCCTGACTGATATCACATATCAACAGCATCTAGACCTGGAGGTAGTTGATATACTGAGGTTGTTCTCCAGTTGTGTTTAGTGTGTAATGTTCAGATCCATTGCTTCTTGTTGCTGCTTATTACAGTATGTGCTGTTTGCGAGACACAAGTCCCAGATGATACCTGTCCATCCGATTGTATGGTAAGAAATCTTTGCTCAGTTGTCTCCATTATCCAGCCAGCAATCCCTGTCCAGGTGTCATTCAGTGCCTTTGGCTATCCCTCGTGACACTCCATGACACTGTGAAAGTATGAATGTGTATAAAATACTAAGACCTGTTACCAGGATAGCTCTCGACTAAGGCACTTGCTTGGCACTTGCCCTTCGCTGTGACTGCTCACTCATTTACTCACTCACTCACTTTGTCAGTCCTCATTCACTCAGGATGCCGAACGGGATACTGTAAATCGAGAACTCTTGGCCGGCAATTTATGTTGTCCAATTGGCACCAAGCAGTGAAATCAGCAACATTCAATTGAGTCCAAAACTAGTTGATTTACAGTAAACGAATGTAAATTTCAAACGAGCGCACCTACTTATACGATAAATAGGAGGCTACGGGAGATGTTTTAGTTGTTTTTTTCTCAACGATAGATGTAGTGTAACTTTGATTATCCTGTTCTTGTTGTATTTATTACGCTTTACCTGTCAGTTTGTTACTGGTTGTGGTCGTTGTGAAAGCGCCGTCTCTGTGTTTCGTTATGAAAATGTTGGTCTGTGTGATTGGTCTGTGGTATCTACAGGGCTGCGTAAACAAGATACGCCGTACAGCCGCCTTTGGCCAGGCTCTTGCCCTTAACACTACTGTGCAGTCCCCATGCTGCGAGTCCTATAGAGGTATGTATGGTGCGAGCTTGTTCCCATTGTTCCCTGTCAGTGGCGCTTGTGCTTCTCTCTAGTGTCAGCTCTACGCTACATGTAGTTATTTTTGGTACTGCCCTGCAGCCTCGTTATAGTGTTCTGATGTTTCTACGTATTGAGACTCAGTTTGAGAAGCATTATGTCGCATTCCGCTCTGTCTAGCTGGTGTGATGTTGAAGATGTTAGTCATGTGCAGTGCCAACTCTATGAAGCATTGCTGATGGTACATGTCTTGCTTGCTGTGTTTTTACTCAGAATGTGACTCGTCGCAGTGCACCGAGCCAATGTGCGCACAGGTATGTGCAAGCGCTAGAGCACACAGTTGCTGGCGCATGTTTGCTGCATCCCTACACTGCTAGTATGGATATTTTCGACCGTGTACATGTACATGTAGGCCATCAAGATAGACATTTAAGGTAGAGGGGGGGGGGGGGAGGGACTTGCACAACATTTACTTTACCTACCCTTTCAACTGATCTTCCTTTCTTTGTTGTTCTCATTCTCTTTCTCTTGGTCAATGTTTGTTCTGTACCAGTGTGAGGTGGCCGTCAAAGTCAAGGATGCTACGAATGATCCAAACGCCTGTTCATGCTGTGATGAATATGTTTGTCAAGGTACTTGTGCTGGATTGACTTCTATTCCCGCTCTTTACATATTTTTTAAATTTGTTTTGTCTATTCTACATGTGAGATTCTGCCAGCCTTGTGCAGGTATGTTCCAGCCTTGTGCAGGTATGTGCCAGCCTTGTGCAGCTATGTTCCAGCCTTGTGCAGGTATGTTCCAGCCTTGTGCAGGTATGTACCAGCCTTGTGCAGGTATGTGCCAGCCTTGTGTGCAGGTATGTGCCAGCCTTGTGCAGGTACGTGCCAGCCTTGTGCAGGTATGTGCCAGCCTTGTGCAGGTATGTTCCAGCCTTGTGCAGGTACGTGCCAGCCTTGTGCAGGTATGTTCCAGCCTTGTGCAGGTATGTTCCAGCCTTGTGCAGGTATGTTCCAGCCTTGTGCAGGTATGTTCCAGCCTTGTGCAGGTACGTGCCAGTGTAACTCGTATACTCTCAGTCTCAGCACTCAAAGCACATACTTGTTGTTACGTAAGTAGTTATCAATATTCGTTCATTGTCTCACACAAGGAGAAGAAGAAGACCAGGCAGTGCGAGTATGCGCACAGCCTATCCATGCATTCCTACGGTGTACTATTTATGCGTATACAAATTACGTGTCATAAAGTAGCCATGCTACACTATCCTCCTCCTACCAAAAATTCACGCCCTCGTGAATAGAGAAAGAAAACAGAAACATAAAAAATAAAATAACTCAGGACATAGCAAAATCAGTAAACCGAGCAGGCAGTCCAGCATTGCGAGCAAGATGGGCTCTGGTTGACTGCGGGAGCGTAGACGACAGCGGACTATGGTCGCTGTCGAGGGCATGTGGGACATACTGAGGCATCACTGGAGCAGCAGGTACTGGATCCTCCAGCGGCAGGGACGCAGATGGCGACGGCAGGTAAGCGAGTTTCAAGCGGTTGAAATGCAGCGTCTTATGGCGACCATCAACATCGACAACGTAGGACGTTGATCCAAAGACGGACACAATACGAAATGGACCACGCCAAGGGCGGTGGAATTTGCGGTGTTCACCAGGGTGAATGACAGCATCCTTTACGTAAACAAACTGGCCAGCAGCTAATGGCGCACCCTTGGTTCGGCGGTTGTAATGTTCTTCCTGGTGCTCATGGGACAGATCAGCGAGCTCTCGAGCTTGAGCATGTACAACACGCAACGCAAACTGTAAATGGCGAACGTAACTAGTGGATTCAAGAGACGCTGGTTGTGGCAAACCAAACACAACATCTGCCGGCAAACGCAATTCAGTGCCGTACAACAACTTGGCAGGACTGTGACCCGTGGACGCATGGACAGCAGAACGGTACGAAAGCAAGACAAGAGAGAAGGTAGCATCCCACTCAATAGATGTAGGGGTGATGTGCGCACGGAGTAGACCGAGCAAAGTGCGATTGAGCCGCTCTACAAGTCCGTCACCTTCCGGATGGTAGGGAGTAGTACGGGTCTTGTGAATACCCAGCAGACGACATAATTCAGCAAAAAGCTTAGACTCAAACTGCGGACCCTGGTCGGAATGCAGTTGCTCAGGGGATCCAAACCGTGCTATCCAGCCATTGACAACAGCCACAGCAACAGCTTCTGCAGTAACGGATTGGAGTGGAAAAGCTTCTGCCCACCGAGTGAAGTAATCAGCCATAACCAACAGATATCGATTACCACGGGGTGTCTCTGGCAATGGACCGACGATGTCGAGGGCTACGAGCTGAAATGGGTAGCCGGCATACATTGGCTGGAGCGGAGCACGCTGGGCATCAGACTTGAGCCTAATCTGTGCACAAGTGACACAACACGCCACAAACTCCTGAACATCTGATGCCATTCCAAACCAGAAAAAACGTAGCCGCGCTTGAGCTAATGTTTTATCTACACCAGGATGGTTACAAGACGGAAGAGCATGAACAGCCAGCAAAGCTTTGCGTTGAAGCACAAATGGGACGACAAGACGGGGTGCAGTACCGACATGATCATGATCGGAAAATGGAGGTGATATGTACAGAACGCTGTCAATGAGACTTAGCTGCTCGGCATTCGCCCAGAACAAACGCATGGTACGACTAGTGCCAGAAATTAAATCTTCAGGAGGACGCACAAATTTTCCACTCACTGCATTGTACCATGACAAGACCACTGATAGATCAACATCCACAGCTTGGGAAGCGGCCAACTCAGGTGCGGAGAGACCAGCTAGTACAGGAGTGGCGACATCCACAGACGCCGTTGTGGCAGAGGAACTAGCTTGCTCTGGCTGATTTGCGGGAGTCTCGAGATGGGAGGGTTGCACCTCCGGCAACAAGGAACGCGACAGACCATCTGCATTCAAGTGCTGCCGACCCGGCCGGTGAACAGTAGTGAAGGTGTACTCAGCGAGTTGCTCCACCCATCGAGCTTTTCGACCGCGTGGTTCCTTCACGGACATCAGTGCGGTGAGGGCAGTGTTGTCTGTGCGAGCAATAAAATTCCGGCCAAGCAAATAGTGCCGGAACTGATTCGCGAAATGGACAAGGGCAAGCGTTTCCCGGTCTGAGGCATCATAATTCCTCTCTGCCTTCGTCAAGACCCGGCTGCCGAACGCAATGGGGCGTTCCTCGCCATCTTGCATTTGGCTGAGGACAGCTCCAATGGCCACCTTGCTAGCGTCAGTGTCCAAAATAAAGCCACCAGACGAAACAGAAAAGTCGGGATACGCCAACACGGGGGCTGTTGTCAGTGACCGTTTCAGAGAGGTGAATGCCGCATCACAACTCTTTGTCCACATAAAGCTGGCATTCTTCCCTGATAGAGCAGTCAGGGGTGCAGAGCGCTGAGCAAAGCCACGGATGAACCGACGGTAGTACCCAGCGTAACCCAGAAACACACGTACATCTCTCACCGACTTCGGTACAGCCCACTGCTCGATAGCTTCAACTTTGGCCGGATCCAGAGCCAATCCGTCAGCCGAAACCTGATGACCGAGGAAGAGCACTTTCCGTTGGAAGAACGAACATTTCTTCAAGTTGAAGATCAGTCCAGCAGCACGAACGCGGTCAAACACCAACTTGAGGATCTGGAGCTGTCCAGGCAAGGTAGAACTGGCATTCAGCACATCGTCGAAGAAAACGCGACAGAATGGCTGGGTCGGCACATTGCATAAGCCATGAAGCACCGCTTCCATCACACGCTGGAAAGTTGCCGGACCATTTCGACATCCCATTGGCATCACGGAGAACTCGAACAAACCCAACGGTGTGGTAAAGGCAGTCTTGGCCTTATCTTCCTCGTCCATAGCGATCTGCCAATAACCTGAAGCTAAATCCAGGCAAGTGAACCAGGAACAGCCGGAGAGTGAGTCTAGCATGTCATCAACTCGTGGGATGGGGTACGCATCTGGCTCCGTAACACTGTTCAACTTGCGGTAGTCGATACACAATCGAAGAGATCCGTCCTTCTTTGGAACGAGAACTATGGGTGACGCCCAGGGACTAATAGACTCTGTGATTATACCACGGGCCAACAGATCATCCAGCAAAGCTTGTAAAGCCTGCCGGCGGTGGTAGGGTACACGACGCGTAGGCTGCTTAACTGGCTTTGTCTCACCAGTACTAATACGATGTGGGAAAACATCACAATGACCAAAATCACCCTCCTGCAAGATATACAAGTCATGATTCTCCCGGAGAATCTCTGTAAGTGTGCCCTTCTCAGGTACTGACAGATGACTCTGAGAGTCAACATATGTACGGATTACCTCGGCACGTTCAGGGGATAGCACAAGCGGTGGCGTATCCGCAACGGACGAAACAGTAGGATCATTATCCTCGACAATGAAGTCCTCGGGTACAGGAGATAACTCGGCAATGTTAACATCTTTAGCAAGAAGCACTGGGTGGTCAGAGTGATTTTCCAACACAACTACCACACGGGACCTGTCGGGTCCAACCGTAACCACACCGGGGGTCACAGACACATCTGGAAACTTTGTCAAGAATGAGTCAAGTGGATCAGCAACACAGTCCACAGTTACAGGTGCCTCTTGCACAGACATGCACGGCACCAACACTACATGGCCGGCAGGCAGAGTTAATGCACGACCAACAGTGACACGAGAAGAGTACGTGCTCAGGTCTTCCTGAGAATTACTATCACTAACACAAGAGTCAGATACTGGCGCCGGGTCCTCCGCAACGGCCGGACTAGGTTCCGATGGACCAAAACTGGTAGCTTTCACTCCTAACGGGACTGACAGGTCTTTAAAAGTTAAGGTGCCTTGAGCAATGTTCAGTAATGCTCCATGGTCAAACAAGAAATCAGATCCCAAGATCATATCACGGCGGATATCAGGGGACACTACAAATGCATGCAAAAATGAGCACCCTCCAATGCAGCATTCGATATCTACAGCACCCAGAACCCGAAGTCCCTCACCATTCACCGCACACAAACGGGGGGCAGCTTGCAAAGGCACATCACCATACGTGGACAATAATGTTTGTTCATGCAACAAAGAAACACATGAACCAGAATCAATTAGTGCAGTTACGCTCTTGCCTTCAACATTGAGGTCTAGGGTCGGGACGACAGATGATACAGCTTCGATTCGCGCCTCATCTGATGGCTCCTCGTGGACGACTGGGAGTTGTCCCACACCACCAGTCGTACTCAGTTTCCCGAGCGCCAAGGGTTGTGTGGGCAATCAACAGCAAAGTGGCCAGGTTGTCCACACCCAAAACAAATCGGCGGTTCATCGCGACCACCACGACCATACGCCCGTCCCCGTCCACGACCACGTCCACTGACACGAGACTGGCCATCGGGACTTGCTCCTGCAGTAACTGGTGTTTGCGGAGCGACAATTATTTCTAAACGGCCGAGTCTCTTTTCAAGATCTGACATTCTTGAATCAAACTTCTCAAGCACTTGGGCCAGTCGATCACGCTCTCCAGCGTCGTACGCACTTGCCTTGGCAACAGAAGCACGGGGTACAGCTGGTGATGGGCCAGGTGGCTGGCTGCGTAACGGCAACGCGGCGCAGGCCGAGCCATCGTAGTCACCAGTTACATGTACAGCCTGAGTGAAGTGAGACTCTACAGGCATCCGGCTCTGTTCCCTGGCGTAGATTGCCGAGACCTCAATTGCTTTTTGGACCGCCAATTCAATGCTTGCTGGTCGTGGCGACGACAGAGCCAGGCGCATATCTTTTGTTGGCTGACCATCGATGAAAATCTGCAGCAGCATCGATTCTAGTAACGGGCCCTGTTGGCCTGGATATGCTTTGGCAGCAAGGCGGCGGAGCTCCATGGCATATGCATACTGCGTTTCATGGGCGAGTTTCAGGCGCTGGCGTAAAGCCGCTTCGTGCATTTGGGCCTGCTGTGGTGGCTCCAGGCGACTGCGGAGCGCTTCAACGGCGTCATGAAACGAAACGTCTGCATCAGATAGGAGAATGGTCTCCAGCAGTTCATGGGACATGCCTACGAGTCTTGTGGGTAATAACAATAGTTTTTGTTCCTCACTGTACCCGTTCAGGTGGCATGCATCGTTAAAATGTTTGAGGTAGGCCGAAAAATCTTCATTTCCAGCACGACCAAATACTTCGGGTAACAGGATTGGTCTCGGTAAAGCTGAGGCACTGGCAGGCTTGTCATACATCTCGAATGACAATGGACTAGGTGACCGTGTCTGCTTTTTCGACTTGCCCATCTTGCGTTCGAGATCAAGTTCAAAACTTAAACAAAATTTAAAATTTAAAAAAAAATTCTACAAAAAAAACCCTGCAATGCAAACGTCACTCGCGGCCTACCCGCCGGCGCGGCCCGTACCGTGAATCCGTGATGTGTCAAGCTACGTAGTGCGTAGGTCTACCTAGCTAGCTAGCTACACAAGTACTGAAGTTAGTAGTAAGTACTGCATGTACAATCATGGAGTTACGTCATATTCAGGTGCATGCATGCACAATCTAGTACAGTAGTACTACAACAAGTACAAGACCAAGGCCAGGGCAGCTGTAAGTATGCACGCACACCCACGTCCACGTAGCTACGTACGTAGAACTATGTGCAAAAATAATTGTAGTGAAAATTCTAGCCCTTTTTACACCAAACAAAACTGTTACTCATGCACAGCGAACGATCGGTCAAGAAGTAAAGAATGGAAAACGAGACGAAGGATAGAATGACCAATACTAGTAAATTAGAACTTAGTCTGTGGGCTGGTCTCCCGAGTAGCTGGAACTGGTCTCAGACTCTCTGGAACTTGTCGACTCTGCAACTTGTCTCTCCTGCGGAGGCGTCTTCCCAGCCGAGGACAAAACCGACGACTATTTTTCCGCTGCCACCATTGTAACTCGTATACTCTCAGTCTCAGCACTCAAAGCACATACTTGTTGTTACGTAAGTAGTTATCAATATTCGTTCATTGTCTCACACAAGGAGAAGAAGAAGACCAGGCAGTGTGAGTATGCGCACAGCCTATCCATGCATTCCTACGGTGTACTATTTATGCGTATACAAATTACGTGTCATAAAGTAGCCATGCTACACCAGCCTTGTGCAGGTATGTTCCAGCCTTGTGCAGGTATGTGCTAGCCTTGTGCAGGTATGGTCCAGCCTTGTGCAGGTATGTTCCAGCCTTGTGCAGGTATGTTCCAGCCTTGTGCAGGTATGTTCCGGCACACTCTTGCCAGCCTTGTGCAGGTATGTTCCGGCACACTCTTGCATGTTATTACATAGATGAGTCTGTTGAGGCAAACTCGGCTGTTGTGATGTCAACGATTGTGCGTTTCGGTATGCCTTTACGCGCGTGTTTTTCTGCTGTATTGTTTTCCAGCATATCAATGTCCAAGTGTAGCTCCGATGCCTAACCCACCTATGCCCACAACAGTAAGAACAGTGCACACGTGATGACGTACTCAAAACTTTATGCCTATGAATGTGTCATGCAGGGTCATTGCTCACTGCTCACTGCTCACCTGCAGCCTTACTTATTATAATGCAGCCACTGCACGATTGTGTCATAATTGTTATGATGATGTGATTGTGATGTCATGATCTTAATTTCATTGCATGTTGGTAGTAATGGTTTAGAACTGTAGATGTCATGTTGGTATATGATGTGTTGTGCTGATGTTGTGTGCATGTAGTGTGAGACGCATTATAACATGACAGTTGAGGTGGCATGTCCGGATGAGCAACAACGAGAGTGCGGCTGCCAGTGCTATGGAGTCCGTGAGTTTTTGCATTTGTCTTTTGTGCATTTTATTTGTTTGTTTTTGTGTGCATGACTTGCTTGAGGCACTTCAGTATCTTCATTCCTATGCTGTGATGGATATGGATAGAGCGGTGGCTAATCGGCCATTGCACCTACACTTACATGTACCATCATTGTTAAAATAACCTGTTAGGCCCTCATCTACGGCACGAAACATCTGTGATCACGTTCATAGAACTTTCAAAGTTTTCTGTCCATCCAGTCACTCAGATAATTTTATGAGAAAAATTGCAAAAAATCTTTCAAAACCTAAGCCAATTTTGCATTTTTTGAAGTCTGGTGGAAATGGAAACAGAAATGGACTGTAACCATCTCTATAACGTTATATTATAGTTTATAGTAACCCATTCCTCATCTCCGTGGCACGGGGTGAAGTGGCCTTCTAAGTTCTGCCTACGCTTGTCATACGTGCTCTGTAAGCCGTTGGGGCTGGTTTGGGGAATGATTAGTAAATACTCGTATGTATCATTGGCCTTCCCAACATTGGGTTGATGTTCGTTTTCTAGCTATCCGGAAAAAACCCGCTAGTATACCTACCTGGGGTTGGTTACCTGCCTCTGGTTGGGAGAAGCAACGTGGATAAGGGAGAGCTCACGTACCTAATGGACGCCGCAACTAAACTCGGCATTGCTGTGTGCCGCTGTGCCATCAGTGACAACAACTCACATGCTACTTTGTTCACATGGTCCATTAGTAGAGACGTTTGTCCGAGTAAATAGAAACTATAAGTAGCTGATGGTTCTGTTGTTTGTCTTTTATCTTCTGTATATTTCACAGAGGAGGATATCACGGATTGTGATGTAAGTTTGTACCGTGTGTGCGTGCATTTCTCTACTCGCCTTGCTGAGTAATAGGGTGTGAGCTTATGAGCTGCTCAGAGCATTTGAAACACAATACTGTTTGACATCCTATGAGCTGCTCAGAGCATTTGAAACACAATACTGTTTGACATCCTAAGAGCTGCTCAGAGCATTTGAAACACAATACTGTTTGACATCCTATGAGCTGCTCAGAGCATTTGAAACACAATACTGTTTGACATCCTAAGAGCTGCTCAGAGCATTTGAAACACAATACTGTTTGACATCCTAAGAGCTGCTCAGAGCATTTGAAACACAATACTGTTTGACATCCTAAGAGCTGCTCAGAGCATTTGAAACACAATACTGTTTGACATCCTAAGAGCTGCTCAGAGCATTTGAAACACAATACTGTTTGACATCCTAAGAGCTGCTCAGAGCATTTGAAACACAATACTGTTTGACATCCTATGAGCTGCTCAGAGCATTTGAAACACAATACTGTTTGACATCCTAAGAGCTGCTCAGAGCATTTGAAACACAATACTGTTTGACATCCTAAGAGCTGCTCAGAGCATTTGAAACACAATACTGTTTGACATCCTAAGAGCTGCTCAGAGCATTTGAAACACAATACTGTTTGACATCCTAAGAGCTGCTCAGAGCATTTGAAACACAATACTGTTTGACATCCTATGAGCTGCTCAGAGCATTTGAAACACAATACTGTTTGACATCCTATGAGCTGCTCAGAGCATTTGAAACACAATACTGTTTGACATCCTATGAGCTGCTCAGAGCATTTGAAACACAATACTGTTTGACATCCTAAGAGCTGCTCAGAGCATTTGAAACACAATACTGTTTGACATCCTAAGAGCTGCTCAGAGCATTTGAAACACAATACTGTTTGACATCCTATGAGCTGCTCAGAGCATTTGAAACACAATACTGTTTGACATCCTATGAGCTGCTCAGAGCATTTGAAACACAATACTGTTTGACATCCTATGAGCTGCTCAGAGCATTTGAAACACAATACTGTTTGACATCCTAAGAGCTGCTCAGAGCATTTGAAACACAATACTGTTTGACATCCTAAGAGCTGCTCAGAGCATTTGAAACACAATACTGTTTGACATCCTATGAGCTGCTCAGAGCATTTGAAACACAATACTGTTTGACATCCTATGAGCTGCTCAGAGCATTTGAAACACAATACTGTTTGACATCCTATACACATTTAAATAGAAAAGTCTATTTGAACTAGCATTTGAACTAGCATTTGAACTAGCATTAGAAGTGAGTTGGTAAAAATGTGGCCTTAGGGTTGCTTTTGCGTGAATTTCTAACCTGCAATCAAATCTCGTTCAGCGTTCGAGTGCTGTGAGGAATGATCATGCACCCTAGTTTACCGTTCGCTAACATGGCTCCCCCGTTTAATAGAGTGATAGTCGACCAGTCAGACTGATGAGGGTATTGTGTTGCAAATGGTCAAATGATTCAGTGGCCTTTTTGTTTGGAGCCAGCCTATTTTCTTTTTGCGTTGTATTTTCATCTCTTGTTGTAAAACGTGTGTAATCGATACCCCGTTTCCTTTGCAGTGTCCCGATGCTGAATGGCACAGCATCACGTCTTGTCCAGTCGGATGGTGTCCAAGAAACGTGACCCTGGCTCTGACGTGCAAACATGAGGTCTTGTACAATTCCACAGTCAATACCAGCTGTCCCACTTGCCAGGTTAGTAAAGCAGCTGTTCAGCAGTACCCACACCATCACCTGTGGTGGCATGTGCATGCACGCTGCATGTAGCATGGCTATGCACGCTGCATGTAGCATGGCTATGCACGCGGCATGTAGCATGGCTATGCTGCATGTAGCATGGCTATGCACGCTGCATGTAGCATGGCTATGCACGTTGCATGTAGCATGGCTACGCTGCATGTAGCATGGCTATGCACGTTGCATGTAGCATGGCTACGCTGCATGCAGCATGGCTATGCACGTTGCATGTAGCATGGCTACGCTGCATGTAGCATGGCTGCTTTCCAAGTAGCGTACCACCGGTCAAACTGACCGTATTCACAACTTGTGGCGGTACAACAGTTATCATTTAGGGAATAGCATTGGCTGTTTTCCAGGCTGTAGGACAAATACGTGTATAGCAGAGAGGTGTTGCCACAGTGAGCTGGGAGAGGTGTTGCCACAGTGAGCTGGGAGAGGTGTTGCCACAGTGAGCTGGGAGAGGTGTAGGTCTCAGTACTAGTGACTGGATGGAAATCCCAATTTGGCTCCAAACATCTCCAATTGTAGGCCTACCCGGTTTCGTCTTACAGATTTGTCTTCTCTGCTTATGTGTTGTGTACAGAGTGATGAAGAAGTAGTAATCAAGGGTCATTGCGGCTATTGTAGATGTGAGTCATGCATGTACACTGATACTATCACTCAGTATGAGTGCAACGAGGGAAGCTATCACTATGCCATCACGAAATGCGGATTGAGCAATTATAAGGAATGAAACTTGGTCAAAGTAAATCCTCATTGCAATGCACATAACAGAACTGTAGACAAAGGCTGTGTTGTTGTTGCTCGAACTTTCATGCAAGTACAGTAAAGCCTGTAACTAAAGACCACCGTGACTAGCAACCAGCCTGGTACTACAGACCACTTCGCCAGGCACGGACGGTCTCACATTTGTATATGGTTGTGCGGTGCAAACCTCTAACTAAGGACCACCTGCCACTAAAGACCGCTTTCTCTGGCCCCAAGGGGTGGTGGTCGTTAGTCACAGGTTTTACTGTAGTGCAATTATCAGACAACATGGGAAACAATGATCCAATCATGCCACCCATTGTATTTGTGTACTGCATTAAAACTACTTTCTCTGCGATGCCTACTTGCTGTGTGTTTGGTAGTTTGGGTAGTTTGGGTAGTCTGGGTTGTCTGGGTAGTTTGGGTAGTTTGGGTAGTTTGGGTAGTTTGGGTAGTTTGGGTACGCTGATGCTGTTCTAGTACACTGACTGTACACACGTAACCGCAAACATTACGATGACAGTATTCCACATCTTCAACGTCTGTGATATATGTCATACTTTCTTGGATCAAACTCCATCGTCAGCTTCAAAAGCACGATCAGAATATTCTTCCTGGAACGCCCATGCCTGCAAACCTACTGCTGTTCAATGTTATTCAAGGTCTGTAGTTCAACTGTTCATTCTAATTTGTGTGTTTACATTGCGTGTTGACAGCACCACCACCACCACCAGCTTGCAATGTTGTAAGTGTCTTTCAATTCCAAATACTTATATTTGTTGTGTGTACCTGCAATCTTGCGTAGTCTTTGGGACCTAGTGTGCTTGTGAACGTCTTCGTGACCTGCATGTGTGTTTGTGAATGAGTGAGTGAGTGAGTGAGTGGGTGTTACGTCATATACTCATTGACGACGTCACTTGCCCCAATGATCTTCTTTACTGATTTGAACAAATAGCTATAGATGTAATTTCATGTGTGCATTGTGACTGTGCATTGTCTTGTAGATCCACATCTTCAATGAATCCAGCCTCACCTGGAGTACAGGTATTGTACAGGACTAGTGCCGTTATGTGTGACTACTTTGCCTGCCTGCGGACTGAGATTCAGCTTCAGATGCTTTTAAAGACTGCCTGTTCTCTAGGATAGCTGTCCTAGTTTACACCTGTCAATGTTCGTCCAGGAGTAGTTCAGTGTAACATTCTGTACTCGAGTACATGGAATTTGCACATCTAAAAGTCTGATGATGACGTATTATTATGCTGACTTGAATGCTCAGTGTACTGTGTGGTGTTGGCCTTCAGTGTACCTGACAATATTGCGCGTCCTGCTTTCTCTGCTCTGTGTGTGTATGTGTATGCATGTGTATGCATGTGTATGTGTTTGTGTCTATGGGTATGTGTATGTGTGTGTGTGTGTGTGTGTGTGTGTGTGTGTGTGTGTGTGTGTGTGTATGTGTGTGTGTATGGGTATGTGTATGTGTGTGTGTGTGTGTGTGTGTGTGTGTGTGTGTGTGTGTGTGTGTGTGTGTGTGTGTGTGTGTCAACTGATAACCAGTGAGCTGCCCCGTGTACTTGCAAAGTCTACAAGTCGTTCCAGGTACCATCAGCGATGGTATAAACAATGGATTTCCATACGGGTGCAATCCGTTTGAGATCTGCCCTCCCCCAGCGCCTGTATCACCACCGGTCAGTATACATGCCTGTGCAGGCATAGGCATGCATGGCTTAGACTCTCTTGTAGCAACCATAATACTGATGATGCTGCTGCCACTCCAGTGCCTATGCATATGTGTACCCTCGGCATGTGTTTCACAGTATCCTGAAGAGAAGGGAAAGAAACGTTTGATAGATGAAAGGAACTGTCTAATTGATTGTGTGGATTTGCGTCTTTGCATGCAAAGTTATAGGTTGCGAAACTAGTTTGACCGCCTCCAAGCTACCGCTTAAAATAGCTATGATCAAAAATTATACTCGCGCTCATGTCAAACAACAAGACAACAAAACAAGACAAGAAAACGTTCTGGAACTAAACCTTTCCTACTTTGTTGTTTGACATGAGCACGAGTTTAATTTTGTTCATTGCTATGATGTCATTATGATATGACTTTGTCACAAGTGTTATTCCATGACCTGATATTGTGTGTGTGTGTGTGCGCGCGCGCTTGCGTGCGTGCGTGTGTGTGTGTGTGTGTGTGTGTGTGTGTGTGCGTGTGTGCACACGTGCGTGCTTGTGTGTGTGTGTGTGTGTGTGTGTGTGTGTGTGTGTGTGTGTGTGTGTGTGCGTGCGTGTGTGTGTGTTTGCTGTGCAGTGTGCTAACTCTTCTGTGAACCTTGTTGAGACGCGGAAAGACTTTGCACCGTATCCATCATGCTGTGCCAGTGTCCGTGTTTGTGTCAATGGAGATTGCGACAGTAAGTGCTTACTGCTTAGTGCTGCCACTACAGAAGTAGTATTGGCGGAGTTCTCGGATACATTCTGATATCAAAGGATGAAAAATCATGTATATACGTAAGGGGTTGCAGATGGTAGGGTCACTTGACAAGGCTGACCTGTCCAAGTGCTCATACAAACGTTACCAAGCCAAAGAAATCCATGGAAGATCATCCCTCTGAGAGAGATATGCTCATTATATTTTATTTCATCCATTAGGGATCAAGCCGACCTGCATGTTATAAAATATCTACCCCTTGAATGCTCAACTTCATCGAATACGTGAACGTGTCACTTTAGGCGTGCATAGTCTCTCTGCATTTACATGGTGTTGTTGTGTTGTTCCTGCCTTGATTTCAGCACCTTGCTGCAAACCAGAGCCAAAGACCTGTGGTAATGTAAGTGCACTCTGTTGGGTATGTATGTGTGTGTGTGTGTGTGTGTGTGTGTGTGTGTGTGTGTGTGTGTGTGTGTGTGTGTGTGTGTGTGTGTGTGTGTGTGTGTGTGTGTGTGTGTGTGTGTGTGTGTGTGTGTGTGTGTGTGTGTGTGTGTGTGTGTGTGTGTGTGTGTGTGTGTGTGTGTGTGTGTGTGTGTGTGTGTGTGTGTGTGTGTGTGTGTGTGTGTGTGTGTGTGTGTGTGTGTGTGTGTGTGTGTGTGTGTGTGTGTGTGTGTGTGTGTGTGTGTGTGTGTGTGTGTGTGTGTGTGTGTGTGTGTGTGTGTGTGTGTGTGTGTGTGTGTGTGTGTGTGTGTGTGTGGGTGGGTGGGTGGGTGGGTGGGTGGGTGTGTGTGTGTGTGTGTGTGTGTGTGTGTGTGTGTGTGTGTGTGTGTGTGTGTGTGTGTGTGTGTGTGTGTGTGTGTGTGTGTGTGTGTGTGTGTGTGTGTGTGTGTGTGTGTGTGTGTGTGTGTGTGTGTGTGTGTGTGTGTGTGTGTGTGTGTGTGTGTGTGTGTGTGTGTGTGTGTGTGTGTGTGTGTGTGTGTGTGTGTGTGTGTGTGGTATTTATATGCAGTATAACACTGTTTGCTGGATGCATCCTATTCCTTATTCCTGGGGTATGTTTCACTGCACAATTCTAGTGTGCCTCCATGCCTCGGGTGACGTACTGGACTTGCGTGATTAAGTTCTATCTCTCTGTGTGCAATGTGTAATCCTCCATCCAGTGTACAAGGCCCGTTCTTGAAGGGGCCATGTGTCAAAGCCAATACGTGTGTGGTAAGTTGTAGTCCTACGGCAGCTACTCAGGCTTCAGAGTCACTCACTCTGTGAATCTTTACTAACTAGTTTAGTGACTCTGACCTAGTGTGCATTCCTCTGTTGTTCTATTACCCTGTTCTAGTACCCTGTTCTAGTACCCTGTCCTAGTACCCTGTTCTAGTACCCTGTTCTAGTACCCTGTCCTAGTACCCTGTTCTAGTACCCTGTTCTAGTACCCTGTTCTAGTACTCTGTTCTAGTACCCTGTTCTAGTACCTTGGAATGGCCTTTGCAATTAGCAATACAGTACTTGTGTTCTATGCAGTATGCTCACCATTCTCAATTAGTTTACTACATGTAGTCTAGAGCTGAGCCCATGACTGTAGTCTAGAGCTGAGCCCATGACTGTAGTCTAGAGCTGAGCCCATGACTGTGTACATGTAGTCTAGAGCTGAGAGCGAGTGACAGTGTGACAGTGTGTTAAGTTCTGTGCTTTTACATTGTGTCGCAACGTGTCTTGTTTGCTGTCATCACTTTCTTCTCCTGTGTAGAGCGTTACTGCAACACCACCAAGCCATACTGTGCTAGCTGCAATGCTTCGGTAAGGACGTACAACGTACTGACATTCAACTCTATTATTGTGACTTGTTTAGTTTCTAGCATTCAGGAAAACTGTGAAGCAGCCTTGCCTATTCCCATTTCTGTAAAGACGATTTGGTGTCTATGCTCTAATGCCAGATATAAGTCCAGTCGACTCTGAACAGTCTGGAGGAAGTATTACTCTTCTTTATTACTCTTCTTGTTTGGCAGGAGTGGGTTGCAGGGTGTACAATCTTTTGTAGGACTCCAACGGCGACAGCAAGCCTTTGTTGTTGAGTATATTATGTTTCTCCAACGGCGACAGCAAGCCTTTGTTGTTGAGTATATTAACACTGTTATGTTTCTCTGTCTGTGTACCTGTGTATGTGTGTGTGTGTGTGCCATTGTGTGTGTGTGTGTGTGTGTGTGTGTGTGTGTGTGTGTGTGTGTGTGTGTGTGTGTGTGTGTGTGTGTGCCATTGTGTGTGTGTGTGTGTGTGTGTGTGTGTGTGTGTGTGTATGTGTGTGTGTGTGTATGTGTGTGTGTGTGTGTGTGTGTACGTGTGTGTGTGTGTATGTGTGTGTGCCATTGTGTGTGTGTGTGTGTGTGTGCCATTGTGTGTGTGTGTGTGCCATTGTGTGTGTGTGTGTGTGTGTGTGTGTGTGTGTGTGTGTGTGTGTTTGCGTGTACAGTCCGATGTTCTCGTCAGCTCATTAGAAAGAGATGGTTGTGATTGCCCGATTGACAAGTGCAGTAAGTACATGTCATCTTGGCAACTCACTCATCAATGTGCCATACCTAGGTAGTTTTGTCTTGTCCCTTTTTGCCTGTAGTGCTTCCTACTCTGCAGTACAGACTCTACGGCAATGGGCAATGCTGTTAGGTGTTGCCTGTCTGTATGATGATCCTTGAACGAAGGTCAGAGTGCTCAGTGAGATTCTCCAGTGCAATCCAAGCATAGAACAAGAAACTAGGGTAGAGGCGGATTTTGTGTAGATCAAGAAGCTCCAGTAGAGACGAATTTTGCTTGAGAATGTTATATCACTGGACCTTGTGTATTGTCTGTCTGTCCCATGTGTGTATTGTCTGTCTGTCCCATGTGTGTATTGTCTGTCTGTCCCATGTGTGTATTGTCTGTCTGTCCCATGTGTGTATTGTCTGTCTGTCCCATGTGTGTATTGTCTGTCTGTCCCATGTGTTTATTGTATGCTGTGCGTGTACACGTGTGTGTCTCTCTGCTCAGTGTGCCAGTCCTGTACCTACAAACCAATCTGCTGCCCAGCGGTATGTACCGGTGACTGTAGCCAGTGTCAAAAATGATAGGCTTACAGAGTGTTGGTCAGTTCAAAGATGTGTTCTGTTCGATCATTTGTGATTAGTTTTTGCTTCGCCTTGTGTTTACTTGATTTAGAAGCGTCACGGTTATCCTAGTATGCATTTGATGGTGTGTCTAAGTCAGCATGTATATCTCGGTATCTTGGTGTGGTGTGTATGTTGCCTGCTCTACTCCTAGGGTCAAACACCAGTGAAGATAGACGTTGTGGACGATCCTGAGAACTGCAACTGTGAATGTGGTACCATGCAGTGTCAAGGTAGGGCCGACATGCTGGAAACAGCTGTGCTGTACTGGTGGTAGCTGATACAGCTTGGCCATTTGGTTTGCATATGAGTGTGTGCATGTGCCAGTAAGTGAAGGTGTCATCTTCAGGTGTTCAATGTCTTACACACCACGCTATGTTTTAAGCGTGTAGCAATCTAGGGAGTCTCTGCTGTTGGCTAGACGTTGGATGTGTTTTGGCACGTAGCTCAATGGGTTCACACCATACTGCCAATTTCCCCCGACAGGGTGCAGCACTCGGTTTTGCCGTCAATCGAAAAACGTCTCGATATCAGTGTGTATATAGTAGATGTCAATCGGGGGGCTGCAGAGTTCAGCCTGTACATGTAGATGCCATATGTATGCATTATACAGGATTGCTGTTGAGATTTACTTCATTGCATGTTACGAAAATCTTCCTCCAGATCCTAACCTGAGATGCAAACTCCACTTTCCACTAACTGAGCTACACTCGTGTTGTCTTCTAAAAGCCCTACAATGCCCGTGATCATCTTGACTACAGTGTGTTCTATCTTCCTAGCATTGTCTGTTTCCTGTTTGTTTGCCTCAGATAATTGTAATGCAACATACCAGGATCGTCTTGCTGCTGCCAAGGTTTGCAAGGTATGTACTGCTATTTACCAACTTATTTACCAACTAATGTCTACAGTAATCTACATTTGTATCTACTTCTTACATACATGGATTTGCATGATGGTGTGCAGATTTCTTTTATGTGAGTTTTGTATAATGATTAGCACAATCATGTTGCCAGTACAGGAGGACTCACCACTGCCTACATGCATGTCTAATCACGCTGATTCTGAACATTGCTGATGTTACCTTTGCAAATCCAGTAGATCACTGAAGAGTCTGTCATGCGATGCCTTTGTCTTTTATTTAATGCGCAGAATCAGACCAACTTTTCTCAATTGATGCAGATTTGTTCATCCAGTAATGAGTCATGTCCAGCTCTAGGTAGGCACCATCTGCTTTCTTCATTCACTCTGCCGTCTATTGGGATTCATCTTGCCATGATGTACATGGCTATGCATGCATGATGATAATGCATGGACTTGCCATGTGAAGCAACACCTGTAAAACCTCTCTCACATGCCAAAACACGCTGTCACTTTGGCTGCTTTGGGATTCCGGCATAGCAGCGCAGCGATCTAGCGTGATCAAATCAAATCGAATAAACAAGTCATCAGCCGTTCGAACACAACGGCTATATGTATATTTTGAGAGAGAGAACAGTTGATCAAGTAGAACATGTTGTAATTCAGATCTTCCAGGGGGGGGGGGAGGGGGGGGGGGTGCTCTTGCTCCCAGCAATGGCTGATAGCTAGCACTGGCAGAGAAGAGAAAGATGCACGAGATGCTTCATCAGTCATCTCTCTTGTTATAGGTAGAATGTTGTTTCAACCCGTCTGATGCCGCTCTAATCCTGTACACCATACTGGTTTCTGTGCTTGCAGGTTGTTCCAAGGATCTCTGTCCTCCGCTAACGTGTGTAAGTAATGTTGGATTGCTGTGTTGCTCCTTTGGAAACAAAATCTCGTTCTGCCCATCTTTGTTAGAAGTGATTGCTATGTAAGAAAGAGTAGCTGCGACACTTTCACTTCATTTCAGTTGAATCCTGTTGAGGCCAGCTTCTCAAGACTTGAAAACTAAACGCATCACTGGTAGATTTCATTGCGGTGGCTGAGAACAGCACTGTTCCTGTAGTGTATTCTGTAGTAGCGGAGTTGTCATTTCCAGCACACTGCATTGTATTTATGGTGAAGAGGTGGTTGTGTTTCCCCGCTGTTTAGCCTCCTTCCAAGGTTGCCCGTTTGAAGCGCACTGCAAGTGGTACCTTCTCTTCATCGGATTGCGATTGCTGTGATGAGTATGAGTGTGGTAAGTGCTACTGCTTACTCCTCACTCCTCACTCCTCACTCCTCGCTGCTGGCTTCTTGATACTTACTGCTTATTGCTTACTGATTTGTATCTGTTACTTTACTGTAAATAGTTTGCAGGCAACCTGCCTACACTCAAGAGAGCACTGCATTTCACACAATCCATTAGAAATATCGTTTCAACGTTTCGGTCTTTATGACCATCACCAGAAATGCAGTGCTCTCTTGTGTGTAGGCAGGTTGCCCGCAAACTATTCAAGTGCAATGAAGCTGGGTGAAGCGTCCTTCAAGATTTTGATACTGTACTGTGCTCTGGGTACATGCTGGATGATATGTTGCATATTGTAACTTGCAGTGAATATGCTCATAGGGCAGTACAGTGCCTATTAAACTTATCCGCCAGCCACATCCACTTGCCTGCATGTTCAGCGTGGTTGCTCACTGTGGTTGCTCAGTGTGGCTGCTGACTCTAAAGCTCAAGCTTGTAGACTACTCCATTGGCCATCACTGGGCGTTGCATGGGAGTATTGCTGTTGCTTTCTCTCATGTGGTATGTTGGCGTGTCTTCATGTGTTTCAGTTTGTGATTGTGAACAATGCTTGCCGGATCCTCAACTGGAATCCAACACTGTGAGTATTTGCATACACCATCTTGCTCCTGCAGTGCAGAATATGCCATCATCAGAAGCGAGATTAGTTTCAATGCATTCAGATACGATATAGAAATGGTTATGACGCTACAGGTGTACAGTGAATCAAGTTGTATTGTTGTAGGCTAAGAAACAGGATTGTGGCCAGTTTGAAATTGAAGAGGGGCACTTGGGAATGTGTGTGTTCATAGTCGGACTAGTCTAGTCTGTATTGCTCCACACGTAGAGCCCAGCATGATACTGGAGCTGTCTATCGCCATTTTCACTCACTGTTGCACTGAACCAGCACCGTGGTGATCTCTGCAGTGCGTACATGCATACATGCTATGCATGCAATGCACACTGCATCACAGGGACAACAGGGGTGTTGCAAAGACCGTGCGTTGTTCAGCGGAGCTTTTGATTTTGAAGATGGGAGGGGTAGGGGGTACACCACCCTGAGAAACAACTAGCTCGTGTCATACTAGTAGTCTAGCTCTGGCCATTAGGTTTCTGCATGCTCATGTGGCGCTTATTGTGTCCATGGTGTGTATTTGTTGACTTTTTCTGTTTTGATTAGTGTCAACAATTGATAACGAACTGGATTGGTAAATGTGAAAGTGACCAGGCACCAGGTGACGTGTGCTGTTCAAGGAGAGTTGTCAGTAAGTCAACCGGTCGTCTATAATACTGCTGTCATGTTTTGTGAATGTATTCCACTGATACGTACATGTCTTGCTCATGATGAGATTGCTGTGATAATTGTGTCCAGCAATATGACTATGTGCGTGTGTGTGTGTGTGTGTGTGTGTGTTTGTGTGTGTTTGCTGGACAATGCTTTCCTTGCTGTGTTCTTCTCTTGAGCGGCCTCCACATCTTCTGCTGTTTGTGTTTCTCTCTCTCTCTCTCTCTCTCTGCATAGGGAACCAAACATGCGATGATCTAGCCTGCTCAAATATGGTATACTGCGGCACTGTCTTTTTCTATTTACGCTAGTGTCAACCGACCATCTCCACTGTTTTTCCTTAGGGATGCACATTACGTGTATGTGTTAACACTTGCTAAAATGCACATGTTTCAAGTTGTATCATATGCAACAACATGGGAAAAAGTCCACATAAAAGTCCACATGCTAGCCATGTTGATCTATTTTAGTCAATTTTCAGCAGTCCCCAATACGTTCCAACATAGGACAATGTTTGTCGTCATCTCATGCAATCTATTTTCCCATTAGCTACATATATTATCCTGCGATTTTTCAAGGCGCCAAGTTACACAATGGTATTCAGATGTATGCAGATTCGCACAACACAGACTTGTTTGGCCGTTGCCCTAGTCATCGTAGTATAGATGTCAATCTCCAGACAGTTAGCTGTATTGATCTTGTTCCGCCTCATCAGCAGAGCTCAGGTGCGATCGCATTGAGGTCTAGAGAACAACAAATCATTTTAAACCAGTTCAAAGCATCAAAGCCAGGGTGCTCTAAGTACAAGAAACACAGCGAGGTGTTGGAAAGAGATTGTTACTAGTAGGTTGTGGTAATGATGGGGTTTCCCATAAATACTCACTTCAAAGTTCTTGGATTTTCCCCAAGGTTCCTTGCAATGGTATGTGATTGCATCAAACACAGTCCATTCATAGCATTACTTTGAAGTAGTAGAATAATACGCAATGTGTCTGTTGTCCTTTTTTGTCACAGAATGAGGTGTACATACCGGCAGACTATTCAAGTGACGAGTGTTGTCCGACATGCAGTGAGTGATACATACCAGCAGTCCAGTACCAAAGTACTGATCAATTCCAGCTAACGTAGCATGTTGTCTAACACACCTACATGCAGCACACATACACACATTGCTTGGAGTAGATTATAATCTGCATTACTGACTGCATTTGCATGTAAGTGCATGGGGTGGCTAGAGACAAACGCCTGCCGATGAAGACAATTGAAGGGAAACAGAGAGCCCAAGGAGGCTGCACTTCATATTTCGAAGTAGGCCAAGGAAAACAACATTTTTCGAAATGAGTTCTTTGGACAAGATCTCGGCAAAAGAATCCAACTCTTCTGAGTGAGTCCTAGTAGTAATAAATCAAACCATGCTTTCTCTCTAGCGGTGGGCTAGGATCTTATTTCTACTAGTCTGGAATGTGGAAAGCTGCAGCTGACGTTGTGGCACCTGTGTGGAATGAGTGGTATATTGGTGCTTCTACCAACTCCGCAACTTCCTCTTTTGGTGTTGATTGCCGATGGTTGTGCCTCTGTACTCATGGAAAGGCTAGCTGCTGCGAGTGTACTGATGCTTAGCTTGTGTATGACATTTTGTGCTGTGTATTCAGATTGTAACTGCAGCAGCTGTGAACCTGAACCGCCACTCACCTACCCGGCCGTAAGAAACACAACACTGCTGCTATCCACTGTTACGACCACTGGTGTTATCCATGGTCGTTTCTAACTTTCTATCATTGTTATCCATCGTGACGTGCACAAGTGTGTTGTCCATGGCCCTTGCTATGTGTTACTGACTGAATGGTTTTGGTGTGGTCTAGTGTGGTAGCATGTTCAGTGTTCCAGTGCGTGCTATCCCATGGTGACTGTGTGTAAACATGTCTATAGGTCGATTTAGCAATGATGATCTTGTAGTATGGTCTAGCTTAGAATTGAGTATCTGTGATGAGAAGATTGCGAGCAATTATTCAGTAACTCAGTTCACGGTATGACTTGTTCTCTGGTTGTATGACTTGTTCTCTGGTTGTGTGCCTTGCTGCAACAGTGTGAGTTCTGGGAGATCACACCAAGCCGCTGTACAGGCCAAGAAGATCAGCTTATTAGCAGAGGAGACGCCACTCGTGACTGCTGTGGAGACTATATCCGCAGTAAGTCTCCTTTTTCCCCTTTTTATTGTTCAAGTCCTTGTGCACTGGTTGTCTTAGTACAGACACACCGCCACTACAGTGCTAATGACAAGCATTCCCTTTCAACTAGGTCCAAATTTGGTTCTTTTCAAATGTAGGGGCTAATAGCTATAGCAATAGCAGAGACCATGATTTATAACATTGCTTCACGGGATAGGAATGATGTGCCAGGGACGCTGTTACTAGGTGATTCTCAGAAAGGTTCACCTTTTTTCTTTTTTCCCTGTACTGGATAAGCACTAGAATAACTATGTGATCTTTGCTGCCCTACTTTTCCCCCGCCATTGCTTTCATTAAAAGTATTCACAGTTTGTGTCAGACCAGCCATTCACACTGAGCTTCAGACCAGCCATTCACACTGAGCTTCTTGTCAGACCAGCCATTCACACTGAGCTTCTTTCAGACCCATTCAGACTGAGCTTCTTTCCCTGATGTTTACAATAATCTTTCCCAGAGCCTCGTGGCAGTACCTGGGTTTCACTCACATCATCTCTGGTTAGGAAAATGAACACCCATTTAGTGATGGAGGAAGTGAGACCATTGCAATATTGTGATCTTTATAAATATCCTGTTTTTCTTCCTTTCTTCAGGGGACAAAGAGCAATGCGAACCTCTTGGTGCCTGCGACCTACCTGTAAGTGTGTGTAATGGACTGGACTGCCTTGACTTGCCAGAAATGCACCAAGTACAGCTACATGTGCATGCACTGTGCTATCAAAGAGCCCATGTTTGCTTGACTTGGAATAGTTGCATCAAGTGAAAGTCTTGTTGTTATGTATGCCTTGAGTCTTAGTGTGCATGTTCACAATGACAATGCATACATCACTAGCTATATGTTTGGCTTTGGGCCAATCTCACTTTGTATCATCACCTTTACATGTGCACTGTTTACAGGGTCAAGTGATAGTACTAGCTGACAGAGCAAACGGACAATGCTGTGATACTTGCGGTAAGCAAAGCTGTCACTCTTTTCGAGAGAGGGTGGGGTGGGGTGGGGTGGGGGGGGGGGGGCACTCTTGACACATAGCATCTGGGCAGCATGTTTTGGCAAAAATGTGATCTTTGTGATGCCAGCCGTAGATGCACCTGTTCAGGCTGTTGTGATCGCGAAACGAAACCTTCCAATGTGCTCTCATTGGATGTAATGTAGCTGCGAGAACATCTACAAGACCACTACTACATCATCTCTGTGTACCTGCTGTATTTTGTATGTTTTGTGTGTACTGGTCTGTTTGTGTGGTGTATGTGTGGTGTATGTGTGTGCTGTGAGTGTGTATGTGTATCTGTGTACGTACATGTATGTGTGTTTGTCTGTGTGTTTGCGTTGTTGAATATAAGCACACACGCGCACACATCCTGCCATCTGACAGCCATGTCCCCGTTTTGAGGTTGATGTATGTACGTGTGTGCATGTGTGTGTATGCTCTGTACTTGTATATTGTGCTCTCCAGGATGCAACTGCTCATCTTGCCCGTCCTCTAAAATCTGTGGAGGCTTCGATGTGAGTCTCCATCTTCTTGCTCTGTATGGACTTACTGGTTGAAACAATACAAGCAGGGTCTCCGATATACCGTAGTGTCGTGTATTAAAGCCTGTTTCGTATAGAAGCCTATTTTGAATGCAAGCCTGATTTTCAAGATGCACTGGCGTCATGTAAGCCTGATTCTAGTGTTGCCATACATAGAAATACCTGATTCTAGTGTTGCCATACATAGAAATACCTGATTCTAGTGTTGCCATACATAGAAATACCTGATTCTAGTGTTGCCATACATAGAAATACCTGATTCTAGTGTTGCCATACATAGAAATACCTGATTCTAGTGTTGCCATACATAGAAATACCTGATTCTAGTGTTGCCATACATAGAAATACCTGGTTCAAGTAGAAGCCTAGCACTGACATTGGCTTCTACAGGAATGATCCTGGCATTAATACATGACATTACGGTATGTGTGCTCTCCAGTATAAGCACGGGTAGAGGGATGTTGAAACATATAAGCACAGCACTTGCTCCGTACATGTTCACAACACTCTCCAAGCGGTCTCTGGGTTACACCAATCACTAAAAGAAAAAGAGATAAATCATTCGGATTTTCCAGCAAGGTTCATCTTCAGCACTTGCTGACTTATGTTAAAAGTTTCGGTGGAAATAAGAATGATATGAACACAATGAATAGAGTGAGTTGTGCAGTCAGTATGACCACCATAAGAAAAACTACACGTCATGTAAAAACGTTTTCGAGGCCACTTCATCAGAAGGATTTACTGGCGAATCAAAATTGTGATGTTCTGCTCTACGTTACGGGAACGCGACGCAAAGAATCCCGGGAACACTCTTCGCGTTCCCGTAACATAAAGGAAACCTGTTCTGCTCTGCGTTCACGCGAAGAAATTTATGGAATGTATACTGGGAATTTCCCATTCCAAAATTGGCAGTTTTCTGCCTGATTTGAATGATACCCAGCAGATCCGTAGGCATTTTCTTTACGTGTGCCACAACATAGAGAACCTCATCTACGCGTAGAAATCTGGACCCAAAACACGTGAAGCCGTAGACTCTAACCCAGACACCCGTTCTCTACATGATTTCTCAATGTTTCACTTGTAGCAGAACCTCACTAATAGCTCATGTAAATACGCACACTGCAAAGTAGTAACTTAGACCTTATTCAGCATGAACAATGAGAGCTGAGAGAAATTATACCAATCAAATCATCAGGTGACAAAAATGAGATAAATTTACAGCCAGAAAGTAACCATGCAAACATGAGAGTGAGTAATAATAATAATAATAATGACAGTTCGCATATCACTCATTGCATGAGGTCAACGCATCTGTTGACAATTTCGAGCCAAGCAGCTCTATCAGAAGCAGATTGCACAGCATCCAGAAGCGACAGATTAATGAGAGTGAGTACTACTGATCTAAATTCACGAACAATTTCAGCGGGGACAAATTCTTCTTCTGCTTGCACAGGACCGGTGTAGTGGCAAAGATTGTAGATAGACTCCGATACTTACAAATGCATTTGACTATGTGAATGAGAACAAACGGAAAACGATCATCAGCATAATAGAACAATCATCACTAGTCTACATGAAATAATGGTTAGCTACAGCAGACTCCTCCACCCTAACAACACTACCCGGACCAGTACAGGGTTTGGAGTTGAGAGATTATGAAACCGACCTGTTGGTCCGTGAAACTCTTGCCATTTTTAAAAGAGGATGATCTTGATGACGATGCTAAAGACACTTAGGCTGATGACAATGGATGTTGCGATGATAATTCCGATGACGGTTTAGATAAGGACAAAGGATCTTGAGATCATGTTGATCATGACGGTGATGTCACTGCCGATGCTATTGATGGATCCACTGGCAATCTCGAAGCTACTTGTGATGTCATGATGAGGACGAAGACGATAGTAGCTCCGCTAATTTTCCCTGGAGCGAGTCACTGGTCCACTTGAGAGAACATCTGCTGGAGCGAGTCACTGGTCCACTTGAGAGAACATCTGCTGGAGCGAGTCACTGGTCCACTTGAGAGAACATCTGCTGGAGCGAGTCACTTGTCCACTTGATAGAACATCTGGCGTTTTTTTAGGTCGCTGACCACGCTTTCTGCCGACTGTGGTGGACGAGATCGATGAGGGTAATGAAGAAGTCAATGACACAGATGCCGAGGATACTGACCACGACAGAACAGTGAGTCCCATAACTGCATTACCCAGTCCACGCCATCCTCCAACGGAGATGGATGGGGACTGCCACCTGCTGTCATTGTGCCATTATCACCCTCCAACGGAGATGGACGGGGACTGCCACCTGCTGTCATTGTGCCATTATCACCATCCTCCAACGGAGATGGACGGGGACTGCCACCCGCTGTCATTGTGCCATTATCACCCTCCATCCAGGCATCGTAGAGCCCACGCAGCTTGCTTTTGAAGGGCATGTTCCAAAACACATCAGGAACTTGGATAAACTTTGTGCATCCTCTTGGAATACAGCAGCGTCGATTTTCAGCTTCTTTGGATGGTCCTTTGTGGGCTGATTGATATGGTACCGGAAGCTGTATCAAGTCAGCAGAAGTGGAACTGGGAAGACTCTGCCAGCGATGACCTTGTCGAGAAAGTCAACTGTAAATTGCCGGTTCATCCAGCTGGTGCCCTCAAACACCAAGCATGCCCGACTGCCCTCAAACACCAAGCATGCCCGACTGCCCTCAAACACCAAGCATGCCCAACTGCCAAACTTTGATACAAGAGCAGTAATAGGCCGCTTGCAGAGTATAAGGATGACCGGCTTGAGTTACATGCCGTCAGCCTTCCCACACAACAGGACAGTGAGTATAAGGATGAACGGCTTGAGTTACATGCCGTCAGCCTTCCCACACAACAGTACAGTGAGTATAAGGATGAACGGCTTGAGTTTCATGCCATCAGCCTTCCCACACTACAGGACAGTGAGTATAAGGATGAACGGCTTGAGTTTCATGCCGTCAGCCTTCCCACACAACAGGACAGTGAGTATAAGGATGAACGGCTTGAGTTTCATGCCATCAGCCTTCCCACACTACAGGACAGTGAGTATAAGGATGAACGGCTTGAGTTACATGCTGTCAGCCTTCCCACACAACAGGACAGACAGTGAGTATAAGGATGAACGGCTTGAGTTTCATGCCGTCAGCCTTCCCACACAACAGGACAGTGAGTATAAGGATGAACGGCTTGAGTTACATGCCGTCAGCCTTCCCACACAACAGGACAGTGAGTATAAGGATGAACGGCTTGAGTTCATGCCGTCAGCCTTCCCACACAACAGGACAGACAGTGAGTATAAGGATGAACGGCTTGAGTTTCATGCCGTCAGCCTTCCCACACAACAGGACAGTGAGTATAAGGATGAACGGCTTGAGTTACATGCCGTCAGCCTTCCCACACAACAGGACAGTGAGTATAAGGATGAACGGCTTGAGTTTCATGCCGTCAGCCTTCCCACACAACAGGACAGTGAGTATAAGGATGAACGGCTTGAGTTTCATGCCGTCAGCCTTCCCACACAACAGGACAGTGAGTATAAGGATGAACGGCTTGAGTTTCATGCCATCAGCCTTCCCACACAACAGGACAGTGAGTATAAGGATGAACGGCTTGAGTTACATGCCGTCAGCCTTCCCACACAACAGGACAGTGAGTATAAGGATGAACGGCTTGAGTTACATGCTGTCAGCCTTCCCACACAACAGGACAGTGAGTATAAGGATGAACGGCTTGAGTTACATGCCATCAGCCTTCCCATACAACAGGACAGTGAGTATAAGCATGAACGGCTTGAGTTACATGCCGTCAGCCTTCCCACACAACAGGACAGTGAGTATAAGGATGAACGGCTTGAGTTTCATGCCGTCAGCCTTCCCACACAACAGGACAGTGAGTATAAGGATGACAGCTTGAGTTACATGCCGTCAGCCTTCCCACACAACAGGACAGTGAGTATAAGGATGAACGGCTTGAGTTTCATGCCGTCAGCCTTCCCACACTACAGGACAGTGATGCACATATTGTCATGTCCTGTCGTTCGAACTGACACTTCCTTCGCTCCAGCAGTGGCAGGTGTTGAACCGGACATAGCGCCAAGCCAGACAGCTGTCTCATCGCATGCATAAATGCCACTGTCCTTGATGCTCTTGTTGGCGATGCACTTCTCCACAAACGAAACAAAGTCGACAATTTTCGAAATGTATTCTTGTGGTGGCTTCTGGCACGTTGTAGTTGTTCGACGCAGAATGATATGTTTCCTGGGCATGAAGTGGATGAGCCAGCCATCGGAGGCAACGAAATCATCAGCTTGGAACTCTGCATCGTCAACAAGGTCTTTGTAAATGGCCAATGCTTTCTTCTGCTGTCGCACCCGACTGACGCGCAGTTTTTTCTCTCTCTTCACCTTGAAAAACTCAGACAGCCGCTCCTCCAGTTCGGGAAGTTTTGTCTTCTAGCCACCGCCAGTTTTCCTAGACCGCTTGCCATTCAGCTCTTCAGTGCAGCGTCATCTTTCTGCCACGCACTGACATTCTTCTCTGCAACGTGGAGTTTCCGAGTAGCAACAGCATCTAGGCTGTAAGCACGGCTGTAAGCAACAGCTTTGAGTTTTACCTTTGCAGCAATATTGCTGCAGACATGGCCCATGCTGCCATAGTGCTGACCATAACGAGAGAGAAGAATGTATACTGGTCACTACCTGAAGAACACCAAGCCAAGGAACCAACACTAAATACACATATCTTCTTTGTTTTCTCTACTCTGTGTGTGGTTTAATCAGTGTGCTAAAACACCGTCCATTTCAAGGCATGGAACGTGCACTGGAGACGCGTCATCTGGTCTATGCTGTGCTGAGGAGACGTGCTGTGAGTTATAACCTTTGCTCACCATCAATTGGGGGTTGGGGGTTGGGGGTTCAAGGGGCTGGGGGTTGGGGGTTGGGGGTTCAAGGGGCTGGGGGTTGGGGGTTCAAGGGGCTGGGGGTTGGGGGTTGGGGGTTGGGGGTTCAAGGGGCTGGGGGTTGGGGCTTGGGGCTTGGGGGTTGGGGGTTGGGGGTTCAAGGGGCTATGACTACATACGTGAGAAGTGATGCATGCAATGTTCCGGGAAATACACGCAGGCTTCTTAGAAATATGAGAAGCCGGAATCTAATGAGTATCATCCTTAAACATGGCACGTGCTATTTTTATGCCAATGTTTCTTTGTAGTTACCCCTTGATGAACTAAGTTGAATTACATGTTAGAACGTGTTTGCTCTCCAAGTCTTGGCTTCTTGTTACATACGATTTTAGTGGAAGTTTGCCGTCTGTCTTTGTTCTCACTTGCAGCATGCCTGTATTTTGATTTCTTCGGTTTTGAGGAGTGTCAGGTAATTCAATGACATAATGCATCATAATTCAATGACATAATGCATCATAAGGTGTACTCAGTGGCCTCGTGTCATCATGGATGTGAAGTGAGCCAGACTGATGGCTGGTAGCAAGGGGTTAGGAACAACAGTGTACAGTCAGCCTTGAGAATAACCATCCTCGGTCGTCCCGGAGAAAAGTGTTGTTATTCACGAGTTGTCGTTATTCGTGAAGTTGAAAGTGTGCAGTCAAATGGTCACTAGGTCTGGAGATTGTGCCGTTACTCGCGAGTTGTTGTTTTACCCAATGTCGTTATTCACCAGGTTGACTATATTCGCCAGGTTGACTGTACTCGGTAGTGTTGCCTGGTACCAAGGGTCTATGGCATTGTAGTGATACATCATTGGTAGGGGACATGGTACTGTGTGAACTCTTTTCCTCGGTCCCATGCCTGTTTGTATAATCATGCAATGTGTGCCTGCAGGATACCATCCTGAGGACAGACAGTTGCGGTTGCACGGTACCAGGTTAGTCGAGATGTTTGTACTAGTGCTGAAACGAGTACTCTATAAGCTATCGAGCGAGTACTGTCACTATCGAGTCGAGTATCGAGTACTCTATAAGCACACATGCGCATATATTATGTCAGTACCACATACCCATTTTTTGCACACCATTTACGCAATTCGATATCCTTCAATAAACACAAATTTAAAAAAGCCACATGGACGACGGACGTGTACCATGGTGTACGTCGCTATCAAGTTTTTTTAGTTTTTTATTTTATTTATTCATTTATCGAGTATCGAGTCCTTTTTTGATATCGAGTCGAGTACTCAACGAGCGGGTACTCGAGTACTCGGCGTACTCGTTTCAGCACTAGTTTGTACTGTACTTGTGAGAATGGATATGTACATACCAAGCCAGGCGATTCTTTCACTCACCATCCATTATGATCTGTATTCGGTGTGCTTTACCGTGGATTCCCTATGGACTGCCTTCTACATGTTGCACCAGACTTGGTCATTGTTGACAGGAAGCAAGAGTGCAGCGTGCTCTGGTTGAATGTATCACTCTGAAATAGCCAAAGGGAGCAAGTTGGTGGTCATGATGCTGCATTTTGTTATCACCGTGGACCTTAAAACTTGGATTTGCAAAAAGTAGTACCGGTATGCTTCCTTTGTCTGTTGCTGGTGTGCTCTCTGCAACAATGACCATGCACTGTAGGCATCAGATACTGTGCTGCCTCTGTGTACTGTACTACTGCACTGGATTGTACAGTGCAGTACGGAGAGGCACAACGAGGTTGTACGGAGAGACAGTATCATGATACTCTCATGTGTTAATCGATGCCTAAATTGCTTTATGCTGTCCCTGTGTTTTTGTGCAGAGTGTGTGCTGCCCGGAGAAGTTGAAGAATGCTGTGTAAGTACAGTGTGACTCAGTCACTTACTGGTATCCTTGTTATCATCATCTTTGTTGCTGGCTGAATCTTGAAATGTGCTTTTATTCAATGTGAGTGAGCAGTTCTTGTATTCAATGTGAGTGAGCAGTTCTTGTATTCAATGTGAGTGAGCAGTTCTTGTATTCAATGTGAGTGAGCAGTTCTTGTATTCAATGTGAGTGAGCAGTTCTTGTATTCAATGTGAGTGAGCAGTTCTTGTATTCAATGTGAGTGAGCAGTTCTTGTATTCAATGTGAGTGAGCAGCTCTTGTATTCAATGTGAGTGAGCAGTTCTTGTAATCAATGTGAGTGAGCAGTTCTTGTATTCAATGTGAGTGAGCAGTTCTTGTATTCAATGTGAGTGAGCAGTTCTTGTATTCAATGTGAGTGAGCAGTTTTTGTATTCAATGTGAGTGAGCAGTTCTTGTATTCAATGTGAGTGAGCAGTTCTTGTATTCAATGTGAGTGAGCAGTTCTTGTAATCAATGTGAGTGAGCAGTTCTTGTATTCAATGTGAGTGAGCAGTTATTGTATTCAATGTGAGTGAGCAGTTCTTGTATTCAATGTGAGTGAGCAGTTCTTGTATTCAATGTGAGTGAGCAGTTCTTGTATTCAATGTGAGTGAGCAGTTCTTGTATTCAATGTGAGTGAGCAGTTCTTGTATTCAATGTGAGTGAGCAGTTCTTGTGTTCAATGTGAGTGAGCAGTTCTTGTGTTCAATGTGAGTGAGCAGTTCTCCGGTTTTGTGCCTGTGCCTGCAGTGTGGCTCACGTCGTGTCACGTCGCACGGTATTGGCCTACCTTGTCAGTGTCATGACACCTACTCAGACTGTGGTAAGTGCTACTGGAAGGGAGGAGAAGAAGGGGAGGGGTGAAGGGGGGGGGGAGGGGGACAGGTCATCCTGGTGGCATGTGTGATTTACTACTATTAAATGCCCAGTAGCCAATCCGATTTGCATTACTGGAAGTTTTTAGGGTAAAGAAACCATGCTGATAGCGGTGGTAAAGTCATGAAGTTGTTAGACTAGACACTAGGCATAGGGATGAAGAAGATTCAGTTGTATCTCAGAGAACCCTGTCAAATGTGATCCGCGGATAACAATAAAATCAATAAAAGAAAACGTGGGGTGTGAAGATCTTCGATTTGTGATAGATAATGCAGCAGTCACCAACCTCCTTTTAAAGCCTCATCTATTCTGTTGATGTGGCATGGTATGCTTTTCTTGACAGAATACAATTCAACATGCCCTGTCCCAATGGCGGACCATGTCACACAGTATGAACTAGATCTATACTGTCCACTGGTAAGTTGAGAGCTCTTAGAAAACATGCCATGCACACACAGAGTGGGAATTTCCCCTCCTCAGGGCTGAGTTAGATATGCATCATGGATATCTGAAGTGCTCTTCAATACACTCACCTGCTTCTACAGGGAATCACCTCTATCATTCTCCGCTCTCTGATTCACATTGCAGTATGCTCCGTCGTCACCATTTTACATGTAGTGCCGGCCTATTCATTGCTCAGTCAGGCACCAACAGATGTATGTGAAATTGGTACATGATTGTGGATAAGCGCAGATACACATAATACAGTACATGTGTATGTGTAAGAACACAGTCATGTGTGTGTGTAGAGCAACACAGGCATGTATGTGTAGAGCAATACATCATGTGTGTGTGTAGAGCAATACATCGTTTCTCATTGAAAGTGTAATTGATGGAAGCTTGCAGCAAGCATGACTACGACAAGAAGTTGAATGTTTAAACATTTGTGTCTACATGTCTTGCAACAGGGCTTTGTCGGTGTCAAGAGACCGGTGATGTCCTCTGTGATAAGTTGCCCTGCAGTTGCTTGTGAAGAGTGTGGGCATTGTGGTAAGCCAGGGGTAATGTGTATGCTATCATGGATAGAAGATACATAGTCAGTTGGTTCTCAGCTCTGAGCATGGTATCAATACTCACCTTGATTACAGCTCCAATGTTGATATGGCAAAGTATTAAAGTGGTATGCTTCTGGAGTGTAGCAAATCGGGATAGGACATATGGAATGGGGCTATTTGTGCTTCACACCTTTGTGATATTGATGCCAATGCCACTTTAATGCAGCAACCACTAGACGTTGGGTGAAACATGTACGGGGTACAGATTCATTTGTGTTCTGTGTGTGCTATCTTGGCGTTGTGCAGAATGTCCATCTAGCTGTGTTCAAGAATTCAGATGTCCATTTAACTGCACGGTAAGTTGCTACTGGTGAACACGTCACATTGTTTACTGTGCTAGCATTCATTGACATGACGTTTTAGCTCAGTGGTCTGACAAAGGCAAGTGGATACCTATGAAGGGGAGTCTCCTAAGGAATAAGAAGTGAGTGACGCGGGGTAGATGTCATGCAGGAAGACATATATGGCAGAAAAAAGAGCTATTTTAAGTCAAAACAAGCTGGAACGATCAATAGAGAATAAAAGCGAAGCTAAGTCTAAAAGTTGGTGCTGGTGATGGTGTTGGTGATGGTGTGTGATGTCGGTGTGTTGGTGTGTGATGGTGTGTGATGTCGGTGTGTTGGTGTGTGATGGTGTGTGATGTTGGTGTGATGGTGTGTTGGTGTGTGATGTTGGTGTGTTGATAAGGTGATGCCGTGATGGGTGAACTACAGACCCGGGTTTCGTTTTTCCTGCTATGGTGGGCAGTCACATGCTTTATGGGCTGCAGGGCCTCTTACATCCGCCGCAGGGTTGGGAACTTCTTGTCAGCGTTCTCCAGAATAGTCATTCATACTGAGTTCTTGTATGTCTACCTGCAGGGTTGTGAGACAATTACCAGCCGAGATCCTCAATCAGTTGGGATTACACTGCCACTTAGCCTCACTCCTTTTGATCCTGGATTCGCATGCTGTGCAAGTCAAAAGCGTAAGTGAACCAAATCCATCCTAGTGCCAGTGTTGGCTGTAATGTACTTCAAATAGGAAACTACTAGTTTCTCTGCTTGACCATGCTTGCTGTACACTTATTGTGATGACAGAATATTGAAACATGCATACATTGGTTTTGTGTGTATGTGTGTGCCTACGTGTGTACAGAATATTGAAACATGCATACATTGGTTTTATGTGTATGTGTGTGCCTACGTGTGTACAGAATATTGAAACATGCATACATTGGTTTTGTGTGTATGTGTGTGCCTACGTGTCTACAGAATATTGAAACATGCATACATTGGTTTTGTGTGTATGTGTGTGCCTACGTGTGTACAGAATATTCAAACATCCATTAGACATGTAATATATTGGTTTTGTGTGTGCACGTGTGCACACTTTGTAGCGGTAGTACGAGTACCTTCTCATCACCAGGGCTCATGACTTGCAATCCATGACATTTCAATCGACTTGGTTTCAATCACCAGCTGCAGATGTCTGCTGTGCTCTTCTGCCAATGTGTATGTTGGTCTCTGTGTGTCCTCTCATTGCAGAATGTAATCGTGATTTGTGTCCACCACCTCCAACTTGTCATCAGGTGAGTTCGAGTACAGGCAGGGGCGTCGGACACGGTACGGTCACTACGGTATTGACCGTACCACTTTATGCCCCAGGTACCCCATGAATCAGTAAAATACACTGATCTGGGATGTAAATTTCCAAAATTTTCTGCTCAGCCACCACTCCCCCAAGAGTAAATTGTACTTCAGATGGCTGATCGTACCAAAACTAAAATACCTTCCGACGCCCCTGACAGGATTGCATTTTCAATGTGCTGATTATGTTTTCAGGATGCAAATGTGGCGAGTCTTGTCTCCCTACCACGGAGATGAAAATGCTACCCTTGCTTGTGTTTTTTCTTGAGAGGCGGCATTAGGCATTGCACTGCTAGAGGCAGTATCATTTTTGTATCGTGGCAATAACAGCGATATTAAAAACCTGGCAACCACAAAGCTGCGCAAGCTCACCTGGTCACTTCTCTATGTGAGGCAAACCCAACCCCGGTGCTCACAGCTGGTGCAGGAGTGGAGTTGAAGGCTGCAGTTGATAATCTACCTGCATAGGGAAGGGGAAAGCTGTTATCGTGTGGCCTGGCAAAGAGAGTGTGAAACTTGAACTTCAGTTTCGAGACTCTTGCCTCAACGTTGTCCTGCGTCCCCTGTTCCACACCGGCCTTGTCAGCCCTGTGCTTCACTGGTCTTCTCAAGAAAAGAGAATATATTTAATTTTGTTTTGTTTGTTGTTCTTGTTCTGGTTACCTGCAGTGTAATGAGCTGCATACCACAGAACCCAGTGGGAATGTTGACACATGTGACTGCTGTCCAACATACCAATGTGTTCGTAAGTTTTATTGTTGAACTTTATCCATGACAATATTAGGGCTGCCACTTGTTTCGATTTTTCGGGAATATTCTGGATTTTATAGGTCGTTCCGACAAACCGACCGAAAATCTGCTTCGCTATTTCGATTGTTCACAAAAGTGCCCCGATCCCATGTTTCGGGCCCTTGAAATCCTAAAAAGTGATCTGGCCTCTAGATGGGGCACTGCCTCCCATTATTACCTCCCCCCCCCCCCCCCCCCCCTACCGAGGCCTGTTCAGATTTCTACTCACAGAAAAATGGCAGCCCTGTGACATTGGCTTTTGTTTCTTTGCCTGCATTGGTTGTTCCCTTGCTTTCATGGCAGGATTAGCTTAGAATTACGGTTCTCTTCCCACACATGATACCTGCCATCACTTTCTCCTCTCTCTCTCTCTCTTTCATTGCGCGAAATCGCGCATCTATGAGCGACATCCACATAAACTGCTGGGACCATGGTTGTGTACTCGAATCTCATTCTGAGCACCATTTTTTCTTCCTTTTTTCAGCCGTTTTTTTGCAAAAAGTCCTCGAGCTCGATTTTTTTGATCGATCGTTCTTCAAGGAAAGACGAGTGGACAATCGATCAACAGGGCCGAGGACGAATGCGTCTGGTTGGAGTTCTTGCGTGGCACAGGATGACCAGACACACATATAGATACATTGCGACGATCTAATCTGCACAGTGTTTCCTAATACCGCACGCACGACGGTAAGTACAATTCATGTGATTTCAAATTGTTTGTGATCTACAACGTCGCGAGCAGGACGGAAATACAGCAACAGCACGACAACCGTTATACCAGGCAGTAACCAACAGTCACCTCCGTCACATTCTCCAGATCAGAAGGCAAGTGAGGCAGTGAACATGAAGAAATAAAGTATGAAAGAATGAAAAGTGAATAATTCAAAAATCTCAGAAACGTTGAACGTAAAAAACACTGAGAACAAGAAAAGTGACTTACTTCGATGGCAAAAGACAAAGCGAATGTTCCTCGTATGGACCTGGCTCTTGCGGAATCAGCCACACTGTGGAACCATGTGTTTGATTCCACAAGGGATGGCTACCTGCTCCTCACCAACCAGCCTCCACGACGGTGGTAAAGTCGCCAAAAATACGAAAGTTGAACATTTTGTGCATGCATGCAATAGAAAATTTGTGCTGAGTATGTCGAGTGGCCATTCGCACAGGACAAAGCCGTTGCGCAAGCTGTGACCCTGAAATTTCGTCCATTGGTAGCGAGGGTAACCCTGAGCTGGAAAGTGTAAGGGATGGCATGCTACACTCCCCCGCATACGCTTGACAGCACAATTTGAGGCGTGGAGTAGTAATATACCAGTATCTTACTACCCCCTGATACCTGATGCATGGGCGTCGTCATCTTCATCCCGCAGATCGAAAATGTACAGGTGTCGCGTGATTTCGCGCAATGTCTTTCTCTGTCTCTCTGTCTCTCTCTCTCTCTCTCTCTCTCTCTCTCTCTCTCTCATATAGTGAGCTACTTGGGTTGTTGCTGTTCTCGTGTGGAGAACTATTCTTACCGTTGTTGTGGTTGTTTATGATTTGCTGCTTTGTCTGAACACTAGCTCGGGTTGTGAACTGCCCAGCTGTTCCCATTCCTGCTCCTCTTCCGGATGTCTCAGACGTAAGTGATGTTCTTCTGTGACTGCATGGATGGTGGCTTGGCACCCTGTCAGCTTTGCAACTCACGAGTACACTGACAAGATCTGCACATGTACTGTTGACAGAACAAGTTTATGCATCTCCATCACACTGTGTAACATATTAAAACGAAACTAAATCCTCCGTGATGTCCTCACTTGTTGTGATGAAGTCATGCACAATAGTCCATACCCACAATCATGCAGTCAGGCACGATAAGTTACACCCAGCATAAGATCAGTTCTATACGGGAAAGGGGGGGGGGGGGGGGGTAAATATTAATTCCGATCTTTGGCATGTCTTTCCTGGATATTGATTTCTGTCTTATTTGTTACTATGATCTCCCACTGTCTACTCACCTGAATGCGGATTGCCTATGTCTTGCCTTTGTGCACCTGGCTCAGTGTGGAAACTACACTGTTGATATTGTGACTTCTGGAGCTGAATGTATATCTTCCAACTTGACCAAGCTGCAAAGGGAATGTGCTGAATGTTCTTGTCTTGTTCAAGGTATGTACATGTACAAGTGGGATGTAATCAGAGATTGGAGCAGCTTTAGAGATGTGAAACATTCAAGAAGACAGTGCATTGGGAGAGGTTATCCCTTTGTGTTAGCTAGGACAGAAATTCATATCATGGTGCAAGTCACTAACAAAGTGTTGTCATTGACTTCAGGCCATACCCAGTGGGTTGTTGATTATATACCATTCATTAGCTCTTTATCAGAATGAGAGCATACAGGCGAGCATTATTGCATGGATGATTTCAATCAGCACTCTTATCAACTATTGCACTGCTCATATCAATGGCTTCTGAATGCTCAATCTGACCGTAGGACTAAAGGCTGTCCACATTCTTACTGACATTGCAAAACCCTGACTGCTGGACTGCTGCCCATGACATGTAATCCTATAGCAATCCTGTACCAATCCTGTACCAATCCTGTACCAATCACGACCACTTTTAATATGTTGTGTCTGTGTTTTCTCTTTGCTGTCTTTTGTTTGTGTGTATGTATGTTGACATGGCCTATGTGTATGTATGTTGACATGACCTATGTGTATGTATGTTGACATGACCTATGTGTATGTATGTTGACATGGCCTATGTGTATGTATGTTGATATGACCTGTGTGTATGTATGTTGACATGGCCTATGTGTATGTATGTTGACATGGCCTGTGTGTATGTATGTTGATATGACCTATGTGTATGTGTATGTATGTTGATATGGCTTGTGTGTGTATGTATGTTGACATGACCTGTGTGTATGTATGTTGACATGGCCTGTGTGTATGTATGTTGACATGGCCTGTATGTGTATGTATGTTGATTTGACCTGCAGAGACTGTGGTGGGAACATGCAATGTAAGGATAGGTCAAGATCACTAGTCTTCTTGACTGTCTGACTGAGTTGCTAAATTATTGAACATGATTGTGTGTGTGGGGGGGGGGGGGGGGGGGGTGCGTATCCGTGTGCGTGCGTGCAAGCGTGTGCGCAAGCGTGCATGTTTTTTCTATCTTGACAAGAGCACACATAGCCTACATGAGCACTGTACATTCTTGGTAACTGGTAACTTAATGCAAGAGGTTCACATCATAGTGTTCTGGGTAGTAAGTGGTGAGACACAGCTTTACTTTCTCAATTTTGAGCAATCACCATCCCCGATTTGTTTTGATAAATGAGACAATGAAGAGTACGAGTATCATTAGAATTGATCAGGAGGGTCGGTACCCTTTTGTAAAGAGCACCGACTACTTCCCACGCCTCAGAAACACAGCCCACTTTTAAATGTGTCACCACCTGTCGGTAACTCCTCACATCCTAAGAGGCTTTCGTATCCGGTATAGCAATGTATGTGTGTGCCTTCTTGCCGTATGGTTCCAGTTATGACGGTAGTGGGTGAGTGTATGTGTCTTTGTGTCTTTGTGTGGTGTTGTTGTTGTTGTGTGTTATACTAGTGCTCATCCCAGAACTGGACGACAGTGCCACTGTGCCCCGCTGACAGATGTTCACCGAATGTAACGGAGAACACGCTGTGTAATGGTCGAATGATATATCGTAGTCGGCCCAATGCAGACTGTGCACCGGATACATGTCCTGTAAGTTGTATTGCCAGTATTGGCTGTGCTGTTCCCCGTGTGTGTGTGTGTGTGCGTGCACGTGTGTGTGTGTGTGTGTGTGTGTGTGTGTGTGTGTGTGCACGTGTGTGTGTGGGGGGGGGGGTATGCGTATTGTGTGGGTATGTGTATGTGTGGGCATGTTATTTCAACAGCAGGTACTAGTGGTGATAGCTTACAATCTCCTGTATCAATCAATCTCCTGTATCATTGGACAAGTTCTTGGTATATTATGGGCAGGTAGACTGGACTAACATGGAAGGGAGTGCGAGTAACGTTAGACATATTTCACCACTGTGTGTTAGGATTGTCTTTTGAACCTTCTCTGTGACTAGATATTGAGCTGCGGCTTAGTTCTGTTTCAGTAATATGGTGTGTATACGGTATAGGTGTCTGTCTCTATCTAGCACTATCCCCGCTGATATCTCTGCTGGGTACCATTCACCCGCAGTGTGAAGTGCCTGTCTTTTCCTCAATCTGTTAGTGAACTGATGTATTTCATGGTTAGATTGGAATTCTTTCCTGACAGCGGGAATACCCACTGCCATGCTGCTCAGTGTAATCATCATGGCCTTGCTACGAGAATCCCTCTCTCCTGACCATACGGTGTGTGTGTGCCGTCTGTGTATGTGTCTGTGTGATGTGTGTGTGTGTGTGTGTGTGTGTGTTATAATGCTGCTGCTGTTGCCGACACAGGTTGACCAACCATTGGTCTGTGACTCCTATGGCTGCTGCTATTGTACACGTAAGTACAGCTGAGGTTGTTGTGCAAGTTCCATGGACACTAGTCCTGTCTACACACTAGCCCTGTCTACTCATCTTGTTCTCTGTGCCAGGACCTTTCTTGCATTAGTTCCACTGTGATTGTTGTATCAAAATTAGTGGGACAGTTGTCAGAATTGAGTTTTGGGTGCTTCTCTACACTGAACGTAGAAGGGGTGAGTCATCCTGCAGCTTCGTAAGTCAAAGAGAAGTGGTCAGCACACATGCTCTTTCCCTGGGCACTGCAAACTCACAACTCATTTCACAGAATCATTTTCCACGTTTCGGCAAATTGCCATATTGCATCCTGATGATGGCAATTTGCCGAAACATCGAAAATGATTCTGTGAAATGAGTTGTGAATTTGCAGTGCCCAGGGAAAGAGCATGTGTGCTTACCACGTCTCTTTGTCTACACTGGATAGCTATTCTAGCAGACTATTCTAGCACACATGTAGTTGACCGTGTTGAGGATTAAGCAAGGTAAGTGGATGAGCAAGGTAAGTGGATGAGCACGGTATGTGGATGAGCATGGTATGTGGATTTGTTGGTGGATATGTGAGTTGATGAGAGTGTTCACTGGTGCACATGAGTGGGTGGGTATGTTTGTTTGTGGTGACTGTCTCTAAACTCACTTCTCTCCCACCTATGCTTACAGCTCCACCACCGCCGCCGAGTTGTGGCATTGTAAGTCTGTGTGTTTGCCGACTGGTGATTTTCTTTTTTTCTTTTTTTCCTTGGTTACAGTGTAGTACCAGTATAGTAGCTGTTCAAAGAAATGTACTATGCAATGCAATGCATGCATAGATTATGCCATGTATGCATAACACATGCAAGGCACACATAGATATATGCCATGTATGCATAACATATGCAAGGCACACATAGATATGTGCCATGTATGCATAACATATGCAAGGCACACATAGGTATGCAATGCATGCTTAGATGAAAGATCATAAAGTTGTAAGCGGTTACGTCCAGTCGAATGAAATGGCCAGACGGGAAGTAAAACTGACAGATAAGCAGGCTTGTGGTGTGTGTATTCCTCCACATCTAGTAGCTGTCTCTTCTATCACATGATGTATCTACACTGCTTACTTCACGTATGCTGTTTTGGAATACTCAGAGCTATCTGTATTCTGGTAGGACTGTCTACATGTTGGAAACCCAGCCCAAGTTTTTTTTGTCAAAACAGTAGTACATGTACATGTAGGTCATTAGTATAAAGAGGAGTCAAATACTTGACTCGTTTTTGCTGTTCGTTTTTGGGAACTTCCTTCAAAGTGAAAACATCAGGGTGTGTAGAGTGCTCTGCCAAGGCAAGGAGATGGAGAGTAAAGTAGACAGAAGAACCTTGACTACCCGGTCACAGTGCTCAATACACGTACACGAGGGCGTGCAGAGCCTAGTACAAACGAAAATCCGGTGGAACGAAAAGAGTAAAGTACATAAATATGCATGAATGTGGTTGATTGTTGTTGAATGTGCATGCATATGCATCCATGGCTGTCTGAGCAAAGTTTGAGCTGTTGTTGTCTGTCACTTTGATGTGTGTTCTGCAGAAAGTGATATTCAACGTGGAGACAGGCGATTATGATGAGAGTAAGTAAGCCTAGGAGTAGGAGCTGCGATGGTGGCGTTGCTCTGCGCCTTTGACCTTTGCAGGGTGGTGGCGTTGCTCTGCGCCTTTGATCTTTGCAGGGTGGTGGCGTTGCTCTGCGCCTTTGATCTTTGCAGGGTGGTGGCGTTCCTCTGCGCCTTTGATCTTTGCAGGGTGGTGGCGTTCCTCTGCGCCTTTGATCTTTGCAGGGTGGTGGCGTTCCTCTGCGCCTTTGACCTTTGCAGGGTGGTGGCGTTGCTCTGCGCCTTTGACCTTTGCAGGGTGGTGGCGTTGCTCTGCGCCTTTGACCTTTGCAGGGTGGTGGCGTTCCTCTGCGCCTGTGATCTTTGCAGGGTGGTGGCGTTCCTCTGCGCCTTTGACCTTTGCAGGGTGGTGGCGTTCCTCTGCGCCTTTGATCTTTGCAGGGTGGTGGCGTTGCTCTGCGCCTTCGATCTTTGCAGGGTGGTGGCGTTCCTCTGCGCCTTTGATCTTTGCAGGGTGGTGGCGTTGCTCTGCGCCTTTGATCTTTGCAGGGTGGTGGCGTTGCTCTGCGCCTTTGACCTTTGCAGGGTGGTGGCGTTCCTCTGCGCCTGTGATCTTTGCAGGGTGGTGGCGTTCCTCTGCGCCTTTGACCTTTGCAGGGTGGTGGCGTTCCTCTGCGCCTTTGATCTTTGCAGGGTGGTGGCGTTGCTCTGCGCCTTCGATCTTTGCAGGGTGGTGGCGTTGCTCTGCGCCTTTGATCTTTGCAGGGTGGTGGCGTTCCTCTGCGCCTTTGATCTTTGCAGGGTGGTGGCGTTGCTCTGCGCCTTTGATCTTTGCAGGGTGGTGGCGTTGCTATGGATACTGGAAACTCAGTCTAACTCAGTGTCAAGCAAACTGTGAATCTTTTCAGTGAGCCTTTCCTTTTCACCTGTATTCCCAGTCGTGCAGTGGGTATGCTAGCAATATTGCTGTGAATACCTATGTACTAGTATGTATGTTTGATTGTTTGTGCTGTTCTTCCAAAGAACTAGAGAATATTCTGTGAGACCAAGGTTGCTGTGTTTCTGCGCCTTCCGAGAAACGTATCAACTTTTCATGAATGCCTGGCAGAGAGTGATGGCTCTTGGGGAGGAATGGCCTGTGTGTGTGAGGGGGGAGGAGGAATGGCCTGTGTGGATCTACGAGTATTATTTAAAATCTGTGTGTCTTCTTCCACCCACTATCTGTGTTCAGGGAGCTGTCTTCAGGAGCTTGTCGCTCAGGGAGCAGATATGCTGACCATATCCCGAGCTCAGAAGTGGGGTACTGATCCTGGCTGTGCAGTTTGTCCGGAACATCTCGCACCCACTACGCCAGCACCAGTGAGTCAGGACAATAATTATGATAAAAAATAAAAATAAATTCACAGTTCGCGTGAGACTCGCCTGATGTTAGTAGCTTTTAAATTCAGTTACCTTGCGTATCCATTTATTGGCATGCTGATTGCTAATAGACAGTTACTATTGATTGGTAGAATACAGTAGTGTGCGCTGGAAGCTATCACTAGCTGCTCTTCTGTTTCATTCAACTTAGTGCATGAATCAAAGAGTTGGTGGACAAGCCGTTGATTATTCACTCTCATTGTAATATCAAAAAGTATTCTTTCTAGACCAAAGAGTGGTATATTTGATAACATTTAATAACGATAGAAATTTTTACGATACTTCTCCAGACGTTTCGTTGTTCTGAACAACATCGTCAGTGGATAAAGAATGGAGGGCTTTGGGTGGTGGCACGGGTTAATAGGGAGTGATGGTGGTGAGATGAGGTGAGGTGAGAAGGTGAAGGTGGGAAATACATGTATCTAAGTTAATGGTGAAGGTTAGGTGCGGGTCGATACAGGTGGGAAGGGGGTACACCCTTCGGGTAGAAGTGTAGGTTGGTAGAAGGTGTTGGTGTGCGTAGAAGGTGGAGTGGCGTAATGGAAGTGTCAGATTGATAAATGTGGGAGAGAGTCTAGGTAGGGTGTGGATCAGCAATAGGTGTTGGTGTATGTGGTGGGTAGAATTGGCAAGAGGTGTGTGTGTGTGTGTGTGTGTGCGTGCGAAAAAGAGTAAGTAGTGAGTATTGCGATCAAAAATGATCGCAATAGAAGAAGAACACCCGCACCCGGTGCTCTCCCCCCCCCCCCCCCCCCAACACACTACACTACCAAAAAGCTTGCAAACTCACACGCATACACACACACACACACACACACACACACACACACACCTCTTTGTATATACTGCTGCTATTGCTGATATTATATATATCACTAGATGAATCACAACCTCCTGTTTTAGTCCCACCCACCACCTCAGAATATTCCTGCACCCCTTGCCTATAGCACACACCTTCTGTCACATATTCCTTCCACGCATACCAATACTCACTACTTACTCTTTTTCGCACGCACACACACACACACACACACACACACCTCTTGCCAATTCTACCCACCACATACACCAACACCTATTGCTGATCCACACCCTACCTAGACTCTCTCCCACATTTATCAATCCGACACTTCCATTACGCCACTCCACCTTCTACGCACACCAACACCTTCTACCAACCTACACTTCTACCCGAAGGGTGTACCCCCTTCCCACCTGTATCGACCCGCACCTAACCTTCACCATTAACTTAGATACATGTATTTCCCACCTTCACCTTCTCACCTCACCTCATCTCACCACCATCACTCCCTATTAACCCGTGCCACCACCCAAAGCCCTCCATTCTTTATCCACTGACGATGTTGTTCAGAACAACGAAACGTCTGGAGAAGTATCGTAAAAATTTCTATCGTTATTAAATGTTATCAAATATACCACTCTTTGGTCTAGAAAGAATACTTTTTGATATTAGTGCATGAATGCTACTATCTCTATTTCCACCAACGTCATTATAGTAAATGCCTTGTTGCTGACGTGTATGTCATGTGTCATGATCACAGCTTCACAGCAGTGCTACCCTTGTACATGTATTCCTAGCAGTTAGCTAGTACTCCACCATGGCTTACCAGCAAGTGAAAACTAGCCAGACTCTCTCTCACCATCTGAGAGAGTATTTGTGTTTGCTTGTGAATCAAGTCCTTTCGTATGCTACTGTCACGTGCATCTGACCTGTATACCTGATGTAATGATGTTGTTGCTTTGCCTTGTCCAGTGTGCTGACCTTGCAAGTGAAAATATCACCGTCGAAGCAGTGCCTGCCAGCACTTTATATCCAGACTGTTGCAGGAACTTGACATACTGCCAGCATGGAGATTGTGACGGTAATTTCCACCCTGTGTGTGTGTGTGTGGGGGGGGGGGGGGTGACGTGAAATGTGGCAGTGTTTTTCTCCTCTTGTTCCTTTTCAGTCGTTGTCACTGTCAGGTTGTTGCTACAGTACAGCAGTCGTCCGGGGGAGGGGGTATGCATTGGGGGAGTGTGGAGAACTGCCAATTCAATGTGAGGGTTGCACACATCGTTTCGCATTGCCAGGGGACTTGTCTCGTCACAAGTGTCATCATGATTGTGATGCTCAGTGGTAGATCTTCCCTTTCGGGGCGGCACTGGCAGCTGTATGCAAGGTGTGTGTGTGTGTGTGTGTGTGTGTGTGTGTGTGTGTGTGTGTGTATGTTTGTGTGTGTGTTTAATCACAGATCTAATTTGCTGCAATGTTCAAGAGCCCATTTGTGATGAGGTACGTATGCCGTTGACAAGTCTTCTGTACTCCATGAAAAGTATCAAATAAGCGTGAGCTGATACATGCACATTGTCTCGCCTCTTTTTCCTTTTCTTAACACTTGGTCTAGTTATGGATAAAAAGGAGAGGGACAAAAATGGTACGAGTTATGACTAACTGTCCACCAATGTAACCAGATCGTATACAGTCAGCGAGTGCGACAAAATGGCACAAAACTGACAAGGAGTACTGAGACATTCAACGACCTAACACCCAGCTCCAGCGCAGTTAGTCATAATTCGTACCGTATTTGTCCTTCTCCTTTTTATCCATAACTAAATTGGCTCACCATCCGAGTTCAACTTGTGATAGTTTCAGGATTTGGTCAAGCATCCTGATTTGAATGCACCAACTTGCCGACTTTGTTGCTGGCTGCATCTATTTTAGGTGTTTCTATAGAGGCAGGCAGGCACAGTGGGTTGGTCTAAGACCATGATTGAGAAACGAGAGGTAGCAGGTTCAAGTCCTGCTTGGAGGCGGAAGGATTTTTCCAACCGTGCTGCGACCCAAAGTTAATTGGAAACTCGTGGCCTGGCATGAGTAAAACATGGATGTGGCAAATGGGACTTAGGCCTTTGGCCTCTGGTTGGTGGATCTGATCTATCCTCCCCCACCGTTTAGGAGCCGCATCTGACGCCTGATCATGGGGTGGTGGCGTCCCACGGAAGCGGAAAGGTGATTCTTGACCAGGGAGTTGTACGACTCCTTGTTCTTGACCTGCCCGGTACGCGAACCCGTCGAATTATTATTGTTATTATCTATCTGTTGGTGTGGCAATGCCCCCCTCCCCCCTCCTCTTTCACTTTCTCTCTCTCCCCCCCCCCCCCTTCTCTCTCTTACTTTATTTCTCTCTCTCTGTTTCTGTGTTTGGGAATGGTTTCAGTGCGAGTACGTGGAGAGCTACACGGACTATCGTGGCTGTCCTGCTGCCCGCTGCAGTAAGTAGTACCGGTACCTGTGCTGTGCAATGTACCACAGACGTGTCTGGTGCATTGTTCATGATACAGCTTGCCACTAAGTCCAATCCTGATTCTTTGTTCTACATGTATTTGTATTTCTGAACTTTCGACATTCGTAAAAATAAATGTTGAAACCCAGGAACCCTGTTAGGCGGTTCACATTTCACAGCAGTGTTGTGTAAAGACAGCACTTGGTTGGGTTGGCATAGTTCTACAGAATCATCTACACCATCTATCAGATATGCATCCAGCCTAGTCCCTGCGGTTACTCTTAATGTTTTATTTTCTTCCTCTTGTGTTTGTGTTCCTCATACAGCCAAGCGCACTTGCCCTGCAGATAATGCATCATGCACGCAGTGCCCAGCAGTAAGATCATTGTGTAGTCACCTGACTGATCCTGTTCTTGTTGTTTTGCTGCTAAAAATCTGCAGAGTCACGGCAAGGGATGTGGCAGTTATCTAGGGGTGGGGATACCAAAAGCCCTGTAGCTGCCCATTTTTGTCTTCTTTTTGTAGTGGTAGTGGAAGTCTTTACGCTAGCCCAATGACCATCCTGTTGTTGCAGTTCAACTACGGATACATTTTCCTAGAGATGTGTACTTTGTGGAGATAACTAGCTATTGTAACGTCAGATATGCCGCTAAGGTAAAAAAAATGGGTGACAGGGAACTTTGTTTGCTGAGATATAGACAATACAAACATGTACAACCCAAAAGTACTTGCCTTTTTTGCATATTTGAAGCATTTCAACACACAAAGAAGGATTCAGACTTCAGGGGGATGGATTTGGTGCGTTTATCGCTGTTTAGATGTTTGGTGGGAGTGTTGAGATAAAGTGTGAGATGCGCCCTTGACGGCTGTGTCCATGTAGCAAAGAAAATTCAATGGTCCCCGTTTGTCTCTCTCTCTCTCTATCTCTCTCTTTCTCTCTCTCTCTCACTCTCACTCTCTCTCTCTCTCTCTCTCTCTCTCTCTCTCTCTCTCTCACACACACACACACACACACACACACACACACACACACACACACACACACACACACACACACACACACACACACACCATGTACAATTCATTGCTGTTTCTGACTTTCCCCATCAGCTTCATGTAATGGGTTGTTGGTTTGATGTCCCTGTGTGCCTGTGTCTAGGGCATAGTTCTACTCAAGACCACTACTGACTCTTGCGGTTGTCCAACTACTACTTGTAGTAAGTTATGTTGCTTAGAAGAGTATCCAGCATGACGGTGACGTCTTTCATCTCACTCGTACAACCAGCTCAGCTCCATTGTCCTTAACCTTGCAGAAGTAGAAAAGGCATTGTGAGTGCAATGTGGTTGCGGTGAAGGGTAATGGTGTAGAGTAGAAAAGAAGGGAAAGGAGAAAGAAAGAGCTGGACTTCGCAGAGATTCCAAACTGAGCACTTTGTTCGGTGTTAAAGTAGCAATGTTTGTTTGGTGATGTAGATTGCCCTTCATTATACATGTACTTGTAGTCTTCCTTCTTTGCCTCACTTTTTTCTCTGTGTGTTCCTTTTCCATGTCTCCAGTGTGTCCTCCGTGCCCACCGACCAACACAACCTGCTGCCCTGCTGTAAGTTGCTCCACTTCACAGTATGACTGTGTGTTACACTATTGCTACTACTACTGGGGTGGCAAATCATGTGCCATCCCTGGGTCCCTGGGTGTGTTTGTGGACGAGTGGTGCGGAGCCGGAGCGAATCGTAGCCAGTATTCTGTATACCCCTGGCATGGCTGCAAAGCGTGAAGATCACATTGATGGCATTCACCTTCTGATCACATTGATGGCATTCACGTTCTGATCACATTGATGGCTTTCACCTTCTGATCACATTGATGGCATTCACCTTCTGATCACATTGATGGCATTCACCTTCTGATCACATTGATGGCATTCACCTTCTGATCACATTGATGGCATTCACCTTCTGATCACATTGATGGCATTCACCTTCTGATCACATTGATGGCATTCACCTTCTGATCACATTGATGGCATTCACCTTCTGATCACATTGATGGCATTCACCTTCTGATCACATTGATGGCATTCACCTTCTGATCACATTGATGGCATTCACCTTCTGATCACATTGATGGCATTCACCTTCTGATCTTGTGTGTATACGAGTACCACCCTAGTTAGGTGTGTACCGTTGTACTGTGCTAAACCTCTCCATTGTTTCTGGTTTAACTGCAAGATACGGCATGTGCGCAGTACAGCAGTTTGTAGATATGCATGCTTGCGCTGTGCATGCATTGAGGTTGGTGTGGTCGCGTGCTGTGTTGATGCAGTGCGGGCGCACCGCTCTCTAGGGGTCTGATTGGATTCGCCACAACTGTACATGTACCTCACGATACAGAATGTATCTACGGAGAGCAAACTGTCACTTGTATTCTTGCTTGATTCCGATAGTCTGAACTGTGGCTGACATAGCGGTATTGTCATTCTAACTTGAGAGAACTTCTATCAGTCCTTGCGATATTTGACTGTAGTCCAGCCAGCTTATCATGTACATGTATGCAATGTATACTGTGTCAATTCTCCACAGGGTCAACAGCCGATAGTTCCACGCAACTCCAGACCAGATGAATGTACATGCATATGTCAGGATACTAAGTGCCAAAATAGTAAGTGCACTGTGTGCATTCCTGTGTGCATTCCTGCGGACTGTGCTCGGTAAATTGCTGAATTATGCTTTCTATTTATGCCCAAATTATGCCAGTGATTATGCTACACTATGCTGGAATTATGCCACTGATGGTGCTATACTGTACCCTTGCACTCTTGTTGCACTTTGCAACGTTACAAAGACTCTGACACCATGATAGCACGGCTTATAATGGGTAACATTCACCAGGTTATTTCCTGTAACATGCCTACAGTGAAATATGCCTGGAGCATCGTAAGGTGATGCCGACCGTCTGGTCTCAGAAGTCCTTTTATGTCAAGGCATAATTTTTAGACAACATCCGAAGAGAATGCCAGAAACTATGCCAGCATAATCCGCCAAGGGCTATTCCTGTGTGAATCCTGTGTGAATTCCTGCTGTATGTTTGGGTACTGATGGTTCATAGTCCATGGTTCATAGTCCTAAGTCCATGATCCATAGTCTATGGTCCATAGTCCATGGTTCATAGTTCATAGTTCATAGTCTATAGTCCATAATCCACGGGTCCATGGTGCTGTAGTCCATTTTGAAATACATGTAGTAGGCTCTCAATCCTTTTGACTTTGTTGACTGAGTGCCTGTCCAATATATTTGGGGGTTTCTTTGAATGTTCTTATCTTTGTTTCACACCGTGGTGACTTTTGTCAGATCTGCTACTGAAGTAGATTTGCTTATGGGCTGAAATTCAGGGCTCTCGGCTCTCTTTTCTTCAATCTCTTGTGAGAAAGTAAATTTTCCATTGCTAGCACAATTTTCCCTGTGCTGGGTTGATTTAGTCCACAAATGAAGAAACAGTACTCCCCTCCGCTAATTGAGTAAGATTGTGCAGCGTATTGTTGCACTGAAAGTAATTCCAGAAGCAGCTTTATGACATGTCCACATGATATATCACTATGGTAGTAGCCAATCATTATGCAATGGCAGGGCACGTTTGCCATGTCCTTTGCCCTGAAAAGCGCTGGGCGGGCAGATTATTCGTGCTATCTACCCGCTTTTTCTTTACGGAATAAGCACTCGCCTGTCTTCGACTGCTTTTGGGCAGAGCGAGGAAACCTCCTAAGAACAATGAATCCCAGTCGTTTGCAGTCAACATATGGCGTGATTGGCTACCTCCATAGGTTTCCTAATATGACCGATGAGGAGCACAGAAGAGCTAAGAATGCTATTCGTTTTGTGTGCTGGGTGCATGTCAGGCATAATTGCAATCAAAACATTAAATTTTGTTCTCATTGGGCGTGTGTTCACACTGGTCTTTCCCTCGTACTCGTGATTCATTCCATTCTTAGAAGCCGCTGGTGAGACATTTGCGCTCGTTTTTGTGCTGCTCGCAGGTTCGTGTGGTCCAGATCATACCAGAATGCTTCAAGATGCCAAAGCGTGCTCCGTATGTATACTCCACATAATTTAGTGAAAATTGCTGTTCTCCTATATTATTGCAGTGATCTGGACAACATCTATTACTTGACGTTGTTTATCGTTTCATGTGTTGTAAATGGCAAAGTGCAGTACAACGTTGTTTGTACATAGTCCAGCATTACTCAAGCTGTGAACACTCCATTGTAGCCATCCAGTACATGTATATCCGTACATCCTCATAACACTCGCACCGGCCTCCGGGCTAAAACAATTGATTTAGATTATTGTATTATTCGAATTTTCGAGCAAGGCCCATCTTTAGGAACAACATGAGGGCGATGGAATGTCACTGTTTGTATTGACTGCCTTTTTGTTTCCTTGTGCAGGATCAAACAGACGTTCTTCAGATGCCACCTGTCTGCTCTCTTCAGGATGAGGCATGCACTCTACCAAGTATGAGAGTACACTGTCTCTTCCTGTTCCATGTATTGTCTTGCACTATGTCCTACACTACCAATAGCATGTCCTTGAAATCAGTATACATGTACCGGTTAGCTGTAGCCAACCTGCCATCCTAACTAATATAGCTGTTGTTGACCTATCCTTTTGCATACATGTTAGTGCACTCTCCCATGGCCGTAAGATAGCTGGAAGCACTGTGTCTGTATCTGTGCATAACTATGGCAGTCATGATTGATGTTACGACGGTCTGCAAACAGCAGACATAGTGTTGTGATGAACGTATCATGGATATGGATCACAAAGATGTACTTCTGTAGTAGTCATTGCTACATCACTACTTTGCTACATCACTACTTTGCTACATCACTACTTTGCTACATCACTACTTTTGCTACATCACGACAATGCGAATATCTGCTTCAAAGAAGTGCAGCATAGGACTGATGACTGAGCCTCATCTTACCATGTGTCTCACTTCAATACACTTTGTGGAGTACAGTCAATTCCTGGTGATGCAATACAAGTTATACAACCTTCACTATCTTTATCACACCCCTAGTACGTACCCTGTGCACCCGGTGTACCCGGTGTACTCGGTGTACCCTGTGTTACATTCTGCAACGCCCTAGTTCTGAGACCTGTTTAAGATAGTTAAAGCATGACCTGCCACCGGGGGAAACCTGTATCCAGGAATTAGTTACAACACATGACTAATCGCTTTCTTTTTTTAATCTTTTGTTTGTGCTAGGATGTCAATGTCCTCCACCAGCAAGCTGTGTAAGTGATCAACATGTTTTTAACACAAGCACAAGGTCCAGGACATATATATAGAAACGTGAACTACAACTACAGTCAGACCTGGCTTATCCGGTCTTCTTTTATCCGGATCCCTCGCCATCCGGAAGAAAATAGCTGGTTACAGATTTACAGCATACGTGGTGCATCCAACATAACCAGTGTTCGGTTATCCGGTTCCCTCGCCTATCCGGATATTTTTTCGAAAACGGAGTGTGCGCTTAAGCGAGGTCTGACTGTACTGTATTGTAATGTCATCCCGTACACATTTTCTGGATGAAACGGGTACTTTCAAGAGACTGTTAGTGCTTTGCAGATTCGTAAAACAGTGCTACACCCATTTCCCCTCCTACACGTTTGTACACACTTCATCCATTGCGCACCCAGTCTGTTTTGAAATATCTGGTAGAAGGTGAACTGCTCCTGCAATTTGAAGCTCTGATAAAGATGTGCTACTGTCTCCATGTCCTGCAACCTCATCAGTTCTAGTGGTGGTAGTGGTGGTAGTGGTGGTAGTGGAGGTAGTGGAGGTAGTGGAGGTAGTGGTGGTAGTGGTGGTAGTGGTGGTAGTGGTGGTAGTGGTGGTAGTGGAGGTGCTCGCATGCATTCTTGGTATACTGTGTGTGTAGGCACGGTCAGAGTGCAGGAGGTGGGCTTCCATTTACCATTGGCTTCTGGAAATTACTAGTTTGTGTTGCTTGTTCGTACTTTTGCTAACTACTGATGTTCTCGCTGCTGCTGCTATTGCTGCTGCTGCTGCTGCTGCTGCTGTTGTTTCTGCTGCTGTTGTTGCTGTGTCCCTGGGTAATGTTGTGCACCTATAGCCGTCCCCGTTGGAGCGTGTTGTGAAGCGTATTGCCAACCATACCTACTCTCCTTCATGTGACTGCTGTGATGAGTATGAATGTGGTACGTACAGTCTCCGATTGTTTGTGCATTGTTATCATGAGAGAGAGTATGCCAGTCTGGATTTCTTGTTGGCGACGTCTTCTGCTGCCAAGCAAACAAAGTAACGCAGCAAAATTCTTCTGCACACACTCTGTAGCTTGCAATAGCCTGGGGTATTTTCACCAGTATACGTACAGTGTAACTTTATGCGTCCAGTGAAATCCACCCAGTGATCTAAGGCCTAGTGTTGAAACGAGCGTATCTATAACAAACGAGCGATCAGTTCCACTAACGAGCAAGCTATCGAGCAAGCTAACAAGTTTCATTGATGTGGCAAATATGATTTTTGAATATATTTTTTCTAAGTTCGATTTTTTTCAGCTGGTTCAAATTATCACCGCCGGCATTTGGGGTTGCTGCTGCTTCACTTCGGACTGCTGTTTGGTGTCGAGATGTATTTCAGCGCCGTCGTTGAGTAGCCTTTGTAAAGTTTGTAAGAATAGACTGTTTTGCAAAGATTGCAAGTAGCCCTGTTCTTCGCTGCATCGCGAGAGAAAACTTCCGAATGACTGAGCGTAACTTTCACTCGAATGGAGAAGTGACCGAAGCATATCCTGCGACAAGTCAGCAGATGCGGAACAAGACATCAGTAGAGTCCACCAAAGCTGCAACGACAACTGAAACAACTCAAGTGTCGTGCAGGCATCTGCGAGTGATTTTCACTTTGCGTGGGACTGGACTCTCGATCGACCAGGGAGTCGTAAAATATTTTTTCGACTCCCCGCGGGCCCGGTCGACATGTACTGCCATGTGTGCAGAGTACGGTGTACGGTGTTCGTTAGTGCAAACGAGCTGGCCGCACAAACGAGCCGAGTTTCTGGCGAGCGAGCTAACGAGTACCCGGTGAGATCGTTTCAACACTAATCTAAGCCCTAGATAAACGTCTATGGTACAGTTGTTAGGTGCACAGGGTTGTTATGGCAACCATACCTGCTTTGCGTATGTTCAGTTTGTTTGTCACTGAGTCACTCACCTTCTTACTCAGTGTCTATAACATGCTCATGCAATCTGTTGTCTGTCTATCTCTCTCTGTCTATCCCTTATCATTTCCTTTGATAATATTGTGCTCCAAACCTCCATTGTCTTAATTTTGAGCACTGGGAATTACACAGTTCTGGAAGCTCCACAAGGAGACAAATTAATAAATCGATTAACCTCCAAGAAGGGCATGTGGTGGGTAGTGCGCAATTCACAGTCTGGCCGCCATTTCTTGTGCCATTTTATTTATTTTCAACTCTGTGTGTGTGTTTGTGTATTGCAGTGTGCCCAGCTCAACCATCCTGCGCACCACCAAAAGAAGCGCAGTGTTCTGTAAGATTTCAGCATTGTGTTTAGAACCACCAAAGCCTTCAGCCTTCAGTCTCTAATTGCCTGTAAACATGCTGGGCTTGTGTTTCTGTCCAAACCTGGCTGGTTCACAGTGCGGACACCACTGCAGCTATAGCTATATTAGGAACTATAGCTCTTCATGACAGTGTAGTATTTCGTCAACTGCCGATGGTCGGCTGTCCACTGTCTGCTGCCCTCCGTCCTCTTTGTGTTACTGTGTTGTTGTTGCTAGTCGTAATATGATAGATCTAGAGTGTATTGGAAGCGGAAAAAGCTGAATTCGTCATGTTAAAGTTCTCTTGCTGGGTGTCTTGTACGATGTTTTGTGAATTTATGCTGTTCACCTTGCTCTTTTTCACAGTGCAATTATGAGCCTCATCTTGTGCTTGAGGACTGTTGCTACGTCACAAAGTGCAGTAAGTGTGGTCTACCATGCCCTATACACACACACACACACAGTTAGGTGTACGTGTGAACTTTCCTAACAGACGGGACCCCTAGACTAGATGCCCTAGTCCATACGGCATGCATGCTCTTGTCCCTAGTCCATACGGCATGCATGCTCTTGTCCCTAGTCCATACGGCATGCATGCTCTTGTCCCTAGTCCATACGGCATGCATGCTCTTGTCCCTAGTCCATACGGCATGCATGCTCTTGTCCCTAGTCCATACGGCATGCATGCTCTTGTCCCTAGTCCATACGGCATGCATGCTCTTGTCCCTAGTCCACTACAACTACATGTACATGTGCTGGTTATGTTTGACGATGACAGCATGTTACAAGGGGGAGGATACACGGTGTTGTGAACAGTGATCCTGACTGCAATCTTAACCGGTCTTGCGCTCAACTACTAGTCATGTAAAATGACAGGCGGGCGTAGGCAGGCATAGGCAGGCATAGTGTGATGTTGTAAGATCATGACTGAAACATAGGTTACTGGGTTCAAGTCCTGCTTGGTAGCGGAAGAATGCTTCCAGCCATGTTGCGACAAGTTGACTTTGTCTTCCCTCAAATTTATTTTGAGATGTCATTTAGATACGTGTGTAAATTTTGCCTTCTTTCTCTGCCTATTTGTTGCTTTCGTCGCCACTTGCAGTGCCAAAGTCATCACATGAAGACATGCCGTGTGACTCCACGAATACCTGTGAACCGGTAATGATTACTCGGCTGTAGAACAACAATAATATGTCATTATTTTTGCCGTCTTCCTTTCCCTGCTCTCCCCCCCCCCTCTCTCTCTCTCTCTCTCTCTCTCTCTTTGTCTCTTCTGTCATATGCACAATTGCACGCACACATGTACGCACACACACACACATACACACACACACACACACACACACACACACACACACACACACACATACACATGCCCCCCCCCCCCCCCACTCACACACGCACATGTGGGTATGCATGGGTGTGCGCACGTGTGTGTTTGTGTAGGTTCGGGGTTGTTCATGCACTTCGCCTGATACTTACAATCTGTGACGTGTGGGTTTTGTTTCACAGGAAAAACGTCTATGGGGTAAAGAACAATGCTGCTATACCTGTCGTAAGTGCAACTGTTGTGAGTGTGTGACTGTTGTGAGTGTGTGACTGTTGTGAGTAGGACTGGTGTGAGTGTGACTGTTGTGAGTAGGACTGTTGTGAGTGTGACTGTTGTGAGTGTGTGACTGTTGTGAGGTTGACTGTTGTGAGTGTGTGACTGTTGTGAGTAGGACTGTTGTGAGGGTGACTGTTGTGAGTAGGACTGTTGTGAGTAGGACTGGTGTGAGTGTGTGACTGTTGTGAGGGTGACTGTTGTGAGTAGGACTGTTGTGAGTGTGGCTGTTGTGAGGCTGACTGTTGTGAGTGTGTGACTGTTGTGAGTGGCACTTTGTTTGACACTATGATCATCCTGTTCTCTGTTACTAGCCATTTTGTTCACTGTGCTCCTACTGCTGTTATGCTTGCTTGACCTTGTGTCTGAGTTGGTGGGTGTTCAATTGTATCACCCTTGTCACATCCCATGAGACCCATGCCTGGAGAATAGGATGAAAAATAGTGTTCACAGCAGAGAGACTGCTGGGTGTCTGAAAGGGCTCTTGTTATCAGTATTTTTGGTTTCGAAATTCTAAAGGGCGCCGAACTCAGGTTCATTGCACTTGAATCATTTACAGGCAACTCCCACACTCAACTATGCACTACATTTTATACAAAAATCCAGGGTTATGTCAATGTTTCGGTCTTTGTGACCTTCAACCATCGTGACAATGGTCAGGAAGACGGAAACGTTGACATAACACTGGACGTTGTGTGAAATGCAGTGCGTACTTGAGTGTAGGTGAATTTTCTGCAGATGATTCAAGGTTTACTTTGGTTGGTGTTGGTTGTCATCCATGTAGCACATCTAGTATAGCCAATGACAGTCCCCCCCCCCCCCCCCCACACACACACACACACACCAATTCTTTGTAACAGGGATAACTAACTGCAGACATGTTGTATTGTGTGATGCAGCTTGTCCAACTTGCAAAGACTATTGCGAATGGACGCCACCGTCTGCTACCATCAAGCGTTCTGCTATTGCAGCATCATCGCACACTCTTCTAGACCATGCTGTGAATCGACGTGCTGCTGCCAGTAAGTGGCTTGAAAAGCCCAAAGCAGGTGAAGCTGGTCGCAGCTATGTGGGCGCTTGATCTGCTCTATACCAGTAGAAGAGATCTTACACATTCAGTACCTATCTACTGCGGAGTATGCTCTGTACACACACCTTAGCTATGTACTGCGGAGTATGCTGTGTACACACACCGTCATTACACACACCTTAGCTATGTGATTAGATGTACATGTATGCTGTGCACACACACCATCATTACACGCAGTAGTAGCACGGCCAGGCCTCAGTACACAGACTTTTGTTCTTCATTATTTCTTGTTCACATTTGAATGCCACACTGCACCTGTTTACCTTGCTCAATGCATTCCTCCACAATACATTGCTATGCATTGGCAATACATTGCTATGCATTCCTCCACAATACATTGCTATGCATTCCTCCACAATACATTGCTATGCATTGGCAATGAGCAGTTCTCTCTGTTCAACTTTTTTAAACTAGCACTACACATGCACATGTAAGCGTCGCGCATTCAATCAGACACTCAAGTGTTTGTTGTGGTGGCGAGCTGTGAGAGCACTTTCTGTCTTTGCCCCAGCCAGCAATGTGCAGGTGTATTTAATGCAAATGTCCACATTCATGCCTATCTATCGTTGTATTGTCCTGCATACCACTCTGAGCCAATGCCACTAGCATCCATCGATGCAAGCAGCCGAACTTCTGCAGCAACCTTCTGTCAGTCAACCCACTCACATCACAAAATTCTGTATTTCCTCAGTTTGAAAAAATCAAGTTTTCTTCCCTTCTATTCTGTGTGTGATCAATTTCTGTCAGAATAGTAGTTTAGTACTGTGCTAGTTGACTACCAATTCAAAGTGCATACCTGGCTTCCTGGACTTACCCAGGCCTTGATGGGCAGTCACAGTATGGATTCTGCTGGCCTTACACATGTAGATCTACAGTGATTATTGGAAGCTGGTCAAGGACACCAACCTTTGCACTTGTCATGTTTGAGTTGGATTTCACATTGCACAGCTGTACATACATATCTGACTGGTGGCAGTGGTCATGATGATGTCATGATGATGATGATGAATGCTTGAGAAATTCAGTCTAGGAATGCACTGGAGTGAATGCTGCAGTTCATCATGCATTCAACCAACATGCTCAAGGGCCCAAATACTAGCAAACAAGATACCCGGAGAAGGTGGCTGCTCCAACGTTGCAGCTTGCGTTCCTTGCCGACTGACCGACACTTAACGGCAGTAAGCACAATCTCCAACGTTTGGAGCTGTCACCTTCTTCTACAACTACCGCCGTAGTCGCAACATCTCAGTACAAACAAGATTCCAGTCTGAGAAATGCAAACCTTGACAATAGTATAATATTTTCAGAAATAGCTTAACACACCAGTACATGTATACTGTATAGTGACTATTAGTGAGTGTTGGCTGCTTGTTCATTGTTCAGCAGAATGTTACAACTGTGGTCCTGGATGATGCATGTACTGCTAGCAAAGTGACGACCTGCATTATCTGTTATCTACTGTTATGTACACGTACATGATTGTGCAGTGATTGTGCAATAAGTACATGCATGCAGGTGCATGGATGCGACGCTCCATATGTACGTACACATATATGGCAGGGCAGGCACAAGAGAGTGTGTTAGACCAGTGACTCCATACTACCGTTGTATCTGGTGTTAGCTAGGCTACCAGCATTGCCCGTACTCCGCTGATCAGCTGCAGTAGATGCAGCGAAAGCACCAGCACCAGCACCGCCACTGGCGTTGCTGCTGGTGATGCTACTACCAGTATGTCCGTGTTGCTCCACTTCCGGTGACGAGAATGAAAACATGGTCTGTGATCGTGACGGCGATGGTGATGCTGGAGCAGCAGCCGCAGCCTGAGCACATCGCAATGCCACTGTCTTGGCTAGGTTACGACGCTGCACGTCTGACTGGGATCTTGACACTTTGGGAGAATTCGGCGCTGACACACTCCTGCAGGGAAAACAATCATGACAAGTTGACAACAATACTGTCACCATGACAACAATACCGTTACCATGACAGCAACAGCATTACTCACGGAGCCTTGGGGACTCCTGGACGTTTTTCTGCTTTCCGGCTGAAAGGGAAACACATTGCTTCGTGATCCATTTCCGGACGAGTCCGTTTGGAGTTTGCCACTGCAACACAAAGTCTAGTGTAGATGCACACCACTTGTGCAGAAAGTGCTAGTCCTGGCATACCCTGTAGTCCTGGCATACCCTGTAGTCCTGGCATACCCTGTAGTCCTGGCATACCCTGTAATCCTGGCATACCCTGTAGTCCTGGCATACCCTGTAGTCCTGGCATACCCTGTAGTCCTAGCATACCCTGTAGTCCTGGCATACCCTGTAGTCCTGGCATACCCTGTAGTCCTGGCATACCCTGTAGTCCTGGCATACCCTGTAATCCTGGCATACCCTGTAGTCCTGGCATACCCTGTAGTCCTGGCATACCCTGTAGTCCTGGCATACCCTGTAGTCCTGGCATACCCTGTAGTCCTGGCATGCCCTGTAGTCCTGGCATGCCCTGTAGTCCTGGCATACCCTGTAGTCCTGGCATACCCTGTAGTCCTGGCATACCCTGTAATCCTGGCATACCCTGTAGTCCTGGCATACCCTGTAGTCCTGGCATACCCTGTAGTCCTGGCATACCCTGTAGTCCTGGCATACCCTGTAGTCCTGGCATACCCTGTAGTCCTGGCATACCCTGTAGTCCTGGCATACCCTGTAGTCCTGGCATACCCTGTAGTCCTGGCATACCCTGTAGTCCTGGCATGCCCTGTAGTCCTGGCATGCCCTGTAGTCCTGGCATACCCTGTAGTCCTGGCATACCCTGTAGTCCTGGCATACCCTGTAGTCCTGGCATACCCTGTAGTCCTGGCATACCCTGTAGTCCTGGCATGCCCTGTAGTCCTGGCATGCCCTGTAGTCCTGGCATGCCCTGTAGTCCTGGCATACCCTGTAGTCCTGGCATACCCTGTAGTCCTGGCATACCCTGTAGTCCTGGCATACCCTGTAATCCTGGCATACCCTGTAGTCCTGGCATACCCTGTAGTCCTGGCATACCCTGTAGTCCTGGCATACCCTGTAGTCCTGGCATACCCTGTAGTCCTGGCATACCCTGTAGTCCTGGCATACCCTGTAGTCCTGGCATACCCTGTAGTCCTGGCATACCCTGTAGTCCTGGCATACCCTGTAGTCCTGGCATACCCTGTAGTCCTGGCATACCCTGTAGTCCTGGCATACCCTGTAGTCCTGGCATACCCTGTAGTCCTGGCATACCCTGTAGTCCTGGCATACCCTGTAGTTTAGTTGTTGTCAGTTGTACACATCACGCCTTGTATTTAGTGAATGTGTAATTATGATGTAGCATGTACACTCCCCTCTCCTCTCACCCAAGCCATTCTGCATAAGCGGAGCTGTGGACGCAGCATACTGCTGCTACACTTCAACGCGGGAATGCGTATAATAATAATAATGTACACAATACCAGGTCAGGCCGAAATCATGAGTTCTATCCTGGTTATCCTGGTGCAACAGACTCATGCATGGCCTTAGTCCAACTCCTACAATTTTAAATGCAGGTGTGTTGGTTTTATATCGTGCTATGATGTCATGTGCTGCCTATATCATGCAGTGTGCTATGATGTCATGCACCATGATGTCATGTGCTGCTATCAATAAAGCCTATCATGCAGTGTGCTATGATTACATACACTCTAATGCCATACACTATGATGTCGTGCACTATGATCATGTATGATGTCATGTGCTAAGTTATGATGCAACTTACTCAGCTACTGGTCCGGGTGATGGTGGTAGAGATAGAGAATGTTTTCTGGCAAGATGAGATGCTGCATTGCTTGGTGTCATCCCAGCATACCCAACCTGTTGCTGCGCACTGACTGGAGCTGATGTTTGTCTCAATGGTGCTGCCAGCAGTGAATCAACTGATGCTTTTCGCATTGAAACATTGCTGTTACCTGCATGAAATCAGGACAAATGCACACACACACACACACACACACACACACACACACACACACACACACACACACACACACACACACATACACACACACACACACACACACACACACACACCAGTACCCGCCACCACATCAAGACATCACAGGGGTATCGGAACCGGTGCGGCAGGTGCGGCCAAAGACGCACCAATGATTTCATCTTGTGATTTTTGAAGCAATAAAATACAGGCTATTTGGGCCCTGTTAATTAGCCTGGCCATATAATACGATTACATCTGACATGCTTGCCTGCCTACTCGTGCGCACGCATGCATTCTTGCCGGAGATGTCTACCTGTGGCGACAATAATTTTTTCATGGACTGATCTTCTTTTTTAGTGTTTGCACACTCTTGGCTGCTGCTGTGGCACTTTTGTATTTTCGTGCTGCTGCGCTCTTTACGGTACGGCTGCACTAGCCGTATTAACTGTCACACCCAGATGCACACATTCAATCCCTGGCTATGCTTTGGAATTGTTTTCGTTGCCTATGTCCTCATCTCTCTTCGTTTTGTTTTCGCTGCCTGGGCTCTCATTTATCTTTGCGTTCTTGCTTGCTTGTATTGCTGAGGGAACATATGCTGGTTTGTATTCGTGGGTCCCCATGGTGCATGGGCCACGCGTACTCATCCGGCGGATATGTGTGAATAATAATAATAATAATTTGGGCCCAATTTCCCAAACATGTTCCCAAGGAGGACCCCCAGACCCTCCACCCATTCATGGCTGCACCAATGTCAAATACTAGGGGTGAAACGGTTACCCTTTAAGGTAACAAATGGGTATCTGGCTTAACGGGCGGGTTATCGGGTACCCTTTATCCGCCATACTATTTCCAAAAACGTTGCATTTGCTTGGGATCATAAGCGCAACATGTCTTTTACAGGTATTCTGATAGGAGAGAGATTTTCGGGCGACAATTTGCTACAGTAGCCTTCCAGATTTCACGCCAGGAGGATACGCGAAGTCATGCAAGTACACTACATCGCGACGAGCACAGTGTGCACAATCACCTGATCACTGCACTACATGCTAACAGTCAAAATTGTTGTAGCTTCAATGGATACCGTGATATGTAGCAGGATTGAACGAGGAAAGCACACACAAAACTGTGCACTGAACTGTACAACTGTACAAGCAAGCTTATAATACTGTACCCTACAATCCTACACGACTAGCGGGTACTTTTTTGCTAACGGATCAGCAGCTAAACAGACGGGTACCCGGGTTACCCGGATCACCCCTTTCACCCCTATCGAATACCTTCCGACACCCCTGCATCACAGTCAACACACTTTACCAGCTCCCTACCTGCAGCTGTCCTCGCCACTAGAGGCGACAGGTCCAGAGGTTGTACTCCAGGAGGTGACATTAGTCCTGTGTAGTCAGCGGAATGATGTCGAACATGCTGGTTACGCTGTACTGCCGAATGAGATGCCAGCATGGGTGAATGCTGTTGTTGCATACGATGGCTGTGATAGAACTGAGAGGAATCTTCCAGCACCGGGCTGGGCATGTTCATGCTCTCCAGGCCATGGTGGAATTGGTGACCTTGCGGCTGAAAGAATGGTGCAGGTGTTGATGTCGGTCGTTTGTGGAGGGGCTGCACACAGCAAGCGATCGTACACAAACACCGGCTACTGGTTAAACACATATCATGAGGGAACACTGTAATTGTGCATGCTTAGGATGATGTAAGCTTGCTAAAGAGAGTCCCTTTTTAGATTCATTTTCTCTAGTCTTTCTCTACATAACTAGTCACTGTACAATGTGCTGTATAGTGCACTTGGCATAGAGAATGTGTCCACTTTGTGAAACTGAATTATTGTTTGTATCCTATTTCACGGTCATTTTCATGCTGTCGTGTATTTTGAGAGGATGGCGTGGTGGAAATTCACCACTGCACTGAAGAGAATGTTTGCATGAGGCTGCATAATTGCATGGGACTGCATGCAGGGAGACTTTGTGCAGCGGAACTGCATGTCTGCATGGGGACTGTGTGTGTGTGTGTGGGAGGGGGGGGGGGAGTGTGCAGAGGAACAATGTGCAGAGGACTTTGTGCAGTGAAGCTGGGTGTCTGCATGGAGACTGGGTGTCTGCATGGGGAATGTGTGAGGGGGGGGGGGGGGGTGTGCAGAGGAACAGTGTACATGTACATGTACATGTACATGTACAGAGGAACAGTGTGCAGAGGACGTTGCCGGTGCAGTTGAGCTGGGTGTCTGCATGGGGACTGTGGATACAAGGATTGTGTTTCTCAACTACCAGTACAACTACCAGTACAACTACCAGTACAACTACCAGTACAATACTTAGGTGACTTACCTGTCCTCTATCAGTACCATGGCGTCCGGAAGATGATCGTACAATCACACTCTGCTTCTGCTGCTGCTGTGTGTGCGTTAGAGCCAATGATGGTGGCGACGTGATCTGATCATTTGCTTCGTCGTCATATTTGTTGAAGTTTGCACTGCTTCTTAGCGGTGTATAGAACGGATCTTCTTCCTGGGCATCTCTGATAGAGGGCATACTGTGTGACTGATGTTCCACGTTCATCATTAGACTATCACTCATTGATCTAGAGTGTAGTACTGCTTGATGTGCTACACCAGTGGTGTGAGCTGCACCAGTGATATGAGCTGCACCAGTGATATGAGCTGTGCCAGTGGTGTGAGCTGTGCCAGTGGTGTGAGCCATGCCAGTGATGTGAGCTGCACCAGTGATGTGAGCTGCACCAGTGGTGTGAGCTGTGCCAGTGGTGTGAGCCATGCCAGTGCCAACATCACCTACAGCGGAGCGTTCCGGAGTGAGCGTGATTTGTGGTGGTGGGTCTTGCACGAAATGCAGGACATCTGATGATGAGCTCGTCCGACGGTGTGAGCGTCGCACTCTGGGCAGTGTGCCACCGGATCCCGCAGTGAGGCAAGCCGCAGCAGCTTGCACTTGCCGTTGCTGGTCATGCTGCATAAGGGTGAAGTGAGATGCCTCGGAGTGCATGGCCTGCGTTGCTGGCGGTGGTCCTGCTGCTTTACCAGACACCAGCGATGATTGGCTGATGTTAGGCGGACTAACATACCCATTCGGTTCGGCTTGACTACCGGTGCAGGCATCAGTAGCAGTATGAGTCAGGGTGTGTGAGTGTTGCTGGGGAGTTGAGTGAAAGACTGAATTCCCTGCTCCGGGTGCTGGGACACGACTGGAGTTAGTTGTAACATTCGCTGTGACTCCAACGCTTGGTATCAATGATGGTGGGGGAATACCACGGTTAGTTTGATGTCCAGCCTCATTCGGGCTCTTTCTCGGTGAGCGTACCCGCCTTGCTATATGCGGGGAATTCTTAGCTATCAGAGTAATGCTGTCATGCCGGGAAGTGCTGGATTCTTTTCTCGACCTTGGCGGAGTTGATGGAACAGGTGGTTGAGCTGGGGCCTCAAATGAAGCGAGTATCGGCTGCGTTGCACTCTCCTTTCTCTCGGCTACTTTCTGTGCAGTGTTGACTATTGGTATGTTAGTTAGCTGCTTGGTGTCATTCTTGACTTGTTTATGCTCCACGGCAGCCTCTTGCCTGACACTACCCGTATCCTTGTTACCAGTTTCAGTGATGATCTGCTCTTCCCCCGTTGTAGCTTTGGCCTGTTGCACCACAGTCTTGGATAGGTGCGATGGGCCAGCATTACTATCCAAGTTGAGTTTTCTCCGCTGCAGTTTTGGCCTAGTTTGCTGGCCTGCTACTGATGATGAACCATTAACCGTGTCCGCAGTAGAAGCTGCTGCCTTCCTAGGTGTGGACTGCATTGGCGAGTCATCAAATACGGCTTCCCTGCTGCTTGCAGACTTGCGTCTGATGGTGCTCACACCGGGTGTGAGAAGCTGCTTTCTCAGGCTAGGAGGTGTGAGGGTAGCAGACTTGCGATGCTGCTGCCGTCCCATCAGACTCTGGGCACTAACGTTACCCACCATGCTGCCGTCCGGGAAGTCAAACAAACTCTCGGCGTCCGAATCGTCCGAACCCATCTCCGACAAGCTGCTCAAGCTAGTGCCGCTGCGGTATCGCAGCATTGTCTGTGCTTTCAGCGTCTCCATCTTCATCATATGTACCTCAGAGTAGAGATTGGTGAAGTCTTGTCGCAGTTGGTCATCCTCTTCTCGCATACGTTGCTACATGCACCACATGCACCACATGCAATCACATGCAATCACATAACAAACACCACATGCAATCACAAACACGCACACAGACACAAAGGCAAGCAGGATAAGGGTAGGACAACTGGTGAGGACTAGCCGTGCAGTATGACTGTGACACCCCAGAGTGAGGTCACTCATGGTGATAGGTAGGGAATTCATTGTGTGCGAGAGTGAGTTCATGCCAGCTGCTGAGGATGATGTTATGAATGTACTGTGAGAAAGGCGACATCTGTCGGCTGAACACACATACAAAGTAGTTATTTGCTACTTGAAAGTAGCAGCAGGGTTGTAGAGACTGGTTTAATAATGATACATGACTGTCCATGACTGTCCATGACTGTCCATGACTGTCCATGCAGACTGTCCATGCAGACTGTCCATGCAGACTGTCCATGCAGACTGTCCATGCAGACTGTCCATGACTGTCCATGCAGACTGTCCATGACAGTCCATGCAGACTGTCCATGCAGAATAATGAATACAACAGTGGATGTGATACAATGGGTAACCAATTCTCACACATGCCCAGAATTCCACATGGCTATAATTCCACATGGCCATAATTTTATTTTCTGGTCATACCTGTATGTTATCCCAATGACGGATTTGCGGCATGCTCTGTACTTATTTCTAGGTATTACCATGACTACTGCGTTAGGTATGACTGTGATTGTGAGGATCCTTGAAGGGCAAGATGGTGCTGGTCCTCCTGTCTGCCCACTGAGTTTCACATGGGCCGTGGAATGGGTGGTGTTACGTGAGGATGTTCTATAAAGTAATATGATGATTGTAGTCAACTGTGTTATGTGACGACGTGTTATGTGAGGGTGTCCTGGATGGTACAGCCGTACAATGTCATGTACTTACCATTTCGTCCCGCAGCCAGTCCAAGGCTTTGTCGATTGCTTGTTTTCGCTCTTTGTGTGGCATACCGCCATGACCCAGTTCTGGAGGTGGGTTACTGCCCTCTGGCTTCACCATCCATTGGTCAAGGTCTGACTTCCAATCCAAACCAAGCGCTGTTCCAACTGGTGTGACTAGACCCAGTTGCTGGTCATCATCCTCCGATAATGATCCGAAATTGTTTGAACTCGATGACCTCTTGATCTGCCGTGAACTCCAGTTGCTGGATTGTTCAAGAGGGCTGCGCTCGGGAGATTTCGTCTCCTTCGGACCGAAGCCGGTCGGAGATGATTGAGATTTCACCAGCGTCCGAGGGCGCTTTTTGATGGGAGAAAAGACGGGAGCTGTTAGCATGTTTGCGGCCTCAGCTCCGTCTTTAGCGCGCCTTCCACCGAGTTCTGCAAAGAAATCAATTCAACAGCTCCAACCAGACTCGGAGGAGGTGGGATCAACTGAGTTTTGCTTGCAGGGAGGGGGGACTTACACAGGCCCCGTCCTTCAAGCAACGCGTCGTGAAGTCAGTCCCAGGACAGGGCTACTGGTCGTTCAGACCGTCTCTCCTCATACCAACACGAAGCGCCGGGCTATCGTGCTGTACTTGTGCCCATTGAATATCCTTATAGAAGTATGCAGTCATCGACTACTCTAAATAATTTTCGAGAATGACACTCGGTTCCATAGTAATGATCAATCGATGCTACTGTCTTGCTATCTCATACTGTTATGTAGCTGGGAGGACTCGCTGCCTCATACCGTAAATATACCTGTCAATATACTATAATTCCTATCATCATGGTGGTGGCAGTTACATCGACTTATGTACCTCTTCGCCATCTAGTACATGCCCACTGCAAATGGCTCTGAGTCTGAGCTCGCGCGTTATCGGGTGGTGCGTGGTCCCTGATACGTAGAATATTGGGCCTTTGGGGATGGCCCAAAAATGAATGCGGCGCACATGCCAGATGACAGTTGACATACTACTGAGGTTTGCCTGCAGCTCTGAGTTTCTGTCAAGTGCGGATTCCGCTGCGTATCATCCCAAGATCGGCGTCAGCCTCAGAGCGATTTGCTCATGCCATGGTACCGAGTTGCAGATCCAGACCAGAGTTCAATGACTAGATCCCGAATGGAAGACTGTCCAACACGCAGATCATACAATCATGTAACTAGAATGAAGTCTGTGCTGGTACATGTATGCTGTGTGGAGTCAAGGACGGTTCTATCACCCGGTCACCATGACGTCTAGACGTCCGTAGATCTACGATAGGTAGATCTACTGACAGTCTTGTTCCTTGTTTGGTTGAATAACAATCATGTTGATTGGCTGCCACTGTGCCACTGACTGTGCGTCCTCCGCCTTGTAACATGCTGTCAACCAATCAACATGTAGATCTACCTAGCGTGATTTAGCGAGTTGCTGTGACCTTGGTGACCTGCTGTGGTAATGATTATGTTGCCTCTCAGCCAGAATCAGACTGAGATGAAGAAGATGAGATGAAGATGAAGATGAAGAAGCGTCGTTGCAATGCTGGTAATGTAGTTGACAGGGCAACGACTAAACTACAAAGACTTTTTTTAAAGTAATTAGTTACTGTGAGTGTCGTTAGCTGCATGCTAAAATATGCATGCTATGAATTGATGTGCCTTGCTTGCCGGGTCGTGCACTTGGACATGGTGCACGTTGACACGGGCTTGACCTGTGACGATGGGGCCAGCTCGGATGCCATAGGCCAGTGGCAGTGGTATCTTCACGGCGTCAGGTTTTTGGAAGCATTGCTGTTGTCCAAAAACACAAGCTTTATACTGTGCTGCTTGATCATGCGAACTAGAACAATTCATGACGTGACTACCAAATTACCAATACCATGTGACATCAGTCTTGTTGGCATTAGATCATATGCATGGTAGTGCAAACATCATGAACATGATAGTGTTGCACATTCCAATGGCCTGGAGTACACACAATCACTCCCCTTTGGTATTGACATGTACAGGATACACACAGGATACACACAGGGAGCAGCACTGCTCTACCGTTTGCAAAGCATGTCATGTGCTAGTAACCAGTTACCTGGTGACAAAGAGGCAAGAAGACGTCATGTTCAAGATGTCCTCATGTCGTGTTCAGTCCTAGGCCCCTGGGCCCTGGCCCTGGGCATAGGCAATGTATATACAGTACACGCATCGGGCTCCCTCCCTCCCCCCCCCCCCCCCCCCACACACACACCATGCACACACCATGCACACACACACACACACACACACACACACACACACACACACACACACACACACACACACACACACACACACACACACACACTACTACTACTACTATAGCATGACTGCCCATTGGGCAATGTCACCCCCGGAGGGGGCCAGAGTTTGGAGTGCACCGTCATTGGCAGGACTTCTGGTGCCTCGTCAAATCTTGCTGTCGTCGGAAACGTTTCGGGCAATGCATGCAGATCAGCGGCAGTGATTCCCTATCGGCTGCAGCAAGACGTTTTCCACGGTTGCAGTTATGGCGGTTAAAACCAGCCCGGGACTTGAAGCAGCGATTGCAGCGTTGACAATGCTGGAAGCAGCAACTAGCGAGAGACGCCGTCAATGCCGTATCTGCATGTTCAGGGAGTGCAGGCTGGCAGCGATGAACTGCAAGCCCACCCTTACTACGGAACCATCGGCAGCAACTGACGCACTGTGCTGAACCACGCTGTTGGTGGACGGGAAGTTGGCGCTCAGCCAAACACACACACACACACACACACACACACACACACACACACCATGTACCATGTATACGCCCGTCGCAAGAGAAGCACGCAAATCTGCAAATGCACTGGATGTGCACCCACAGATTTTCTCTTTATAGCAACACACACACACACACACACACACACACACACACACACACACACACACACACACACGAGCACACGCACCACACACCACACACACACACACACACACACACACACACACACACACACACACACACACACACACACACACACATGTACGAGGGAACAGGTGACCTTTCCTTCACGTTCTCCGCAGGCAACCATCAAACATGGTGGAAGACAACAACAATGCATTAATAATCGAAAATGGAAACATCGGGAATCTCGACATTAGGAAGGAAAACTACAAGACTGTCAAGAGCGCCAGTAGATGATGAAAGGAGGGCACAAGCAAGCTTCTTCGATGGGACATTATCACAGTGCACAGCAGTAACAGCACTCGTGGATCTACTCGATGGAGAAGCTTCTCTACATATATGTACATGTAGATCTACATATCCCAAGAAGGCTTGGTTTAGATCAGGGTCAGGTCAAAGGTCAAGGGTTCATATAGCCTAATGTGCCATATAGACATAGTGATCCCAGATAGCACTTTTGGGATTGCCGAGCTCGGGAGCTACGTGCAGGTCGTGGGTTCGAGTCTCGTCGGCGACACGCAAGGTCTGGTTTCATAGTACCAGTTCCTCTGTGTTTGGTGTGCATTAGGAAATAAGACAGCGCCAGAAGATGATGAAAGGACGGCAAGCTTCTTCGATCGACGGGAGGGACTTCACAGCAATCATGGGAGAAAGAAGCGTCTAGAAGTAGGATAGGAACACGCATGCACATACCGTACTATGGAAAAAAGAAAGAAAAGAAGAAGGTGACAATCGACAATTCAGATCAAGGAGCCGTTCCCTCACGTTTCATGATCCAGACGATCGACTAACACGAAATCCACGTTGAAACCTGACTGCGAACACACCAAACAGGGAGGAACTGGTACGGACGTCGTCGTCGTCGTCGTGGTTCAGTGTTGTTTCAAATCTTTATTGTTGTTGGTGTTGGCGTTGGTGTTGTTGTTGGTGTTGTTGTTGTTGTTGTTGCTGCTGTTGCTGTTGCTGTCGCTGTCGTCGTCGTCGTCGTCGTCGTTGTCGTTGTCGTTGTTGTTCAGTGGTGGTGGTGCTGCTGCTGTCTTTTAGTCTACTGTCTTCATTTCGCAGAGACTGAGCACAATCCCATGCACAAGCACACACCATGTACCATGTATACGCCTGTCGCAAGAGAAGCACGCAAATCTACGAATGCACTGGATGTGCACCCACAGATTTTCTCTTTATAGCAACGATAGCGGATCTGATTCTGATTGAAACAGATCAAGACAAGCGCCAGATAACTGTCTAATCAACACAACTGGCGATGTGAATCGACCCCCCAATGCACACCTGGTCTACACCACACGGAGTACATCGGAATAGGACGGCCAAGACAGTTACCTATGCACACCCTACACTTGCTGGGGTAACCAGTATAGACAGCACGCTGCTTTGATAAAAGCAGACACTAGATGCACTGGTACCTTGAAGTGAAATTGGAGTTATTTTACCAACCAGCCTCGGCAACTGGGTACTGGGAACCCAGGGCCAACAGAAGTACCAACAACCTCAGCCATGAAAGCTTTAAAGGGGAAGTGCATCGATTTTTCGACTAGGGTCCAGAAGAAAGACAATTCAATTAATTTTTGATATCGGTTCGAATGGCATATCTCTCGCTTCCATACGATATTAAAGCCAAACTTGCCAAATCGCCAATTGTATACTCACGTTGCCATAGCGACCAGCGCAGTGATGACGTACGAAAGGCTTAGCTCCACCACAGAGTTGGTCGATTACTGCAGAAATTGGTCATTTTCAATTGTCTTATTCATTGTATTCACGATGTGAAAGAAGCGCTGTGTTCAATGCTGTTAGTGCCATGAACTGTTTATCGGCCTTCTCCTACATTTGCCTAGGCTGACTGTGCCTGGGAAATGGTCCCTCTCGGAGAAGATGCTTGGTATTCGCCATCTCTCCTGAGACATTTTCAGCAAACTTTCAAACCTACGACATTATTTCATTCATCAATCTCCACCACCCGTCGTCTCACCTTGCTTCAGAAGATGGTACGAGTGATAGGAGAGTCGCCAGGAAGCATCACATCCATCTTCAGGAAGTGGAAAGAGCAAACGGCATGGTCCTTGGTTGGGGGAAATGCTGAACGTCTGATTTGTCCCAACCAAGATTTCAGCATTTTGTTCGTCACTATTTTCGCTTGTCTGCTGATGTTTTCGCACTCCAGCTTTCTCCTGTCGGTGTCACGTCCCAGTACACAACCGAGAGGACTACTAATAAACAGTTCACTACACTAACAGCATTGAACACAGCGCTTCTTTCACTTCGTGAACACAATAAACCAATTGAAAATGACCAATTTCTGCAGTGATCGACCATCTCTGTGGTGGAGCTAAGCCTTTCGTACGTCATCACTGCGCTGGTCGCTATGGCAACGTGAGTATACAATTGGCGATTTGGCAAGTTTGGCGTATCGTATGGAAGCGAGAGATATGCCATTCGAACCGATATCAAATTGTCTTTCTTCTGGACCCTACTCGAAAAATCGATGCACTTCCCCTTTAATTATAGTAACGACACACTGGATTGTGGAGCCGAAATTAGTCCAACTTCCAAAATGCTTTGGGAAGAGGGTAGCCTTCCGGCAGGTTGGACAAGCACACACACACACACACACACGGGCGCATGCGCTCACACCCACACGCATGCGCGCACACACACACACACACATACGCACACACGGACACATAATACATGCGTTCATACACTGTACATGTACTAAATTTCAAAGTACACAACTGCCACAGACCAATGATTATTGACATTGTGTAGAAACATGGCAGCAACATGGAACTTGAAATCTGCTACTTGAAGTACATGTTACTAATATCACTAAATGATTTTCATACCGATTTTAGCTTGACTGAATTACAGGTACATGATAACACGTTGTGTTTGACTGCTATGGTCACGCAATGCCGTGTGAGCGTGGCAAGTTCAAGAACTGACAATGGATACACAGGGAATATGATAGACATCTGACCCTGCTGTGTAAAATCAAATCTCTCTCCCTCTCTCTCTCTCTCTCTCTCTCTCTCTCTCTCTCTCTCTCTCTCTCTCTCTCTCTCTCTCTCTCTCTCTCTCTCTCTCTCTCTCTCTCTCTCTCTCTCTTTCTCTCTCTCTCTCTGCTCAAGGATAAAATATGGCAGCAGTATAAATCTGTGCGTACACCGAGTCAGTGTACAGATCAATCCATAGGGAAGTACTCATGAAACATTGCATCTGATTTTTTACCAAAACTTAAATCAAGACACTAATAGTGTGTTGTCACATTTGCTGTGGCTCAAATAAAGCATCGCACGTGGTGTCAAGCCAACATCAAGTGTAAGGACAGTGAACATCAGCGTTCACTACTCTTCCACTGACAGGTGGTGAATTCCTCGTGCATAGGAATCGATACCATGAAGACCACATAACTTGAAACTATCATAAAATATCAATGAGCATATCCACTGTCAGACGAGTAGAAATTTGCAAGACTGTAAACATGATTCAACAAGGATGTGTGGAATACAGAACATGGAGGATATGAACGAAAACTATCAGCGCGCCTACTGAAGTAGTTGCTAGGACTTGAGTTGAGTTCTTCGCACTTGATCGCGATAGACAATGTCCACTGAATCGGGCGGGTCAGCTGTATCTGCAATGGGTATGCAAGATGTAACGGGTGCCTCTGCCACTACTGCGGCTACGCGGGTCTGTACATGTGCTCCAGCAAGATTGTCTGCTACTGCATAGCTTAGAGAGGCAGGTGCGCTAGGCTCAACGGGCTGCGAAGTGTGCGGCGTTGTGATATTTGGTGACGTGGGGCTGAGGGCAATAACGGGCCTGCTGGCATGGTGTTCACTGTTCAGCTGTGGCTCAGGCAGAGTGATGGATTCAGCACAGGCATCAATACTACATACTCCACGGGTGGTATTTGTACCTGAGGAAATGAAAGAGAGAAACACAGCATCTGGGTTCACCTCGAGAGTTTGAGATGGGGAGAGAGCCAGACAAGAAGAGGGTGGCGGGACCATTCCGCACAAGACAGAGTTCACTACAAACGAATTGTGCGCTTCGACCAACCGTTATCTTCTTCAGACAGAATGGCACAGTGTAGACGTATGGTACTGTCACAGTACCAGCAATACAGTACCAGCAAATTCAGCAATACAGTACCAGCAATACAGTACCAGCAATACAGTACCAGCAATACAGTACCAGCAATACAGTACCAGCAATACAGTACCAGCAATACAGTACCAGCAATATAGTACCAGCAATACAGTACCAGCAATATAGTACCAGCAATATTTATATTATTATTCACACATATCCGCCGGATGAGTACGCGTGGCCCATGCACCATGGGGACCCACGAATACAAACCAGCATATGTTCCCTCAGCAATACAAGCAAGCAAGCACGCAAAGATAAATGAGAGCCCAGGCAGCGAAAACAAAACGAAGAGAGATGAGGACATAGGCAACGAAAACAATTCCAAAGCATAGCCAGGGATTGAATGTGTGCATCTGGGTACGACAGTTGACACGGCTAGTGCAGCCGTACAGAGCGCAGCAGCATGAAAATACAAAAGTGCCACAGCAGCAGCAGCCAAGAGTGTGCAAACACTAAAAAAGAAGTAAAGTCCATGAAAAAATTATTGTCGCCACAGGTAGACATCTCCGGCAAGAATGCATGCGTGCGCACAAGTAGGCAGGCAAGCATGTCAGATGTAATCGTATTATTATGGCCAGGCTAATTAACAGTGCCATTTCGCAATGAATTCCATCGGCATTTATCATGCGCCACCTTCCGAAGCTGGGCTAGGCCAGGTCGCGACAGAAGCACAAGCCCCAGCTTCTCCCGACAATCCAGTGAGAGAGTGGTTAGCAGTGTTGTTCTTGGTCTGCCTATCCTACCCCGCAAGGCACCAGAAGCAGCAAAATCGAGAGCGACCTGTGGCGGTGCCCCTGATGGCATCCGGAGCACATGCCCCAGGAAGCTCCATCGCCTCGCCGCGATCTCCTTGGAGATGGGTTGGGTGCGACAGCGGTTGTAGAGTTCCGTGTTTTTGATTATATTTGGATACTTTATACCAGCAATACAGTACCAGCAATACAGGATCAGCAATACAGGATCAGCAATACAGTACCAGCAATACAGGATCAGCCTGCCATAGAAACACAAAACACCGACCTACTGCCACCAATTTGCAATAGTTTTGCACAAGTTTTGTTTAGTCAAGAATGATTGAGTATCTACATGTGTGTATAGTAGGGAGGTTTAGTCCCACGTAACGGATACGGGAACGTGGGTGATACACGTAAAGTTCATGCAATGGACCCACGTTCACAATGTTGTGTTTAGTCACACGGAACAAACAAAAGCATGAAGCGAAAGGCCCAAACTTGGTCAAAGACGAAGCTTCGAAGCTCATCGAATATTTTGATTTCGTGCTTTGGAAACTTCTTCAGCTGAGCACCCTCACAGCTTGCACAATGCGCTCCATTCTGATTTTCACCCACGTTCTGGTGGAACGTGGGTGAGCCTCCATACACGGTATGTCGTGAATCAGAAAACGTCTGTACGTGGGTCACTGAGTATCACGTGGTACACACACGTAAAGTACACGTTGATTACGTGGGACTAAACCTCCCTAGTGACTGCTGTCTACTCCCCTCTACCCCTCCCCATCCCCATCCCCATCCCCATCCCGACTTTCTCTCTCTGTTTCACTGTGTACTCACTACTCACTCTCTGTGTATGTTCTCTCACCTGGTAATGTGTTTGTGACTTGTGGCGACTTCAAGACTTCATGGACTGCACTCTCCAGGAGTGTGTCACTGGCAGCTGCAAACACCAGGAACGAGGAGATAAAGCACGGCACAATACTAGTAAACCAGGGGGTCAGTATACCTTGATTGCCACTTCTCTCCTCCTCAAGCATACCTCAGCTGTAGCATTACCTGTATACCTGCGCGCAGGCTGTCCCCGGGGAAAATTGCGATTCCGCGCCCGCGTTTTTTTCCGCGTTTTTTGCGATTTTTTAAAAGACCGCGTTTTCCGCGATTTTTGAACTTTTTTGTTGCACTACACGTACACACAGTGCACTGTTCGGTCAGCAACGTCTCATCGTGGCGGCTTTTTACTCAAAATATGACGAGTGCTTACACCAGAGACTTGTAACTGATTGATTTCACTACATACTCACTGAAAATTGCCGCGCATCAATATTATTCACCGCATATTTACCGCACATTTACCGCAAATTCACCGCAAATTATGCCATATTATGCCGCGTTTCCCCCCCCCCCCCGCGTTTTTTGCGATTTTTTCCGCAATTTTCCCCGGGGACAGCGCGCAGGTCAGGCAGGCATGCGGCAAAATGCCACTCAGTACCGCACACGGACTGCTTTTCGAAACAGAGCTTTTATCACAAACAATCATCATCAGTATCAACACACCACCAGTGATCATGTGACTATTGTATCAGCATTGGCACTGTACTCGTACTGTAATAACAGCATTGCAGCACTGTACTGTAATATCAGCATTGGCACTGTACTATAGTAACAGCATCGGCACTGTACTGTAATAACAGCATTGGCACTCAACAAGACCGGGAAATGGTACCAGTATCCAGTACTTACAGGTATCCTGCCCGACTAGACACACTACAGCGGTTCCATGGAACTCAAAACTCGTTGCTGATGGTCTAACTTCTTCACCTGAAAAACATTGTCACGCATAGCATATGCCGATAAGCAGAAGTGAGAAGGAAGTAGCATGATGTATTCGTATAACCTACAGTCTGCCAGTGACAGTAGAAATAGTATTCTAACTAGTGTATACACAGACCTAGCGTAGCCGATCAGTTGGCACGCTCCTGGCCATAGGTCCTGATAACAAACAAGGAATTACGAAAACACGAGGGAATGTGCACGCTATAGATGGGTGAACACTTGCTCCCTTATTGGAACATACTCATCCGAACCCATGGATATGGCCCGGTCTGTGCCCCCAGGGATGGTGCTCAGCAAGTGTTAGTTGCCAACGCACTGCAATGCTACATACAACGACGGCAAGCTGTTGCAAGGTCCCAGTGCACTCACAGCTGCACTCAGAACCGATTCTCTATTACATCGGCCAGTGACTGTGCGGTGGAAAAAGCAATGCCATGGCGACTTTTAAACAACTAACCAATGCTGCTGGTAACCGATTCTTGTCTCACTTGATGATGCAATGATGGCCTTGGACCTTGTCCAGAGTTTGCTGCACCAGTCGACACTTCATGGTTAGTTCCAAGAAACAAAGCACCAACTTTTGCTTGAGGACCTATAGTGAAGTGCATTCTGCATAATAGCAACAACAAATGGAAATATAAGTAGAGAGCTACCAAGGAGAAGTACATATATATGCACTGCACACTGTGGACATGGCCCGGAAAACGTGACACGTGACAGGCCATCATTTACATGGATATGGACCATACGCAATCACCCTCTGTACACCTCGTCTAGACATGGGAATGGCATGTGGCACTAAGCTGAGGCCTAGTTTCCACGAGAAACATATACCCAAGCTTGTAGCTCATCTTCCCCTCTTTGGTCTCTCCTTAACCTAGAACCTCCTGGGTTGGAAGGTGCTGGTTAGCGCTTTGGAGATGTGTTGCAGCTAGGTGTCAGGTCGTCGAATGTCGTATCCATGTTTCCCTTTCCAAGCTAGTAGGTTTGGAATTTCAATTGTGTTCATTATGTACAACAAGGTGCTCCAAGCTAAATCGTGTGGATTCTGACAAAATCTCATACACAGGGGTGCTGTGTTGCAGTGAGCAAAAGCCAATAAGCATTGCTTACTGCTCCCTAAAACACAGCGTATTGAGAAGGGAACAGGGCTTTCTTGAAGATTTGCAGTGGACCCCTTTGAAGTCGATCGACTTCTCGTGTGCTCTGCCTGGGGGATTGCACACTCGCAATGCCGAAGCCCACTTAGGGGCGCTGGCGCTCTAAACGCTATCTTCAGCACACTAATATCTACACGATACCATCAGGATCGGTTCGCACATCTGAACTTTTGCATCACTCTGGATTTCACTGACAGTGCTGTCATATTGTCCAGCTCATCAGACACTGTCAGAATAACCGATTCAAAACCGATTCAAAAGGCACTGATCTAACTTCTGAAGAGGAGATGATGGCCACCTCCAGTCAATTTGTTCAGAAACCCCTAACGTGTGTTGCGGTAAGAGAATTTATACGTGACGAACATAATACACACGCATGCACGCCAACCTTGCCACATGGGGAGGGGAGACGGGCGGGGGGAGGGGGGGCATTTTTATTGGGTGTCTGGATAAACTTCTCGTGTACTCTGTAGCGCAGTCGTGAGTCAGTCAACTGAGAATTCAAGTCGCCAGGAAAAGCGCAAGCTTCCACGCAGGGAGCGACACACAATTCCCCAAGTATCGCCAAAGTCGCACCAACCTCTTCTTCACACTGTCTGGATAAAGGTGTCTGATTTGAAGGTAAGACTTATTTGCCAGCACAGCACTGGTTGAGCACTAGCTCCATACGCCACATTGCACATTATGTCATTATACAGTCTGTTATACTATGGCTTTGCTATAGGTCAGACATACAGGACTGCGGAGTGTTGTAGAACCTGAAGGCGCTGTCTGGAGGGGGGGGGGGGGGGGGACTCTAGTCATTTGACCTTGGCCCTGGGATAATGAAGTTCGCCGAAAACAGTGACTGCTCTTACAACACTGCTAGCAGCTGATGTCCACTGCAGGTGTCATTGCCACTTGGGTAGGTCGACTGCCAAGGCATACAAACTATTTCGGCAGATGCACCCTACTCCAGTTCTCCCCTTAAAATAATTAATTGACAAGAAATTCCACGAGCAGCATCCACGCTCCACGGTACGGGACGGAACAACGTTACGTGTGTAAAACTCATTCTTTCCGCTGTTTTAAAAGATCGTCCTACGCGCAGTGATTACCAAAAGCTCAGTTAGGATTTGGCCGGGAGAGAAAGAGGGACCTATCGCTAGGCCTCCGCGGAATATGCTCGTATTTTTACCGATAATTCCTTTGAGCATTGCTCAAAATTACGTCCGATAATTCCCGTAATTCCACCAATAATTCTCACAATAATGCTTTTTTTCTTCCCTTTTTTGCAGATACCGTATCGCTTACGGGTTTTTTTGCCACTTGTACGGGCAAAAAAATCACGGTTCGCGTGAAACTCGGCTGGAAGCTTTTTTTTCTTTCTCTTTTGAAATACCGGGCGATCAACTCATTCAGGATCACAAGCTTTTTGGTACAAATCAGGGTGTTACAATGGAAAAAAATTGAAAAAAGGGGGGCATTGCTCAAATTTTACCGATTATTCCCCAAAAATTGCCAATAATTCCCGTTTTAAAAATCACACCGATAATTCCCGAAATTATGCCGGCATATTCCGCGGAGGCCTACCTATCGCGGCCATATCGCTAATTGCCCGGATTCATGTCCCTACACTAGGCTACAGACAGTACCCGGCCTCTGCCCCAACTTCACCCATTACCATGATTACGCATTCATATTTTCATTCACTACACGCTACCCTAGCACTTAGCAGCGCCAAAAACCGTGATATCATCATCAGGGGTACAGCAAGAATCGAACTCATGCTTGGCACATCATCGCTAACCTTGTCGAGTCGGCCATGCAATCCCCGCCACCAGTAGATCTACTATTTTCCAGCGAAGTCTTCGTTCACTACCGTTGAAATGGGCATCGAAGCCTCAATCAACCTGGTCTTCCAAGCTTAGTGATTCGAAATAATTTCGGTTGTGAACTGGATTCCGTCTTTGCAAAGAATCTAGGCTCCTGCCACCCCATGTCCACGCGTGCACGTCCACGGGCCAGCAGCAGTTTGAAGCTGCACTGGACAGTGGACACATGCGACACTCGACATAATATTAATAACAGCCTGACAGTGACACCGCTCTCTGCTGCCTCATGCTCAGTCTTGTCATGTGTAGCAGTGGTACAATCATTAATTATGACGGCTCATATCATGGTTGTGAGTACTCGAGTGCAGTGGTACAGTCCGTATCGCCTATAGGGTTGGCGGCTATAGTAATATACCGGATATAGTGATCAATTTCTCAAATTCATTTTCATTTGCCATAACTAAGTATACACAGTTATCGCGTATAGTAATAATCGTCTATAGTAATATATCGCCTATAGTGATCAAATTCATATTTCAAAAAACGTTTATTACACTATTTTTGCATCGGTTATAGTGATTGATGTAAAATCAAGCGATGTCAGAGGAGAACAGAGTGTTACTTCTTCGTGAAGAACTTGTCCAGTGAGTGTTGTTTGGTGAGTTTTGCTTATACAAGTTGCCAAAATATGCCTCCATCATGAGGAAATCCTGATTTTGTGTGTCAGGAGCTACAGCCAGCTACATGACATTGTACATGTATGTAGTGCGTATGTGCACGGCGCGCTGAGTCGTTTGACACCCCACTCGCATACATTGCATGCAGTATCGGTCATAGTAATATATCGCTTATAGTGATAAAATGCTCAAAATCAAACACCAACGCTATAGGCGATACTGACTGTACATAACGTCGTTTCGAAAGTGCTTATCGATGCGAGCCTGATTTCGGCAGCTTCTTTTTTTTTTTGCAGTACATGCAGCGCAGTGGTCCATGTAGATCTACCAGTCCATGCACGCGTCATGTAACTGCAAGTGTCTGTAGTAACTGTTGCGTATAGCCTTTGTCACAATTATGTGTTGACATGACTTTGATTGTAGATCTGCGCCTAGACTAGAGCCTAGAGGAGTCTGGCCTTTCAACGCACACGGGGATTCCCTGGGATGGGCTGGTGGCAGATCTGTCAAAGACGAAGACGAAAGGGAACACCGTCATCGTCATCGGGATTTTTTGTCGATTCTATTATTATACGCGAAGCAACGTTTCCGCTAGCTCGTTTCAGCGCGGCGCCGACAGGAATTTTCTTCACAAACATAACAGCGTTCTCGAAACAGTAGATCTACACCCCGTCGAGCTATGAATGCCGTATGTAGTCTCAGAAATGAAAGAAGGGTAGTTCGTTGCTGCAGCTCGATCTCGATTTGTTTGGAACGTCTGCACTCCACCAGTCCGAGCAGTGCATCGGATTCCAGCAAACAGCTCAAAGGAGCGAGCGAGCGGACATCAGATTCTCTTTTTCGCCGCTTGAAGAAGAGACTACCCTGCCTCCAGGCCAGCCTGGGGCTAAACTAGCTATACAGTGTATTACAGTCATGACTAACTATGTTACTTCGTACTTAGTTTCTGAAGGCTTGGGTCACAAGCTTTCTGAAGCAGTGAAGACCCATTTAGATTGCGGTTCAACTGGACCACGAACATCCTCCTGATCTGGCTTCCAGTCGCTTGCCCCTCCATGATCCACCGGGTTCCAGTCACGTCAGCAGGAGGAGTAAACATGGTAAAAGGCCTGGTTGGTTGGCTACCAATATTGCAATAGTACCATCAGGGAGTCGTCGTTTCACGACTCCCTGGACGTAGTCCCTCGGATCCGGAGTCGTACCAGCGATGTGATAGCTCCCACCCTCTGCCTGGTTCACACTGAACTCCGGCAATCAGACAACATGGTATGCACGCAAGAGTCAAGACTACCGAAAGACGAAGTGCTAAGCCATAACATGAGCATAGCCATAATGCATAGCCTAGGCATAGGCCAGAAAAGTCTAGATGCCCTGTGTAAACATGGTAAATGGTGTCGGCCCGTGCAAGAGTCAGTGAGTACATGTAGATCTATGTAGATCTAGCAGTAACTGTAAGGCCAAACAGCCCAAAGCACTCGGAAGTCGGAGCGGTGACTAGGCCTGTCCGAAAAATGTTCTGAATTTTTTTTGCATTTTGGGGTACATTTTGCATTTTTGCATTTTTTCTGAATTTTGCCCATTTTTGGTCGAATTCCAAGGTTTCAGCCAAGGTTTCAGCTCGACCAAGTCAAGTTCGGCTTGCTATTTCGGTGTCTTCTGTCCCTCTTGGCTGAGACACAAGACTAATAGTTGCACTGGCCTCCTAATCACACAAATGGGAACACGTGGGTGTTTAGTTCTACATGTACATGCAGGTGTTATAAAAACAACAAAGATTTATTGTTCTAGTAGTAGTACATGTGTAGTATACATGGTATAGGTAGTATGCAATCGATCCAGCAAGCGTAAGGCAACACATGTGACTTGCAATGGTGAGAAAATGATTAGCTTTGCAGGCTTGTCAGGCAATGTCAGCAAAAGGGGTGACAAGATTATGACCATGCAGTGCGTGTACACATGACATGATTAGAGGTACATGTCCTAGCAAGGCAGGGATACTACATGTCTACATGACTGTACATGTACAGTGTGACATGGAAAATTTTTTGTGATCACCATGGCATGGCGGCCATTTTAGATTCTGGTTGCCATGGCAACGGATGCATTTTCTCTGCGTTTTGGGTTGTTTGGCTTTGATTTTTTGATTTTTTTACATTTCCCTTTGATTTCTTGTTTGAATGTTGACTGGAAAACCATGCATTTTGCATTTCCATTTTCCGCAAATTAAAACACATTTTTCGGACAGGCCTAGCGGTGACTGAAGCAGGGAATAGATTGCTGCAAATAGCATGATGACGTCACGGTGACGTGGTGACTGGACTGGACTGTACTGGAAGGGATTTCCTCCAAACACATCCTGATGACAACAGTCAACAGTCAGCACGCGCCGCGGGCAGTGCCGGAGCTTGACTTGAGAAAACCATTACATAGCCTCATACTGTCATCATGGTCATAGGCATAGAGCAAGACTAGACTCTAGTCTTGAGAGTTGAGTAGATCTACGAGTAGAGCCTAGAGGCTTACTGCTTGAGCCATAAGGCCAAGTAAAAAAAAATCCTAGTTTATCGTCCCCGCCCGCCCCATTTTTCGAGGCCGCCCGGAATTTATTTTTATTTTTTAAATCTAGAATTTTGCCAAAAAGCTTGATTTTTTACGTCGGCTAAGGCTTGAAAACACAGCTTCGTCTTTCTGGTGGTCTATCTGGTGGTCTGTGTGAACCAAACAGTATTGGGGTTTGTGTCTTATGAGTGGAGTGACAATCTGTCGATCCAAAGATTTTGCATGTAATTGTTTATGTACATATAACTGTTATAGCATTGTGTATTCCATACACTACCACTATTCTGTTGCAGATTGTTGCACATGAGGTGTCATTGTTTACCAAGAACTATACTAGTCTGTAGCACATCAAAAAATAAAAAATAAAAATAAAATCCGCCCTCCCTCCCCGATTTTTGTGAAAAAAAGGACGATAAACTGGGATTTTATTTTACTTGGCCTAAAACTGCCTTGTACTTGTAAGTTGTAGGCTCCTTGGCGTGTCCACACCTTCCGGTTTCGCCGATAGTAGATCTGCATGTGTGTAGATCTACTCGTGGTAGATCTACAGCTAGCTATAGCAGCGCTATTACTAGTACTAGTAGTATTAGCATTTCAGGCTCATGCTGGCAGAACTACAAAACTAACTTGAGTCGAGAGACAACTGGACCAGCGCCGGCATGCGGACTAGACTACGTAGCTGATGATGAGATGGGCCAATGCCGGGCAAGATGTCGATGAGCAGCGCGGTTGAAGTGAGCGACTTACAATTTTTTGCAGATCATGATGCCGGCAGGCGCTAGGCCCGTGGTGAAGTCACAGTGTCTGTTGCCAGAGCTAGAGGCAGTGTTGGCCGTGGTCATTCATGGTGACTTTGCAGTGTGCTGTGAACAGGTGAGGTCTGGAGAACAGGACTCAGGAGTAGACGTCTAGTGCGTGCTTGCGCCACTACCAAGCCCAAGGATCGTGAAAAGGCGACCGACTGCTGGAGAACACCCACTGACCCAGTGTATTTGATGTTCCGGTCGAGATCTTCCCCTGGATCAGTGGATGGATGGTAAGCACGCAAGTAGTATGTTAGCTACATGACCGTCCCACTAAAGACTATGGGAGTATGGTAGAGCTGCAGGTGGCTGCACTCTGCAACTATGGACATGACACTGTCTGTACACACAGTCCTGCTGATCTGCAGAGCCAAGGCGGAGGTCAGGAAAAGTCTGCTCATGGATGGTAGCTAGGACTAGCAGAATCTTGTGGTCTTTCCGTTAGTGGATATCGATGAGAGCTGGCTTTCGAACCTGACAGTGGTTGAAGTATCGAAGGACAGTAGATGGTCCCAATGGCATTGGAACCACCTCGTTCAACAACGTCCCAGATCAACCGTCACAATAATTGCTAGTGAAGTACGGTTGGTGGAGCTCATTGAGAGGCTGTGGACAGCCATCACAAATCCAGTCAGAGCCGAACTGGTCAATCTGGTCGTATTTGTGCTGCAGGGCAAAGCTGTACCGCTTCTTGCCATGGTCATTTCTGTTAGTGGTGGGCAGTACATGTACTTGGAATAGTTGCAAGTCACTGTGCGCTAACACGAACAGTGGATTCACTAGTGTACACCCAACGAAGCTGTGCTGACCCAGGATCTATAACCAAGCTAACGTTGCCGTCTCGCTGGTATTGTCACAGCTGCTTTGTATAATGGAAGGTGTGCATGGCAGTGATGGTGGTGGTGGTGGTGATGGCGGTGGAGAGGGGCCAACACCGGCACGGATAACATGTCGGGCTCAACAGAATGGCCTGGACGTGCAAGGAGAGAGAGCTTTCGTGGTGCTGGGAACTCGGCCAACAAGTGACCACCATCAATCTATCATAGGTAAGTGCAGCCTTCACATGTCCATCATTGCCATGGCAATCTTTTTTTCAACTCACTAGAGTCACTACACAGTGCGGTATGGTGGTCAGTCCATTGCATGCACAGTACCATTATGATAGTTGCGTGCCAAATTCGAATCAATACTGAGACAATTCTTGGAGATAGGAATTGGTGGCTAAGTTTGATGATAGGACGGTTGGAACTCAACTTCAAAAACTCCTATCCCAGTCCCTGTGCTATGTTTTACACCTCTTCCTGCATGCCGTCCTGCATGGCTCTCTGATGTTGCAATCTAGGCAGCTATAGCCAGAAAGAGCGGCCCAGTATGACGTTGAAGAGTGACGGAGGTGCAGCTGTCATCAGTGGCCATGGTATTTTCGTGTGGCAACCACACCTCACCAACAATCTACCCGAGTACCAAGGTAGGACAATTTTTTATTCCCGTAGCTATGCAAAAGACGTTACTTCAGTAATGTCTGGCGCTAGGCAGGGTCCACACAGCCTTAATTCCGTGTTTGTTTGTTTGTTTGTTTGTTTGTGCCATCGGCATGCCTGGCGCTATCCTGTACCTGTCCCGTACTGTACCATCAAAGACATCAATACGGTGTTGTACGGTATAAGGATGTCATATAGCATGTCGTACAACAGTACGATGAAATTGTGGGAGAAACCAGCGACCGCTTGGGAACGATGAACATTACAACATTCTTATTGTGAGTGAGAGTCAGGCCAAGTTTATGAAGATTAGTTGCGAGTGCTATCCCGAGCATTATGTTAGCATTACAAAAGCGACAGGATGCGTATTATAGGAGACCCAAGTTGCTGAAGATCAGTAGTCATAGCTGATAACGTGCAGAAAAACTAAATCCGCAGCCTCTTTCGCCGTCAGACAGGATGCGTATTATAGGGGACTGTAAAGTTATGTAATGTGCTCCACAGGCAACCATGCATTCGGCCGTCAGCAACAGTTAAGCACAAGCCCACTATCAAGGCAAGGGCATTATTGTATTATTGTATGGTATCGTATTGTATGGAATATAATTTTACCTCATTGGCTCAGCAGGTCAATGTATTGCTACAAAAAGGCCAGAAAATCCGATCATGAGGGGCAGTTCTAATAACATGCATGATGAGCTAGGCAAAAAAGCATAGTGTAGGGCCCTGAGCTTCCAAGCTCTCTCGTTTTTTTAATTTTACAATGTCCACAGCTCACAGGCAAAGAACATGCTTTCTATTAGTCGTGACAGCTGTCCCAGGGTCATGTGACTCACATGCAGATGTTGGATAACTAGCATTCTTTTGTGGGAAATATTGCAGTTGCATGTTGGCTCCAGGTTTCAGATGAGTACAGTAAAGTATGTCTTAGTAAGAGGTAGGGGTGCTAGCTGCAAACTTCCGGTTCAGAAGGATATTGTGATCTGTAAGTGTGAATCCTTTTAGGATTCACATTCTGAAATACTGCATTGTGACATGCTAACAAGTGGTGTCCTATTCTACAGAGACTGAAAGCCGCATGGGTACAAAGCATGGTAAGGATGCCACGGACTACCAGGAGACTCATATGCCGCGTGATCCCTGCGATTCATCAATACATCGCCAAGAAAGCTCCGGCTCAGATGAAGATCCAAAACTGAGGATTGCTCCAGATAACGATATGGGTGAGCCGGTGACAAGTCAAGTTTGTACTCGCTCGGTCCGAATTTGTGCTAGTGGCTAGGCTATGAAGTTGAGTGACACAGAGTTTAGTAGTATATTGCAGGCGCGTAGATCGCATAGGGCTCGGGGGCACGTGCACCCCCTAAAATAATTTTGCCTAGGTCCAGCATGCACGTCATGACCATGACCATGAATGACATTGTATTGGATTGGATTGTAGTCTCTATTTACTTCGCAAAGTCAAACGGGATCTTTGCCGAATACCGTATTTCCTCGATTAATGGACCATGCTCGAATAATAGACCATGCTCAAATAGTAGACCCTCCTACAGGCCTCACGGAAAAATAGTAGACCATGCCCGAATAAGAGACCCGGTCTCTTATTTGAGTTCATCGCTTTGCGCATGCGCACTAAGAAAGCACGTGGTGGATCAAAAAAGGACGCGATTTTTGGTTGCGCAACTACAATTTTTGTAGTGGCTATTGCTTTCTTTCATTATTTGAGCACCGTCCACTATATTTTCATCGGCACATCGCTGGAAATGGTGGATTTTAACACGTCATAATATAGAAGTTCTATTACGACGTGTTAAAAATCCACCGTTTCCAGCGATGTGCCGATGAAAATATAGTGGACCGTGCTCAAATAATGGACCATGCCCAAATAAGAGACCGGGGTCCAACCCTCTTCAAAAAACAAAAGACCGGGTCTATTAATCGAGGAAATACGGTAACATGATAGCGAAGGGTGAGGGATAGCGATCCCCTCCCCCTTCCCTTCTTGAAGATACTATGGCAGGTTATTGTATTTACTTCAAATTCCCACTAACATCAAGTCACATTCCAGCATGCGTGTGGCCTGATCTTTATAGAGGTTGTGCGATTACAGAATCAGCAAGAGTCCATAACCCCAAGATAGTACATGTACGAGCTATGAGTACCTTGCATGCTGCATGGCCTTCATTACCTATTGAAACGATAATCAAGCCGCTTGCCTGGATTTAACTTTTCTTACGGTTTAGAATACTTTAGATACAGGTCCAATACTGCAAAGTAAGTGAATACTGCAAAGTAAGTGAATACTGCAAAGGAAGTGAATACTGCAAAGGAAGTGCCTGAACGCCACGCATCGCATGAAAACCCATCCGAAGTCTCCGAAACGACGCAATAGCTCAAAGTTTATGGATACGTAATGTGGGCAGCGTGCTGTGCCAGACCCCATATGCAGAGTTGCACACTCTTGGGGTTATGTATTCTTGGCAGTTGAGATACTTTTGGCAAATTCGCGGCACAGCGATGCACTAGCGGCTCACTAACAGCTCACGACGTATACATTGCACCTATAAGCGGTTCCGCTCACTCACCACCATGACATCATTCGCATAACCTCTGTACAGTACCATTGACACCCCCCCCCCTCCCATGCTCTGACGCTTCTCATCTGGTTTACAGAAATGGCTAGCTCGAGGCTGTCAAGTGCAGTTGAATGGCGTGTGTTGTGTACAGTGGTGTATGCCGATCAGTTCAACACCGTATCTAAATGTGTATGTATCCATTAGCTGCACAAGCAGAAAATAGAAAGGAGGCGTACCAATGGTAGTTTATGCTAGCATCTGTCTCCAATGTTAACCTACAGGCCTTGTTGAGTGGTAATGGAGAGGTTGCGCACAACGAAAATCCGTAAGATTTTCACCGTCCGGGTTCCAGTAACGAAAGTTGCTACGAAGATCTGTCCAAATGCGGCGGAAACAGAGCAGATCTACGAAAATATTTTTCGTACTGTGGAGTACTAAAATACTGATAATATTTTACTTCGAAGTACAACTCCCTGTCTTGACTCTTCGCACCCGCGCGGCCGCCGCGTTGACCCACTACGAAAAAGTTCACGCGTTGTGCGAAACTTCACAGTTTACGAATATTCGTTAGCTTTTTTCGCTCAAAAATTTCGTTACAGTGCCACAAATCTCTCTATTAGGGAGGTTCCGGAGTACGATTTTTCGTGCCAAAATCCGTGGAGGCTCTACGGATTTTTTATACGTCGTTTTCGAGCAGTGAAAAGTTCCGGGGTACGGAACTTATGTGTTTGCCGTCGACGCGTCATTGCCTAGGGTTACGATCGCAAACACGTCACATTCCCGCGCTATGCCTTTTTATTTTGAAAATTTGTACCGAAATCAAAACTTCCCGCGAAAAATCGATGTTTCTCGTACCAAATTTGTACGCGAAAAATCATTCTGCACCCGATGACGCAAAATCTCCATACGGAGCATGGTTCGTATGAAAGCCAGTCCACACGGATTCTCGTGCCGAAAAATCGTATGGAGCACGCCTGGAAAAAATCCGTAGCGCCCATACGGATTTTGGCACGGAAAATCGTACCCCGGAACCTCTCTATTGTTAGGAGTACATGCACTTACAAGTAGTAACCATGACAACCTGACCAGGCAGGCACAGTGGGTTGGTCAAAGACCATGATTGAGATACGAGAGGCACCTGGTTCAAGTCCTGCCTGGGAGCGGTTTTTCCAGCCGTGCTGCTACCCACAGTCAACTGGGAACTTGTGGCCAGGCACAAGGGGTACATGGATGCAGCTAATGGGGTCGTTTTCGGCACTTGTGCCAGTGGTTGTGAGACTTATCCACTCACCCCCACCGTTAGGCGCTGCATCTGCCGCTAGGGTTTATCGGGTGTTAGCGGCCGTCGTGAGTTCCCTTCGGGAACGGACACGATAATTTACTTTTTTTTTTTTTTTTTTTACAACCTGATCTTGTGCTTCATCATGCTCATTTAGGCATGTCAGGAGTTCCCTTTGTTGACAGCAAGTCGCGTGCATCTCGGGGAGAGGTGACGTACGAGACTAGTTGCAGTGGAATCGTCGTGCATGGCTCGGGTATGATGGTAGTCCATGGTGGAAATGAGCAAGGTTAGTTCTACGGTGGGGAACGAGTTATGGCCACCGATTGTCTGGTTGCCGGGGTGTTCATATACCTGTGAAATTATCTCGCATGAGTCAAGCCTAGCGCTAGCGTGTGTTATAGGAAGGGGCAGCATTTAACACGTCGTCGACCTTCATTTCCCTTCACTCTTGCAGGGGCCACGTTGTACACCAGACACTGGTGCCACCACCTCGGTGATGCTGACGTATGCCGCACTGCTAGCGATGCAAAGTCCCCATGGGGCAACAGGGTACATAAGCTGATACCAGTGGGTTGTGCGAAACTCCTTGATTGATAATCATCTCTGTGTACTGTGCAGATCTTGACTTGCTGGACAAAATACCAATAGCCTCGGATGAGTACGTGGACAGTGTGAAACACGACATGAACTTCAACACAAGGAAGTGCAACATCTGTGTCTGCGGCCGCCAGTGTAAGATCTTTATTGGTGGCCAATCTGACAATGGAAGCAAGATTGCGGATTCGAAAGCAGATTCTCCAGGTAGATATACATGTTCATCCTTGCCGGCCGTGTTTCACATTCAGTGGCAGTTCTCTGTCACCTGCTGTAGGGGTTATGTGATACAACTTTACAAGAGGTGAAGCAGGGGCATAGCTGATTCCCCTTTTAGGGCCGGGGGGGGGGGGGGGATGGTGCATGGCCGCATGCATGTATGTGTAGGATGGCGGGTGCATGTCATTCATGATCATTACGTGCATGCTGAACCTATAAGTCGAAATTGATGGGGGGGGGGGGGGGTGCACATGCCCCCTGTATCCTATGCAAGCTACACGCCGGGTGATGTAAGAGACAAATGTGTGCGAGGTACATGTAGGCACCTGGCAAATCTCACATTCCTGCACTATGATAACCTATGATGCATGTGCAACGAGGGGAAAGTAGGAGAAGCACCTGGAGACACAGTTCCTTCTTTCTGTAGACCAGGGCTCCTTCGCTTCAGATTATTCAAGCATAGATGCCATATTCTGCCACTGGTGAAGGATTGCGTTTGTTGATATTTTAATGACGTTTGAGCACAAACTCTTCTGGTCAAACCGCAAGCAATTTTCCGACGTCGGCCGCGTGGTACCATAATTAAAGTGTGCACATCACACCCCACTTGTGAGGTCTGCATTCGACACTGAGGATATATGGGCGAAGTGGTGGCCCGCCGATGCGAATGTATTTGCTTGATGTGTTCCTGAACACGTCAGGTGATGCGGCCTGGCACGCGACTATCTTCTTTGATGCATAGTGGGTGCATAGTGCATAGTGCATAGTGCCTATGACATGCCGGTCTCTACACTGACTCAGGCATGATTGTAACTACAGTCTCACTCATAGCGGTTATGCGAAAGAAGAAGTTCTAATGAGGAGGCAGCAGAATTCTGGAACCGCACATGGGTGCTTTAAGTATACAGCGGAACCGCTTATGGGCATTTTGTATACGGAGCGAGTCGCTAGTGCATCGCTGTGCCGCAACTTTGCCAAAGCATTTCAACTGATGATATAAGTCATGTAATCATATTATGTCATAACCTCTATTGAGTGCTACGCAGTATGATCGTGGTCAGTCCCATGCACACTCAGAGTGTGCAATAGAGGGGCATCCCCTGTGCAATAGGGGGGGGGGGGCATCCCCTGTGCAATAGGGGGGGGGGGGCATCCCCTGTGCAATAGGGGGCATCCCCTGTGTATAGAGTTCCCAGTGGCTGGTAGCAGGGACACAGGGTACAGTGCGGATCGGCTATAGGGTTGTCGGCTATAGTAATATACCTCTTATAGTGATCGTATTCTCAATTTCATTTTCGTAAACCACCCCTTTCTATACATAATTATCGGATCGGCTATAGTAATAATCGGCTATAGTAATATATCGGCTATAATGAAACGATTTCTTTGTCAAAATGATTTTATTGCATACATTTTTCATCGGCTATAGTGATGATCGTAAAAAATTATACATCGTACATGGCGAGATCTGATCGCGGCAGTCAGGAAGCGCTGGTACGACTATGATATTCCTCGGAGGAAATTCGAAATGTTTGGCGTTGGCTGTGCTTGTTGTTCCGCGGCATCCTCGAGCAAGAGCGGAGGCAGTAATGAGTACCAGCGCTGAAGCGCTACCGTGGTCTCTGCCGAGATGTTGGAGAAGGCATTCAGGTAACAGCGAAGACGACCAGGGACGCGGAGAAGCTTCTCCGTGACATACGACATCACGCGTCGATCGACCTGCCACTTGGAACGGAATGTGTTGAAGTGTTTCTCTTCCAAAAGAAGTTTAAAGAACACATTTGTTGAGCACAACAACTCCTTGAAACTCATGTCAAAAAGTCACGAAGTTTTTGTTTCCGCAGGAAGTAGCTCTGCACTGCGCGTACTGCACAGTCACATGCACAGCACGCTGCACTGGTTCGAATGACACCATACACGCATGTGTCAGGCATACCTAAGTATGCAGATCGCCTGTAGTAATATATCGCCTATAGTAATATTTTCACGAAAATCAAACACCAACGCTATAGCCGATCCGTACTGTACAGTTGTAACTCAGAGTTTCACACTAACTGATACACTCGGCAGAAAACAATGATAGCTAGAGTGGAACATACACCACGTAGCAGACTAACAATGACGAGTACCGGTACATGCAGTCATCCACCCATCCTTTCTTGCCTTTTCTCGTCTGTTCTTGTGTCTTGTCTTTCGTCTGTTCTTGACGTGATGTAGTGAAGCGACGCTGCACTCAGTGCTGCAAGTCACTGCCTACCTGTGTAAGTGTTGAGGAGAGTGTTGACAGTCTCGGCCTGCACTCCCGTGACATATTCTCTACTCCCTCTTCACCAGTAAAGACGGTAAGCACTGCCGCAGCCTGGTCTCGTCACCATGGTCACAGGCTGGCTAGACAGACCGGCTTATCCTGATGATGTCAGAGGTCATGATGGTACTACCTATCAATAACTCCCCACCTCTTCTTGTTGTGTATATGCCTGTACACCAGTACTAGATCACTGGCTGTGATCCTGGACATCATCTATGTATGTTAATGTAGGGTAGCTCTATGCATGTTTACAAGTCAATTCTACATGAGTGTAATGTTAAAATGTGGCAAATCTTGAAGTAATGTTTCACTTGTTAAAATGCTGAATACATCATCCACACAGAAATGCCAGCTGTTCAAAGGGTGTACTGATGAACTCTGTTCTGCTGACTCAACTGCCTCTTTTGTCCTTTCTTCTCTCCCTTGTATGTAGTCTCCTGGAGGCGTTACAAACTGTGACTGGTGTCAATGTCAGCAAAGGTATGCCGGTGATACCAAGCATAGCACAGCACGGCGCCGCACAAGCTTTGACAGTGGTGATCGCTACAGTGCGGCGTCTCCAGAGTATGTTGATATCAACAGCATGCCGGTACATAAGCTGTCGTTCAGTGCACGCCTGAAACTGGCTGAGCTGCTCAATATCGAGCAGATCAACGGACACGACTGGCGATTGCTAGCTGATTCGTTTGGATATAGTTACACCTACATCCGGGGTCTGGAGCGGAAAGAGTCACCAACGCTTGCTCTTCTGGATGCCTTGCAAGGCAAGGGCATCAATGTTGGTCAGCTATTGGATGTTTTGGCAAAGCTGGATCGTAAAGATGTTGTCATCGAGCTCACTGAGATGTTGGAAGACAGCCAGTTTTAGGTATTTTGTGTTTCTTTTTTTTTCTGCCAACGAACACAAAGCTAAGCACATGTGTGACTGGTGTGACTTGCATGCCCGAGAAGATAGTTAAGGCTGGCCTACGGCCCTTGGACTAACCTGCCGGGGGCTGACAAGCCAAATGCCCCCCCCCCCCCCACCACGCACCAACCTATAATTAGGATACACTATCATGTCATAAAATGCGTTGAACCGAAAATCACTGAACTCCAGTTCATACCCATGATGGCTCTGGCCCACAATAATGCTCTGACTGTAGCCCGGGTACGTTGTTGACTGTAGTCACCGGGTACATTTAGGACCTCACTTCTACCTAAATACACACTGATCAAAATTCCCCATTCAAATGTGTATACTTCATGCAAGCCAACTTCATCTTGTGCAGCTGTATTCACGTATCTCTCATTTCTGATTGTCCAAACATCCCGTTGCCGTGTTGGCAACATAGCCATGGACGGTGGTGCACGAACATGACGACCTGGGCTCATTTTCTTTACTTTGTGTGTCAGTGAAGCATCTGCAGAGTGAACTGCAGCGTGACTGCGGAGTAAATAAAAGAGCATTCTACAGGGCAAGCCAGCCAGCTATGGCCGTAGGAGTTATGTCTCCTGAATGTTGTGTCAGCATGACTGAGTTCTCCAGGCTCTGGTCTCATGCAGTGTTCTTATCACAGCCGTGCATGATGGACTGCGAAGGAAATGGCTTCATCCTTAAAAAAAACCTTTGAAGCGCCTGTCAACACATGGCCACACAAAACACCCATGGTACTGTTGTCTGAGAATTATTACACGGAGCTAAGTAATAGTTCGTTCTTGAAAACACTCTCGGCAGGCTCAGATGGCCCTTCTCCAGTCCCATCCATCAGGTGAGATAGCATTCCACAGTGTACTCGTAGACCTTGCAGACCAACCACAACTTGGATGTAGAAAACAAGCTCTGCCTACCATGAAGGCAATAAGCATTGCATGCAAGAGCAGTGGGTACTTCCTATAGCATAAATCCGCATATACGACTACTCCGTGGTGTTAGCACGCACCATGTACCAGCACCACCAGTACCGCCACCATCACCACCACCACTGAATGCACGGACAGATTCAATCAATAATCCCGAAAGGAAGAGCGAAAATCAAGCATGCTGAAAACACAAACATGAGCAAGATCATTGTACGGTGGTAATGTAAACCAGCAGTGGACCACTACTACAACTACTACATGTACTACGGAAAACAGAGAACAGAGAACAACGTAACAAATGCGATACAACCGCAGACAATAATGGCTAGCATATGTGTCAGGTCTGTACTCAATGTGTCACCGCACATCTCACAAGCAAAGAAACCCAAACACTGGCAACGAGAACAGCATACATGTATGTACAAGAGCTAAAAGAGGGAGAAATGAAAAGAGAGAAAATGTAGCATGTCTGAGAAGGGAACAGAAACTTTACTACATCGGTCACTTCTAGAAAGAAGAAGTTAATGTACACAGAAGTCGAGACAAGGCCATATAAAAGGAACAAATACTACCAGCAGACGCATACCGGGGCAAGCAGGCAATGTTAAAAAGAGAGAGAACAAGGAACAGGAGTTCCGTAAAAAGAGAGAGAGAGAGAGAGAGAGAGAGAGAGAGAGAGAGAGAGAGAGAGAGAGAGAGAGAGAGAGAGAGAGAGAGAGAGAGAGAGAGAGCAAACAATATATAATGTATTGCGGGGAGCCAGGTACACTGCGCAGAGTGTACACCTGTATTGGCGTCAGTGGCTGACGAGGCAGAGGAGGAAGTGCAAGGAGGAGCGAAGCAGGAACGGAGAAAAGAGCTGCCAGATATCTGCGGTGTGTAAACCAAGCCGCATGGCTCAGTCAGCGATAATGTGCACATGTGGGTGTGATAAATAATGTTTCTTCACAGTAAACGGGGCAGCAGAAAAATAGGAAAAAGAAATCGGCTATAGTTGTCACGGCAGCAGCCATACAACAGATAAGTCAGCAAATAGAGGACACATGTCACCCATGCACTGGATACAGCAGTAGATTTCATGATGGACAGAGCTCAACTCTCAAGCTTCTTCTAAAAAACAAACAATAAACAGGAATATGCGTATTGAAAAGTGTTAGCTGGGAATAACCAGGATCTGTTGATGCGGTTGTAGCGGTTGTAGCGGTTAATAAAGACTATTGAAAGGGAAATAAAGCAGATATCTTTGTCGAGATGCCTCTGTCCTATAGGGATGCAAATAAAATATAATCGCTTTCTTAGACTGATGATTCTGTCACAACAAACTTTGGCGCGCAGAAGAGTGCGACAAACTTCTCCAGGAAGAGGTCGTTGTCCAGTACAGCTACATGGCCGGCGCGGCCTACAAGGACGTTGACGTCCACATTGGACTGGAAGTGGTGCACTACGGTGTAGCGACTTAGCTGCGTTGCACTATACTGCAAGGGCCGCAGCAGGTTCTGCACCATCTCCATATGGATACGACCTGATGATGGCAATTGAAAAATAAATAAAACACAAACAAAAGCCAGCTACAGTCAAGCAGCATTAGCAGCAAATCCCTATTCTTTAAAAATATTCACAATCCCTATTGCTACTTTTCTTATTATTATTTCCCTCACAACCCCTGCCGGAATCTGCCGTTGGGTGGTTGGCCAACACCAACTCTCTTCACATTGGCTGGTATTCCCACTGCGTCTTGAGGTGTTCAATAAATAAATCAATCACAATGCTAGCATAGCAAAAAGCTGTACGTGAACAGTACTACATTACTGGCTGGACATGCCGCTAAGACACTACAATGGAGATAGATACGAGGGGTGGTAGCCTGTAGATGTCAGTGCATTAGGCTAGAAGAAACCTACGACAAAGGACTGGCTCCACAGTGAGTATTATGAGCAACCTTATTGTTACCTATCACAAAGGACTGGCATTACAGGAAACAGGAACCTTCACAGAGGAAGCACATGGCTTCTCAATTAAAAAAAAAAAACACGCACAAAACGTGAATATAGTGAGGCATGCTGCTGTGGCTAAATGAGACTTCAAGTAGGAACATAGACAGAGAGCATTTTGTTTCACTTACTAAGCTCTTCATCATCTCCACCCGTGTGAAGACCAATGTGAGCAGAGTGAAATGGGACATACTGGTCCTGATGAGATGCAACTAACAGCACCGACTTGAATAATGCCAGGCCTAGAGCAAGCCAAACACAGACACGCACGCACACACCCAGATGAAAAGAAGGCTGGGGCATAGCTACATGTCCACACAGCAGACCTCAGTACAGAGATGAAGAGTTGAAGATTAGTTCAAAGTAAACGTGAATGCATGCAGTTGTTGTTGCATATTCGGGTCGACAAGTTATACAGGTTGCACACGTTGTGTAAGGCTGCAGTCAATGTGAACGTGAATTGGAGCATCTGCATACTGAGGGCAACACAACACTAGTATTGCACACAGCGCATGTGTCGTGCATTGCTCAGTACCCTGCAGCTGCCAATGAGCAACACACGCACACGCACAGTATGATAGGCAGTTTCATCTCTCCAGTGACAGGCCATAGCTACAAGTACATACCAGGTTTTAAACTGAGCTGATAGAGAAAAGATCTTCTCTTATCCGAGGTATCCTTCATAGCCAGCTGACATAACGAGGTTGACTTCTTCCATTTACGCATCAGCCACATTCCTGCACATTGCCAGTTGAAAAAAAACCCGTTTCAACAATGAATAGGACTTATAGAAACGTAGAAACCAGAAATCATTGTCACAGCACATCTATAGGGAGCATCAGGCTCAGGAAACCCTCTCCACACTAGCTATGTCCAAGCATCCACGGCACTACCCAACAGTGTGCAGAGCAGGACAAAAACGTGATATGCTGTCTCGACTACTTCTCCATACACTTTGCCATGACATACCAGTCCTAATATTGTGAAACCTGGCTGAATTTATACCTCCTTCTCCCTTGACTTTTCCATCCTCCGATGTGACCAGAAAGATGTGCATGTGCAATACAATGCAACACCATGCAATACAATGCTACACCATGCAATACAGGGCAGGGTATGTTTTGACTGTATCTACCACTGCATGCTCGAGATAGCACAAGTTAGGGTACTAGTACCAGTTTCAGATGAATGCAGGCAATGCATCCACCCACCCATATACCCCCCCCCCCCCCCCCCCCTACACTCACACCACCCACCCCCACCTACACTCACGCTCGCACACACAATACTGGGATGTGGTACATACCGGTACTGACAACAGAGTTAGCATGAGCAGTGCCTAGATGAGGCGCAGCAAACGATACATACACCTGCAGCAGGGGCAGGTAACAGCTGAGAGCTGGATGTGCCAGTGCACCACGAATGATGATATTACCTAGTGAGTGGCCAACAAAGCTGGGAAGCAAAATACACACACACATGCATACACATAATATTAACTGGCTTGAGGGAAAGAGACAAACGGACATATACATACACATACACACATACACACGCAAGCACACACACACACACACACACACACACAAGCGCGCACAAGAACACAATACATACAGGGGCTACATTTAAAATTAATACAGTAGTGGTGACTACTTACTAGTACAGCAGTACTCAATACATGTAGCAACGTTCTAAGCAAGGAAAATACAAAAAAGAGGGATATTTCACAGTAGAAGAGTGTTCTGTCCCCTCCCCCCCCCCCCCCCCCCCCCCATGTACACACAAACACAAACACAAACACGTGCACACACACACACACACACACACACACACACACACTCAGATACACACACACACACACACACACACACACACACACACACACACACACACACACACACACACATACACACACTCAGATACACACGTGTGCACGCCCACATGCACATCAACCTACCTCAGATGAGAAACGTTTAGCTCCTTGTCCTCAATGAATGCTGTGATCTCTTTCACCAGTGCCTCGATCATGATCACAAAGTCATTGTTGGTGTTTTGCTGAAACACATATGATCACCAGCAAAGCTACATTTTAGCATGTGTACTCACACACCAAACTCCATACTCACAATATAGTGAATATACAGTCATTTTAGTAATCTACAACACATACAGACTCACACAGAAGGATACAGTCCACTGTTGTACAGTCATGTACTGTGTAATCTACAATACATGTACCGGTATGTGTATAGTCAACAGGTAGATTGAGAGACATGCGACAGAAACCAACATACCTCATTGCTTTTCGACTTGAGGAACATCAAACCAGCGTCAGGCAATGCTAGCTTCAAGTAGATGGAGAACATTCGTAGATCCAGATGAAGACCTGCAATGGGAACAGCACCAACATGAAGTTCTGCAGCAGTCCAAGTGGTCCAAGTGCGTTATCCCCCCCCCCCCCCCCCCCTACAGAACCCCCTTTCTCACACTGCCACCACCACCACCTGCACCACCACCGTCACTACTCATTTTCGAAGGAACACAGCATACCTGCAGTCCACACACTGTGAGCATACCTGCAGTCCACACACTGTGAGCATACCTGCAGTCCACACACTGTGAGCATACCTGCAGTCCACACACTGTGAGCATACCTGCAGTCCACACACTGTGAGCATACCTGCAGTCCACACACTGTGAGCATACCTGCAGTCCACACACTGTGAGCATACCTGCAGTCCACACACTGTGAGCATACCTGCAGTCCACACACTGTGAGCATACCTGCAGTCCACACACTGTGAGCATACCTGCAGTCCACACACTGTGAGCATACCTGCAGTCCACACACTGTGAGTGTCTATGATTACAGTAGGCCATTCACACGATCAGTGTAAATGCGTAAATGGTACTAAATGCAAGATTAAGCGTTTGTGCAGGAGTGGACAAACAGCCCAGAGGATTGAAATGAGACTGTTCAAATCTTGCACACATCAGTGCAGTGTACCCATACTACGAGCACAGTGACCTTGATCGAGCATACTTTCTTTGGGAGCATACTTTCTTTGGGAGCATACTTTCTTTAGGAGCATACTTTCTTTAGGAGCATACTTTCTTTGGGAGCATACTTTCTTTAGGAGCATACTTTCTTTGGGAGTATACTTTCGTGTAGAGCATACTTTCTTTGGGAGCATACTTTCTTTAGGAGCATACTTTCTTTGGGAGCATACTTTCGTGTAGAGCATACTTTCTTTGGGAGCATACTTTCTTTAGGAGCATACTTTCTTTGGGAGCATACTTTCTTTGGGAGCATACTTTCTTTAGGAGCATACTTTCTTTAGGAGCATACTTTCTTTGGGAGCATACTTTCTTTAGGAGCATACTTTCTTTGGGAGCATACTTTCTTTAGGAGCATACTTTCTTTGGGAGTATACTTTCGTGTAGAGCATACTTTCTTTAGGAGCATACTTTCTTTAGGAGCATACTTTCTTTGGGAGCATACTTTCTTTGGGAGCATACTTTCGTGTAGAGCATGATACACGTGGGTGTACACGTCATGTGGACAACATCACCCATTGGCAATTCATGCTCTATAGTCACTGGGTATACCGGGTCTATAGTCACTGGGTATACCGGGTCTATAGTCACTGGGTATACCGGGTCTATAGTCACTGGGTATACCGGGTCTATAGTCACTGGGTATACCGGGTCTATAGTCACTGGGTATACCGGGTCTATAGTCACTGGGTATACCGGGTCTATAGTCACTGGGTATACCGGGTCTATAGTCACTGGGTATACCGGGTCTATAGTCACTGGGTATACCGGGTCTATAGTCACTGGGTATACCGGGTCTATAGTCACTGGGTATACCGGGTCTATAGTCACTGGGTATACCGGGTCTATAGTCACTGGGTATACCGGGTCTATAGTCACTGGGTATACCGGGTCTATAGTCACTGGGTATACCGGGTCTATAGTCACTGGGTATACCGGGTCTATAGTCACTGGGTATACCGGGTCTATAGTCACTGGGTATACCGGGTCTATAGTCACTGGGTATACCGGGTCTATAGTCACTGGGTATACCGGGTCTATAGTCACTGGGTATACCGGGTCTATAGTCACTGGGTATACCGGGTCTATAGTCACTGGGTATACCGGGTCTATAGTCACTGGGTATACCGGGTCTATAGTCACTGGGTATACCGGGCCTATAGTCACTGGGTATACCGGGCCTATAGTCACTGGGTATACCGGGCCTATAGTCACTGGGTATACCGGGCCTATAGTCACTGGGTATACCGGGCCTATAGTCACTGGGTATACCGGGCCTATAGTCACTGGGTATACCGGGCCTATAGTCACTGGGTATACCGGGCCTATAGTCACTGGGTATACCGGGCCTATAGTCACTGGGTATACCGGGCCTATAGTCACTGGGTATACCGGGCCTATAGTCACTGGGTATACCGGGTCTATAGTCACTGGGTATACCGGGTCTATAGTCACTGGGTATACCGGGTCTATAGTCACTGGGTACACCGGGTCTATAGTCACTGGGTATACCGGGTCTATAGTCACTGGGTATACCGGGTCTATAGTCACTGGGTATACCGGGTCTATAGTCACTGGGTATACCGGGTCTATAGTCACTGGGTATACCGGGTCTATAGTCACTGGGTATACCGGGTCTATAGTCACTGGGTATACCGGGTCTATAGTCACTGGGTATACCGGGTCTATAGTCACTGGGTATACCGGGTCTATAGTCACTGGGTATACCGGGTCTATAGTCACTGGGTATACCGGGTCTATAGTCACTGGGTATACCGGGTCTATAGTCACTGGGTATACCGGGTCTATAGTCACTGGGTATACCGGGTCTATAGTCACTGGGTATACCGGGTCTATAGTCACTGGGTATACCGGGTCTATAGTCACTGGGTATACCGGGTCTATAGTCACTGGGTATACCGGGTCTATAGTCACTGGGTATACCGGGTCTATAGTCACTGGGTATACCGGGTCTATAGTCACTGGGTATACCGGGTCTATAGTCACTGGGTATACCGGGTCTATAGTCACTGGGTATACCGGGTCTATAGTCACTGGGTATACCGGGTCTATAGTCACTGGGTATACCGGGTCTATAGTCACTGGGTATACCGGGTCTATAGTCACTGGGTATACCGGGTCTATAGTCACTGGGTATACCGGGTCTATAGTCACTGGGTATACCGGGTCTATAGTCACTGGGTATACCGGGTCTATAGTCACTGGGTATACCGGGTCTATAGTCACTGGGTATACCGGGTCTATAGTCACTGGGTATACCGGGTCTATAGTCACTGGGTATACCGGGTCTATAGTCACTGGGTATACCGGGTCTATAGTCACTGGGTATACCGGGTCTATAGTCACTGGGTATACCGGGTCTATAGTCACTGGGTATACCGGGTCTATAGTCACTGGGTATACCGGGTCTATAGTCACTGGGTATACCGGGTCTATAGTCACTGGGTATACCGGGTCTATAGTCACTGGGTATACCGGGTCTATAGTCACTGGGTATACCGGGTCTATAGTCACTGGGTATACCGGGTCTATAGTCACTGGGTATACCGGGTCTATAGTCACTGGGTATACCGGGTCTATAGTCACTGGGTATACCGGGTCTATAGTCACTGGGTATACCGGGTCTATAGTCACTGGGTATACCGGGTCTATAGTCACTGGGTATACCGGGTCTATAGTCACTGGGTATACCGGGTCTATAGTCACTGGGTATACCGGGTCTATAGTCACTGGGTATACCGGGTCTATAGTCACTGGGTATACCGGGTCTATAGTCACTGGGTATACCGGGTCTATAGTCACTGGGTATACCGGGTCTATAGTCACTGGGTATACCGGGTCTATAGTCACTGGGTATACCGGGTCTATAGTCACTGGGTATACCGGGTCTATAGTCACTGGGTATACCGGGTCTATAGTCACTGGGTATACCGGGTCTATAGTCACTGGGTATACCGGGTCTATAGTCACTGGGTATACCGGGTCTATAGTCACTGGGTATACCGGGTCTATAGTCACTGGGTATACCGGGTCTATAGTCACTGGGTATACCGGGTCTATAGTCACTGGGTATACCGGGTCTATAGTCACTGGGTATACCGGGTCTATAGTCACTGGGTATACCGGGTCTATAGTCACTGGGTATACCGGGTCTATAGTCACTGGGTATACCGGGTCTATAGTCACTGGGTATACCGGGTCTATAGTCACTGGGTATACCGGGTCTATAGTCACTGGGTATACCGGGTCTATAGTCACTGGGTATACCGGGTCTATAGTCACTGGGTATACCGGGTCTATAGTCACTGGGTATACCGGGTCTATAGTCACTGGGTATACCGGGTCTATAGTCACTGGGTATACCGGGTCTATAGTCACTGGGTATACCGGGTCTATAGTCACTGGGTATACCGGGTCTATAGTCACTGGGTATACCGGGTCTATAGTCACTGGGTATACCGGGTCTATAGTCACTGGGTATACCGGGTCTATAGTCACTGGGTATACCGGGTCTATAGTCACTGGGTATACCGGGTCTATAGTCACTGGGTATACCGGGTCTATAGTCACTGGGTATACCGGGTCTATAGTCACTGGGTATACCGGGTCTATAGTCACTGGGTATACCGGGTCTATAGTCACTGGGTATACCGGGTCTATAGTCACTGGGTATACCGGGTCTATAGTCACTGGGTATACCGGGTCTATAGTCACTGGGTATACCGGGTCTATAGTCACTGGGTATACCGGGTCTATAGTCACTGGGTATACCGGGTCTATAGTCACTGGGTATACCGGGTCTATAGTCACTGGGTATACCGGGTCTATAGTCACTGGGTATACCGGGTCTATAGTCACTGGGTATACCGGGTCTATAGTCACTGGGTATACCGGGTCTATAGTCACTGGGTATACCGGGTCTATAGTCACTGGGTATACCGGGTCTATAGTCACTGGGTATACCGGGTCTATAGTCACTGGGTATACCGGGTCTATAGTCACTGGGTATACCGGGTCTATAGTCACTGGGTATACCGGGTCTATAGTCACTGGGTATACCGGGTCTATAGTCACTGGGTATACCGGGTCTATAGTCACTGGGTATACCGGGTCTATAGTCACTGGGTATACCGGGTCTATAGTCACTGGGTATACCGGGTCTATAGTCACTGGGTATACCGGGTCTATAGTCACTGGGTATACCGGGTCTATAGTCACTGGGTATACCGGGTCTATAGTCACTGGGTATACCGGGTCTATAGTCACTGGGTATACCGGGTCTATAGTCACTGGGTATACCGGGTCTATAGTCACTGGGTATACCGGGTCTATAGTCACTGGGTATACCGGGTCTATAGTCACTGGGTATACCGGGTCTATAGTCACTGGGTATACCGGGTCTATAGTCACTGGGTATACCGGGTCTATAGTCACTGGGTATACCGGGTCTATAGTCACTGGGTATACCGGGTCTATAGTCACTGGGTATACCGGGTCTATAGTCACTGGGTACACCGGGTCTATAGTCACTGGGTATACCGGGTCTATAGTCACTGGGTATACCGGGGAGACAAATTATTAAAACATGTATTGTACAAGAGGCTGGACGCTGAAAGATGGTCTCAACTAACACATACAAATACATTGTACAGCGTATTCGTATTCGTATGGTCAAACTCTCACCTTCAAGACCATGCACGCACACAACCAGATGCACTGGTTTAGATCTAGATTGGAAACTCTCCACCGAGCTGAAGTACGGCGCCGGTAGAAACTCTGCTGCCCCATCACTGTTACAGTAGAACACACACATGACACACATGATACACATGATAGTGACACCAACAACAGCATACACAGCAATAGCATACACAGAAATAGCACTCACATTAGCACTCACACTAGCACACACACTCACATTAACACCACCAATAAAGCTGTGTTCACAACTGGCGCGTGTACGCGTGAAACCACGCGTTTATGCGTATTTTTGCTGGCTTTTGGGGCGTCATTCGTACGGAAACGCACCGAAATGGAAATTCCAACACGTTGGAATTTTCAGCGCGTATCAGCGTACATGCCAGTCACTTTGACTGGCGGGGTCAAAACATTAGTACTCGAAGGTGTCGCACGCGCTAAATACGACTCGGATTGCTCTTTTTGTGAAAGCATGAGCGCGCGCGTTTGGGCACGCATGAACTGCAAGCGTACCGCGTCCACGCGCCATTTGGGAACACAGCTTAACACTAGCGCTCACACAAACAAGACTACAGGGCATATCAACTATGCCATGCTTGCACACAGAACTGGAAAACAACCTACAAAGATCAGGTGGGAAAGGAATTAGAAATTGAAAGAAGAGACTAGGTGCGGCAGTAGAACAGTGTGCAAGCATGCGTTTTCACCATGTTATGCTGGAAGCAAGAACTATGTGCAGAGTACAATACTGGAAACTGCCCAATGCTTGCGTCACTAAATTGTTGCCATCTCTCAGAACCAGCGAGTTTACGATGGCAAATGTTCGCGGAGCACTGAGGCCACACATATACACCGACTGTTTAAGTTTGATTTCACGATGGTTAACATTTGCGTTATGCCCTTCTCGCAAAATTAGCAAACATTAATACGTCACAAACATTAGGCGAGAATGAAGTTGAAGACACCACTGCAGCTGTACTTATGGTTGATTAATATGGTGGTAAAGACACACCTGACAATATGACGGTAAATACACACCTGCCCATACACGCTCTCTAGGCTGCAACGTTACTCTGGCACAGAGCTCTCCTTCTCACCATCACCATCATCAGTTCGCGCCTGGCACCGAGTCCATGCATGGTTGGCGGTATCCAACATAGCAGGCTGGTACATCGGGTACCGCAATATTGCCAGGTGTGCCTTTACCACCATATCAATCAACAAACATTAGGCAGTGCATTAGGCAGTGTAGAATACTTAAAGGTGGTGTATACCAACGCGCTTACCTCAAGAATCCCCACGAGGATGGCAGACCAGGCCGTATTAATTCCTTTGCTTCATTCACCCTTCACAGGATATACCGGCAATGCCAGCACAAGCACACGCCCACGCCCACACACACACAGATTGAAAAACACAGAGTAGTATGAAGTTACATGTACTTACCATGTTGTCTTGGGATAACAACAAACACATGAAATACTGATGTTCAGGCTACATCCATAGACAGTTCTTAATGGTCAGTCATACACATTCGTACTGTGAAGTACAAGTATTCTTGCACACACATCTGCATGCAAACACACACACAAACATGCACACACACACACACACACACACACACACACACACGCGCGCACACACGTGTGTGTCCTCATGTACAGTCAAAACAGCGCACGGCAAGCCTCTTACAGTCCTTGATGTCCAGTCATGGAAGGTCTGCACGAAGGCACACTCATATCGACAGGCTCCGCAGGAACTCGCTGCTGTAACTCAAAGTCAGTTGCCGTCGGGGAGATAGAATCCTCGGCCAAGGGACTACAGTCTGGTGCAGTGTTGTCATGGAAAGCAAGAATCTGCTGGCAATCGGTATCCCCGCCGAGGAAATCTGAAAGTGTCAGATCACTGGTACTGTCACATGAGCGCGATGCTACACGTTCTGTCGCAAACACCGCCAGAAGTTCATCGACGGTGAAGCGGTCGTCACCTGCCATAGCTTGGCTGGTACTGTTCGGACCGGACTCAGCTGTTAGCGAGCGACTTCGTTGAATAGCTTGTGAACATGCCGGCGAAACTTGACTGAGGAATTCATCCATTGTCATGGCAGGATCGTTGTTGCTGTCCTCGCTGTCCTCGTGCGTAGCCGAGCGAACAATCGACAGGAATTCATCCATCGTCATCATGTCATCTCCTTCTGCTGACGACGTTGATGATGCAATACTGCTCCCGGAACTACGGTGCTTGGCAAGACCACTGTTGAGAAATTCACGTAGGGTCATCAGCTCACTGCGACTCTGAGTGGATTCCACGCTTTCCTCGGACTGCTTGCGAGCAATGGCGTGAGAAGAAAGGAACTCGCCCAGCGTAAGCAGCGGCTGGCTGCTGTCCAGATTAGAGGCACCGCTTTCCTCGGCACTATCGTCAAAGGGCACAAGAGTATCTGATGACTTGACAAAACCATTCTTGCGCAAGTGTGATGTGTCATCACCTGATCAGGGAACACATAGCAAACAGACAACACAACTCAAGACAGCAAAGCACCATCAGAAGTCAACACATAGCAAACAGACAACACAACTCAAGATGGCAAAGCATCATCGGAAGTCAACACATAGCAAACAGACAACACAACTCAAGACGGCAAAGCCCCATCAGAAGTCAACACATAGCAAACAGACTACACAACTCAAGACGGCAAAGCATCATCGGAAGTCAACACATAGCAAACAGACAACACAACTCAAGACGGCAAAGCATCATCGGAAGTCAACACATAGCAAACAGACAACACAACTCAAGACGGCAAAGCACCATCGGAAGTCAACACATAGCAAACAGACAACACAACTCAAGACGGCAAAGCATCATCGGAAGTCAACACATAGCAAACAGACAACACAACTCAAGACGGCAAAGCATCATCGGAAGTCAACACATAGCAAACAGACAACACAACTCAAGACGGCAAAGCATCATCGGAAGTCAACACATAGCAAACAGACAACACAACTCAAGACGGCAAAGCATCATCGGAAGTCAACACATAGCAAACAGACAACACGACTCAAGACGGCAAAGCACCATCGGAAGTCAACACATAGCAAACAGACAACACAACTCAAGACGGCAAAGCATCATCAGAAGTCAACACATAGCAAACAGACAACACAACGCAAGACGGCAAAGCACCACCGGAAGTCAACAGCACACAATAACGTTCTGGTAGCAACTTTGACACAGTGCCTTTTGTGAAGGATACGTACATGCAGCCTGCTGAATGGCAGCAATAAGATACAGAATTACAAAGTGTGGACACAGGCTGCTACGACATCAGCAGGAACTAAACACTCCAAGATTAAGAGATGGGAACATGTGCAGAGCTGTAAGAACTAAACACTCCAAGATTAAGAGATGGGAACATGTGCAGAGCTGTAAGAACTAAACACTCCAAGATTAAGAGATGGGAACATATGCAGAGCTGTAAGAACTAAACACTCCAAAAGTAAGAGATGAGATTATGACTGTGCAGCACTGGATTACTGCATGTAGCCAGCAAGCCTATCTAGTATCTACGACAACAAACACTCGACTCACACCAACCTGCAAAGACCTGCTCCAGGATGAAGGGCATGTTACGATGTGTACCATCTACTACTTTGCATGCTAGCGGCAGAGGCTTAAATGCCAGCCGGCCGTACAAGTCAGTGGTAATCTTCTCGGCGAAAGCCTGCAGTTGTGTGCAGTCAAGACGTCTGCACAGCAAGCGGAGAACAACACAATGACAGCTGAGCAATGTTTGATAGCAGAACATTTCATCAAATCTCTCCTAGATTTATACCAGTGCAATGAAACAAACATAAAGACAGGAGACGTGATCAGGCACTAGACAAGCTGCAAAACCAGCGCCTGCACACTCAGAGAGACAAGCACATCTGCCAAAGGTTTGTTTGTATAATAACAACACAGCAGCAGAACGCTGAAGACAACCGGACAGTACATGCTAGCCCACACCAGCACTAGACCACTCACGGTAACTGATCCACGTCTAGTGCCAGGCAGTTTGATATAGGCTGTGACTGCGTGAGCACACCTTCACGCCAACGCAATATCTAAAATCACACACAGATACAAAGAAGAGAGGGAAGCCAAGTCAAATTTCAATACTGTCCCAAAAGACACGTGAACACACTGTCAACATACAATACACACCTACACACTCAGGCACGCACGCTCGGACACGCACACACACACCTTTGACCTTTGACGCCCATCGCCGGAGGCGATGATAGCAATGCTACGGCAGAAGCCATAGCAACTTGTGCTGGGATTGCACCATTCAACACACACACACACACACACACACACACACACACACACACACACACACACACACACACACACACACACACACACACACACACACACGGCTGTTACATGCATGCAGAATCCTGCCACTTCAATCCGGGAGCGAGAACTCGGCCGTTGAGTGATTTTCAGGGATTTCCCGTTCTCAAGTTCAAACTGTGGTTCTCAGTTTGCAGCTTTCTGCATCGATTTCGATACTCAAAAGTCCCTTGGAAAGCCGATTTCTCCACCGCGCTGGACTGGAAAAATATTTCGCCATCACGAGCGCTCCTTGGAGAACCAAATTTTCTTTCGAGGACGAAGCAGAAGTGCTCCTTTGTTGCTGTCTTCGAATCTTTCGTTTCCTACGCCGTAGCCCTTCTGCTGTTGCTGAGTAGGTGCCCTTTGCCCACGATTTGTGCTGTTGGCGTAGTTTTCCTGGCGCTGGCGTCAGTTTTTCCTTGCGGCATTACCCACCATCTTCCCCTTTCGGTGGATGCCAAGCTCCCGCAGCTACGTTCTTCCGCCCGCAATGGCCTTCTGTACGTACTCTTTTTACTGATGTTTGTATGTTATGGATAAACATCTGGAGAACCTTCAGCTTATCTGTCGCTTTGGTGGCCAGTGACTGTCCTCAACTAGTCATGGCACGACTTACAGGGTCTCCAACTACCCAGAAGCAGTCAAAGCTGTATTAAAATTGGACATACTGCTTGACAAAAGCAATACTCACCCACTACAAATGTGCAGTAATTGTCATAGAACTATTACTAGATCTTATGAAGAAAATAAGCCTTTATCTGGCTCAGGGGGTTGTGGACCTCTACAAGAATGGTCTCCACATTCACGCACTGGTTGTGAGCTATGTACAAGGCTCAGCCAACAATGTCAAGGGGGAAGAAAAAAGAAGAAGAAAAATTGGTAGTTTGCAATTGCCAAACGCCTTCGCTTCTGAACCTTGCAGTACCAGCTGCTCTACTGCCAAAGCAGATGCATTGTCTGAGCCTTGTGCACAAACAACACCAACACTTCACGAAACATTGCACACTGTTTCTGCAATAGCTACACCTATATACGGCAGATGCTGAGCTTGCACCGGAACGCTTTGCACAACCGTATGCCAATGTGAAGTGTGCAATTTGTCTCCCCATTGCCAACCAAGCAGTGGAGTCACCATGTTGCAGCCATTTATATTGCACACCATGTATTTCCTTCTGGCTAGCTATGAACAACATGTCTGAAGCCTTTCCATACTGGTGCTCGATGTTCCAGTTTTGTGACACGATAATAGCACGAGAATTAGTGTACCACTGAGGGTCATCAAATGCTCCGTTTCCGAAAGCAGGTATTTTGGCCTTTCTTTCGCACATGTGGTGGTACCCATTCAGCATAAGGATACTGTTCTCCATTGCACAGCAGCTGCAGTATGTTATACTGTATGCTCAGCAACATGGTCAGCCTGTACAGTCAGTACAGCTATTGGCGGGTGCATTGCATGTGCAGTGGAAAGAAAAGCAAACGGCTCTAGAAGAGTCAGAAAAAGACCTGCAAACATTTTCAACAGAGTTTGAAAAGCTAGTTGAAAAGAATGGCAAGGCTGCTGGTCCCTGCTTTTCTTCTCTGGAGCAGGTGTTGCAAAAATACAACATCAAAAGGCAAGCCTACCATTCTGGTGCCTTTGTGGGCAACCACATCCCCCGTGCTCTTGAGGCAAAGGTCCTCAAAGAGTTGATGTCTGCTCCAGTGCAGGTTGTAAACAGCCGCAGTCTTTAACCGTCAACACCAGCAGCTGAAGCTGAGCTTGCCAATATTGCACAAACAGCTAAAACCCTGCAGGAGAGGTACCATCGTCTGCTTTCTGAGTACGCAGCATGCAGAGCGATCTTCTCCACAAGAACCCCCCTTTCCAGCAGCACAAAGGGCACATTGGTCGACCACATTAGAACTTTCCTCGCCACTTGTTGTCAGGAAATCGTCGCCAGGAAGCTGGGCAATATAACGCCTAAACTGCACCTTCTCGAGGAGCATGTAGTGACCTGTATGGATCACTTCGGCATGGGCTTGTCCCTTCTTGGTGAGCAGGGCATGGAGTCCGTCCATGCAGAGATCAACACTTTGGAGAGAAAATTCCTTGCGATACCATCTCCTTCGGATCGTCTTCGCACGTGCGTAGAGCAACACTTCCTTGCAACACTGCCCCAAAACGCAGCTCTCAGGCCGAAAACTGTGCCACGTAAACGGAAGGCAGCTACTACTGAAGACTAATGTCTTCCACAGCGAACTCTTCTTGTCCATGTTGGGTCTTGGGGCACAGCGCATTTCTTGCTGTGCCGAGCTCTATCTTCTTGAGCGGGTGTTTGGTGGGCCTTCCAACCTGGACATTTTTCGTACTTGGCCAACGACTAGTCTTCCTTGACCCGTGAAAGTCGCTACTGTCCAGCACTGAGAGATAAAACTCTAAAATATTGGCTAGTGCTCGCCAGAGAAACAACAGAAAATTTGATTTTCTAGCCAACTTCTTGTTCGACTTGCACAGATCGCATGTAGACGCGTACGGGATGCTGGGCACGCGTACGCGAATCCATGGTGATCTACCGTATCCGGATTTATGGCGTATTTTTTCGAAATGCGCCGCCATCTTGCCAAATGGGCCTGTCGTAACAGCCGTGACACAGTACATAGCACACGGCTTGAATAAAAGGACCCAGGAAGTGGCCAGGTTACTAATCGGTTTGACGCTTCCATTTTGTGGCATTTTCATGGCACCTAAGTTAAAACGAAAACGATAATGAATGGCCCCAATGAAGACATTTCAAATGTGCTATTTGAAAAGAAACCCTAGGGGACATAGTGACATGGTGCAAAGGATGTAACTTTGTGACAGTGCAGGGTACATAGTGACATGGTGAGCAGCAGAACAGTGTGTGCAATAGACCATGACTCATGGCCATCTTACTCTCTGGTGCTGACACTGAAACAGCAACCGCTGACTAGCTGATGGTATCTCTGATATATCACCGAGAAACACCGCCCACAAGGCAGATATCTGTATGGATAACAAGATCGCATCAAACACAAACACAAGAGAACACATACTGAAGTAATAGTTATAGACAATAGCAAGTCTGAAGTGAATCGAGTGGTGGTGGTGAAATCTATGCCAAGTGTACCGCCCTGTACTGATGAAATACATGTGGCAGCATTGATCTCTGCAGCTTTGGCCTGGTCCTCAATGCCATTATTGGAGGGGTGGATGTTTCTCACCAGCAATTGGACACCCCCCCCCACACACACACAGGTACCCCAAGCCAGCACTGGCTTCTCACTATTCGAGCTCCTGTATGGCCGGCATGTCCGCGGCCCACTGGATCCCGTGCAAGGTGCGTGTGCTCAGCCAACAGAAGAGCTCCGTACTACCACTGCCCAGTTCGTCATCACCATGGGCGACTGGCTTGAGAGAATATCAGCTGAGACTGGCTCTCACCTTGCCACCGCGCAGCAACGGCAGAAAGCATACTATGACCGCAAGAGTCAGGAGCGCATCTTTACTCTGGTTGAAGAGGTACTGCTCTTGCTTCCGGGATCAGCTCGCAAGATGGAAGCCGTATGGCAAGGCCCTTACCCTGTTCGACACAAGGTTCACCGGGTCAACTACGAGATCGCATGGGACCACACCGCACAAGAGATATCGGGTGTTCCACATCTCCACGCTTGGCCTGTCCAGGGGATATTGGCAGATCCCTCTGGCGGAGGATGCTTGTGCCAAGACGGCCTTCACAACACCGTTTGGCCTCTATGAGTTCACCACGATGCCATTCGGGCTCTATGGAGCACCTGCAACCTTCCAACGTTGCATGGACACCATCTTGGCTGGTCTGCCATTTGTCCTAGCATATTAGCAGTGTTCCTTTGAACTCGTAGTTTTTCGTGCCAATTGTTTTTGTGAAGGGGTGTTTGGCCCGCCTTTGGCAATGTTTGCGCTATAGCACTAGTTTGAGTGATGCGTATCATATAAATATTAGGATGATGTCGTCATTTTCAGCTCGAGATTTGAGGAACACCTTGACCAGCTCCGCCAGGTTCTCAGTCGACTTCATCAGGTTGGTCTCACTGTGAAGCCAAAGGAGTGCTGATCGGCTATGGTTGAACCCCCCCCCCCCCCCCCCCCGTCCTTGGCCATGTGATTTGTCGTGGCCGAGTACGTGCTAATCCTGCCAAATTGCAAGCCATTGATGATTGGCAACAACCCACAACCAAGAAGGCCTTGCGTTCCTTCCTGGGTGTATGGGGCTACTATCGTCGCCTCATTCCCCACTTCTCAACCATCGCGTAGCCCTTGGTCGCCATGACGTCTAAAGGACACCCTAACTACCTCCACTGGACAGCCTCAGCTGAACGGGCCTTCGTTCACTTGAAAAGCCTCCTTGTGTGAGACCCGGTCATCGCTGCGCGTAACTTTGCTACGGGCTTCTATCTGCACGGACGTGTCTGATGTGGGTTTGGGCGCTGTGCTGACTCAGCGTGATGCCATGGCCACCGAACATACTGTGCCATACGCCAGTTGGAAGCTCCTCGACCGTGAACGCCGTTGAACCACTATTGACAAGGAGTGTCTCGCACTCAAGTGGGCCGTCCTCAAATTTGCACCCTATCTCCTCGGCAGACGCTTCACCCTGATCACCGACCACCGCCCTCTTCAATGGATTGCTCAGCATCATAGTGGCAATGCTCGGGTGGCCCGATGGGACATTGCTCTGCAGCCGTTTGCTTTCACCGCCGTGCACCGGTCAGGCGCACTCAATGGCAAAGCCGATGCATTCTCCCGCCAGATGTGACTTTCTTCTTCTGCTGTGTTGCACCTAGTTTCGTCATCTATTTTCTATTTTCATTAAATGTTAGTCAGTGTCACAGATGGTATCTGTGACCGGAGAAGGGGAATGGTGTGAAGATATCGTAACTCTGTGTCCTTTAGCACCATTAATATCCCTACACATAAGGCCAAAACAAAAAATAGGCTTGTTTCCGGTCGGCAACCCCTCAAAAAGGAGACTCGGTCGGCCGGACTGAAACTTTTTTTGGATACTTTTTTTGGTTCCTCAATCGTTGTGGTATTGATGGACAAGAGTACCTACACATGTACATTGTACATATATCATGGCAAGGGTAAATGTCAAAGTTGACTGACTCACTGTTCTTGTACAGCATGTGGTGTATTCCTGTTTTCGTACATCCTGAGAAATCAAGCAAACAGTTCGAGTGCTTCCAGCTCCGTTATTCTAGCTCGTATTGACCCCGGAATTTTTCGAGCCGACAGCTGAGAATCTCTGCTACCTTGTAGGTGTTTCGATTGTGGAATTCGGTTGAGATTTGACTGAGTTATGACTCGTTGAGTGCACTTGCACACATGGCATTGCCACCGTTTGTATACATTTGGGACCAAAAAAAAGTTTCAGAATTTGGGAAAAAGTGGCCCGGTCGGGCGACCGGAAACAAGGTCATTATTTGTTTTGGCCTAATCATTATACCTATAACCTGCACATCCTCATAATTACAGAAATTTTCGGTGCTCAATATTTTCGGTATGAGGGCAAAAGGCCAGGTTAGGTGAACAGAAATTTTGGTACAGAGAAGCAGTTCCCTATTGGATTATGTGTGTTAGTGTTTGTTCGGTGTATTGAAATTTTAGGTATGAAGCAGATGCACCGAAAGTACCGAAAATAAAAGTACACGGAAAATTTGTGAAATTACAGTAGTTGTCGGTTAGCCGAAAGAGTGAGTTGTTGGTTTGTCCTTTTCACACACGCACGCACACGCGCGTACGCACACACACACACACACCATGCGAGCGTGCTTATAAGTGGCAAGCGAACGACAGGGCGAAGAGAGCAGCATGGATCTCCTTACCTCGCCTCGAATAGCTAGCACGTAATCCTGTGCATCACTCCAGGGTATTGACTCGCGCTGTGTAAAAGAACAACAACAACAACATCCACTACATAACTAGCTCTAACTAGCTCTATGTTGATATGCTGCAGCAGGAAGGACATGCACTGAAAGACAAGGACCGGGAGTAAATGTACTACATGTACATGTAGTACAGATACTAACAATTGATATACTTCATCCACACCCTAGCAAACCAATTGAAATTGTAGCGTGCCCCCCCCCCCCCCCCCCCAGGGCCCACATATACACATGCGTGCACACGCTCACTCGTGCACATGTCTAAGCATAGGCATGACCTGGGTGCATACTCTATATGATCAATATCCCATGGCCAGGGGCAGCTGATCGTTGCAGCACACAGAACGAGCAAGGTCAGACATTCTTCTTATCAGGGTAGCAGCACAGAACACCAGCAACAACATACCCGGCCTTTCCTGTACATCTTGTTGAGCAATTCATCCACATCTGCAGGCATCAACAAAACAATGAACCAAAACAGTGTTCTAACAACTCTGCTCACAATACACACCCAACAACGAAGAAGAAAAGCATATCACATCCGGCTAGCACTGTTGTCTCAGTTGTAGGTATTTTCCAGTACTGTCTAAACAGAAGTACAATGGACTGCATACAACAGACACTATTCTGATCACTAACGTTCACGAGTTTATCGGGTGTTAGTGGCCGTCGTGAGCTCCCTTCGGGAACGGACGCGATAACTTACTCTTTTTTTAACGTACATGAGATACTAGTAACATAGATGGGCAGAGTGCAGTGACTAAAACACACACAAACACCTCTGAACTAGCACAGGATAGAGACAGTCATGTACATGCACATGAGATCTGACCTGGTGGGGTTGGTAAGGTGCCACCAATCAGCATTTGGTGCATTTCTGCAAGAGCCGCTTTGCTTTCCAGCAGCAAGCGACAGATATGCCTGTGGCAACAACAAAAACCAAATAAATAACAGCATTTAGACAAGGGTAACTTAGCTTTTACAATAACAGTACTTAATACTTGTATGACTGGAGCTAAATTCATGCTGGAGTGTTGGGGGGGGGAAGAGAGAGAGAGAGAGAGAGAGAGAGAGAGAGAGAGAGAGAGAGAGTGTGTGTGTGTGTGCGCGCATGTGTGTGTCTTTGTGTATGTGTCTGTCTGTGTCTGCGTATACGTGTGTGTGTTGAGATTCTGACCTTGCCTCCACAAGTGAGATGGTGTCCACACGATAGCGCAGTGCTGCAGGTGACTATACAAGTCAAACACAAGACGGCAGTCAAGGATAAATGAAACACACATTAATAGCAATCAGCACCTAAGAGACTGTCGCAAAAGTTTTTCGTCGTCCCTGAAATGAACATGATTCGTTTGGGGGGGGGGGGGGGGGGGGGGGAGCGAGCCAAAATCGCAACTCGACCGGAACTGCACATATGACACGTACAATTGTACATGCATGCGATTTTCGTCGTCCAGCATAGCAAGCTGTGTTGGTTTCAGAGGGAGGGGAGGGGGTCCGAGTACGAAATGAATGTCCGTTTCAGGGACGACAGAAAACTTTTGCGACGACCCCTAACAACACGATAAGTACTGTATAGCAGGAAATTTTCGGACGGAATATATTTTCGTACGATTTCGTACACCGCCTTTTTGTACTAAAATTAATTCCGCACTAAAATTTGTTCATGTGACTTTATGTGCACTGTATGGGTACTGCTTGCGAACACGTGCATTTAGCATGCAGCACTGTACGAAAATAAAATCCGAACGAAAGGTCGAAATTCGGCTTTGTCCGAAAATATTTCCGTCCGAAAATTTCCTGCTATACAGTATGTACTTTGCTACTCTACCAATCACCTATATGCAGTGAGACCTGTCTCAGTCGACCATTGCTCCATGGACACCCACGCAGTAGTCCCCAAGCACAGAAAGCCATCCTCTTATCCAAGCCATGTGACTGGCCCTGGCTGTAGTATGGTGGAGATCGGCTTATCACAGTGATCACCCGGGCAGCAGCAGCAGCAGCCCACACAGTACATCAGTACAGTGGGTGCATGAGGTACGTACCAGTATAGATCGTGCTTGATCTGATGCATCGGTTAAACGGCGACTTTTCCTCGCATGGTCTAGTCCCTTGAACGAATGAGAGCGGCTGGGACGAGAACTTTTTCGAAACGGTTTGGACGAAGACTCCGATGATGGCAATAGGTTCTTCACAGCAGTTCGGAAGCCAGTCTTTGCCTTCTCGGTGGGAGCTGGTTCACTGACATCCAATGCAACGTTAGCCAATACTGCATGAATGCGGAGCTGCACTCCTGCTAAGTGACAGAAGTCAAACAGGAACGGACGATGTGCGTGTAACTGGTGCTTCTTCGGGCACATGCGTAGGTACAAGCGATGGCGGCTAACTTTAGTGAATGCTGTAGCTGGCGGCGCATCAGTATTCCTGTCAAACAACACACAGATCAACAAGACAGAAATGCTAAGCAACACTGCATCCACACGTTTGAGGGAGTCGAGAACGGCAAAGTCCGAAACAAAATTGACTGAATAGTTCATCATTCAACAAAGTGGAGAAGATGAGAAAGGAAGAGACACCAGGTGCCAAAAGAGAAAAGGTGTCCAACGACACAGTTGCTACATGGCAGGCAGAGCATTCACCATAGCAGAGGCAACACTGGTCACACACATTAAGTTTGCAAATACTCCATATGTACACTGTCATCAGTGATCACAGCCAACTGCAGACAACATGAAACAGTAGAGGGTACAATGTACACTGTAGTAGTACTTGTAGTAGTATTATGTATAGTGGACTTACTGTGGACTGTTAGGTGCATGGTGTAATTCTAGTGTACAGCGTACAACAGGCCACTCTGAAATCTCACCAAGCTGTACAGGATCATCATACAAACAAAACACACGTGCACACACACACACACACGCACACGTGCATGCACACACACATGCACACACACACACACACACACACACACACACACACACACACACACACACACACAAGTATGGGTGCACAGAACACAACACAAACTGGCATCAGTGCCACAGCCAAGTTAGTTTCAAAACAGTAGTCAAGACAGAGCAGGCTCAGGCATGTTGCTATTGACCTCAGCATTACCTTTCACTATCTGCCTTGAGCAAAAATGTACAATATGGAGGGGTTTAGCATCACTTTCTGGAAATAAGATGGAGGGTTTAGCATCACTTTCAGCCTGGAGTGGCAAACATTACTTAGGAGAACAATCACATGTATGCATCATTCTGCTCAAATGCAAATCACAAATCACCTGCATAGACAAACATGAGAAATCTTCTTCTTTTTAAATTAGGGCCGAAACGATTGCCCATTTTGCCTTAACGATTAACCAATAACACTAACGATCGATTTATTGGTTTTACCGATTTTCCGAACAAGTTTTATACGTGTCATGTTGGACATCAGTAGACGGCAAAAACAAAATTTGTTCAACTACGTACAGGTACGTACGGATGAAAGATCCACACAGGCCCAAAAAAGACCAAAATGAAACTTGCAACGTGATATGAGCAGTGTTCCTCTGCCATTAGGCATGAACGATCAGTCCTCTGTCTTCTACAATGGAGAAGGGTCGACTGGAATCGACAATCCAGTCGATGATCGACTCCGTCAACATGCCTGAGCGCCTGCTGTCGCACATTCGCAAGTTACCTGTGCTGAAGAACGACGTGACGGGCTTCGTTCCAGCACTGGTTGTCGCATTGTCACTGCGCTCAACATTGCTGGTAGTCGTCGTTCCTGTCGACTGGGTTGCTGGTCCTTTCCCTACCGCAGCGGCGTACAGGTCTTCATGAGCAGAAATCAGGTGCTAGAACAAGTTGGTTGTGCCGCTTTGACGGACGAACTCGCGGCTGCACAAATTGCATCTCACTACGCTATCAGCTTCCTCGAAATATGCCCAAGCTGGCGATCTCTTGGTCCAACTAACTTTCGCTTTTACAGGCGGCAGCATTGGCACTGCTCTCCTCGCTAAAAAATCAAAAGTAACTGTAAGTTTTTGACAAGAACTGAACAAAATAGAAGGCTAGCAGCCATACTCACAGTTTCGCTACAACCTAAAATTATGAAGCTTTCCGGTTGATACTTTCCGGCTACGCTGACTAGTGCAGTGAATGCGCGGCGTGTACGACTACAAGTACAGTACCCAAAAGGATCAAGAGCTAGCGCGCAATGATTGTACGGACCTACAGCTTCATGCACGTGTACTTCGACGTTCATGTACTTGTGCGCATGACGCGCGTGCATGATGCCATGCATCGTCTGCATGTACTGACGTCATGACCGCTCTCGCACTGTACAGTCATAATCGTTATCGATCATGACGATTATCGATTTCATCCATAACGAGTGATATACGAGTAATCGGTATAATCGTTTCGGCCCTATTTTAAATTAAAAAACTAAAGTAAAAGGTACCTTTTTGCAGGGCAAACTGAAGTGCAACAGCCCCTCAAAGTTGTCAGCCAGAATGTTTCGCTGCTGACGATAGAGGATCAGAACCGATGAGGACACTGCACACTTTCCATCGTCTGTGACTGTTGCTGTATGGCGGCCTGACACATACAGCAGCAACAACAACAACAATGACACAAACGACAGCGACAGAGAACATCAAAACTATAAGCAACTACCCAACACTCAAGAGCAATTCAGCTCTTTTTGTTTTTGTTGCTGCGCTGCCCTGGATGCAACTTTCGTTATCCTTCTTTATTGATTTTCGGGTATTCTTCGCCGGATATCGACTGTAGCAAGAGCCATATCTTTCGTACTCTTGTCCATTTTCGGTGAAAGCATATCCGGAAAACTTGAACTCAAATATCTGCACATTCTGAGGTTCCCGCGATTTCAACCCAGGGGATTCGCCAAGTGTCGTGAGGCACACATCGCCCGAGCTTATGTGTACCGTGTCCTCTCTCGGGCCTACAATTCCCTGGTGCAGTATGTCAAGATCGGCTATAACGACATAATTATAACAGACGAGGAAACTGCTCATATTGTGGTTGCGGCGCGTGTGTCATTGTAATTTATATCCAAGATTCGCTGTAAAGTTCGCACGTCCGCGTTACAACCGGCTATACGCATTGAGAAACACAACCAGCTTAGGAAGTTTCGCTTGTGCCAGGCCACCACCATGTCTGTAATACCAGGGTGGCAGATGCAGCACCTAACGGCGAGGGTAAGGTGGTAAGTCTCACAACCAATGCCCGATAAGGGGCCGGGGCGAACCTCGTTAGCTGCATCCATGTTACCCTCACTCCGAGTAGTAAGTACCCAGTTGACCGTGGGTGTCGGTGCAGTTCCTTGCATGTACATGTATAGCAAGAGTACATAACCCCCCAGAGTGTGCAACACCTGATCCAGCTCTGCATAGGGTCTTGCATCTTGGTCGAGCGTAATCGGATCTTCTGGTGTCATGCGTACACTCCACACCAGCGCAAGGCCGGTCTCGAGGCAGGGCACCGTTGTTTTTGATCCGAGAGTACCCGCGACTCCCCGGGTTCCCCTCAGATGTGTACGGTATTATGACGCAAAGATCGGATTACGCTCGACCAAGACCCTATGCAGAGCTGGATCACGCGTTGCACACTCTGGGGGGTTATGTACTCTTGTGTATAGTGGTTCACGAATGCATCACCGCATTCGTTAGCACAGTACACGCTCCCTGCTCTAAGCGCGGGTCTCTAACTCGGGACCATGTGATTCGCAGGCAAGCCTACAACCACTCGGCCAAAGCACTGATCTGCACCAAAGCGCTGGTCTGCAAAATTCGCTGTAGTATTAAATGAGACTAATTATTTCACTTTTCTGCATGCCCTGCACCATGTGCACCAGGTACTGTACTGAGGATTTAGAGTTTGACACAAAACATCATTCAAATTTATTTAATTTAGACTGTAACAGGTAGTCATTGCACGTGCGGTGGTGCAAAATGAACTGAGCCCCATTCTCAATCACAGTGATCAGCTATTGATCAAACATTATCCTCATTGAACTCAGTGAAGTGGCAAATATGTCAGACATAAGTACCTTCGATGTTAGTTACAGTATCGGATGCGACGGATAGCTCAACCCCACCACCTTCCGGTGACGTGAAGGATAAGTGGACTCGATAGTGCCTGAACAGCAAGCAACAATCCCATTACAGTATTTATTATAAGCATAAGAAATGTTGTACTCAGTGAAAATACACCGAGGACAAAATGCGATTGAATTGGAACAAAATAACCAAACGAATAATTCAATTTGATTGCACTCACCCGCGACGAAATAGGTCAACATTATGAACAGCAACAAACTCAAAGGCAAGCGACCAAGTAACACGGACAGTGTCGGGCATGTCCACATACAGAGAACTACAACTCTCGATTCCTGGAAGTTCTAACGCGACACGAAGTCCACCACGCACACTCCATAAATATCACGAATCTGGTCTTCGTCAGATGTATTTCATGGCTTATCCAGTATTATAACTGCGCTGCATGCTTGTCCAAGCGAGCTGGTGAACTAATTCAAATCACACAGTCACAAGAAAGATGGAAGGAAGCTCTTCCTACATTCTCCCCTTTCCTTCTTCTCAGTAAAAATCAAGCAACTTTTGGTGGGTGTTCAGCAGTTCAAAACTCATTGTATTGAATGTTGTTTTGTGTTTGCTACGTGTGGGTTTCTTGCATGGGTGCGCTACCGATACCAAGGAGTCGGAGTGTTCGGCAGACTGCACTCTACCATAGCGCTGCATGCATTCGCGCTGTAGCGTGCAGATCATGGAGTGTTGCAAGCCGAGTAAAACGCGGAATGTAATGTAATTCAAACCGTGTGATTGGACAGGTGGGACCATTTCGCTATTCCAGGACAATGCTAAAGGACTTGTACGGCGAGATGTGACAAGAAACTGGACAAATTCGGCTCAAGTGTCGGCTGTACTAGCTGTGTTTATCTACTAGTAATCTAGATCTGCGAGCATATGCTGGCTGCTGGCTGCTGTCCATTCAGACTTCAAAACATCAGCCTCAGGCCGAGTCAAGTACTACACTACAAGGTGTGCCTTTTGTACTCGGGCTGTTTACATACTCTGTGGAGTAGACTGGATATGGAGTAGACCTACTCCGAGTAGACTGTGTAGAGCCTTTGTCTGAGCAGTGAGTAAAAAGAGGATCAAACCCTGTGACTGTTATGTGTGTACGACTTGTATTGTGCATTTGCCATGATTTGGTTCACTCCATACAGTCCAGAGTGGGACAAACCGTCTTGACAGTGACACCCTCTGACTTGCCTCGTTGGTAGCTACACTATTTAAACCGTGCTGAACAGGCAATGAGAAACCAGAGAGGAGAGGGAGACATGTAAATGGCTGCAATGGTGCCTCCACAGGTACAGAAGAAACAGCAACAGATACAAATTATTCACAAACACCAGTACGCTTGTAGTGCACGCCAAGCAAGGGTCATAAATTCATCATGTCATGGGGAATCTCATGCCCGGCGCGCCCACTGTGATTTGAAAAGAGAAAACTACGATATAATATTTATTATATTTTATACTTCAGTTAAAATACTTCGGACGTACGTGATTGTATTATTATTATTATTATTATTATTATGGGGGTGGCTTTATTGGTTTTGTGTTTGTATTATGCAGCATCCCGGGTCATTTAAGACCATGGGGAGTACTGCTGTTGTATGTGAAGAAAATGTAATAAGGAAGACTGAGAAAAAAGAAAGAAAAAAGAGAGAAATACTGTGAACAGCAAATCTACAGTGATGCATGTACAATCTATTATACAACTAATCTGCGAGAATGAGACTTAACACAAGCAGGTACAGTAATAGCAAGAGAGCTAAATCAGAAAACAAAATCCGTTGAAAAGTAACCGTCATCAAATCTGAAATCGAGCCCTTCAGCGACACAATAGCACTGAAGGCAGCAATATAATTCTTCTATAGCACTGAAGGCAGCAATATAATTCTTCTATAGCACTGAAGGCAGCAATATAATTCTTCTTGAAGGCAGCAATATAATTCTTCTATTATTATTATTATTATTATTATTATTATTATTATTATTATTTATTGCAACATCTCAAGACTCGGCGGAAACACCGGCCAATATTACGAGAGTGGGTGATTGCCAACCACGGCGATAAATAGAAATAAGGGGAGGGAAAAAGAAAGAGTAGCAAAACGAACAGCAACAACAACTCCGTAAAGAAAGATAATGTCTAATAAAAACAGTGAAAAACACAGAGATGCAAAGGACATGTGGATAATGAGCTATGCATGTCGTAGTAAATAAGGGGCGGCACGGATCTTAAACAGGCGGAGTGAGGTCAGGTCCTTAACTTCTCTGGGTAGAGTGAGCCAAACAGAATAAGCAATAAAGAGAGGGGAGCGCAAAAGAGTGGATGAGTTACACTTAGGGAGTAAGAGCGAGTTTCTAGTTCTTAGAGAAGAGAACCAATTAAAACACATGAGATGAGGTGGGCACAACTCAAGCTTAATAGAATGGACAAGAGAAGCCAGGTGTGCACTGCGTCCATGTGATAACGGGGTTGTGTGAGCGATTTTATAAAGGGCGGATGATGAGAGCATGCGGGGTTGACGGAGGAGAATTTTAAGGATTTTCTTGTGATGTATTTCAAGCTTTGCAGCAGCGGAAGAGGATAACCCAACCCAAGACGTATCTGCATAATGAAATATTGGGCGAAGGTAGGCTAAATAAAAAAGAAGCTTGCAAGAAAGTGGGAGGTGGGAGCAGTGGGGGGAGAGAATTCCTAAGGATTTACTTGATTTTTTTACAGATATATTCGATGTGAGGTACCCAAGAGAGTGCAGAGTCAATCACAATGCCAAGGTGTTTGTGAGAAGACACTATGTCAATTGGATTTATATTAATTGGGGAACAAATTCAAAATACTCTACACCATGATATTCTTCTTGCTGAATAGAAACCTTGCTAAAAACTTGGAATGAAATGATTAATCGCTTTCTGGCTTGCACTGCAGTAGTCCGAACCAGCGGGCCCTGTTCACACGGCCAGAGATCTGTGAAAACATTAATGTTCATTCAGGGGTGAGTAGATTTATTCTCGAAAAAAAGAAATTGCTTGAAATGGGTTTGCTCCCCACACTGGAGCTTGCGCTATTCCACCGACTTGACTTGACACTCGACTGACTCACGACTGCCATCCAGAGATCTTCCTAAGCGTACTCAAGCTCAACTGATGAGGGGTGAATTCCCCGAAACACTGTGTATTGAGCAGGGAGTGGTGCTTTCATGCAGGTTTGCCGAGTCGAAGGTTCGATGGACTTCTCGTGTGCTCTGGATGGCAGACGTGAGTCAGTCGAGTGTCAAGTCAAGTCGGCGAAATAGCGCGAGCTCCAGTGTAGGGAGCAAACCCTTTTCGAATAAATCATTGCCGAAGTCGCAACCACTATTTCTTAAAGAAATGGTTTGTTGAGAAAATCAAGAGCAAATTTGTCCAAGGAGTTTACACTCCAGCGTATAGCGTGGCATGTGTGTGTTGATTTTATCTGACTATTGAAAAATACTATTTCCAAGCCGTGATCCCTGGCTGTATTACATGTACTTGAGTACGCTATTGTCAGTGGGACTTTATGGACAGGGAGGATGTGTCAGAAAGCCACCTCTACTGTCAGTGCAGCATCTGTAGACTTGCTGGGAGTTTGATGATTATTTCCACTGCTATGAAGATCTGCGTCCAGTACCTTGTAGGCTAGCAGGCAGCCACGGCCATCAGCAGGACGGAGGTAGGGGTGTGCTGTTTGGGTATCGCTGACCAGACCTCAACTGAAGGATGGGTGGGTCCGGGTGGGTTGGATGCTACGATGCCAAGTCCGGGATGCCAGCCAATTGCCGTGTGTCTTGTATGCTGGATCTGAGATCCGCCAGTGCCATAGTCTGTTGATGTTTGTAAAACAACACCAAACAAGATAAGGCATTGAGGATAAACAGATGCGTTCATGATCAAAGCCCAATTCAATTTGCCATGGTGGAGGGTGCGAACATATGACGAATGTTCAAAATTCAAATCGATTGTGTGAGTTAAACAGTCCAGACCATTGCCATGACATAGTAATACTGATCGAGCAACCATGAGCTGGCTGGAAGCAAGCCCTACATTGATGTGTTTGCAGTAGGGGTGAAACGAAGGTCTCAATTTGCCAAACAAACCTTCTTCATGAAAACGAACGAAGGTGTCGAAGGATTCTTTTACCAGTTCACAGTTCCTCTTGAAGCACACTCTGTGCATGTGCCCTACAAAGTACATGACTTTGCACATGTTTGCTCTGCAGGCACCACAATTGGCACGCCCATAGCTTTTGCACTGCGCAGTTTGCACCCTAAACTGCCCAAGACTACTTCTGCACACCTTGGCCGTGAATGGCCATGCTCAAGCCCAGTCCGTGGCCTACTATGGACTTGCAGTGGCACCTACCGGGAGCCAAGTGGACACAAAACTAGTCGACTGTACAAACTACAGTACAGTACCTCCTGTATACAAGGAAGATCAGTGCATGTGTGTTCAGAAATCGTGTGTTAACCTTCTTTTGAAGTGAAAACGAAAGTTTGTTTCAAATGAAAACGAAGGTTCTTCGAACCTTTGACACCTTCGTTTCACCCCTAGTTTGCAGTGCACTGACTCTGGTGGTTTCAATTCCATGCTCCTCTACAACAAACTACTTTACTTCTTCAGTTCATTCAGCCATGTCACCATGGGCGTTCGCTGTAACCGCGGGATGGATAACGTGACACTCCACGCTGAGCACACTCTACCGACATTGTTGCAGCGTCTCTAGTGCACGCACACAGTCAGTGCACTGTACCTCAATGTCATTAAAGTCCGGTGTTGATGCTTTGCATGTTGTCTTCATGGTTGTAACGCCGAACATCTGATGGTATTTCTTTGCACAGCATGGATACTAGATAAGAGAGATGCACAAAGAATACACAAGGGGATGAGATGGCACACGCAGTACAAACACAATCGTACCGTAATCATTCTCGTGAATCTTGGCAGGTGTGCCTTTCCTTTTGGGAAACGCATTCCGTTTGCGCAACCGGCAGAGGAACGCTTCCATTTATGAAATCCGTAACAAACGTATTGGCCATCATGGAAATAATAATTTAAAAACTGCAATGTACAGACTTTGATATTGGCCTGCTTTTCGGGGAGTAGGAAAGCTGCTGGTACAAGACTAGTACATCTAGTGTTGTCATGTACGTACACTGAATGTACAGGTGCATACTACAAAATTAGTCAACTGGTGTGTGTGTGTGTGTGTGTGTGTGTGTGTGTTATCTACCATTGCCTTCTAGTTGCACCCAGGCTTTATCCATGCACTAGTACCAGCTGACAAGCATGCCATATGTACCTTCCACATTATGAGATTTTGGGACAAGCCAAGGAACTCCTGAACTTGTTCCGCCTGTTCTCTTGTGCTGTGATGCTCGCACAACCATGCAATCACTGCTGGGCAGAAGTTGGCTGATATTCCTGAGAAACCACTGTAGAACACACATAGAGAAATGTACCACCCAGGCTATCATCATAATGCATGTTCGTACACCCATCTGCGAGTACCCTTGTCACATGGTTGAAAGTCAGCATCCACTCTGGGTAACTGTCCTAAGCCTGATATCTAGCTAACAATCACCTGGTACATCTAGCTAACAATCACCTGGTACTGTGCTCAGCAACTTGTACGCCACTCGCTTCTGCCATGTGTATTACATGTATATTGGCTGCTGTATGCACTCCATATCGAAACCGCGGTCAGTCTAAACCTTTGCACAAGAAAACCAGTCATCAGTCAAATAATGCCATTTTGTTCAACACTTACTCGCCTCCGTTGGATTGTGAGTACTGCAGTGTTTCAATGTTTGCGTTCAGAAACCTAAACACAACAGACAATATTTAAAAGAGGTTTGCTATTGTTCAAGTCAGCTATAGCCACAGTTTCATTGCCACTTTTCACTAAACTAATGTCATTATGATGTCATCTTCGTCATGATTCGTTTTCGTGGACTGACAGATAATAACATTCTACGTCCAAAGAAACGTTGTGCAACGTTGTGTTCCTTGTCAGTTTCAAACCGTGATTGGGATTTCAAGCCAAATAGCCACATGTATATCTACCCATCAAGAGATGATTACGAATAGATTATTACGGATGAAAATTGAAAAGACCAACAGAGAGAAACCCCTTTTTTTGCAAGAAGTAGCGGTACATGTGTAGTACTGTCCAGTCATGTGAGTCGCAGTAATGCTGTACATGTACAGTACTTGTACACACATGCAGTGGAATACCGGAGAAAACTGACTACAGTGAAACTCAGAATGTGCTTAGTTTGAGTAACGTGACATGGTGCTCAAAATGGCCCTCGGGGTACTGTGCGAATAAGTCTGCTAGACCCAGTTGCAACATCCAACAAAGGTTGTTCCTGACCTGAATGGAGTGTCTGGAAACTCTTTAACAACATCAATCTTGGCTTTGATTGGCACTTTCTTGCATTCTGTATCTTTGTGGAAAAAGAAACGATTTGTTGACAATGCCCATCGAAGATTGTCCAGAGAAATGAATCTGACATGCCAAAAAAAGAACAAACACACAACTAATTCAAGAAGCCACAACACACTGATGAGAATTTAATTTGACGCTATCGCATATCTATTAGTACAGCTGGCAGCAACTTGCCAGCACAGCCAGATACATGTACCACCTGACTCACTATCCAATAGATTTCATGCTGTGAACACTTTATCTTGCAACATTGCCGCATTTACTTCATTCAAACGTTTTTAAGCCCTGCCCCACACAATTTGATGATGCAAGTCTCTATCCCCCCCCCCCCTACATGTACCCAAGAGCAGTAAACCCACTGGGCCAGGGGCGTCACGCACGCCACGACCAGTACGACCACGGGTATACCGCTTTTCGTCCAGAATGGTCCGCCCAATTCATTCAAAAAAGCAATAAAAATAGTCAAGGATTTTCGGACTTTGTACAAAACTTCACAACTCCGTTCTGGAAACTGTCCTTAAGTGATTGTGATGCCCCAAAATAGCCTTCGTGAGCCTAAAATTTGAATTTTTTTCGGGGCAGGTGTTCCCAGGACCCCTTCTTTCTACTCGCCTCCCTTCGGTCAATTACTTTTTCGCACCGTGTGACGACCCTGAAGCCTTGATTGAATCAGAGCCGCAGGTTATTTCCTCTCGCCGCTGCATGGATCGCATACACAGCACTTCAGAGTTTAGACCCCACCAATTATTTACCGTTTATATGGCACAGGACACTCATACAAGCCGAGGCAAACACCTGGAGTGAGGTCCAACAGCTTTTGCACATTGCATCGCCACGCATCATCATCCTGGAGAAGATAAAGTGTTGTCACACCACAATGAACATCACAACCCTTGTACGGGGCACACGACAAGTCATTTTAGGACAAGAAACACACTGTACATGACTGGTATCGCGAGCTAAGCATGAGAACAGCACCATGCATACACTGTAAGAGTACATAACCCCGTACTCTTGATACATCTGGGCAGGCAACTGCAGTTTCGTGTACATGCCATTGTCATTGTTACGAAACTGAATTGTCTTGCATTGACCCTGACCTCCAGAAATAATAATTCTGCTTGCCCTTTGCCCCAATAGCGATCCACGCTAGCTAAAAGCATACACACTCATGTACTGCTATGCTTCTGTGTTGCATGAACTGTTTTTAAGCAAGCGGCTAGCTAGCTTCCAACAACAACAATAGCTGCGGGCCATCACGAGAATAAAGAGTTGAAGTGACAGGCTGTGGAAAGAACCGTGATTGGCCACAGTGTTTCACGGTGGCTACGCGCGGCCCGGCATATGCCTACTTGGTACACTTCCTCCAAACGTGGCAATCCGCAACATTCATTGAAGGCATTCTCCAGCCGCACTGTATCGTATGTCACAAATTGACGTATTTGAACTTCGGAACAAGTGCGGGAAGACCATGACCAACCCGGCTGCCAACATACCAAACTATCAGTAGACGCATCAGTGAACATTTACCTCATCTTGTGAAGCAAGTTGATTGACCAGAACCACAACTGCGTCAACCTCTTTGGCCATCGAGCGTACAAAGTCAGCCATGTCTTCCACAGACCTACCAAATGTCCCTATTGGCATCCAGGAACAACAAGGAGGAGAGAAGGAAAGAACAATTGCACCAATGCAACTAGCAGTCCCTCGAACGTACACTTCCCGGCCCAATAATGCATGCTCTGTTTTCTCTGTTTTACTAAGTTTTTTCTTCTCATTCACACCTCTCTAGGGTTTATTGGGTGTTAGCGGCCGTCGTGAGTTCCCTTCGGGAACGGACACGATAATTTACTTTACTTTACTTTTACACCTCTCAATATCAGTACTTTGCACTATTGAGGCGGCAATGAACTGAACATAAGAAACTTGCCAAAAACCAAATCCAAGCCAACCAAAATGACATGTACCGGTAAGTCTGGGCTTCGTTTAAGACAATTATCATGTGCTTGGGTGGGAATGGCAATGTGACAAACTGACAGACCATCCATGCCACGCAATGAATAGAACTCCGCTGCGGCCCATGAAAGCAAGCACTGGTGTGCATGCAGGATACTGGCTTCAAAGTTCAAATACAAACCTACATGTACATGTACTAGGTCTGGAACACTATACTGTACTAATAGTTCACGCGGCCATGTTTGTGATTTAATCACATGATGTATATTCATTGCTTCATATACACAAGTGCTGTCTCGGTGTCGCCAGTGTTGAACTACTTCAAGTACTGAAGCAGTGCTGAATTTAATGTGTCTTATGACGTGGAAAGTTTGTCACATGCCTGGAATACATGACAGTGGCACACGCTGCATACGCACAACATAACGGGACAAGCCCTTACCAGAGGCCACCACTGGCACACGTCCGGTTGAGTATTTCTTCACAGCCCTCGCAAGCTCTAGTCGTTCAGAATTTGACAGCTATAGAACAAGAAGAAGATACATGCATTTTAACCCAGCAATCCTACTTTGAAGCGGTACATGTACGAGTACTATAACTAAAGTCAAGATGCAATGTACCGCTGGCTGCGGCCTTCCCGCCATTACAGAATATTCATGATCAATATCGGCATGTGTTGGTGTTGAAAAAGACAGTGCCGCCGGAGCACACGGCTAGTCCAGTGCATGTGCTGTTCCATACCGTGCCCGTTTGATGCGCTGCTGAGACTGCTCCCGAGCTGGTGTCACGGTGCCTGCACTTACATCATACATTTCACCGAGACTGCTGAGTGCGGTGTGGCTGCACTTACGTCATACATTTCACTGGATAAGCAGACCGTGAACAGACCAGCGACTCCATTGTCAATGAACCAGTCAACAAGAGCTGCAGCAAAGAAAACAATGGCGACGGCGATGACCACCACCCGTGCCGGACCACCACCACAGCAACAACAACAACAACAACAACAACAACAACAACAAAAGCAGCAGCAGCAGCAGCCACAGCAGCAACAGCATTGATCGCATGTAAGTGTCAAAATGGCCGCTCAGTGACGGTCATGGAATCCGGGCCGAGACCACTAGCATCTCATCTCGTGTGTGGTGGAGTGAACCATTGAATGAGGCAATACGCTATGGTCACAGCACTTGAAATCTGCTCCCAACAATATGATTATATTTGAAGCTCCTGTCGTGAGTCATGTTACAAGTCGCGGTTTGATCCCCCGGAGGCACCATGGCCATATGTGAAGTGCCTGATACCAAGAGTACATAACCCCCAGGGGTTATGACTGTACTCTTGCTGATACCCAGCACACTCTCTTACTCTTAGCCCATGCTGCTGCTAACGATGGGCTCTCCTCTCCGCAACATCTGAGGAGCGCTGGAGGCAACGGAGCCGCAGTCATGGTTTGAAGGGACGCTGCCGGCCTAACTGACGGTGAGGTACAATGGCCAGCTTGTCTTCATTTCACAGTGGTGACAAAGGCGCAGCACGATCAGAAACATCAGGGCTGTAGCACCGAAAACGATTGACCCTTCTAATTCGTGCAAAACGGGTTTTCGTCAGTAACGTGCGTTTCTAGTCCAGTATCCCACTTAGCCAAAGCACCCGAGACGGGCCCGTACACCGGTGCTACGGACCTGATTATTGGTGTAATGTGTGATTCAATGATCTATGCCCCACCCGTGACCCCTACAGGATGAGACTTGCTGCGTCAACCAACGGTTGCACATCATGTGACATGGGTGAAAACTGTGCCTGCCTCTTACACTGTAAAGACTGATAATCGATTGAGCCATCTTCATGGAAGGGTGTGATCATTGTAGGCCAAGCTCCGCGAGGTAGACCAGTGGCACTTATATCCACAGTGCCAGGACTCGTTTTGCTACTGCTGCTGCCGTCCATTTCGTCCCCCAACCTGACTGCTGAGGTCCTGGAGTGTATGATCACCGCTGAAAGGCCAGCCTACTTGCACCCTGCCTCATACACTCAGCAGATCAGACTCTCCACCCTACCGGTATTTGTACCGCTGCACTGTACCACAAATAGCTAATTTTATAATCATGTGTGTATGTAGCACTATTGCACTTATAGAATCAGCTGACCAGCACGCTAGTCGCTAGTACTTAGTAGTAGAGTGAGTTACTTTGAGTCCGAAAACAGCTGCTGAATCGTTCCGGTTCGGACAGCTTCAGCTCGTTCAGGTCACCACTGACATCAGCTTCGTCCTCGGACTGAGAACGATTTCAGACAACAATCGCGATGGGCTTGCTCTTTTTCGTACGGTCATCGATCATCACTATCTCTCAACTCATAATAATCACTCGTCTTGTTTTCACCAGGGAGTCGTAAAATACCCGGTATTTTACGACTCCCTGGTTTTCACGATGACAAACTCACTTGCCGCACGTGATCACTGTCACTGATCAGTGATCAGCATGCAACATGATGACATCACAGATCATGCATGGTTTCTTTCAAAAAATGTTTCAAAAACCAGAAGAAAATGAAAGGCTTTCCAAAGACATAAAAATAATAACGAAAACGGTAGAAGACGACCAAAACAAAGTGTGTTCGACTCGGATGATGTGATTCAATTGTGGTCTTTGTCTCCCTATCACCCCATGGGTCGTGGAAAGCGTAAACATGTGAAGCTGCGTGCACCTGTTACCAGCCAGGGACACAAGAACCACTCGGATCGAGAAATCATTGACAAGGTGCACCAGTTGAACCAGAAGATTGCAGCTGGAGAAGATGTGCCTAAATCTGCTCGTCTGGAAATTGAGAAGGCGGGTGGTATAAATGCTTACCAGGTTGCATCTCAACGCGGAGAGCGAAAAGCCAAGTATGGCAACTTTACGTCTGCAGTCTGGGTTACCAAGCAGCTGAAATCCTGTGGACTCAAGCCGAAAGATGGGCGACTGCGTCTACTTGATGTTGGAGCTGTGACGTTGCAGTACGAACCATTCTCCTCGTGGATCGAGTGCGAAGCTATTGACCTGAACCCACAGCACCGTGCTATAATTAAAGCCGACGCAACGCAATACAAGGTAAGCCGAGGTTACCATGGTTACCTGCACCTGCACCTAGTACAATCATGTACATTGTAATTCCCTTTCACAATGAAAACTGAAAATTTGTGCATGCTTTCAACACAGTAGTTAGGAGCATGCCATATTCATAGTGTTGGCCGGTGTATATACGAGCGCGAGACATGCATTTGGCCGCGCCGTCGATACCAGAGTCAGGGAAGCGATTGAGTTATGAAGTAGTGGTAGGATGATTGACTCGCTGTCGCTGGGCATTCACACCCCGGTTCAATAGACGCCAAAAAAGCCAACAGAACAGTGCCCTTGAAGAATTCACAGAATCGAAAATGGATGACAGAGCGGTATCATCATGTAAACGCAACCGGAACTTGGACTTCTTTGAGCACCGTTGAACCTCTCTTTCTACCGTATGCTTCTTTTTTTCCTTGTCCAGAGTTCACCATTCAATGTCATTGTTCTCAGTCTGGTACTGAACTTCACCGGAGATGCAGTGGAACGTGGAGCAATATTGCGTAACTGTAGACGGTTGCAAGTGGACGGCGGCCACCTGTTTGTCGTGCTGCCACTGAAGTGCTTGATAAATTCTCGTTTGTTCACAACTGAGCGGCTGGATATGATTATGTCCAGTCTTGGGTATAAGTCACTGCTCTGCCACCAGAGCAAGAAACTCTCTTTCCACATGTTTGAACTTGCAGCTCCAGACAGGAAGGAGACGTTCTCAAGAAAAACTCTGAAGCGGGGCCCAGGAATGAACAAATTTGAAATAATCTTAGAGACATCTTGAACAGATATTTTGAAGCAAGCAGTATTGTCTTCGTCGGATATTATTGCTGACTTAGAAGCGTGCTCTATTCAACTGTATAATCGAGACGCACAGTGTGCAGTGTACAAGTACATGCACTACCACTAGTTCGGCAAACATCCGGGAAGCTTTCCCTTAGTAAAACTCATCTTGATATTGTCAAGCGGTGTCATTTCGTAACTGCAGGCAGTTTCAGCTATCACTTTTTAAGCTTCTATTCTGATCTAGGTTTGCTACATTACAATCATATTATGCGCACGTGCTTTTCTAGCTGTGTGGCACTGGGCGCAGTCCCGTGTGCTGTAAAGGGGGGTGTTGTCCTCAACTGTGTTCAATGGTACATGTGTTTAGTCAGTGCCTACACGAGCATGTTTACACAAGTTACAGCTTGAGTACATGTACAGTCTATCTTCTGGGCCAGGAAAGTCTACACTGCTGTGCATGTCGAAACCGTAGTCACAAGAACCTGAACAATTCCTTTCTGGCAAATAGAAAGTAAACGAGCAGATGAGGCAACGACGAACCTAAGGAGTTGAGCAAATTCCCAAAGGTCGATTAGAAGACCTTGTAGAAAAACTACTTGTACACATCCATGTTATTGAAATGCACTACTAGTATACAGAACTCGCCTTACATACCTGTACGTGGGATCACGAATGACAACCATTACATGTACTCACATGTGCTCAAACACCACACAAATCATTGCATAACTGGTTTGCTCATGTCTCGGGGAGTCATGAGGACCTGCTCTACAGAGAGTAACCATGGTAACAGTACAGTCCATTATGAGGACTCTGCACTTGTATCATCTGAAAACGGGTATGGAATTGAAATATGAAGTTGAGAGTATAATGATTTTGAAGATATGAAGATTGAGTGTATGCGAGCAGCATGAATTGCAGTGTTCCTCGACAATGTGTTGTCCAGCCTTGCTCAGTTCATGTATTCAATCTTTTTTTAATTGATAAATGAGAAGAACTCAGAAGATATAGGCCAGAGTTACTGGTACATCTTTCACAGCTAAAGCTGTAAAAGCATTGGAAAAGATAATCATTTAGAGACCTACATCAGTATATGTACAGATGCACCTAATTGAATGCAGAGCAGAGCAAGGGCTACCTACAGACAGTGCATCATGTGCTGATGAACTACTGTACCAGGCTATGTACTGGGATAGATGAAGGGGTGCAGCCAGTGACGCCCTGGTTTCACACCATAGTAGGTGCGTAACTTTTGAATTTATGAAAAAAAGTACACGTACTTGTACACCTGAGAATGCAGCAGACAAGCAGAAGCTCTGGCGCAAGGCGTGTAATAAAACGGAAGAACTAAAACTCAAATAATGCACCTACAGGTCGAGCCCTGACAATGCATAGCCTCCGGGAGCATAGAGAGCTGTGTGAGCCATGTTCGTCACCCAAGAGGGAAGAGGGGCCAAGACACCTATCAAAGGCATGGCAATCACAAGTACAAAGTCCAAAGCTGCTGCAGCAGCTATGAGAAAGTATTTACTCTGCTGCTGTGGCTGTGGCAACAGTGGCCATGGCCTCTTCTTGCTGCTGCTGCTGCTTGCTTGATTCTTTGATCAGCGCACGCTTCTCTCGGCGTTTCTCATACGGCTCTCCCAGCTTACTTTCTAACAGCGAATTGTGCATTTTGCGATGACCAGGCTTCAAGCTTGGTACAATGTCTACATTCCAGCTCATACAGGTAGGCTTCAGTGAATGGTCACGCCACAACACCGGGTTCTTTTCACTAACATCACTGCGGACTGGAGTGCTGCAGACCACTGAGTAGAGATTATCCAGCATTGTCAACTGTGTTGCGTGCTTGCGCCACAGTCTCTGCAAGTGCGTAGTCAGTCGTTGCTTAGCACTGGCAGAACATAGCCAATCTAGACCTGGAAAGCATGCATCGTAAAACACCAGAGGTTCTCCGATGGCCATTTCGTACGATGGTCTTCCAGGGAAGCGCTCCACATCAAGTAACGCGTCAATAACATCCGGGCTTTCTAGCTCGTTTCCCACCAGGAAGAGAATGCCAACTATGCATCGGATCTAAGGAGGAAACACAGTTACAGACAAATGCACACACACACACGCAGTACTTAGAAGTAGTGCGTCTACATGTACCAATTTCACATTTTTGTGGAATAATGATCATACTACTTCCTAGTCGTTAAGTAAAAACAGGCTTATTGCAGTGTTAGAAAGTGCTCCTAACTTCCTAGTGTACTACAATGCAACTCTCGATTGTTTTGCTTCACTAGTGCTCAACAAAACGTATTATTTCCGGGTTGGAGTTTGCAGATTGTTAGATCCAGAGAGTCGTTAAGTAGTTTACGGCTCTCTGGTTAGAACTTCGTTTCCTAGGCCTTGGAAAGTTTTAAACATTAGATTACAAGTATTAGGAGATTAGGTCACCTGCCCGACACTGCTCTTTTTCTCTCCGAAACTCGACACTACATCACCACTGGGACTCGAACCAGGGACCGTGCGGTTCGCGAGCAAGGCTCTAACACACTGAGCTACAGTATGACTCTTATCCACGATGAGAAAAAAGAGTAGCACGAGGCCGGTGGCATGATTCCCTAATACTTTGAAATTCTCCGTGGAGTCCAAAATTTGGAATTGAAACATTACATAATAAGGAAGTTGTTTGCTCCCACCCTGAAGCTAGTGTTTTTCCCGCCGACCTGACATGAAACCTGACTGACTCGTGGAGGTCGCTACCACTATTTCGTAACTTTATATAGGCAATTCTTCGCAAGTCTTCTATACTGTAAGACAAGATATTTTAACGTCAATTAAAGATAACGATCTCCAGATTTTCGTGGGTTAGCGAGGTGAAATTCTAAAGAATTCTGTCTCAAAACCGGAAAATAATTGTACATATCACTTTGCACATAACGACTTCAAATGTTAACGATTCTTTCAAATTCGTTAACTCGTTAGAATTAAATGTTCGTTAACATTACTGGTCTTACAGTACTTAGATCAGCAAGTCACATTTTCAAGGACTTGCCACATGTTGCCATGGTTACCTGATGGTAGAGAAAACCATTGCCTTTCACCTCCAAGCACATCATCTGGCAATCATCTCTCGACATGTCAGATGCAGCAGATGTGAAGTGGGTGGCTGATTGGACAGTGATGCTTTCTATACAGCGTGTATAGTGCTTGACGTCTGGGTTGAAGTAGCAGAAGTTGCGAAAATCATGTTCTCCAACCAACTTGTTGGCCGCCGCTTGCATTAGCCGGACATCCAGCTGCGCATCTGGGAAGAAATAGCGATACGTCCGTGACAAGCAGTGAAAACGAGCGCTAAAGTCACACGCTACTGGTGACCAGCCTAGCACACGGATATCATCGGGTAGAACGGCGTTCAACATATGCACGAAGTCCATTTCCTCGGGCTGTTCATCCACCACGTCTGGGCGGTTCTCGATTGGTTGCTGCTCCTTGCCAGTGCATACTGCAGGTATAACACCTGTTCCCGACGTCTGTTTGCAACGAACTCTCACGGACAGCACCTGACCAAATGCACTCACACCGGTATCAGTTCTGCCACATCTTGTGAAATAGCTCTTATCCCTCTCCTCTATCAGCCTGGTTCTTTTCATTGCGTTCAGGACTTGAGTCTCCACTGAAGGGTCGTCACAATCATCACTAGAGCTTGCAAGCCCTTTGTAACCTTGACCGAAGTACGCCACTTTCAAAGCAATCTGACGGTGCGGATGCTTATCAAAATCCAACTTTCTTCCTTGCTTCTGCTTCCTGCCGGTGGATGGATGCTCAGTGGTGGCTTGTGGACCTTGCTTTTTCTCAAGCTCTCTGATGCGAGCAACAAGGTCTTCCTTGGACAAAGCAAGGAGGTCGGCGTCCATTGCGGAATTCCCAGAAAAACTTCGTCCAAGGCGGTGAGGGATGCACTGGATACAGCGAGACCAGGCGCGATACATAACATCAAGAGTAGGGTAATCTACATGGCGTGATGAACTCTTGATAACATTCACAGAGCACAAACGTAATTGAAACAATCAAATCAGCAAACATGAAACAGTGACCTGGTGACTCGACTGTACTAATTTTTGTCCATTTCAAAAATTTGAGCAATAAAACGTGCACGTGTTGCGCCAGTCATGTCACGTGCACGAGCCACGTGGCGCGATTGAAAAAATTATTTAAAATACGTACTGATCGACATACATGTACTATAATTGCAGTTTCGTCGATAATTACGTCTTCACTCTACTCTCTAGGTCTAACTCTGCCCTCCACACGAGCAGTGTCCGATCAAGAGCAAGAGAGGGGAGTTATCATGGTTATGTACTCTTGGTCCTATCCATGAATCCTGTACTCTTGGTACAGCTTCTAGTCATTTTCCGATGATTTGATTGCAGTGATAGGGGCACCCGTCCATGACAACTGTATGGCCCTATGGAACGTAGCTTGGTATTGTCCTCAGCCCCTGCTGCAAGTACCATGTTTCATGTTCGAGCAGATTCGTTTGTGCTATGATCTGAGGCGTCTGGGATCAACTAACAGCATGATTGTGTAAGTGAATTAATTTGTCCACATCACCCTGCACTCTTCAGCTAACTGTCACTAACTGTTCTGGGCTGGCATTCCCGTGCCCAGTCAATCATGGCAAATTAATTTTTTTTTTAACTATTCAGTGAGTCCGGATCACCTTATAATTGTCTACACCATTTCGACTTCCCTGGGGAGCTCGCTGTTGTACATGTACTCATAACTGTGATGTGGTCATGTGCAAAACAACAGTACATCAACGTACTACTGTGTGGAAGGTGGTATCAATGTTCATAGACTGGATGGGTGATCTGCAATAGGGCTACATAACAAAATGTAATCCCGAAGAGTACTGACTGGGGTAGGGGAGGAGCAGAGCGTACAGAATACACGCGCCAGTGATCATAACTATCATGCTTTGTGATTGCCCCCCGCACAAGAGGTTCAGACTGAGACAGCGTATAGCATACATGCACATTCACAAGCCATGCCAACGGAACTCGTGTGTGAAGCGCATTCACAATTGCACACACATGTACATCATCATGTGACACCTGATGATTGGAGTTGATAGTGATAGTTGATAGTGAATTCTTCTTGCTAAAGATTTGAATAATAGTTCTCACAAAATGTGTACGTAATATTCACGGTATACAGTAGGAGGTAAAGTAATTGGAAATCCAAATTGAGTAGAGCATGAGTGTATGCATTTGCACAGTCTGATTGCCGCAAGCACACCACTCTGCACAGTGTAGCAGCAGCATGATGCAGCAGCTCCTGTGCTGCTGCTGCTGCTGCTGCTGCTGCTGATAGAACAGTGTGCTTGTGCAGCAGTGCAATGGCAATGGCAACATTGTGTTTCTCAACCGCTTCCATCAAATGCCTGCCCATTAGTCACTGTTAATAAGGGTACATTCAATAGTTTACACTCAATCATCAATGAAGGACTACATTCTCCAGGGCATGATATTCTAAATACTAGTATATAATACAGGCGTAAGTGGTTTTCACATCAAGTACAGCATGTCTGTAGGTCTACGGTTATATTACATGGGAGTAGGATTGTTCGCAATCAGGTGCATCAAGGTGATCTTGAAGAAGTGGATCCCGCAGTACCGACACTAGTCTCACATGTTTCTGTACTTTCTCCACATGGTTTTCTTGGAAATTACCAATGGAAATGCCAAATTTCTCGTAAAGCCTTCTTTGCACAACTAGTTTATTTGCCCGTAAGTAGGCATGTGTTTTGTACACACCCACCGACCCTAATGTAACGAAGAACAATGCTTGAATCAAGTAGTAGTTGGTAGCGCCTGCCCCGGGTGCTGCTAGGTTGGCAATGATGCATAGCACCGACAGAAGGATCGTCTCCAGTGTGTTGTTGTCAGCTCTCTCGAAAGGCGTGAACAGCGCCTGCATGCACAGGAACACGATGCAGCTGACCATTCCGGCGGCGTGCTGCGTTTCCGGGTCTAGCGGTATGTTGACCGCAATGGCCAATACGTAGCGACGTATCAGGTCGACTCCACTCCACATGCGCCGGTCTGTGCGATATACGCTGTTGTATACGTCCGAGAATGGCTTGAATCGTGGCCACCTAAACGTAGTTGAATGGCAAGAAAATAACATTGTTGGCACACAGTAAGTGAGAGCAATGCATACTGTGAAATCGTCACATTGAACAAATTATACCAAGCACAGAAGTACACTGCATACATACCGGTATGTCGTTCTCACTAACTGCTCCAACTTGGAATTTCCTATCCTGGTGATACAATTCTATGAAATCATTCGCATAACCTCTATAGGCCAGTGTAGGTCATTGTGGCTTTGCTATCTCCAACTGGATGTTCCCCAGGCATTCAACAAAGGTTCCGATCTTGAACACAGAGGTCAGTGTATGGAACTCAGTGTTGGAGGCTTCAGAGCACAGACGTGTAACCTTGCGCCCAGTCAGTCCTGCAAATGTACACGGGTATTTTGCAGACAAGCTACGAATTCCAATCAGCCACGTCAGGACTGCCACAGCGTCTTCTCTTGGCAATCGTTCAATCCCAGACAACAACTGCGGCCAATCCACAGCTGCCAGATGGGTCAAACCCTCCAGGCAATGTAATGGTATGCTATGGGCGTATGCATAACTGCAAGATGCAGAATGTTTGCTTTTCCCTGCTAGTCCCTACTGGTCTCTCCACCAATCTACCGCTCAGGTTTTGTACTTACTTGTGTAAGAATGGGAGAATGAACGGCGTTGGCAGAAGGATGAGCACAACGAGAAAGTTTGCAATGATGGCCGCAACCAGATGCCGTGACTGCCAGCAGATCACGTCTTCATCATCAGTGAGGCGAAGTGAAGAATTGATAAGCTGATCGGCCGTGCTGCGTGGACTGATTCTTGAGCAACGCAGGCTCCTGACAGCGGTGGAAGCCAGGCTTCCGTATGACATTAGAATCACCAGCCAGAACATCCGGATGCAGTTGCGCCGTGCAAAGACTTTAACCAGATACTGCAGAATGAGACAAAAAGGTTAAAAACAACTTCACCCTCATGCCTCTCAGCAACCATGCAAGTACTATGACAGTTTGGGTTTACACTTGTATGTACTGAGGAACGATCTTGCAAGGTCTACACGGGCGTACCTGGTTCCCTTGTTAGGGGATGGGGTGCACGGTCATACTTGAACCAAGGTTGACAGTTTTAGGGCCCGGTCCATGTACTCCTGGTACAGTACAAGTACACAGGCTATGACCCTGGGTCTAACTTTAGACTTCACCTTGCAGTATGATTGCATAGGTTTGATGCCCGAACTAACTCGGTCTGCCCCGTTGACACAGCTGCCAAAGCTCCTGCTGTTTGGTTTTATCCTGGCGTCCTGTAAGGAAGTGCAGCTGATAAGTAAGAACTACAGTCATACTGACCTTGATGTTGCTGAGCAAATAGGACACTAGTAGCAGAAACAAGAAGTATGCCGGAGAGAAGTACGCCCACAATAGGCGATCCAGAGCGGTGAACGTCTCGTCGAAACACATTCCAAAGCTGAGATCCAGGGTGAGTGTTTGTGTGATGTACTCCTGTCCACGAGGTAGATATGGGCTGCGATGCACAACCAGTGCTATAGACTGTAGAGAGATAGAGAGACAATACGTAAGAGAGAAAGAGACAATACGTTAGATAGATAGAGACAATACGTCAGAGAGAAAGAGACAATACGTCAGAGAGAAAGAGACAATACGTAAGAGAGATAGAGACAATACGTAAGAGAGATAGAGACAATACGTAAGAGAGAAAGAGACAATACGTAAGAGAGATAGAGACAATACGTAAGAGAGAAAGAGACAATACGTCAGAGAGAAAGAGACAATACGTAAGAGAGATAGAGACAATACGTAAGAGAGAAAGAGACAATACGTAAGAGAGAAAGAGACAATACGTAAGAGAGAAAGAGACAATACGTAAGAGAGAAAGAGACAATACGTAAGAGAGATAGAGACAATACGTAAGAGAGATAGAGACAATACGTAAGACAGAAAGAGACAATACGTCAGAGAGAAAGAGACAATACGTAAGAGAGATAATAGAGACAATACGTAAGAGAGATAGAGACAATACGTAAGAGAGAAAGAGACAATACGTAAGAGAGATAGAGACAATACGTAAGAGAGAAAGAGACAATACGTAAGAGAGAAAGAGACAATACGTAAGAGAGAAAGAGACAATACGTAAGAGAGAAAGAGACAATACGTAAGAGAGAAAGAGACAATACGTAAGAGAGATAGAGACAATACGTAAGAGAGAAAGAGACAATACGTAAGAGAGATAGAGACAATACGTAAGAGAAAAAGAGACAATACGTAAGAGAAAAAGAGAAAGACATCAAACAGTGAACACATACAGTAAAACCTGTAACTAAAGACCACCGTGACTAGCGACCAGCCTGGTACTACAGACCACTTCGCCAGGCACGGACGGTCTCACATTCAGATATGGGTGTGCGGTGCAAACCTCTAGCTAAGGACCACCTGCCACTAAAGACCGCTTTGTCTGGCCCCAAGGGTTGGTCGTTTGTCACAGGTTTTACTGTATTTAGAAAAAATGCTCGGACTTGTTGGTGATCTGATACTACCCACGTGATCTGATGAATTTTGAATTCTCTGGGGTGAGAGATTAGCCCATCCAAGGATGGCGAAGCAGAGCTTCATGTTCCTAACAACCCCCAAATAACGCATTGATTATAATTATTTATAACCATCAGGTTGACAGGACAACAATCAAGGTATCATATTGTGCGTAATGGTGTTTCAGCTGACCTGGCAGAAGAATAGCAGAGAGACGAGTGTCGGTGTCATGCCCCACGTGAAGTAGATACCGGCGGAGAACAGTGCTATGCCTAGCACACACGTTGTGATGAGCACGTTATACGGCTTGGCTCCGCGGCAATCTTGACAATACTGTAGAAAGCAGCAAGAACACCGCCAACATAGTTAACAACGAAACAAAACAGAGACTCTCCGGAGATAGCAACTCAGATAACACGAGCCATCTGTACATATAGCACCTAACCAGTACCGTAAAGTACCGTTGATCCGCCCCCACTCTAATCCCCCCCCCCCCTCGATTTTCTGTCTCTGAAGCGACTTGGCGTGGGGGGGGGGGGGGGGGGGATCAACGGTACTATACGGTAGAGAAATTATGCGTCTTTCTGTACTCATGTCCATATGCATACAGCCAACCTCGTACTACTTTCTAGTGCGCAAGCAAACATTCGGGTGAGAGTCTGTGTGAATGTGTACATCGAGTTGGACCTTTCTCACCTGTTTGTGTCTGAAAGATACAACACCGCATTGTCGTACAACGACACTGCACCAAACAGCCTTGATCGAATCCCCCCCCCCCCCCCCCCCCCCATGAAAAACAAGCTGGGAAGCGACTTGGCGTGGGGGGCGGATCAACGGTACTTTATGGTACAAGTAATCAGTACTAATCACTATGCAGCATGCTAGTGACCCAGGCCTGGCGGAACTGGTCTGGTTGGTCAGGCCATGGACATGCTATGCGCAGATCAACCTTTTGGCCACCAAAAGCGTGTTTACTGCCGAGGAGATCACGACAAGGCTATACTGCAATATGACCAGACCAATCAAAAACTACTTCTACCGGACCTGTACTTGTAGCCAGTGGACCTGTACTTGTAGCCAGTGGACCTGTACTTGTAGCCAGTGGACCTGTACTTGTAGCCAGCGGTGTTACATTTTCAATGTGTGAATCCTGCTGCTCTGGAGTGCTTGGCTCAGACATTGCATGCTATACTCATACAAGCTGAACTACTACTTTGAAGTATCCTAAGCCTGCTGAATCGTATCCTGCAAAGTGAAACAAGCACTTTCGTCTCTGCCCTCCGTCAAGGAACTCATCGCGGCCGCGACTACATGATGTAATCTAGCGGCACCCTCCCCCCCCCCCCCCCCCCCCATACACACTACCTGTACATTACTTGGACTTGTTCACTGCCAATACTTGTGGGTCTCCCCAGGAGAGGGGAGAGAGATTAAAAAAGAATCAAAACACACACACACACACACACATACACCACTCGCACTCACACACTAGTCTCAAGGCGAATGTCAGAGCATGGTCAAGGGCTAGGGTTATTGGTCCTAACGGCAGCAGGTAGTGACTAACTTACCACATAGTATGGTGTCAATGCAGTGCCGTTGCGACACCTTCCACACACTAAACCTTCTGTGTCACCAGAACAAGGCGTAGATACTTCTAGACTGTGATACAGGATGTGGGCTATCCCTGTAACAATCAGCACACAAGATTGAAGCAGAAAAGGAGATACTTCAAAAGTAGGTGGCTTAGTTTGTGTGCGTGTGCGTGTGTGTGTGTGTGTGTGTGTGTGTGTGTGGGAGAGACAGACAGACTGACAGATGAATGGATGGATGGACAGAATACAGATGGACAAGTCTTACATCATGGTTAAGTGATTACTGGCACTTACTGTGCCGCCGTGTGTTGATGTGACTGCACCATGCCCAGCACTAACCTGTCGTTTTTAGTTTATGTGCCGAGTCTGCATCTTGGCAGGTATCACGCAGGCAATCGCCATAGAGTAAAGAACTCTCCTCCTTGACTTCGCTCAGGAGTTGATAGGTACTTTTCGGTACGGGAATGCAGATGATGTTAAGATCTTGCAGTGACGTCTGGTTCAGATCAAGTTCTGTATTGTTACACTTGTACTTTGCTTTGACCTCACTTGGCATTTCGTTTGAAGGAACTATTCCTCCCCATTGGCTTGACTTCACATAGATCTGCAGCATTCAAAGATTTGTTGAACATAACGGAAAGCAGCCAGGCGAGCATGTCTTGAAAGCTCATAATGAGCAAGGCAGAATTCTACTCAATAGAGGATAGTATCAGCTGACTGTTATCAATAGAGCAAAGAATGTATGGTATTTTCCGGAGTATAAGCCGCACTTTGAACACTCAAGAATCAAAATTCACCCAAAATAAGGGCATGGCTTATACTCCAATGATCAAATTAACGGTGATACATAGGATAGATATCTGTACTTTGTGGCAGAAAAGGGGACGGGGGGGGGGGGGGGGGGGGGGTGCGGCTTATACTCCGTAAAATACGGTACTACTGGTCAGTCTTAGCCCTGAGCCACTGATATAGCTGTACAGTGTACAGTGTACTCACCTCTTTGCCTCTGCTGCAGCTTGCTATGACATCACTGTTTTGATCACAATTACACACCAGAGGGTCAGCTCCATTCAGCCACTCGCGATTCACCAGACCAGAGCTGGAACTGGAGGCTAGTCCTACAGCTGTTTCGTACTGCACACACACACAACACACACGCACACACACACACTCACACACGCACACGCACACACACGCACACACATGGTACGAAGCATTGTGTAAATCCAATGCACGTTTGAACCCTTCTACTTGCACCTTGGGTAAGTCCCAGACCAAAACCTCTCTCCTCCTACCTCGGATAAATACAAGACTGAAACCTCTCTTCTCCTACCTCGGATAAATCCCAGACCAAAACCTCTCTCCTCCTACCTCGGATAAATACAAGACTGAAACCTCTCTCCTCCTACCTCGGATAAATACAAGACTGAAACCTCTCTCCTCCTACCTCGGATAAATACCAGACTGAAACCTCTCTCCTCCTACCTCGGATAAATACAAGACTAAAACCTCTCTCTTCCTACCTCGGATAAATACCATACTGAAACCTCTCTCCTCCTACCTCGGATAAATATAAGACTGAAACCTCTCTCCTCCTACCTCGGATAAATACAAGACTGAAACCTCTCTCCTCCTACCTCGGATAAATACAAGACTGAAACCTCTCTCCTCCTACCTCGGATAAATACAAGACTGAAACCTCTCTCCTCCTACCTCGGATAAATACCAGACTGAAACCTCTCTCCTCCTACCTCGGATAAATACAAGACTGAAACCTCTCTCCTCCTACCTCGGATAAATCCCAGACCAAAACCTCTCTCCTCCTACCTCGGATAAATACAAGACTGAGACCTCTCATCTCCTTTCATGGAAATCGCATACTGTAAAAGCCATAATATAATTATAACGAAGTGCTAACTCTAACAAGTTAACGAGGAGAAATCTGTCGTTAAAATAGAAATCGTTATACAGAAATCGATACATATACTTTCCTATTGAGCGTTGAGAATGAGTGAAAATCGTTACCTTTGGTACACGTAAACTAGTCAATTTTGGGAAATCGTTATATATGCGCCTCGTTAGAATAATGGCTTTTACAGTAACCCAAACGCTTTGAACAGATGCAGTAGTTCATCTGTGGGGAGTGTGTGATGGCATTTTAAAACATTATGATCTTCCAGTCACTCACATGTCTGAAAGTATTGGCTACCAGGCTGGCGATGTGTCAAGCAAGCATAGCACATGTCATTATGATTGTCCTTGGTTGTGTATTGTGCATTTCTCTGTTTAGCTTCTTGTTATCCGATGGGACTTTATGGATGCATCGGAGTACTTCAGTGAACTAGGGAACAGTTGCAAAAACTTGAATGCCAGTGGATATGGTGGAAGTAAAAACGGAGTTCTGTGTGAATTATCACGGAGCCTTTTCAAGAGCATGTCTGGTATGCTACACATGCATACTGTCCAGTAGGTGTGTTGTACAAGATGAAATTCAGGGACGAGCAAAGCAATTGAATACAAATTCTCCGATAGAAACGTCTCTACCCTGCATCTGAAGTGATTGGTTTGGAAAGAGGTCCTTCAACAATAGCCACAGCTTGACAAAGATGTCGCCAGTTGAAGTATTCTCATCGATAGGACGTTGCCACACAGACTTACGGAACGGTTCTCGGGCAGGCTAGGGTCATAGAGTGTTGGGTTGAGATAGCCATGCGGACACGGAGCTAGTTGGAATGGTATCCGCAGCTCAATGTTCTTGTCAATCAGCAGAGACGGAGCATAGATCCTCAGCTCACCACGTGTGCCTGTGATGTAGTGTGATGTAGTGTGATGTAGTGACAAATCGGAAAAACAGTTACTGTAAAACGGACAAATTTGGGTCGTGAAACCTTAGTGATTTAGCCGGTATGAATTTGTGAGGTAAAATGTTAGCGATCTGCGTTCGTTTCAGAAGAGAGGAGACTGGAGAATCATCCATTTATTTGCATCCTCGGTCGTTTCGTTTCGTTCCTCTGATGAAGCCACAACAGTGCGTGGTTACTGGTCAGGCTGTACAACTAGAATAATTATGTAGTTGCTGATTTACCGTCTAGGTCTCCAGGGGAGTACTCCTCATCTCAACAACATCAAGCTTGCGTATGGCTCAACAGCCAACATCACTACTACACTGGTGGGTTCATTGACTTGTAACCTTGGTAGCCAAGGTAACCATACCAACACAAGGTCATTACCTGGCATTCCGACTAGAGAGATGCCGACCAGAGGCTGCCCGGGTACAAAAGGAATCTTGTCGTCGCTGGAAAGCTGGAAGTCACCGTTTTGCCGTAGAAGAACTGCTGCCTGAAAATGTGTGTCTTTTGTTCTTTCCACCTGCAAGCACATGCAATTGAACATACATGTTTCATCAGTACTCTTCCCGAATACTCCTCGCCACAGGGACTCTTTGTCTAAATCATCAGTCCACTTGCTCGAACTGGGCTTGCATGGGGTCTAATATGATTATTCATTATGTCCTGAGATTATTTCACATGCCCTGTGCTGTATTGTCTGTATGACCCAAACACAACAGCTACACATACAGGTACATGTACGTAGTTCAATATGGCTGATGATCCACCGACCATCCCAGTATCATGTGTACGTCGAAGTAAACTCAAGTAGACAACTGACACAATTTGAAGTCTGCGGCATACATTACAAGACAGACACCGTGTCAGCGACAATAGTTCCAACTCGAGTCAGCATCGACAGAAGCAATACTAACTACAACGACAGTAGAACAGCAGCAGCAACAACAACAACAGAAGAGGCTGTTGCAGTACGCGTAAAGTGTGATGCAATAGACCGTAATACATGTACAGTCAGACCTCGCTTAACCGCACACATGATCTGTTTTCAACAAAAAATATCCGGACAGGCGAGGGACCCGGATAACCGAACACACATACTGTATGCATGCATGACATATGCTGTAAATCGGTAACCAGCTATTTTCTTCCGGATGGCGAGGGATCCGGATAAAAGATGATCGGATAAGCGAGGTTTGACTGTACTTGGAAATACATATGCCGCGGCTTGGTGTACCTCCTATAGGGCACATACCGATATATACGCCGACGTTCTTGCATCTCCTTGCAGCTGATCTACACAGGAGAAGTTCAGGTGGAATTCCTCCCCAGGCGCCGGCATCAAGATGATGTTGGACGGGTTTGGTATGAGGTGCTCACCGGCAGGGCCAATGCGTGCCAAGGCATCGGGGTCCGTCAGTGCAATGGACGTGAACAGATTTGCGTCGGCGTCTCTGACAAACGTGCCTGACCAGGGTAAGAGAAGTCGTGAGATATCTGGCAACGTACTCCCGACTTGACGTGCCAGCCTAAACTGGGGCAGTTGATCGAGCAGGACTTGTGCTGTGCTGTTAAGATGGATAGATCGGCGCAGGCTGAAAACAGAAACGCAGCAGATTGCAAGTTAGTGGTACGTTAATCAGCATACTCATACTTTTAGCTACATGTACAGGGCAGCAGGCAAGCGCATTGCGTACACGCTGCCCGATGAATGTAGTTATTGTAATATTGTGGATTCCCCAAGCTTGAGCTCTGTGTGTACCACAGTTTGTGATAATGAGTGTGGATGGTGGAGTAACATGTACATCTCTACTCGGAGTCGGGTAGTAAGTTAAAGGGGAAGTTAAGGCAAAAACTAAAATTTCACCAGTTGTAGTCTTCGGGGTGCTGAGTCGAATGGTCTTGGTCCGAGGAAGCTGAGACGCTCCCTTCCTACTTGAATCCCAATCGAACTCGCGCACTTCCACCGAAACTGGGTGACTGCGCCCTACGAGATGGGGATTTGTATGCAAAATGTCACTAAAAGCGCCATTTCGTTCTTATAAAAGCACGGATGACCACGATTGGCCCATATGTTGTAGTCTTTTGGACGCTGAATCGACTGGTTTTGGTCCGAAAAGGCTGCGATGCAGCGTTCCTCCTTTATTCCCAATCGAACATGGTTGAAGAAGCGGTCACGTGCTCCTGGGTGCCAAAATCACCTGGTCACCACGCCAGCAGGCGACAACTTTCACACCAAGGTTCAACTCGAGTGACAGGACTGCACCCAAAAAAGGTCAAAACAGGCTGTAAGTTGTACCCTGCAGTAGGCCTAGCCCAAATTTGCCGGCAATTCTTCCAGCAAAATATCGAATTTTCCAACGAAAAGAAATTGCTGGCAAATTCCGAGCAAAATATCGAATTTACAGAGGATCCGGGTGTGTTTTGGTAATTTTATTCAAATTTCGTTGGTTTCATTGGGCCAACGTCGTGCTGAAATAGCTCGTGCAGGTTGTCAGGGGTACATAAATTTGAAATCATGCTCCAAAATCCGTAATACTGACACCATTATAAGTTTTGCTTTCCTCATCAGAGTCACCATCCACTTTTACCAAAGTAGACGGTTCATTCGAAGCCATTTTTGCCACAAAGCAGGAGCAAAATGGAGCAAAATATCGGAAACGAAAGGCAATGCCAAGCAAAATATGGAAAGTGATCGGGCAAAATTTGCCGGCAAAATATCGAAGCGCCCCGAGCAAATTTGGGCTAGGCCTACCCTGCAGGCACGGTGACCAGGTGACTGGTGTACGCAGGAGCACGTGACCGCTTCTTCAACCATGTTCGATTGGGAATTAGGGGCGAACGCTGCATCGCAGCCTTTTCGGACCAAAACCAGTCGACTCAGCGTCCAAAAGACTACAACACATGGGCCAATCGCGGTCATCCGTGCTTTTATAAGAACGAAATGGCGCTTTTAGTGACATTTTGCATACAAATCCCCATCTCGTAGGGCGCAGTCACCCAGTTTCGGTGGAAGTGCGCGAGTTCGATTGGGATTCAAGTAGGAAGGGAGCGTCTCAGCTTTCTCGGACCAAGACCATTCGACTCAGCACCCCGAAGACTACAACTGGTGAAATTTTAATTTTTGCCTTAACTTCCCCTTTAATACTTCGAAGTACGTACAAGCTATTTATTGAATCCTCGTGGCAGTCTGGAAGGATGTACTGAGAGTCAATGATTGTTTTCTGGCATGAGCAGCTGGCACCACGGAACCATAGATACGTGGAACTAGTGGAGATGGCAGGAGCGTATGTACCTTTAGGCAGGGAACAGCAAAAGCAGAAGCATCAACAGTGGCGCCATCAGTAAACTACCTGAGCTTACAAAAACGATTGGGAAACCTGGCTTGCCAGCTTGCCCTGATAGTTTAAAAAAAAACTGTGTTAGAAAGTACGTGAGATGGACACTGCATACATGAATGAGCATACTGTACAGGACATGCAGTGTTGGGTATTGTGTATTTTCAGTTGGCCCAGTACTGGCCAGCTACATTTGTTTCCACACACTTGCCCTGGCATGTCCTCTTTGAGTTTCAGGCAGCTGCTCGGATATTATCAGATCTGTTCTAGTGGATCCAACATGATTACTGGTGGGCCAGCTATTTGCACACACACACACACACACACACACACGCACGCACGCACGCACGCACGCACGCGCACACACACACACACACACACACACACACACACACACACACACACGCACACACACACACACACACACATACAGCATCCTGTAGGTTTCAGTTATCATCTCTATCAGTGGACTGCATTCACTGACACCATGATTGCCGGTGGATAGTGATGTACAGTCATGTAATTCAATCATCCATCCGCTTCAGGTTCAATCATCCATCCGCTTCAGGTTCAATCATCCATCCGCTTCAGGTTCAATCATCGCATAATCCCAAGTGTACGATCCAAAACGTCGGGAAGATGACGATACACAATACAGTCTTGACCCATTCAATACATACCTGACACTCCACCAGCCATGGTCAAGCTTTCGTTCCTGTAGTAACCAGTTAATGGACGCTGAGTTGTTCCGGTGCCAGCTCCACCCATAACAGTTGCCGCCAGTGGACATCCGAGCATATCTCCCGGCAAGATGGCATAGTCGCGGCAGAGAAGAAGGCTGAACGTGAAGATGTCCTGTCCTTGGATGCACGCACCGTTGTGATCAAAGTAGAAAAATGGCATCTGTGTTTCGGTGGAGAACACGCGGGATAGCACACAACATTAGCGGAGGTCAATCAATCATCACCTGTAGAGTTCATTACTGTGTACTGCATCAGATCGGCTATGTGGCTTAAGTTATACAACAGTTTGTAGGCTAGTGGATGGGTCTCACAGCCTCTGGCACAAGTGCCAAAATCCCATCACTGTGGAATTAGGCCAGTACAATAGGCAGCACATCTCCTGTTTATACTTGGAGGTGGTAGCAGTCCAGTCGGAGCAACGATTAGGGTTAGAATGACCCGATACCGACGTGGATATTAAAAAGGGTTTGCACATCTGTGTTACTAGCTGCTATTAAATTTGTGTTTAGAAACACAGCCAGCTTAGGAAGTCTACTGTACTCTCTGCCAGACAGCCACTGTGACCATGCATGATTATACCACGGTGGCAGACACAGCAGCTAGCGGTCAGGGTGAGGTGTTCTAGAAGTCTCACAACCAAGTGTCGGGCAGGGAATGAAACCTCGCCGTTAGTTAGTTGAATCCATGTTACCCTCACCCCGAGTATTGAGCACTCACTTGACTGCAGTTTTCGTCGCAGTTTATTGCATATCAAGGGGTTCACGCATTCACAGACATAAAGAGGCGAATATCATTGCATATAATTTGCACACAAGCCGGTCAGGGCACTCAAAACAGTACTCAAAATCCTGTGTGCATCATGCAGTGAAGGTCGTTTCATTAATTTTGGCATCAGGATCCTTCCCTCAAGTTCAGGCGAGAGCAAAGCAGTATAGCATCAACCCTCTGAAGTAGGGTCACCAATGTACCACTGTACCACTGTACCAATGTACCAATGTGAACCGATGGACATGTACATGGTAGGTAGCCCAACTCACTGATTTATTTGAGCAGTCTTCAGCCAGGTACAGTGCCGGTGTCTGAATAAAGCAACTGGACGTGAACCGCAACTGACTTAGGCCGTTCTCCACAACAGAGTTGTAGTTAATCGTAGAGCTCTTCTGTCCGACGTAAATTGCACCACCCTTGTTGAAGGCATAGTTGCGTCGGAAAAGAACATTGTATTTCGGGTTGAAGAAAAAGTATGAAGAGGTGTTCACCGCAATCTGAAAATTACACAGGAATCAAAAGTCACATGTTTAAAATACTGTAAAACATGTAATTTTAGGTGCATTAAAATTTCGGTTTCAGGTGTAATGTAGAATTAGGTGACCAGCTTTCCCATCACATTCAATGCATGCATACTCTAGTGCCTTTTAGGTGTAATTTAAATTTAGCCTAATTTAGGTGCTTATTTTCTCTACCGAAATCACCGAAATTAAAGTTACACCGAAAATAACATGTTTTACAGTACCATGTTGAGGCATGCAGTTTGTCCGTGCACACATCAGATGAGTACATACATGTACAGTCGAATGTCACTTATCCGGTCGCCAGTTATCCGAGCACGTCGGTTATCCGACAAGCCCGGGAGTGGTAATTTTATGACTCTCAACAGTAAAATTCTTTAAAAAACACTTTTTTGTTTTTGTTTTGTATTATTATACGGTGTAATATGCATTTACTTGAAGTAGATGTGGTCAAGTATGCTAACATGTATGTGTACATGGAGCAATTCATGAATATGCATGAATATAATACTCATAAAAAGGACACACTTCAGGCTCATTACAAACATCTACACAAGGAAACCCAACCTTTGCAAGCAGAAACAAATCAAATTCACACTTAGGCTGTTAGGTAGGTCGTCAAAACCTCGTTAGTTACATGTATGTCCAGTGGTTGTCTCTTGTTGTCGCACTACATGTCGCGCTTATTGAGTTTTCTCGCATTTGCACCTTTGTGTCATTATTGCAATTTTCGCTGTTTACTTTAGCTATCTTCTTTCTTTCTTTCTTTCTTTTTGCGCTGTTTTACCACCTTCTTACTGTATTTAATCCACTGTTCCTGTTCCTTTTCCCTTGCCTGTATTTCACCTGATGAGAAGGCTTGAAAGTATACTTGTGAAGACAAAAACTTTCAAGATGTTTGTAATGAGCCTGAAGTGTGTCCTTTTTATGAGTATTATCGCATTTTTGTCTCAGAGGAAAATGCATGAATATATTTGGGTATTGTGTACTAGTGTTGAAACGAATAATCGAATAATTTAGAATATTCGTGGGGTGAACGAATAATCGAATAGTCGCAGGGAATTATCAGAAATCGAAAAAAAAACAAAAAAACAAAAAAAAACAAAAAAAAACGATCTACGCTCAGTGCTGACCCTACTGATATTTGCACTGCGTAGATCTGCTCGCAGCATTTGGCTTCTCAATCTCTTCTCCTCCAAGTTTTAATCTCCTATCGGTATCTAGTATTACTTCTGTTCTTTCTATACGAGGGAAACATGGATGCAGTGAATGTGATTTTCGGTCTTTGACCACTTTCGACCAAGAGTCAAGACCCTATGCAGAGCTGGATCAGGCGTTGCACACTCTGGGGGCGGTACAGGTTAACTGGTTTTGCACCTCCACATAACAAAATCCGATAATCAGCAAAAAAATTAAAAAAAACTACTAACAAGTGCTGAAAAAGTGTTGAAAAATGCCATCATGCGTACGATAGAGAATCCGTGTTCGGTTTAAACACTATTGTGTACATAAATCAGTGAAATCCAGCCATATATGCACATGAAACATGATATCAGTTATCCAACATATCCAGTTATCCAACAGGCCTGATTCCCGAAGTGGTCGGATAAGTGACATTCGACTGTACATGTCACGGTATCACGAAGGTAGACAGTTATAATTATGTCATGTAGACAAGTGGTTGATAAATATGGTGGTAAAGACACACCTGGCAATATGGCGGTAAACACACGCCGCCCACACACGCTCTCTAAGCTGCAAAGTTCTGGCACAGAGCTCTCCTTCTCACCACCACCACCATCAGTTCGCGCCTGGCGCCTCGTCGATGCATGGTTGGCGGTATCCGACATAGCAGGCTGGTACATCAAGTAGCGCATGGCACATAGAAGATGACACAGCAACGACATAGCTCGATTGCGACGTACGTTTCGTCCCCCGCTGGACTCATCAGGCAATCTTCTTCTTGGATGTCTTCATACGGAGCTTGACTCGGGAGAATGAAGTTGAAGACACCACTGCAGCTGTACTTATGGTTGATAAATATGGTGGTAAAGACACACCTGGAAATATGGCGGTAAACACACGCCTGCCCACACACGCTCTCTAAGCTGCAAAGTTCTGGCACAGAGCCATATTGTTAGGTGTGTCTTTACCACCATATTTATCAACCATAAGTACAGCTGCAGTGGTGTCTTCAACTTCATTCTCCCGAGTCAAGCTCCGTGTGAAGACATCCAAGAAGAAGATTGCCTGATGAGTCCAGCGGGGACGAAACGTACGTCGCAATCGAGCTATGTCGTTGCTGTGTCATCTTCTATGTGCCATGCGTGTTGTGTCATGTACTGACATAAGGAAGTCGTTTATTTTACAGACAGATGAGTGTAGATATAGTGAAGAGTCAGGGAGGCCATGCCCAGCAGAGCATGGTATCGTGCGTAGCACGGGGGTAGTGAGAGGTCACGTACCGTCTATACATGGCGACAGGCAGGGGAAGGACTATGCCGTGAATGGGTGAAAGGATAACATGATACAGGATAGGACATCTCCCCCTTTTTGAAAAAAAATTAAAGAGAGCAAAAACACAACAGCTGGGAAAAAAACTGTTATGGAGAAAAGGCAAGACAGATACATGTACGGGTTGTACATAGCCGGGCACATAGAACAGAATTATGCAATGTGCGGGAGAGCAATAGCAATAGCATGAAGCCAGAGAGAGTTATATGGTAGCGATCAATCTCTGCGGTGGCTGGATGTTGTTGCGAGCACGGAGAGTTGGCTGTGACGTAGGCACAGGCTGTTGTTGCGGGACTAGCGCGGCCGGTGGTACTGCTGGCACCGGTCCGGGAGGAGTCACTGGCTGGAGCAACTTCACTGCACGGCGGTTTCGGCGCAGAAGACCGGATGAGGTGGCGATGTTGTAGGAGCGATCGGCGAGTTGCTCAACCACTGTACCCTCGCGCTTGTCGTCGACCCACACTTTCGCTCCCAGTGGCAGAGGGGAGAGCGACTTTGCTGCGAAGCGTTGATCGAAGTGATCTTCTTGCCGATGCTTAGCCTCCTGCTCCTTGGCCCGGAGAGCGGTGATGTCTGGCCAGGAGGGTTGCAGGAGATCAGGTGGGCACGGAAGATTGGTGCGGAGCCTGCGGCCGTACAATAGTTCGGCGGGCGAATAGCCGTTGGCCAGGGGTGTGGAGCGATACGCTAGGAGGGACTGCTGTAGATCACCTGGCGCACGGATGAGTCGTTTGGCAGTCTGCACAGCGCGTTCTGCTTCGCCGTTGCTTTGAGGGTGCTTCGGGCTGCTGGTCCGATGCGTGATGTTACACGACGACATAAACTGTGCAAAGGCGTCGGAAGCGAACTGTGGCCCGTTATCGCTGACGAAGATGTCCGGATAGCCGTGGGCAGCAAATATGCTCTTCAGATGAGTAATGACGGCCCGTGACGTAGTCGATGAGAGACAAGCGACATCAATGTAACGGGAGAAATAGTCGACGGTAATCAGGTACTGGCGGCCGTCGACATCACAGAGATCCGATGCGATACGCTGCCACGGACGCTCGGGGAACGGAGTTGTCTGAAGAGGCTCTGGAGACTGATGACGCTGCTTGATACAGGTAGTGCACTTGGCGACGTACGCCTCGATGTCGGCAGAGATACCTGGCCACCACGACGAGAAGCGGGCACGGGCTTTACTCTTCGTGACACCTTGGTGACCATCGTGCAGCTTCTGGAGGATCTCAGGCTGTAGCACGGACGGAACAACCAGGCGAAAGCCGTGGCACAATACACCTTGCATGTGAGACAACTGGCCTCGCTCACGATGGAACGGCTTGATGTCGTCAGGGACGGTAGCAGGCCAGCCATGGATGACATAGCGCATCACACTGGATAACACGGGATCTTCAGACGTAGCCTTGGCTAGGTCGGCGAGAACGGATGGACTTGTGAGATCTTCGGCAGTGGTTGATAAAACCATGCCGATGTCGTCTTGCAGAACGTTGTCAACTGATGCCGATGCTGGCGCTCGTGAAAGCGTGTCAGCCACCACCAGATCCTTGCCGGGAACGTGTATGGCATGGACTTCGTACCGGAGGAAGCGGAGCAGCATTCGTTGGCATCGGATGGGAACCTTGTCCAGGTCTCTGGTGTTGATCAGTGGCACTAGCGGCTTGTGGTCCGTCTGCACGATGAACCTGGGAGCGCCGAAGAGGTACTGGTCTAACCTCTCGCACGTCCACACCGCTGCGAGGCATTCCTTTTCGATCTGCGCGTAGCCTTGTTCCGTCTTGGTCAGGGAACGGGAGGCGTAGGCTACTGGGCGCCAGTCGCCATCGTGCTTCTGGAGCAGAACACCACCAATGCCATAGCTGCTGGCATCGGCACTGACCATGATGGGACGCTTGGGGTCATAGTGCACTAAGCACGGGGCTGAAACGACGAGCTCTTTCAGCCGACGGAACGCGTCCTGCTGCGGGGAGTCCCAGAACCAATCAGTGTCGGTGTGCAGGAGCTGACGGAGGGGCGCTGAGATCGTAGCCAATTCCGGGATGAATCTGGCGACGTAGGTGAAGAGACCTAAGGCACGGCGAAGCTCAGGAACATTCGAAGGCTCCTTGAGGTCGTCAATGGCGGAGACTTTGCTGGGGTCGGGTTTCACACCGGACCCGCTGACGATGTGTCCCAGGTACTTGACTGACGACTGCTTGAGGTGGCATTTGTCGGGGTTCAGAGTGATGCCTGCGTCGGCAAGGACCTGGCGCGTTGTGTCCAGCCGGTGGTCGTGTTCAGCTTCATTAGCGGCGTGGACCAGAACGTCGTCCATGAATACCTCGGAACCTTTGACGTGGGAGAGGAAGTCCTGCAGGCGTCGCTGGAAGATTTCCGGTGCAGAGGTTATACCGAATGGCATCCGGAGGAATCGGAACCGACCCACAGGCGTGATGAACGTGGTCAGCTTGGATGCAGACTCCGTGAGAGGCACTTGCCAGAAGCCGCTGTTGGCATCCAGCGTGGAAAAGACAGTAGATCCGGCGAGCCTAGCCAGTGTGTCCTCAACTGTCGGAAGAGGGAAGTGCTCGCGCTTCACGTTGCCGTTCAGCTTCTTTAGGTCTACGCAGATCCGTACGCGACCATTAGGTTTACGAACCGGCACCATAGGAGAGCACCAGTCAGAGGGACCCGTTTCCCGGACGATGATGCCCATTTCCTCCATACGTGCGAGCTCTTCTGTGACCTTGTCCTGTAGAGGCAGAGGCACACGGCGGGCAACACCACAGTGGTACGGCGTGGCGTCGTCCACGAGCTTGATATCAGCTGGGGGCCCAACCATACAACCGATGGGCTGTGCTGGCTTGCTGGTACACGATTCTGCTGCATCTAAACGCTGGATCAGGCGAAGTCGGAGGCAGTCTCTGCGACTCAACAGGTTGGTAGATCCAGGACCATCGATAACTACGATCTCCATAGAGAACAGTTCACTCTTGTGCATGGTGTCTGCAGTGAACTGACCCTTGATGGATAGAGGTGCACCAGATGGACCAAGGAGTTTGGTAGTGGATGGTGTGAGTACAGGGCGTTGTACGAGATTCTGATACGTGGAGTGCGTGATACATGATACATCTGCACCTGTGTCGATCTTGAATATCAAATTTGTCGAGCAAACAGGCAGACTTACTGACCAGGCGTCGGTGGACTGGGAAGGACTGGCGTTGGATGACAGCTCTGCAACACCACCCATGAATGGCGACGGGGACGCGAGCGATTCATTTTCGACAGCTCTGGCACCACGCGTGGTGGCTGGAGTGGAAAGACAGACGGCGGCGAAGTGGCCCTGCTTGCCGCATGAATTACACTTGCGACCAAACGCAGGACACGCAGAACGGTTACTCTTGTGCGAACCAGCGTGGCCACACCACGGACATGTTGAAGCTGCAGTGCCGCTCTTCCTCTGCGTGGACGGCGTTGGTGCAGGCTTCGACGGAACACCGCTGCGCTGGCGGCGACTCCTTGCATCTTGCTGCTTTCCTCCAAAGCGGGATGCAGCATTGACCTGCGGCCTGGCGGCTTGCGCTGCAACGTCTCCGGAAATTTTCTCGGCCTGCCTGGCCCTGAGAACTGCGTCCGTGAGGGTGAGTTTTGCGGGCTCAATCAGCTGCAACTCCTTGGCGACTTGACGATCCAGAATGTGAGCCACGAGGCGATCTCGAATTCTGTTGTCCTTCTGGTCACCAAAGTCACAGAACTTCGCTGCTGCGTGAAGTTTCCGAACAAATTCTTCCACGGACTCTCCTGGAAGATGGACGCACTGTTCGAAGATGGTCCTCTGGTGAAACACATTCAATGCTGGCGTAAAGTAAGCGTCCAGCTTCGTCATGACCTTGTCATACTTGTCCTCGTCTCCAACGGTGTCGAATACCAGTTGATCGAAGACAGTTTCGGCCTCAGGGCCCAGCGAGTAGAGCAACGTAGAGATTTGCACTTTCTCGTCTTTCGCGTTGAGCTCTGAGGCGAGGCGATATCTCGCAAACCGGCGTTTCCAAGCCGGCCAGGCATCTGGAATGGAGAAATCAAAGTCTGCAGGCGGCGCGAACTTGGCCATTTCTACTCGAAGTGTAGACCTGGTTGACTAACTTCTGACACCATGTTGTGTCATGTACTGACATAAGGAAGTCGTTTATTTTACAGACAGATGAGTGTAGATATAGTGAAGAGTCAGGGAGGCCATGCCCAGCAGAGCATGGTATCGTGCGTAGCACGGGGGTAGTGAGAGGTCACGTACCGTCTATACATGGCGACAGGCAGGGGAAGGACTATGCCGTGAATGGGTGAAAGGATAACATGATACAGGATAGGACAATGCGCTACTTGATGTACCAGCCTGCTATGTCGGATACCGCCAACCATGCATCGACGAGGCGCCAGGCGCGAACTGATGGTGGTGGTGAGAAGGAGAGCTCTGTGCCAGAACTTTGCAGCTTAGAGGGCGTGTGTGGGCAGGCGTGTGTTTACCGCCATATTGCCAGGTGTGTCTTTACCACCATATTTATCAACCATAAGTACAGCTGCAGTGGTGTCTTCAACTTCATGTAGACAAGTGGTCCTTTTAAACAGGTGGTCCCTATACACAAATGATCCCTACAGACAAGTGGCCCCATAGACAGGTGGCCCCTACAGACATGTGACACCTATAAACAGGCAATCCCCATAGAAAAATGACCATCATAGCCAATCAAGTCCTATAGACAGGTAGCCCCTGTAAACTTTTTTCTTTCTTTCTTTTTTTCAGGAATCCGGCCACAACGCCTGCACAAATACATACGATGACGTAACAAAGCCCTAAAATATAAAAAATTACTAAACAGCAATAGCTGCCTCTGAAACCGCCAGCGTGGAGGGAGGCTCTTGTTGATCCATTCTTTGTTGATATTTTCCAAATAATGTTCTAGACCCTCTAAGGCACATTATACATGACCTTAGGAGGGCAAAGGAAATGCGGCACCTGACAAATGCCATGACATGTGAATATGGTTCATTACGTCTGTCAGCCAGCAGCGATGCGCCTCTTATACAGACTGGTTGCCGAACGCCCAAAACCACCTGACGCCGTCATGACCACCGGGACAAACGACGTATTTGCGACATTCCGGACCCGCTTCCGGACCAGCGCACATTACCCCTATATGCAGGTAGTCCTTATACATTGTATACAAGTGACCACTATAGACAGGTGGTCCCTACAGACAGGTGGTCTTTCTGTGCAGGTTAAAAAGTGCATAAAAGCATACCTTTTGGCTGAAACAACTAGTGTCAGGAGGCAGGTGTCATTGCATCACTGTGGTCAAGCGCATGCCCACCTGTCCATGCACATGCACTTCTACACGCCATGCTGCTCTACCGGCCATGGTGTTTGTGATACACTTTGTACTTTACCTGACTGCCATCGTACAAGGCAATGGCTCCTCCGTCTTGCGCAACATTGCGCAAGAATGTGATGTTGCCAGCAAAATTGACTACAGAGTCACTCAGATACATTGCTCCACCAAGGTTGTTTGAAAACAGACTGCAGACAAGACAAGCCATTAAAAGGGACAGCATGCAAAAGAATCCAATGGTCGTTATTCCAAAACAAATCTGCCTGATACAAAATTTTGTACCTGGATTGTGAAAAATAATGCCCAGGGAAACTCAGTGAAATTGAAGAATGGGATAACGCTAACATGGATACACTTGAACTGCACCAGTGCAGTAGTGGTAGAGAATCAATGATTTCTAACGTACAATTGAACAACATCATCTGGCACCGTGAGTCTGACCCTGCACAGGAGATCTCTTTCTGAAAATTGCAGACACATGGTCACCCAGCGTTTGCTCCCATAAAAAAGAAGAAGAAGGGGTATAGCGTAGGCTGATGCAACCTACAGCTGCTGCACACTGCTGATGGAGATATCTAGTGTTTGCCAGTAAGAATTTAGCAACTACCTCCGATACACCATTGTCTCTCTAATGGACAGTGAGCAATCACTAACCTGGTCCCAGTAAGGTACAACATAACATGTTTAGCATGCAAAGCACCGCGATCCGCTTCACAACCATCAATTGTAAGATTGGCCATTATATATGCCCTTCTTGGGAACGTTTCAGGATCCGGCTGAAACCATGAATAACGTTAGAAGGAAAAATAACAACACAAACGTTGAAATGACATCAGTGGCACTGGAGAAAACTTGACATAATTAGATGCAGTCAACTTTGCGTATAACGACACTCGGCGGGGCATCAAAAAAGTGTCCTTATTCGCGAAGTGTCGTTATACCTGAAGTCTCATTATATGTGTTACAGTTAGATGGGATTTTGCTCTGGCCCTCTGGGCATGGTATTCGCGGGTTGTCGTTATATCCGCAGTTGTTATTATCGAAGTTGACTGCACATGTAGGCATGTACCGGTAGATGAGAAATAACATTAGTACTGTGTTGAACAATTCAGCAAAGCACTAGTAGATACGTGGCGTATTACGTAGGTTCTATGAACTGTGCAGTATGTAATGGAAAAGAGAATCCACAGCGATCTCTATGGTTGTGCCAGAGTGAGTACTTCATCAGAGTACAGAAAATAGGAGGAGGAGGAGGAGGACGGTGAGGAGGAGGAGGAAGACGGTGAGGAGGAGGAGGAGGAGGAGGAGGAGGAGGAGGAGGAGGAGGAAAACAACACTGAACCATACCCACACAAATGGAACATTAATTCAACACTGCCAACAGGAGTATTGGTAATGGCATCACTCTTTTGGAGAGTACTTACATAGTATGTGGAGGTGGGAAAGTGAGAGCAGAACTGATAGCCAGTGTCCGGATTGATACACACTGGGCAGCCCTCATAGTCCTCATAGCGCCGTTCAATGTGAATAGCACTTCCAAATAGAGCCGAGTTGTTCTTCAGGGTGATTGTGTCAACGATTACTTCATTCGTCTAAGAGCAGCAACACACAATTGCACAGCCAAAGTGACATGTGGTTTGAAGAATATTTGGTAACTTACAAGCATCAGTCAGAAGATGTGAAGACATTGTGGCCATGCCTGTACTAGCACTGATAATACGACATGTTACGTAAATCCTCCTCGTGACATGCTGTTACCTATTTCCGACTGAGTGCCTCCCGTGAGTGCTCAGTGACGTGGCTGGTCCACGTTTTTCGGGGTGCACGGCCGGTCGCAGTATTCTTGAAGCGATTCAAGCACGTTCTTCTCAAAGTTATTTATTATTTACTCAGATCACGCGAATAACCACGGTAGTTGGGCGGCAGAAATACTAATGAACTAATCGTTTCAGAATACATGAAAAAGGTGCACCATGGAAGTAGTAGAAGTTAAGATTGTGCGTGCTGCGCGTGTGAAGCGTGGTACACAGCAGGTGCCTGCTTACTTCAAGCTGGTAATCCGTCGCAAAGATCCGTAGCGCACCACCTTCTTGGGTCCAGTTCTGCAGTCCATTCGATTCGAATGTTGCTTGGAACAGGATGACACTGTTGCCCCTAACTAGCCCACTGATGCTGATCTGCAGATGATCACACAGACATGCACTGCTAAGTGACCAGGCAGCCATGGTCAATGACTGTAATACACTGACTTGCTATTCAGATCAAGCCCCCCCCCCCCCGCCAGTCAGCACTCAGCATGACATATTGTCCTGCAGATCACACCACTCTTGTCTATATATAAGAAGAAAAGAGGACCAAAGAGCTACAAGTCACGCCATAATATCCACTAACACCACCAGTTACTTTACAATCAGCTCATGCGATAACATTGCACGACACTGAAAAAACGGTACAGAGGTTCTACACCTCTTTTCTTCTTATAAATTAATCCTTGGCTCTCCACCCGAGTCTTGTCTATATCATTAGACAGTGATTATGTGAGCTTGTAAATCTAAAGGTTATCTAGTATAGGTCACATGCACTGACTTGGGTTCGGATCATCGCTAAGACGCTAACCCAAGTCAGTGCATGACGTAACATGTCACGGTCACTTACCTGCAGACCACTTCCCTGCTGTCCAACATGGTTGAGGAAAGAATTGCCGAATATAGCCACAGTGTTGTCTTTTGCATTGCACTTCACGGCAACGGCCATTGCCGACCCGATGCTCTGAGCCGTGTAGCGCGGTCCTAGAGCTGCAAATGTGTTGTCAGTCACATACACCTGCAAGTTTGCTGCATACGCATCAAGGCGAATACGCAGCAACGTGGCATGACCAGTTGTCCGGCATCTAAAAGCAATGATAAAACACAGCAATTGTCAACACTAGTTCAACAGACCCAGCCATTGCTGAATCGGATACAGATGCATGGATAGCAAGCCGATGTGAACTGACTATCCTGCCCTCTCCTCTTCTCCCAGCCTGACTTCGGCCCTACAGTCAACTTCGCTAATAACGACTGCGGATATAACGACAATTCGCGAATAATGACAGAATTTACATGCCCAGAGCAAAGTCTCATCCAACTGTAATACATAGAATGCGACTTTGGGTATAACGACACTTCGCGAATAAGGACACTTTTCTGATGCCCCGCCGAGTGTCGTTATAAGCGAAGTTGACTGTACTTCACATACTGGGGGGATTGCACACTGAGACCATCATATCATCTTCGCAAACATATTAGCAGCAGCAGCAGCAACAGACTCTGGGTGCCTCAATACGAACACAGCAATGCTGAGATATTGTACTTACAGGGATTTCAACTGTGTGCGCGATATATAGGTTTCCCAGCTGTCATAAGTCCACGGCAGTGGTGTCTTGCTGCGCACTATTGTAAAGTTGTTCTCCACAATTAGAACGCCACCTGCTGACGGTGAAGGGATGGTCTGAAACACATACACAGCCGCTTGAATCTGTAAGTTGTTAAAAGATGACTCATATTCATTATCCGGTGTGGACGCATGATCGAGCTTCTCAAATGTGCAATTCTGAATTGTAACCTGCCCGATAGGGTTCAGGATTCCAATGGCTTGTCTCAGTGTTGGCAGCTTCAGGAACTTGCATTTGTCAATGATGAACCGACCAACGTTGTTTATAGTGATGAAGAGGTCAATGTAGCTACTGGCCATTTCAAAGATGAGATTCTGTAGCAGGACCTCAGTGGAGTTGAGAAACGCGAATGCCGCCGAGCCGAAGAAGTTTGCAGCATCCTTCAATCCGCATACATCACCATTATGATTGCCCACTTTGTTCAGGTTTGGCTGATACGTCTCGTTCACAGGGCTGAGAATCTCAAACGGATTGACAACAACAGTAACGTCCTGTTCTCCACTGTCCGCAAGCACACTAAAGTTGTTGCAGGCTGCCAGCAGTTTAGGTCCACCAAAGATTGGCATAACGAACCGACCAGGCAGTAGTCGTAGCTCAAAATGCGTGGAGTTCGTAAGGCTTGCTTTGCATCCGCCATCAATGATTGTTACAATTCCATTGCAGGGTATGTGTCGAGTGAAGCCACACGTTGTCACGTCTGTGCTACCATAGTCCGGTGCAATGTAGCGTGTTTCCAGCCTCCAGGCGCACGTAGCTGATGGCATAAGCAGCAATACCGCGATGCTCAGAAGAAACATCGCCCGGTGTGCTAGACCCGGCAAAGCGCCCATCCTCGTCTTGCTTACAGGCACACACTGCATATTCATTGTTCAGTGGTTACAAAGCTAAGGGAACTATCCGTGATTTGTAGCACTCGATGAAATGAAACCATCACAATCTCCTACTGCATATTTCCAACAATAAACTAAGCTTACTGAGTCAGACTGACCCCTCTGTAGCCTTCACGTTCTACTACTAGTACTAGTATGAATGGCACACATCGTGGACCGCTAGCTTCACTCCGCAGCGTCAAATCAGAAAGGAAACGGGTTCCAGGTCGCGGTTGCACTTTCTCATTCAGATTAGAACGGTGGCTGCGAAGGGTTAGGAAAATCCGGAGCAGGCGATCTTCCTCAGCAACATTTCTTGAGCGGCAAAACCGTCTTGTAATTTTTTCACTGGCTTACGTGGGTTCAGTATTTTGGAATTTTGGGCTTTGACTGATTTGGAGGCACGGCCACACACCGCTATCACGAGCCGAAGTCAAAATTAATACTGCGGAGTGCGGTAGTCTGTATAAGGAAGGTCAGAATGGAATTTTCATCTACGTAAATACTGCGTCTCATCCACGTGATCTGTACTGGATAGATCTACTAAAGAGCGAAGTGTGTAATCATCATGATTGTTCCGCTGAGGACAGCATACATCATGTATGTAGCTTTGCGGCCGGCCCATCAGCACGACCACAGCCGTGACATACTGCCTCAGATTCAGAAGCAGCTTGTCTCCGCAAACACATAGGTACTCCACTACTGACGCACCATGGTCAATGGCCATGGACTGGTAATACTAATAGTGTTTTCATGGTTTTCACCACTGGATCATGGTCCATGGATGCGCAGCACTACCGGTACAGTCATACAATTGTCATCTACCCACCAAGTCCGTCTCCCAGGCGAGCAGATCGGAGTCTTCACTTCAGCTAGTGACGCACATGAGCATGACACATTATGACAAGGGATGGAAGGAGTGGCTCCACTGCAGAAGCTCAAGCCTGCAAGAACGGACACGTTTTCTGTCTGTTGTCCATGGTTTTTCTGTCTGTTGTACATGGTTTCTGGAAAAAATGTATAACGCTCATTAGTACTAGTAGAGTCATTACTCCGCTTTCAAGCCATGATTATTATGTTTGCTTTCCCCCATATTTGACATAGTCCCATGCATTGCACATAAAGGATAATCACAATATCAAGAATTCCCAGATTGCTTAGAGTGCTCAACACCACAAGGATGGAGCACTACCACAAAGGCAGAAGAGAACAGAGACAGCCAGCTAGGTCATTGTTGTAACGCTGCGTTTCATGCGCCGCATAGCAAGGCTAAGGAAATCATCAGACAACTGAGGTTGCCTTTGTCACGTACCAGTACATAAAGGATAGATACACATACAAGTTACAACAGAGGCGAAAGGCTGTGTAGCAGCATTCACTATCGAATCCTCTACGAGCAGGCCTAGATATTTGATGCTAGTGTGGAAGTTATTGCATATGTGTGAAGTGTAGACGTGGCATTGGGACAGTGATATTGAGTTGTTTGTGAGAGTTAATGGATATAGGTGAGAATAGAGGCAATAACAGGATAGTGTTACCGAGTCATCGAAGGCGATAGGGACAGTAGCGCAAGACCATAGCAGGCGTGAAGAGGGAGAGAGAGAGCACCACGGTGCCAAACCTGGTGCAGTTTGCGCCATGTTGAAAACAACTGATGTAACTGATGGTGAGCATTTGGACAGGTAATACTAAGTCTTGTTCTCGTGTCTGCATTTCGATACCAACTCCGACCTTTTGTTGATGTTGCCCGTTTTGTCTGCTTCCAGTATCTCCAGTTTTTCAGCCAGGCATAGGGGACACCGTTTGGTCGCGTTCGAGTAGGCCGGAGCCTTGGTGACGACGGCCCATTTGACAGAGTGCGGAGTGTTCTTCCGCTTGAGCTTCCATATGCACTTAGACAGTTCCGTGCTATGCTTTTTTCCATCCTCTCATGCCTCGTCGTGCTCATGTGATTGTTGTATCTCTGTTTAAAGGGTGGTTCCTTTAGGCCGAGGTACTCATGTCGCTGCTCTCTTCCGGTGTGCTGGACTGTTGCCTTGTACACGATGCATCGTACTTGGTAGTCACCGTCCATTGGGCAGGTGCTTTTGTCTCGGCAGTTAAATCGTTTGTCGGGAACGTTCTTGTCCTGTAGGTGCTTTTGTCTCGGCAGATAGATATGATTGTCACCACACCACAAAGAACCGCTACCATCCTGACTTGTGGTGACTCATTGAAGGGCTGCAAAAAGAGCAAGCATCATCGGAAACCGCTCTTCAAAGAATACCAGCGGGCCAACAGACACACCGGAGTGTACGAAAATATGCGCAACTGAACACCTGAGTCGCAACGTTGCAGCTGGAAGATCAAGAGATGGATGCATCCAGCCCTCTGAAGCAGATGCTGCCCAAACCAGCCACTCACCGTGCCTCCGAGACAAGACCTACCCGTCACTCTCTCCAGCTGCAGGATTCCCATCCATACCAGATGACAACTGGCCTGCCTGCCAACACCCGGAATAGCTGCCTCCAAGGATTCCCTGCTTGCACCGTTGCAACGTGGAATGCCCTGCCACCAGACCTGTTCCACCACCCACCCGCCCAGCCCCACATGCAAAGCTTCAAGAAAAAGGTGTACCGTCACCTTCTTGCTCAGGACTGGCTCTCTGCTACTGATGCACTTTGAATCTGCTTGCCAACGCTTTCCCTGTTCTCGTTAGTGTTCAGCTGCTTACCTTAACCCTGCTGCCATCATCACTAATATTCTGATTCTCATGCACATTTTTCTTTTCTTTTTTACTAAGGCCACAGCTTCCAATCATGACATGCAAAGCAGCGGTGCAGCATCGCAGGCATGAATCGTGAACGTGGTGACGGGGTCTGATGTGCTCCACCGACCTAGGGTCTCGGCTTCACTGCACAGCAAACGCGTCGACAGAAAACGGGGAGCTAATAATTATTGGGAGATGGGGGGGGGGGGGGAGAAGAAGAGAAGAAGGAGACAGAGTATGTTACATTTATATGAGAGAGAGAGAGAGAGAGAGAGAGAGAGAGAGAGAGAGAGAGAGAGAGAGAGAGAGAGAGAGAGAGAGAGAGAGAGAGAGAGAGAGAGAAGCAAGAGAGAGGGTGAATATCTGGCCAAGGCATGTTCTCGTCACAGTGCTCATCTCCTCTCATGCTCGTCATTAGCAAGAAGAACCGTGTATGGAGTAGGTGGGAGAGACAGAGAGGCCGGGGTGGGGGTGGGGACTGGGGGGGGGGGGGGGGTCGTCAAGCCACTCTGGCGATAACCTCTGCCCACCGCCACACAAACTGTGCAGCACTTCTAGCTGACACTTGGGGGAAACATACATGTAGATGTACACTGGAACTACAGGGTATACCGGTAGTAATCCTGAAATAACTTAGATAAAGATACAGTATGAGAATAGACAGAGACAGAGACAGGAGCAGAAACAGAGGCAAAGGCAGAGAGAACAGGCAGAGGGAGCCGAGTGAGGCGAGAAAAGGCCATGATCATGGGACTGGTCACTGGGGACAGTGGGAGCACCACCTGCAACAGGTGCCCGCCCGCAGGCTGCAGCTAGATCTGCCCGATGCCCCGATCCCCCCTGATCATACTAGACTGTGAGCCAGGCACCAAAAATCCTGTTAGAATTTTTTTTCGTTCCGACCTTGAGCGTACCGCAATTTTTTTCCCCAGTTCGTTTCATCTACTCGACTAGATACGAATTCAGCTTGTTGTCACTTCCAAATCAGGCACGAACATGCCCAAATAGAAGGGAGAAACTACTTTGGCCAAATCAATAGCCGCCATCGACAAGAACCAAGGTCACAAGAGCTGGAGCGGACTTCTGTTGCGCCACTGACCTCGCAAAAATGTACGGTGGTGCAAACCCAGCCGCATCATGACGATGTTTTTTCGTGGTTTCTATAGTATTGTGTGCAGTGCTAGTGCAGCGCAGTGGCAGTACGAACATCATCATGTCAATCATATCAGTGTGCTAGCATGCTTGCTGCTGATCAGTCAAGCTAAACTAAAGGTTTTTGTAATCTGTTGGAGCAGAAATACATGTAGAACGTACAATGTACCTTATCTCCGGAGAGCTAATAACTGTTTCGATCTTTTATACTGAAGTGCTTCAGACTATGATTAATTGTATCTTTCCGCTTGTGTTCTGTACATACAATGGGTAATGGAACTAATGCTTCAAAATAATTATTATTATAGTTCAAATAAACTACAGATCTGTATCTACCGGTATACCCCTGCGGTCCTCTAACGCTACTGGTTACGGTCATTGCTCTACCCTTTGCACTTATAAGTTAGGAAGCAATACAGCAGTACTTACGAAGTAACGTTACATTGATCAGTTATATGAGTGCAAATATACAAATCCTGTATCCAGCAACTTCTTTAACATTATTCTGCCATACTGTACATGTATATATTATAGAGATGTAGAGGGTGAAATGAGCATTGCACCGGATTAAACCAGATTCTCCTGGCTGTTGTTGATGGTCTTTTCCAACCGTTGTCTGGAGAATTCGCTGCTGCTGGGCTTTGTATATTGAATGCCACCTGTTTGTTCTGTACATTATCATTCCTGAAATGCATTTCGTGGTTGTCGGCACCATTTCATGTGCACTTACCTACCAGTGCATCGTCACTTCGAGTAATATTTAAAATGTGCACGTACTTTATACAATGCACTTATGCGTAATTCTATAATTTTTGGCCACGTATAGTTATTTTAACCCAGCTGCAATGACGCTTGATATACATTTCTTCGTCCAGTGCCGTTGCCTGCTGAAAAAAGTAAGAAACACCTTCAAAATAGCATGTTGCTATGTCAGTTGCTATGTAGTTGCTATGGAAACGGGGTATGTTAAGATAATTGCTTATTTTGACTTCCCTGCAAGCTTCCCAAACTGACAACAATCAAAAATGATCTTCTATTAGGTCTCTCCACATGCTAAAAGAACAAAATCGCGGTACACCCAAAGTGGGAACGAAAATCATGAATTCATGCACTTGGCTCACAGTCTATACTGCACTGCAGTGTCGAGTCTGCATATGCCGCATTTATGCGCATGCGGTGCGCTCTGACTGAAGTCTGACTTCAGTCAGAGTGCACTGCATGCGCAAATAAATGCGGCAAAGTACTGTTTTCACATGTCAAACTTGGTAGTATATGTACTCTCCTGATGTGATATCACTGTCGTTCTCCAAAAACGGCCAATCCTGATGGGGCCAAAATTCAAAAAAAATAAAATAATTGAAAACATTTTGTGGACAAGCCTATTAAGGTAGCAGTACTGGAATATGCCATTCGCAAATACACACAACTAAAATCTGGTATTACTTCGGTGTCTGTGAATCTTTTCCCACAAAATTTTGAGCACAGATTCATGATTCACGCCACCACCTAATAAAAGTACTACCTTGAACTTATTTACTTCGCATCGTCCCAAAGGTTCACTGCACTGGAGAGTAAAAAAATGCCGTCATCTCAGATTTTTGGTACATGCTAGCAGCAACATAATATCAGCTGAAGTGTTAAAAATGCATCACAAGCGACAGTCTACAACAGTAGCAGATGCTGAATAGAACAGATTGGAGATAGGACACAAGTAGCACCACCCAGTCAACATCATCTGTGAAGACGCCCGTCACCGTCGAAAAAGATTATTACTACTGAGGCAGCTAACATCCGCCAAACAAAAAACTATGGCTTTATAAATATATTCAGCATCTGGGAAATTTTCCACTGATCAATCTACATATAAGGTTTATTGGGCTGTGATGAGCCAGTCTGGAGATATAGTGTACCAAAGTTTGGTCGGAAGGCCAAAAAACACTAACTTTTGGCACTCTGAGAACCCTCCAGCAATGTATGTGACTACCTCTGCTTGCTGTATCGTGTCAGCAAATCCCTTTCGAATGGCTCTTCTTCTCTTCCTGGCTGACTTTTGCTCCTCACTGGACCTTCTCCTCCTGTGATACTGCTTCTCTTCATCCAACTTGAGAAGACCAGAGCTGGCAAGTTAACCCTTAGAGCAGCTCATCATTTCCAGCACAGCCGAAAACATTTCCATTGTTCGTAATCAGCATTAGAAATCTTTCTTGCTTGCCATCTGTTCTTCCAAGTTTCACATCCACTGCAGTGTTTTGATAGCACCTCCGCGTCCAGAACCTTTTCTGTCTCATAGGACACAACAGTTGGCATACCAAACATTGATGAGAATCCGCGCTTCATCCACGTTCCATCGGTGCTAACTGCAACATGCTCCGGGTGGGAATGCTGTTCTGTTGTTCGCCGAACAAGAAGACGCTGTGCAGCACTCTTCATGGTGGCCCTAGCATCAGTTTCCACAGCAGTGTGTAGTGCATCGCTGTGCCCAGAATTGGACTTGCTAACAGGAGGCGGCATATCCAATATCCCACAGATACTGTTCAGACCTTCTCGTCCACTACCAATAAGGCGCATGGCAAGCACACTGCGGCAGCGGTTTACATCGTACAATTTAGCAAGTGGGTGTCTTTCTGCCAGGGCTACACTGGATGATGAGCAGCACGATTCGCACTGCAAACTAATTGTTGAGGCGAGGCCATGACGAAAATTATCTTTGATAGTCAGGTTGCCCTCTTGATAATTACTACATACACACGCTGACGTCACCAATTGCTGTAAGCTCTCCATGTGAACAATTCGATTTCCTGATGGAATATCATCGCAATCCTCTTCAGACTAATCTCCATCGTTATCACACGAGCCATCACTGGATAAAAAATCAGCTGGAAGATCAGAGTCATCTTCTACGCCCTCACCAGCTCCATCACGGCATCAGCCTGCGACTCGTGTTCGCTTTCACTCCCCTCAATTGGCTCAAATACTGCAGGACTTGAAACGAGCTTGGACGTAACTCTAGGAAATTTGCTTTTCCTTGGCCTGCTGAGCGACCTTCGTTTGTGTTCATCACCCGTCTCCTGACCAAGTAGCGCCAGCACAACAACTCAAGCGCAGAGCTCCAACGTCGATGACAAACGCTCGTCGCATTGGCAAACAGTTTGAGAACAAAGAATTTTTTTTATCATTAATTTGAAAATACAATTGCGTGGGTTGAGTGCATGCAGGCCAGCCAGGCCAGCTAGCTTGGGCCAGGCAGGCGCTGCATGCATGTGGTGATCGCGACACTCAGCCCAGCTCTAAACTGGTTTTAGCTGGACAGATAGTGTGAATCAGGCCGAGATTGGCAAGGATGCGCTGATATTGTACAGAAACCCTCTCGAAATAGATTGACATCGATCAGCTGATCAGTGCAATTTTGAAATTTTGACGGGTATTTTCAGTTTTTGAAGGGCCATATCTCTGCTTTGGCTGGTTCGAATGCCAAAAAATTTCATTTGTAGAGCCTTTGGTATTCCTTCTTTCAGAAAAATCACACTTGAAGCAGTTCCCGTGAAATTGATATTTTGGCTAAATCTGACACCCGTTTTCCAGTACTGCTACCTTAAACTCCGACTCTGAGTCATGAACATGACCATAATGACTCATGACATGAGCTCAGATGAGTCAGATCAGTGCGGTAGTACTGACTGTACTAGCGCACTGACACTGACTGCGCACTGTCTGTACGAGCTGTCTCACACTGGCATGCATATCGCACATACACACCGGCGAAGTGCACGTGCGCGTGCACGGCCCGGCAGTTCGCTGCGCAGCGAAAGGACACGTGGCAGCGCACCCTACCACATCGTGCTGGGAACGAGGTCGGAAGATTATGAGCCAAGCGTCACCGATCTGATTCGGTCATGAGACCTGGGAATGTGTGATGTGTAATGAGCTGAAAAGAAACAAAAGAAACGAAGCAGAAGTGAAGTCCTGAACAAACTAATCCTTACACTTGATGTATTTATGAAACTGCAGCACATCGCCAAGTCAATTGAGCTGTTCAGTTTTACTTCTTGATGTTCAGTAGAATCTTGGGACACAGATGAATTGATTGGAGACGAGCGAAAATGTCTTTCGCTGAATTTATCCAGCAAAGCGAAGACAGGGATGGCGTGAGGCTGACATGGAACGTCTGGCCCTCATCGCGGCTGGAATCGACAAGAATTGTCATTCCACTTGGTGCTATGTACCAGCCGTTGAAGGACAGACCGCAATTCCCTGTTGTAGCGTATGAGCCTGTGATGTGCACGCGCCAAACGTGTAGAGCTGTTCTTAACCCGTTCTGGTAAGATTTCTGTTCACTTCGTTCAAATTGACCTCGTATTTGTATAAATATTGAATATATTCGTACATACGGTCATGAGCCAGAAAAATGAGAAAGTCACTCCTTTCCAACTTCCAATATGCACAAACATTAACATTGACACTACACTAACAGTCTCTGGACTGGAAAGAGCGGGCAGACTCATCTGGGCTTGCAAGTACATGTAATTTGGATTTTGGTACTTCTTCACATACTTCCAGTCAGCTCATGCTTGAAGAACGCATTGCCAAAGATTCCTTGGCCTCCTCATAGTGTCCAGCAATCACCTATTGTAGGATGTGAAAGATTTCATAAGAAACAACCATTTGTAGATGTTATTGGCCGCGGAACAAAATGAACTCTCGCCTCCTTTCTCGTCAAATAAGAACTTTCCAAACTGCACAAGTGAAAAACTACTGCATTATGTAGAGAGATGCATAGAGCTAGAGATTTTAGAAGATGAATTGATGGGTGATGGACGCTGTGGATGAAGCAAGCGTGGTGGTATTGCCGCATACCGTAGCTACACTACACAGGTATGCAATTGACCAATCCCATCCATTAAACCTGGAAGCCGGTCAGCCAGTCAATGGTCATACTTAAAATTTTCTTGCCCAACATTTGATAGTCTGTAGCAATGTGGTACATGTATGAAGCATGTCGAACTGAAAGATCCAAAGCGATTGCTTGCATGATTAGATCTTGTGTGTACACGGTACAATAATGGTTATACTGCCCCAATGGCTCGGAGCTGTATACTGGAGGCAGGGTGCCTTTACATGGAAGGTAGAACTGAATATAGATGCACATAACAGTTATATGTATGACCTGCAGTGTTGCTCAATGAAATCCGACCGAGCGAGTCAATGCCATGCTGGGCGCTGTGCAGCCCTAAACCTGCGAAGACTGGGATGTGAACTGGCCCTGGGCGCAAACTTGATTCCCGTGATCGGATTTCATTGAGCAGCACTGCAGACGTAGTACATGTGTGTTTCATCGAGTCGGTCATCAGACAACAAGTCTTGCGTGTGCATGCGTATGTGCATGCGTGCGTGTACGTGGTTCTCTGTTAATTTTGCAGTCAAATTGATTATCGTGCAAAGCTCTGGGTCTGCAATTTCTGTCACCAGCGTAATGCGGTACGTATGATATGTCCCGGGAAGTCCTTTTGCTTTCCTGTGGTGTACGTGGATACTTTCCCAACCACTCTGCCATTATCAAACTCGTTTCCATCGTACGATCCATTCTTTTCATGACATTTCGGCAACATTGTTCTCATCAGGTTTGCATTGGGAAAGAGCAAGTCTACTCCACACCGTTTTCTATGTATGAAGCTGCTGCAGGAATCCTCAACAACTTTTACTCTGTGATGTACTAGTATGGAAACTTTGTGAAGGTCCTTCCAGACCTTAAACGTTGGATTAAAATTATGGAGTATCTACTATCAATAGTGTGCATTGAATTTTAAATAATATTATCTTGATTTTATGCTCATGGAAATTAAAAAGCACTAGTGGTTTACAGCTTGAACTAGCTCTGCCTTTCGGCACTGGGCACTCTATTGGACAGCCTGGAACGTCTTTGTTTTACAAGTTATAGTATTATGTAGTTGTCCACCGATAAAACCGAGATGCTGAGGAGTCAGAATGTTAGATGGTTGCCACAGTACTGATGGCTGTTGCCACCGGCACCGTTCAACCACCCAACATCCATGCTGTTGTTTCTTTCATGTGTTTGCTGTTAACAGTTCCCACAGCACTATCAAGCAATCACTGCTGAGCACCAGCCAGCCGAGATCATCGGCGGATATTCGTCTATTGAGTACACTGTACAGGTATGGAGGCTGTTTTGCTGTGTCCTTGGTTAGGTTCACACTATCCTATCAGCTGTTTTGCTCTGTCCTTGGTTACGTTCGCACTATCCTATCAGCTGCTAACTTTGCTAGGCACATGTAAAGAAAGTTGATGCCAGGGCAATCTTCATGGCCGCGAATATGTCAGGTGAATCGTCAGTAATCTACTTCTACACTCCTTTTTGCATGTATGTGTACTTGAGGTGTGATCTACTTGCTTGTACGCGTTAGTATGTACTGGTCGCTATACACCTTCCAGTCTTCCAACTGTCTCTCTTTCTCTGCCTCTCTCTCTCTCTTTCTCTCTCTCTCTCTCTCTCTACCTCTCTCTCTCTCTCTCTCTCTCTCTCTCTCTCTCTCTCTCTCTCTCTCTCTCTCTCTCTCTCTCTCTCTCTCTCTCTCTTTACCTCTCTCTACCTCTCTCTTCCTCTACCTCCCTGTCTTTGTGTGCTTATTCACTTGTTTTCTTGCTTGCACAGCAACGAGCACCACTACCGCTGGTCTACCTATTTGTCGTGGATCTATGTTTGGATGATGATGATCTTCAGGCACTGAAGGTAACATTGTTGCTGCTTCTGGCTCGGTCCAATACATCTCTTATGCAGATGCTGCTAAGGAGGTTGTTATGAATCAGCTTTTATCAGTGTACACAACTACCTTCACGTCATTGTTGAAGTCAAATTTGGGGCGAACGAAATCTGACCTTCATGGCGAACTGTGCCACGTCCAGGCCCACTTGCATAGCAGGCTGAATGTCACGCAATGCTCACTCACGTGCGCTTTTGCTAATGGCCACACGGTGTGGGGAGTTGGATTTATTTGCACCCAACTGTATCTACTTATGTATGTACGATGGGTACAGTTCGTTACATTTCTTCCAAGACTTCTCAGTATAACTGCTAACGGTATTCGTAGCTGACATATCCGCTCAAGCCACTGTAGGTCTTGTCCTCCCCTGGTTTATTTTGGCTTGTGCATGCTGCTATAGCATGATCACACTGGAAAGATTCTACAGTGCCCGTTATCCTATTTGCGATTATTGAGGAATTTTTGGGACGTAGGGCATAACTCTACTGTAAGTGTACACTGTTCGGCGTTTTCTCTCTTTGGCTTTGGTTTCCTGAGGTGATGTTCTTTGTTTTCTGTTTTTGCGTGGCTCTGTCTGTAGGAGTCTCTTCAGATGTCTCTGTCTCTTCTTCCTCCAACTGCATTAGTTGGCTTGGTTACATATGGCAAGATGGTAAGCATATGTTACAACTGGCTTTTCAACTCGCTCGACATTATAAGTGTAGTGAATTGTTGCTGGGTTACGTGCATCCGTTCTGGTCCCATACCAAGTTTGTTGTGTGTGCGTATGTGTGTGTGTGTGTGTGTGTGTGTGTGTGTGTGTGTGTGTGTGTGTGCGTGTGTGCGTGTGTGTGTGTGCGCGTGTGTGTGTGTGTGTGTGTGTGTGTGTGTGTGCGTATGTGTGCTCTGTGCTTCTCTGTCCATTGTGACCAGGTGCATGTTCATGAACTGGGCTCAGAAGGTATTGCGAAGAGCTTTGTATTTCATGGCAAGAAAGATTACACGGTGAAGCAGGTCCAGGAGTATCTCAACCTCTCCGGCGGCGCTGGTGCTAAGGCCCCTAACCAGCCCACTGCACAGCAGCCACAGGGACAACAGCCGCAACATCAACCCTCCTCGTACCGGTATGGTTCTGTGCTGACTGTTGTCCTTTGCTTCCCATCATGATGGCTGAAAAGTGAACAGTTTTTGTCTTGGCAGGCGATGCTTGTGGATACATGTACATTGTACTGCTTGAGATATGCCTGTACTCGGTATGCCTTCTTTTGTTGGCTTTATTGCCAACGTTGAGTTTAGCACAATAAGTAAATCTTGAATCACCAGCACCAGGACTGTTGCCACACAATGAGCTGTCAATTCTAATGCATGAATTTTGCGCTTCCCTGTGCTCATATCTCTCTGTGCAGATTCTTGCAACCAGTTCAGCAGTGCGATATGAACTTGACAGATCTGATTAGTGAACTGCAGGCAGACCCGTGGCCGGTACCGACCGGAAAGAGACCCGACAGGTCCTCCGGTGCTGCACTATCGGTTGCACTGAGTCTACTGGAGTGCACGTATCCTAATGTCGGTGGACGCATCATGATGTTTGTCGGTGGTCCAGCCACACAAGGCCCAGGCATGGTCGTGTCCAACGACTTGAAGGAGACGATTCGCACACATCATGATGTCGAGAAAGACAACTGCCGCTACATGAAGAAGTCATTGAAGGTCAGGACGTGTTCTCTGTGTTTTGTCTTTGACACCACGATAAGCATGTTTTGAATTCTTTATTCTCACGATGGCACCATTGCCAATAAGAGATATGTGTTGTACATTTTGTTTTACTCTGAAATATATTCACATTTCGTTTTCATGCAATCACATTGATATTTGTGATGTTGTCGCCTGTGTGCAGTCTGCATTTTCTTATGTCAGTTCTGTAGATTTGAAACCATCCTTCTGGTGGTCACTGTTGACTTGCTTGAATCCATCAGCATTATCACAAGTCATGTTGCTGGATCATTCTTGGTGCACATGAATTGCTAAATGCCCATGTCCATTGTGTATATTGTGACCATACTGTCATACAGCACTTCAATCAACTAGCTCAGCGTGCTTCTACCAATGGCCATGTTGTAGACCTGTTTGCTTGTTCTCTGCGACAACCGGGTCTCCATGAAATGGCTGCGGTATGCGACTTGACAGGGTACGTACTCAATTTGATGTACATGTACATGTACTGTCTTGTCACGATTGTAGCTTGGCGCATTGTTCCACAATGTAGACAGGCACGCAGTGATGCGAATTGTTGTAATGCAGGCTTTTGGATTGTTAGTTCTGAGCTCAGCTTGAGCCTTGTGTGAGGTAAAGGCATGGTCATGGCAAACCTACTCGTAGTGACTAGAATACTCGAGAGTACTGTACCCACCAACTTTGTCTATCACTACACATTAGTATGAACTGGAGAGTTAGCCGTGGCACCACCCATGCCTCTTCCTATTGTGCTGCTACGTTAGGTGTACACCCTCCTCATGCTGACTGGAAACTTGCTTCATTCTCTTTTCGCTTCCATGCAGTGGTCATATGATCCTCGGTGATTCGTTTGACACGTCCTTGTTCAAGCAGTCGTTCCAGCGAGTTTTCCTGAAGGATGCTCAAGGCCACTTGAAAATGGCACTTGGCGCTCAGCTGGAAGTCAAGGTAATATTCTGGGCTTTCTCCAACCATCATGTTGTATTGTGTATACCCGTACCAGTACTATTACCTACTTTCCATGCTGTGATTGAGACCTGTTGGATTAGTTGCATTTGACAGCTGACCTGAGCTTTCTTCGTTCTGATCACGGTCAATCTCCAAGTCGTGTTTTACCAAGACCGATGGGCACACACGCACGCACACGCACTGCAACACCATCTGCATGTGCTGTGATGGAAACTGTGCCTTACAGTGTAGTTGTGTGTTTGTCTACCACCTACTGACCTAGCTGTTGTCACTTGTTCATAGTGGCAACTGCACTGCTCTCCCTATCCCATGTTGTTCTAAGTTCAGTTTACACTGTCCTGGTCTGTGGCTGTGTCCGTTTGCAGGTCAGCCGGGAGTTGAAGATCAAGGGAGCCCTCGGTCCTCTTGTGTCCCTCGGGCGAAAAGGTGGCAGTGTTGCAGATGAGGTATGTTGATCATTCCCATTGCTTGCTGTACTGTAGCAACACAACATATGCTGTGTTACCTGTGCAATTCAATGTATGTCGTCTATCTGCTGATGGCAAGCCAGCACTACTGGCGTGCTTCAACTGACTGCCAACCAGTATGCCATGGTGTGTGTGTGTTTCACTGTGTTGTGTGATGCGTGCCACTGTATGTGTTTGTACTCTGTTGTGTGATGCGTGCAGGAGGTTGGTGTTGGAGGCACCAGCGCATGGAAGCTGTGTGGACTAGATGACCGGACGACGGTTGGTGTCTTCTTTGAAGTTGTCAACCAGGTAAAGAGCACAGTGTATTATCAGACCACGCTGTTGTACAGGCTGTCCAGCATGCACACGTAGTTGGTCACTCTGCAGTTTGCAAAAAAGAATGTACTCTCTGCTTGGTGCTTGGAGCAACCCCCTCTCGTGTTGCCCTTCATCTCTCTTTTCTTGCTCCGGTGCATGCACTCCCTTCTGTCACTCTGCACTAACGGTGACAATTGTGACCTGACTTATGCCACTGCTTGTGCAATAGTTTACTGCCCTTGATCTGCTGTACATGTCTGCTGGTTATGTGCTGATGTCAGCTTGTGTGAACAGTCACATGTATACTTATCCTTGCATCAATCACTGTGTGTGTGTGTGTGTGCGTGTGTGTGTGTGTGTGTGTGTGTGTGCGCGCGCGCGCGTGTGCGTGTGCGTGTGATTTTTTGTTTGTGTGTGTGCGTGTGTTTAATTGAAACCATCAGCATGCGACACCCATTCCGCAAGGCCAACTCGGCGCAATTCAGTTCATCACAACGTATCAGCATTCCAGTGGACAGCGTCGGATACGTGTCACAACTGTGGCGCGCAAGTAAGCAACTTCGTGATCCCATTCAATGGTGTTGCTGTCATGCCCATGCTCCGATGATCCCATTCAATGGTGTTGCTGTCATGACCATATTCCGATGAGGTTTTCCTTTCACGTTTTATTACTTTGTGACCTGCGAATCTGAGTTTGAGTCTTGTATTGATGTAGCTGCGTAGTCGTAATAGCTGTGTAGCTATGTGTAGGAAATAACTGAGTGATCACTGTGTGCTGTGTGATGTGTGTGATGCGTGTGCTGTGCGCATGTGCTGTGTGCATGTGCAGCTGGGCAGATGGCACAATGCTGCAGCAGATTGGTTCCGGGTTTGACCAGGAGTGTGCTGCCGTCATGATGGCTCGTGTTGCAGTCAGCAAGTGAGTCAAACTTTTCTTCTTTGTCTTTTAAGAGCGTTTAATAAGAGTGATGAGGTGTGTACATGCACAAGAACAAGATTTCCAGAAATGTGATCAGAAAGCACATACTGTATCAGGATATATTTGTTAGTCTGCTTTGTGTTTGACTGGAAGTCGGATCCCAGTGAGCGGTTGCGGCACATGACATTGACGCAAGTACAACCAAGGATCAGTCAAATTTGATAACACTCACGCGTATCCCATGCAGCCTACATCAGACTTTGTGCTCCCGTTTCCCGTCACCATTTGTGGATATGCCATGCTATCAGTGACCACTATCACAATAGATTCTTTTGTTGGGTACATGTATGTATGTATGTATGTATGTATGTATGTATGTATGTATGTATGAGAGCCGGGACCTTGGGAATTTAGGTATGTTTTACAGTCCTCCTCACAGATCATGCCAAGTTCCCATGCATGTTTCCTAAAAACTCTCTGTTGTCCATATTGGTCTTTCCAACTCTGCTTGCTGTTTCGGTGTCCTTGTTCTGTTTTGAAGGGCTGAGCATGGCGAAGGACCAGACGTACTCCGCTGGTTGGATCGCACTCTCATTCGCATGTGCCAGAAGTTTGGCCAGTACAACAAGGATGATCCGAATTCTTTCCGCATTGAGAATCACTTCAGTCTATACCCACAGTTCGTATTCCATCTGCGGCGTTCGCAGTTCCTGCAAGTATTTAACAACAGTCCTGATGAAACAGCGTTTTATAGGTGAGCATACTGGTTTTGTTTCTTATCTTGCCGCTGCGATTACCTTACACCTGGCCTCATCATGATGATCATCATCATTGTCAGTCTCCGGTAACATTGCTTAGTATGACTATGAACATTACTATGCAGTGCAGCATAAACTCCAGACCACATGCGTGGCTCTCCTGCCGACATCTTTGATCACACCAACAACACTACTCGAAGTTCTAGTGCGTACTGATTCCTCCATACAGCCCTTTCAATTATACATATCTCATCTCCAGAATGTTACTAGGAAATTGGTGGTTTCACCGTGTTTTGTCCTGTATTTGCAAAGGTACTTCGAAGGTATGCTTTCTTGTCAAGCTTCACTCCCTGTTATTTGCTATAATTATGTGATGTGTACTGCAGGAACAAGTTGAATCGTGAGGATGTGACATCATGCCTCATTATGATCCAGCCTGTCTTATACGCGTACTCCTTCAGTGGGCCGCCAGAGGTATGTACGAAATCATAAATGGCAACAGCGGTGCAGTGCTGAGCTGTGCAGTGCTGTGCTGTGTTGTGCTGTGTTGCTTGTGAGTCCGTTAGTAACATGTACCACGCAGGCCTAGCACTGCCGCCACTGGCCTGTACTGTGGTGGAAACAGGCGGTAACTAACGTTACTGATTTACCTGACTTTATTTATTACATTTGAGTAGCACAGTACATCCACAGTACATCCACAGTACATCCACATGTACTAGTATCTTTAATACTAGCAGCACTATGATCCCAGTGAAGTTTCTTTAGTACATATCACTATTAGTATTGTATTGTATTTGAAGGATTACCCAAAGGCTCTAGGCCTGTCCAGGGGATCTCCTACTCGGAAAAATTACTTACATTGGCTGCTCAAATCAAAGACATTCTAAGAACATCCAGTGTATGCTAGTTGAAGTGTTCTTTTTGAAATAATTTTGAAACTTTACACTGACGGTGGTTGCTGCTGGTGCTGTGGTGTTGGTTGTGCTGTCTTGGGTCTTGTGTACAGCCGGTTCTCTTGGACAGTGCAAGCATCAAGAAGGATAGAATTCTGCTGCTGGACAGCTTTTTCCATATCCTGATCTTCCACGGCGAGGTAGGGCAAACGCTTGACTCATGCTGATATTCTCTTGTTCCATTTCCAGTCTTGGCTGTATCTCAGTATACAATGCACATATCAAGAGTTCAGTATTCCCGGTGTACTGAGCTTGTAGCGGGTTGCTGGTATATGAAGTGCTGGGTTAGAGGGACGATTGTACTCGTACTTAGGGGTTAGAGGGACGATTGTACTCGTACTTAGCTGGTTGATATTGCTATTATTCCCGTAGCTATGCAGAAGACGTTACTTCAGTAACGTCTGGCGCTAGCCAGGGTCCACACAGCTTTAATTTGGTGTTTGTGTGTTTGTTTGTTTGTTTGTGTCATGGCTGGAGCTATCCCGTATCTGTCCCGTATCTGTCCCGTATCTGTCCTGTATCTGTGACTACAAAGGCTCTACAGGATTGTACATAACAGCTGTCCACAATATTTGCGGGCTCCTGTATCTGTCCCGTACCGTACCAATATTCGTCGTATTATGTATACGACTCCCTGATGTAGAGGGAGATTTGGAAAGAAATAGGGAGACGAGGAGGAAATTAAATTAGAATAGACGCCGAATAGGTGATAGGATGCGTCCGCATTAACATACATGTACTTTGGAAGAGAGATCCTGTCGTCTCCAAAATAAGCGTGAACGAGCGATTCAGCGCCGGTCACAGGAAACGTCGGAAGAGAGATCCCGTCGACTCCAGAACCCCCGTGATCGGCAGAGTCCGCCGGTCCCAGGCAACGTCAGGACAGACATCCCGTTGAGTCCAGAACGCCCGTGATCGGCAGAGTCTAAGCCGGTCCCAGGAAACGTCAGGACAGACATCCCGTCGAGTCCAGAACGCCCGTGATCGGCAGAGTCAGCGCCGGTCCCAGTGAACGTCAGGACAGACATCCCGTCGACGCGCAGAAAAACTAAATCTGCAGCCTCTTTTGCCGTCGGACAGGATACGTATTATAGGAGACTGTAAAGTTATGTAATGTCCAAATTTCCACGTGAGCAGCAGGTCACTCGCGTTGATTTTTCGACGTGCGAGCCAAATAACGCGAGCTGAACTTTCGCGTCGCAGACATCCGGTCGACGCGCAGAAAAACTAAATCTGCAGACTCTTTTGCCGTCGGACAGGATATGTATTTTAGGAGACTGCTAAGTTATGTAATGTGCTCCACAGGCAACCATGCATTCGGCGTCTTCATTGGCTCAACAGGTCAATGTACATGTATTACTACAAAAAGGCCAGAAAATCCGATTACTGTATTAAAATCAACTAATTTTCGCTGGCGATTTGATTTCGCTGATTTCGCCGCTTGGTACCAACCGGCCAAAGTAAATCGCAGGCCAAAGTTTGTCATATAGGCAAATGATGCATGATTGAGCAATGGATGCATGTGAGAGCAAAAATACCGATCGATTTCAAATTTGACGTGAAATTGCGCGTCACGTCGGAAATATCGTGCATCTTAACCTCTCTAATAGAGAGGTTTCTATTTCTCATCGGCCAAAATTTGTTGATTTACAGAATAAGGAGATAAAAAGAAAAGAAGGAGCAAACCAAAAGTAGATGATTATTAGAGAAATAACAATCCGCAATAAATTCTGCAAATACTTTTGCCTCAGTTTTTATAACATGTACGATGAGCTAGGCAAAAAAGCATAAAAGCATAGCGTAGGGCCCTGAGCTTCCAAGCTCTCTCGTTTAGAATCGTGAACTCATGCTGGGTGTGTTGCCGTGCCTTCTGTATGCCACTTATCTGATCTGCATTGTGTGTCTGATGGTGGTGTTGTCGTTGTGTGTGTGTTTACACTGACTAGACGATTGCTGCATGGCGGAAAGCAAAGTATCAAGACCAGCCCAACTACGAGAACTTCAAGCAGCTGCTGCAGGCACCCGTAGATGATGCACAGGTAAAATAACGACTTTGTTCATCATGTTGTCATGTAGTAGACCTGTTGGTGCAAAGGTTATAGTTATCATTTTCTAGCTGCTCACGGTGGAGCCGCTGGTGTGCTAGGATACAGTTATGGTGAGTAGCCCTTTAGAGCCTAAATTATTTCAGGAGACGCATGAAATTCACAAACTCACATTTTCATCTGACTGTAACTTCGATATCCATTGGAGTATTCCAACAATCTCGGGCTCTAGGGAAAGCTCTCTCCAAGACAAACACAGCCATACCCAGTTCGCAATTGATAGAGTCGTAGGAGTAACGCCGCAGCGCGATCTGAGCGCTCCAATGCCAGACCTGCGAGCGCGGTACTAACTTCTCAGCCATTTCAACAATATCGTTCGCAGAGCGGTCAATTTTTTTGCAGGAGAGAGCTTCAAAATGCAGCTTCAAAATGACGTATGCCAGTCATGCACGCGTCGGCAGCGAGTCAGGGAAAATCCCTTGCTGGCGTTTCAAATTTACGCCGCGCGAGCTGACTCGCCCACTCGAATTTCGTTCGAGTATCATAACTCTGCGCCATGACCTCAGATCGTCTTCGGGTTTTTAGGAGCCGACAGCTGAGGCTTTTCTGATACGATTAGACCTTTCGTTTGTTGAATTCAAACAAGGATTGACTGAATGACGAAAGTTTGAAGTCACCTCAGCATGCACTGTACAGTCAGGCGGATATATCCGCCCTATAGGCGTTATAGGGTTAGTATACGCCATACCTTATGCCTGATTGTGCTCAGCTAGTTTGTTGATGTGTGTACCTAGAAGAATTTGATTATGTACATTCATCTTGCAGTAAAATGGGTGTGATTGCTTGGGTTTATGTGAGGCCTCAGCAACATGTTGGTGCCGTGTTTCTGATGTACTGCTGCAGGAAATCTTGCGCAATCGATTCCCCGTCCCTCGCTACATTGACTGTGATGAAGGCGGCAGTCAGGTATGTAGTTGCTGTACTGCAAAATGGCAGTCAAAGCACGACGTGCCGATCACCCTCCATCTTGCTGTAAACTGTCTTCTCTCCCATCACCCTCAGCTTGCACCTAGTGCGTCAGCGAAAATTAAATTGAGCGAATGTGAATCAAAATTGAAAAGTGTCATCAGCGCACTCAACTGTTGCTGTTTTAATCAGATTCAGCTTCAGCTACAAGGGGTGGCTAGAGGTGGCAGCTTTCTGAAAACCGAGGTATATGCGAAATATCCTTCAGCTCGTGGCTGGAGATGAGCCAGCGGTCATGCCTTGATTTGACAGCCGAGGCCTTGGCACTTTTCGAGGGTCTTGTTGCTAAAGGCAACCTTAACCTAAGCCACATACAACACTTTCACTGCGGACTTCATTAGGGCTTGAAAATGCTATGTGACAGCCAGCCCTTACTCATGACAACGCTGAGTTCTGCATCCGCTTGGATCCCGTTTTTGTATGGATCCATGCACGTCTGGCTGGTTTTCCTTCACAGCAGGTTAACACATTCGCTGGTACTGACTGGACTGTGCCCTCCCGGTCGGGGACACACTCCTGATACAGGAAAAGAAATCACACTTGCATGCGTCATGAGGGTCCTTCACACCGCATACTGTACTAAACTACCAACAGAGTGGATCCAGAAGTCGTTATTTCAACTTGTTTTGTCATCACTTTCCACTAAGTTTCCAAAGCCCTATTGGCAGGCTACTGGTCCTGTATTGCGGGGTCCAGTGGCTGAAACTCACCTGTGCACCGTGCCTTCCTTCATCACCGTCAGCAGTGTGTTTGTGCCGTGTCCGGGGATGGAGACAATAAGTGTGCTGATGGCTTAGTCGCTTTGTTGGCGCATTACAGCCAGTTTCCTTTGATATCACTTCCTGGTGTGTGTGTGTGTGCGTGTGTGTGGGTGCATGTGTGTGTGCGTGTATCATGTTGTAGCAAGATTGAGTAATGTATCTTATTGTCCTCTCTCCTGTGTTCTGTTCAGGCACGCTTCTTACTAACACGCGTCAACCCAAGTGCCACGCCCAACACTTCAGGTCCATGGGGACAACAGGTATGGCTGGTCAGTCTAGTGAAGACGATGTGCCTGCATAATGTATGTGTTCATCGCGTGGCTGAAGCCCTGCATCAGTTCAAGCCCCAGTCACGACTCCCGGCGGGGCATTTTTTATTTCATTTATTTTTGCAAAAAAAGCACACACCATTTGACAGCACAAAGCAGCAAGACAGCGATGAGAAATATGGAATGGCAGGAGTGGGGGAGAGGCAGGGGCAGCTTGACCGACCATAGGGTCTCGGCTTCATTGCGACCCAAGCGCATGGACTTGCTTCTGATCGGATTTCAATCATTTCATTAAGCCAGCACTGTCCAGAGTCTGTTTTGCAGAACGTTTCATGCCAAATCTGTATACTGAAGTACATGTACACGGAGCATCATTTCCCCATCAAATACAGACAAATGCGAGCACTGACTTTACGCATTTTGTCATGTGTATCTTGTTCATGCTTGTACATGAAATGTGTTGTATTCATGTGTATGTGTGTGTATGTGTGTGTATGTGTGTGTGTGCTTTGCTTCTTAGCAGGAGGGAGGTGCTGCTGTGCTGACTGATGACGTGAGCTTGCAAGTTTTTATGGAGCATTTGAAGAAGCTGGCAGTTGATGGCCAGTAAGAAGTTGATGGTGTGTGATGGTGACCTATGTATTCACAGACTTTATGTTTTCGCCTTCGTCGCTATCGCTGTCGTCATTGCTGTTGTTGTTGTCGTTGCCGTTGTCGTTGTTGTTGTTTGCCATAGCGTTCTTCTATCGTTTTTTTATAGGTTTTCTATTGGAAATAGTACTCGTCTCTCTTAATTTTTCAAATGTTTATTTCATTTCATGCTACTGCGTTGACCAACTACTGCCATGTATTCTAGATGTCTAAGGACTTCCATTTTGAAGATGTTGTTGTGCCTGCCCTCAAGCGAGTGAGTGGATTGGTAGCATGTTGATTGCGGTGATAACGCGCAACAGTCCTGCTCACTACTGAGCCCGTGTGTGTGAAATGTACTTCAGCAATTTATTTTCATTATAATTCATTTGTACCAAGAGTACATGACTCCACGAGTGGATAACTCCGTTGGGTAGTGATCTCATCAAGATTCTTCTTCTACACCGTCAGATCTCTCTGAGCTCTGCATTTTCTCAATCACAAAAAAAGTTCGTGATGCAAGGAATGACGACTACACCATAGCTCAGTGGGTTTCTGTCAGTGGGTGCGATTTGTACTACTCCACTGCCCGCTAAACACTGGCTAGACTGTTCACGTACAGCGTGAACAGCACACTAGCTATGTGCTGTGCATGATGTGAGTTTTCACCATCAGCTTATGGGTGCCTGTTGTGCTGCTCCTCGGGGGAAATCGCTGAAGAAATTCTCAAAATTCGCAGCCCAAGTTGCGGTATATAACACAACTTCGAAAAATCTCTAGAATCGGGAATCGTGAGACGGGTTTTTTGGTCACAGTCTAGGCATGCCCTTACTAACAATAAGCTAGGAACCAGGGAGTAGTAAATATCATGTACTTCACTACTCCCTGCTGGGAACGTACAACGTGAGCGCTCTACCACGTGACGTGTTATTTGGCAGACCGCATACTCCATAGCAAGAGTACAGTACTCTTGTCCATAGCTATAGGCCCATTCACAATACCACTTTTTGTGACAAGGAAATGCCTGTCGCGTCCTGTTGCTAGCAGTTGCAAGGCCACTGTCGCAGAAAGTTGGTTGACCAAAGTTCAACTGTTGCGACATGCGATGTGCGCCGTACGCAAAAAGATAATAATTATGGTAGTGAATCGGGTGTCACGGTCACAGGCATCGTGAATGGGTTTTACGACCCGGTCCATTCACCTGTACATGATTACATGCACCACTTTAAAAAAAATTGTATTGTGAATCGGCCTGAAAATTCAACTGTTGCGGCGTGCGATGCGCGACATACACAAGTTAGTGGAGTACAGTTTCTACTCTAGTTGCGCGTGCATAGTACATGCACTGCGTAGGGATGTCGCAGAACGTAAAAGATGGTGAATCGTTTGTCGCGGTTGCAGTTCGTCGCGTCGCAAAAAGTGGCATTGTGAATGGGCCTTTTAAAATTAACTTGTCAATATGCCGGTTTGATTAGCCTAGCTTCAGAACTGCTCAATTCCAGAAGGTTCAGCACTCAGACCTCCTGGCTATATGTACACATGACTCAAACAGCAGTGAGTCTGATAGTAATAACAAGAGTATACTCTTGCCTTGGTAATAGAGAGGTTCCGGGGTACGATTTTCCGTGCCAAAATCCGTATGGGCGCTACGGATTTTTTCCAGGCATGCTCCATACGATTTTTCGGCACGGAGAATCCGTGTGGACTGGCTTTCATACGAACCATGTTTCGTATGGAGATTTTGCGTCATCGGGTGCAGAAAGATTTTTCGCGTACAAATTTGGTACGAGAAACATCGATTTTCCGCGGGAAGTTTTGATTTCGGTACAAATTTTCAAAATAAAAAGGCATAGCGCGGGAATGTGACGTGTTTGCGATCGTAACCTAGGCAATGACGGCAAACACATACGTTCCGTACCCCGGAACTTTTCACTGCTCGAAAACGACGTACAAAATATCCGTAGCGCATCCGCGGATTTTGGCACGAAAAATCGTACTCCGGAACCTCCCTAATAATAAAAAAATAGTTTGTACCTACATTCCCCAGCCCCAATCATACATGTATTATGATTGGGGCTGGGGAATGTAGGTACAAACTATTATTATCAAATATTATTTGATATTCGGAACTCTCCCTCCCCCTCCATGGGAAATACCGAAAGAAAACACTCGTGGACGTGAATGCAGAACTGTCAGTGTTGCATCAGCAAAAGAATAATGGCCGATAACTGTCGTCGGTTTTGAGGATGTTCATTCGCCCTTTACTCTCCTTGCCAGACTTCACTTCCTCTAGCACATTTCTGAGCAGTAGAGTGGCGTGTCCAAGAACATAGTTACATAATCAAAGGGATTAGACCAGGATGTTCATATTTTTCATCAATCTGGCTGCGTTTTTGGTAACAATTCATACTCGACCATAATGTATCGCAAAGGCTGTCAGAAAACCAACACCGCTGTTCTAAAATTTAGCCTGTGGCGTTCTTAGCGTTTCAGGTTGGACGTTCTTGGACTCCAAGTACGACTCGTATCAGTTCTTCGGCGCGCGCCTCTACTAGACTTCCCAGGCCCCGTGTGTACCGTCAAAGAACCGTCACCCTGGTAACTGCCAATCTAGCCAAGAGTACCGAACTTAAGGAGCAGATATGGAATGTTGGGTTAGGATGTTCATTTGCACAATATCCAATGATGTAGGCAATTGCGTGCAAGAGGATAACAGCAAGGATAACAGCAAGGATAACAGCAAGGATAACAGCAAACATACAAAATAAGTTATGCATCTAAAAAATAGATCGGGGAGGGGCTGGTATTAGAACGTCTCCAAGAAGGAAATGGGGTTAAAGAGCAGGAGGTTATCGTGGGTCATGGCCAAACGTAAAATGAAACAAAGGGAGAAAGATGAACGGCTTGATAACAGCGAGTCAAAGGACCTGGCTGGCGTATACCAACACCTGGGCTTGCAGTGAGCAATGTAATGACACAAAGTAGTTAAAAATGCTGGGTTGAAATCATTCCACCGGAGACGGTGAAAGTCGGTAGCTGGGGGTCTGGGCAACGATAATTGTTACGTTGGCCAGGAGAATAGGAAGTATCAAGAGGGGATGGTTTCTGAAAAAATCTCAATGGGGATAATGTGAAGCGGTAACAGTAAACGCAGTGAACAAACGAATAAAGGGTGCGGCACCGATGCCATCAACAACAGTTATATCTGGCATGGGCTGCTGCTGTTCCTGCTGCTGGCTGGGGTAATTTCAGAGCATTTAGAAAAATCAATGCTCAATGAAATAAATACTTTTTGCACTAAGAAAATTGGCCTGCGGAGTATGTGTGATACATGCAGCCAACAGAGATGCCAATCAGTAGCAAAACTAAGAGAAGTTGAGAGTTATGTCCTTTACTGTCTACGTATCTACAGAGACTAAAAATATATAGTAATTATATAAATATGTATGAGGTAACCTTATGAAGAGGACGAGGACGAAGACGAGGACTTGTCAGAAGGTGAAAGCCTGCATTGAGAAACATCAAGAACGGTGCCAGAGAAAGCTGCCATTACTGCCAACACAATTCATGCCAGCAGTGCACATTCACAAAATATGGGAGAGAGACAGAGAGGGAGAGAGAGAGAGAGAGAGAGAGAGAGAGAGAGAGAGAGCATTACAAGCACAAAAGACGAACCACAGCAAATGTCGATAGACAATCGGAACTTGAAGTTTGTTGTGAGTGCAAAATCCCACTAATTTGAATAATTATACACTTTACTGACAGTAACAGGTACCTGTCATGATGACAATATCTGTGTGTACACCAAATACATTTATTGCAAGAAATTAGAGGTGTAGTTTTAACCCCAGATGGCCCCTGATGAAGAAAAAAACCCCATTGGTGGATAGTTATTCTGGATTGCACACCTGTCTGCAGACGGGCTAAAGCTACTGCAGGATACTGAATACAGTGTATTAGTAAATTAGTAGTAGCTGAATAATCTCGATAATGACTTACGTTGATCCGAGCTGTACGTCCAAAATCCATAGAGACGAAATGTACACGCACATACACATGGAAACACACACACACATACACAAATGAGCAAAAATGTCGATTCACTCTGTCACTCTGACAATGAAAAGCTTTTCCAGGAAAAGTGCAACTTCTTCTCTGTTATAAATCATTCTCTAGCAAGCATAAACCCCAGAAATACGTATGCACTTTGTTGTATGTGTGGCGGCTTGAAAGGAAATGACAAAAACGTAATTTGCCGGACTCCAAGGCAACAAAATGCATAAATACTTTATATATCCAAGCTTGCAGCTTATATCAATCATATCTTCTGAAAGTTGTAGTCAAGTCGCTGAAACGCTTTTGATCCCTCTCAAGTGTGTGTATATTTTTTAATTTCGGCCAGTCGGCTACTATCATTTCGTCTTGGGGGTTAGACAAGGGGAAGTAGCCATGTAGGGTCGTGAGCCCGCCTTTTGGCACCGCGAGTTGCAGCTCTCTCGGCTCGACTATAAGTAAAAGTTGTTCCCCCTCCAAACAGGTTTGAGCTACCTTGAAACATCACCTACTAGCCACTCTGATTGTTGTAGGTAGAAACAACACAACAATGAGTCAATCAATGTGCTATAGGCAAAGTGTGCTATAGGCAAAGTGTGCTATAGGCAAAGTGTGCTATAGGCTAAGTGTGCTATAGGCAAAGTGTGCTATAGGCTAAGTGACAAGGCAGGGAGATGTTATTCAACCCAACTTCATGTTATTGTGCCAGGAGTGGCCCCTAATGCTGTAGAATGCCTCATTTTAGCGGATAATAATTTTAGCGTTTTCTGATTCTGGACCATTTTGAGATGAGATATTTTAGCGATCTGGCTTTCAGAGTCTAAAAAAGAAGGATGACTACACTGCAACATTTCGATTGGCGTGGCAAAACTTTAGTGAAAACTCTCCTTTCGCTAAAATATCACCGGCGCTGAAATTAACCTTTTTACAGTACCACCTACTGCACGAATATAAAATGGCAACATGACAAACCCAAAGCACTATTGAACGTGACCTTTCCTAAACACACACACACACACGATGCAGAACCTATTTTGTCCTACAGGTCTGTAAGCTGTCTGCACACACTACTACCCCAGTGTGCAGTCCCCAGTCTACAGCAATGAATGCAAGCACAGCACAGTGTGGCGTGACAGATGACCGGATGGAAGTGCTGCGAGTACGAAACAGCGATAATGGTGCACGTACCAATGGATTATGGAGTTGCTCGACTGGCACCATCTTGATGTCATGAATCATGACCTTTCGTGTGAAGGCCATTGTGTAGGGCCCATCATCACCCCCATTATCAGATTTATCACTGGAATCTTCATCATCATCAGTATAATCAGAGAGAAGGGTTAGGTAGAGGCACGGGGAATACTTGTAGTTTGGACGAAGTCGAATCTGGACAGTTTGCAAAAGGCAGCAACACAAGAGAAATGGGCACAGTGAACGGAACGTGTAGAATGAAACAAAAGCTAGTGTCAATCCAGTCTGTTCAGACAGAATATCAGAACAAACTGGCAGGAGTATTCTGCCAAGTGAACAATATCCACTGGGGCCCATTTATGAATGACTGCTATTTGGAGTTAGTAGGGAGGTTCCGGAGTACGATTTTTCGTGCCAAAATCCGTGGAGACTCTACGGATTTTTATACGTCGTTTTCGAGCAGTGAAAAGTTCTGGGTACGGAACTTATGTGTTTGCCGCCATTGCCTAGGTTACGATCGCAAACACGTCACATTCCCGCGCTATGCCTTTTTATTTTGGAAATTTGTACCGAAATCAAAACTTCCCGCGAAAAATCGATGTTTCTCGTACCAAATTTGTACGCGAAAAATCTTTCTGCACCCGATGACGCAAAATCTCCATACAAAACATGGTTCGTATGAAAGCCAGTCCACACGGATTCTCCGTGCCGAAAAATCGTATGGAGCACGCCTGGAAAAATTCCGTAGCGCCCATACGGATTTTGGCACGGAAAATCGTACCCCGGAACCTCTCTAGTGGTAGCAATATTGGCAATATTTGTAAGTAAAATGGGCTTCCAAGTAGCCTAGATGGTGAGTCAGGAGTTGGGTTTAAAAGTGTAAAGTCGACATGCTGGGTATTACCAACCACTGTCTGCCTGGTGTGTAGCACGCAACACCGATTATAACAGTTATCAAGAGTATTTAGCCCCCCCCCCTCCCCTCCTCCTCTGGAGAGAGTGAGTGTATGTATGTGTGTAGCTCTGCATATGGGGCAGTGGGTGGCAAGCACTCTCTCAAACTCAATCACTTTTGACAATAAAATAATAGTAGTTACCTGATTAGGATTCTCTGGCTGGTGGGCAACAACCAGACCAGAGAATTCCTTGGGAGAGTCCATGAGTTCTTCGCCCGTCAAAGGCTTGCCATTGTTCAGTTTGATTGTGTTTTGTGGTGGTGCTTCAGTAAGGACAACCTCCACCTTCACTTTATTATCTGATGTAGCACTGCTTCCAGAAGTTCCCTGTTTGCGTGGCGCCTGGTGCACAGCTCCTTCGATGCTGTTCCACTGCAGAGACTGAATGGACAGCAATGCACGCACACACCCACACACACGTACTTCAATGAATACATGCACTACAGTATACATTGTTTGGCCAGCGGAGTGCGACACTTGCCATAAGGGACTGCACCAAACAATAGAGAGGTTCCACACAACGTAATTACCGTATAAGTCCGTAAATAAGTACGTATTTACTTTCGAATTTAGTGACCACACCCGTACTGACTTTCGGGCGGGTACTGACTTTCGGGTACGAACTAACTTTTGGACCTGACTTGTGTGTAGTGGAGAAGTCAGTTTCATGTCGATGTACATGCTGCGTGCTGCATGTGCGCCTCGTACCGGTACTTATTTCGGGCAGTATGTTTATCGGGCTTGACTTGACTTCAACAGACAGAGCCAAAAGAATGAAGGGGGTATTTCTTTCGGACAGGTACTTATTTACGGACTTTTACGGTATGTAAGTAAAAACCGTAGTCAATCCTGGAAAGTCTTTATGTACACTGCATGCGGATCCGTGTTCTGCTGTGCGGAGTGTTAGAACCACGTAGCTACCAATGGCAACTCCGAACGCGGAAGTGTATGACCCAGAGAGAGAGAGAGAGAGAGAGAGAGAGAGAGAGAGAGAGAGAGAGAGAGAGAGAGAGAGAAATGTATCCTCAACCCACTCACGGTGCACCTCCGTTAGTGGAGCCCCACATACATACTCGTACAGACCACTTTCTGTATGTGGAGTGCAAACTCGAACAAATTCATGGGGTTTCCCGCCCACTTACATAAAGTTGCTAAGCTTTACGTAGCGTAGAACCTCTCTAATAGACACCCTTAGCAAACAACGGTAACGCTCTTTTTTACGGTACTCGTACCTTGATCACCCTAATAGTGTTGAAGCAGCAGCGTAAAACACGTTATGGAGGGTTGATTTATTGTTATGACAAACGGTACATTTTTTGGCCAACTATTGCATAGTCCGTACGTATTTCACTTTGTATCGCGTATATGCTGACATAAAGTATATGCTGACATAAATGGTTGCAACGCGCGGAATAAAAGCTATTCTCACGGCAACAGCGTACTAAAAATAGCATGCATCTTGCTAAAACTAGTAAAAGTCAAACCCAAACCAGGGCATTTCCCCCTTACGGTAATAACTGTAATTGTTACAACATAACGTTTTTTGCTAAGGGTGTCTAATGAGCAGTCCTGCACACATAGTACAGGTGCTACATACAACTTTTATTGGTCTCCTAGCTGAAATAGTGGTACTCATCACACAATGTGTAGCACTCAAGATATGCGCATGAAAGGTTCAATAGTGGATGGGGCCCTGAGCTAGCACCATACTAGTAGATGCTAATACTCCATATGTGTACATTTTCTGTGACCTATGTGTACATATGGTGTGACCTATAGACCTGTTTGGATGCGTTCGGCTTTGTTCTCCAAGCTCTGCACAGAGCATTACATCACTAAAGTCCATTCATGGCATTTCCCTCTACGGCAAATGTCGGGTTTCGCTTGCCACAACTGAACTAGCAGGCACGGGCAATTCACCGTCATGAAGTTCCCCCGCACATAATGATAATTATAACATTTGTTAGTACATTGTGCACTTCATGATCAGTGCTCAGGTACAGAAAATGAGTACTGGTAAACAGGGAGTTGTACATGTGACGTCACAGAAAACTGTACTATCTAGTATGTAGTACGTGCTTTACAAATCTTCAGACCTACTAGTATAGATCATGCATAGAGCCATCGATCCCAGAACACATTGTACAATGTAATGCGTGACGAACGGATCGCATGACCCATTTTGTAGAACCATGAAGATGAATAGGCCCGGGAAGGCCCTACAAACAATAGGGACATTTAGCAACGTGAAAATTCTGGGAATGAGTACAGAAGCACAAGCTCGAAACTTCGAAAACTTGGACGCAAAGTTGCAGTGATTTGCGAAAGTAATTTTCCCTTTCCTCGGTACGCAATTGACGACAGGTAGTAAATTTACAGCCCCCTGCTTGAGCCTGCTTGAGACAGGTAGTAAATTTACAGCCCCTGCTTGAGACTGAGCTGCCTATACGGTACTGTGAGATTCAAATACCTTTGAGAAAAAGTCATTTCTTTTTCGAAAGGTTTTCGCGAAATATCACCGCCACCAAAAGTTCGAATTCCCTATTAAAATTAATGTGAATGGAAGGAGCTGAATTCCGTTTGCAGGGCCAAAGGCCCTTTGCTGCACTTCAAGCATGGTATCTATGTTACCGTATGTTACAGTACACTGGCATAAAAGAGCACGGAGGCTGGGATTCATGTCTGGGATACTGCTTACTTCGTCGGAAAAGGACATCAGGCCAGGCGTGTCCTCTCTTAGAGCAAAGCTGAGTGAGATCAGGTAGCGAGCAGTCGGGACAAGTTGCAGGAACTTGATGTTGATTGGCACAACAAATGGTCTGCAAGCAGAACGCGTCAGAGACCAGCAAGTACATATATATAAATTATATAGATCCGTTTCACAAGAGTCTGTTTATATGCGTAATGAATGGTTATCGTCGTCAACAACCCAACAGGCTGGTAGTAGTAGTAGTAGTAGTAGTAGTAGTAGTAGTAGTAGTAGTAGTAGTAGTAATAGTAGTAGTATTTACTATTTTACTTGGGTATACCCAACAGGCCTATGGCCTTCTTACAGGGTGCCGAAGAAGAAATTGTGAGCAGCTAGCGCGAAAAGCAGGCAAGGTACGCTGGGATCGAATGATGGTGCGGATGCAGACAGGGAACGGGCTTCCACTGCAGGGCAGGTGTGCCGCTTACAGGCTATCAACGTCCCCATTTGGCATCGAGAGCCTGGCCATGTGAATACCACATGGTGATTTACATGCACAAGCCCTAACAAGCTCTGGGTGCTACAAGTCAGCCACAGCAAGTTTGGCCCTGGATAGGACACCCCCCCCCCCCCACGTACACGACCACAGGCACAGCCATGCACTTACTCTCCGAGAACAATTTCTGGAGTCCACGCATTGTTCTTAGTGTACGTCTTCCATTCCACCAAATTGGCAAGTCGCACCTTGGCCTTGAGAATGGCATCTCTTGGTGACAGTGTGGTCACATCAACCTCCTCGACTTTCTTTTCCACCTAGCATGCAGGGAAAAAACATCTATTGCTTCACAGCAGTCTACATGTATGGAGCTGGAATACAGAGTAGAACTTACCCATCAGAGATGGCAAACACAGAGAGTACTCCCTAAAGGACCTTGGGTACATCATGCTCCATACTAGGAGGGAATGTATAGTACCCCAGGGGTTACTGGATAACAGCATTATTACATTGCCACAATCAAGACATGTTGATGCAAGTAAGCACTCACTGACCATATATGTGCATATCTAGAATAGCCACCATCCGTGTTTTCAGGAGTGATTTTTGCCCTTACTTGCCAGATGAATGCGAAACAGCATTCAGTTTACCTGACATCCAATCAAACACAGCAGCAGTAGCAGTAGACACACAGCAGTAGTAGGCACACAGCAGCAGTAGTGGACACACAGCAGCAGTAGTAGACACACAGCAGCAGTAGTGGACACACAGCAGCAGCAGTAGACACACAGCAGTAGTGGACACACAGCAGCAGTGGACACACAGCAGCAGGAGTAGACACACAGCAGCAGCAGCAGTACACATACAGCAGCAGGAGAACTCACAGGGGAGGCATGTGAGCTACCAGAGGACTTTTTCCTCCGTTGCCCTGAACGGGAATGATGATGTGAACTAGCCGACCATGGATCAACCGTGAAGTCAAACATTGGACTTCCACGAGGTTGATTAAATGGTGAAAGCGACAGCCATGCATCCCACGGGTCTATAATAGGATAAACTGGAGAGACATACGGATGAGCAGCTGGCTGAGGGAACTGCGCTATTTGAGGCCGGTATTGCGGATAGCGCTGGTGCTGGAGAAATAGGGGATGTTGCTGCTGCGGTTGGTGGTGGTGATGTTGCTGCTGCTGCTGGTGTGGCTGATGGTGGTGGTGTGGCGCCTGTTGATGATGGTGTTGCTGCACCTGCTGTTGGTGCAATTGCTGCTGTTGCTGCTGCTGTTGTTGCTGTAACTGCTGTAATTGGAGTTGACCTTGCGTCTGTTGCAAGGCTGATTGTTGGAACTGTGCTAGTTGGCTAGGAAGGAAGTGAAATTGCATGTGCTGCTGGGTGTTGGGAGAGTTACCAGTGGACTCATCAAACACATCATCATCACTCAACGACGCTAAGCTAGAGTTGCCAAACGACGTTGTAAGTTCTGAACAGGAAAACAACAGGAAACACGAGGAGGGGTGGTGTTGCAGCGTCACTGACATTTCTTCAACAATTCACAGCACTTCATGTGCGGCCTGGTTTGTATTTCCATGATTTTCATGTCACTTTTGTCTTTTCTTCAGAGACTCAGTTGAGTGTCATGGATATAGTCCTGAAGAGTTCTTCAAAATACATTGCATGAGGGCGATTTCAAGATCTAGATGCAAGTGGCATACTACTGGTGAGCATGGATGAAGCATTGTGAATTGATCCAAAAAAGTGCGAAACCATGCAGACACACTGAAGAATGACGTCATGACCGTCACCTACACAAGTGACACAATTGACAAACTACATAATTATATCTTCAACCACAGACGACCACCTTGAATGGAGTCCACTGCTATCATTAGGAGTATCGGAGTGGAGTCCCCACGACCACATGAGAGTGACAGTATTGTACAATGTATTGATTTTAAAAAGGTGAGCGATGTGAGACGTCATGGGCACGCATGCACACGTCCTTTCAAAGTAAACCGCAGAGCATTCAATCAGCATACTGAGCGAGTTTTGACGTCTCCCTAAAGTGGACGGAGGCGCTGAAGGTCACCGAGACATTCGAGCCACAGGCAAGCAGCGAAGAACTAGAACCCTCCCGTTTCCCATTCACCTGCCTCTCGGTACATGTACCACGGCCACACCCTTGAAATGATTAAAAAATTATACGCTACAATTGAAAGTGAAACTGCAAGCTACACACACAGACAGCCACACATTTACTGTCTCTGACGGCAGGTCAAACACGGGCATTGCAAAGGGAAGTCACTACAAGAGATCATCACAGTGAGCTTTGCACACGGGTGTGCCCTGAACCCAATAAAAGTTGTAGTCAACAATTCTTAATTGAAAAAAATGCGCCCACTTACGTGAAATCAAAGACGAGGACATATTTTCTGACTTGATCAATAGAGGATTACAAGAAGAAGGTGAGTTATTAAGCCGTTAGGGGACCGGTGAGATACTCGGAACGGTGGAGCTAAAATATCACGTCCTTTCTCCTTACACCTCTAAGAGTGAACTGAGGGTTGGTTCTCTCAGCCTCCAGTTCTCCTTTCTTCCACAGGGACCCCAATCAGCTAATGGCTTGTCCCGATCATACACAAGTGCACAAGATGTACGAGCATGTACAAACAGAGCAGTGCATTTGGCCCCAGTACATGCATGTCACCGTAAATGTCACCGTATGCTATCCGAGCGGCTCCAGCAGCGCGTGAATGGCTTGGTGCTGTTCCAGAATAGGACTCGCGGTTTTTTTACTGGGGGGTTTATCGGACTCCCTCCTCGTACCGCAAATACACAGTACCGGAAACGAATCCCCCCGATCTTTTGACTCTATAGCATACTTCAGGCCCCACCCACATGTCCCCAGAGGTTGGCCATTGGCCCGATTGGGTGACTCCCGACCTCGTCACACCCCTGCAACAAGAAGCGAAGGTCCTCTATCGCCAGCCTAGCCTCTAGCCCCATCATCAACCGTTTCTACTATCGATCTGCAATGATATTATCTTCATTTACTTTTTCATTTAAACTTTTAATCGATAGGTTCCATTGCCCCAGTGGTCATGCTTGTATTTCTAATTACATTTCTTGACTTCAAACTTGGAACTGGAGACAAGAAAAAAAAACTCTAAAAGCCCCTAAACTATGCCATTGTGCTACACTCCAAATGAATACAAACCAAGTTTTTTTTAACGGTGCAAGGTACATGACTTTGTAGTAGATACTGCAGACACCTAATTTGGAGTTATGTCCAACACCAATGAATAGAATTGCATACAGTACTGATAAGATGTTAAATAAATAAATAAATATCTGCTGGCGTGATGCATCATGATAACTGTGTGGTTACACTCGCCATGATTCGGGACTACTGACTCTCTGTACATCCCCAACTTCTCTCTGCTCAAGTCAGTGGGAGCAGGGAAGAGGAAATAGCTAACCAGTCGGTTTGGGATTTTTAAAACGTGTTCTTTCACTCAAAACCTTGTGTTTCCCCAAGTACTACCCGTACAATTGTTATGTACATGTACATGTAGGTACATGCATACATGCAGAGTAGGCCCTTGGTCTGCGCGCCTCCTTGTGCATGTGGTGCTGATGCCTGTGTAGCCGTGTACGTGTAGCGCCTGTGATCATGTAGTGGCGGCATATCCATGGCACCTCCTCACTTCCAAAATTAATTCCCCCCAACTTGGCCCAAGTACAAACCGTACGCGTACATTGTTATACATAGTGCATGTCAAGGTTCACAGGTACAGACACTGAGTCTGTGTGTACAGTGTTTTGTATTGTCCCTTGTAGTTGTACCAGTGAATGGCGCGGCGAAGAAACGTGCGAACCATGCAGTCGTGTCAAAAACCTGGCTGGCACCTGGCGCCATGGCTCGTACCTGTAGCTGTACTGGCGCTTTATACCAAGAGTACAAGAGTACATGGTTTTCATGTACTCTTGTTTATTCTGTATTAAATAACAAATCGGTGAATTAGAGGAGCCTTTGGCGAGCTAGCTCCTTTGAGCATCCCCGTGCTAACATCATGGGCACTGTACTGCAGATCTGTGGCTACTGCGCCGGGACGTGCACATCTTGCCCACACGAATATCTCCCGAAGAGGCTAGAGGGGAGAGAGAGATTCAAAAAAGAAGCTTGGAAAGATGCCATCGGACTCAATTGGCTATTGAACCGCCCAATGGCGGACACACCCTGAACTCCCCAACGTTCATTCTCGGATTGGACTTGGAAATGATCCCACTTATGGGCTCGCCACACCTCAGTAAGTGGGCGAGGACACGGTGCAGAAAAGGGATTGGCGGCATCAAGGTATCCGTCCCGGGATCCAATTGCATTCACCCCTGCCCCTAGTGAAGATCATACTTACCGTATACCGTACTGGCAATAATATAATTATGTTGCCGCAGTGAGGCCATGAAGCGTTACATTGGCACATGTTTGCCGCACGCAGGGCGTTACATGCAAAGTCGCACAGGAGCCGTTACACAGGTTTCTATATTGCCGCAGTCCTTTTTTTGCTATTGCCGCATCACTTTTTTGCTATTGCCGCATCATTTTTTTGCTATTGCCGCATCATTTTTTGCAAACTGCAATGAAAAGATCGCCGCACCCCGCCGGACGCGCGTTACGAACTCAACGAAAATTTGTCGCACTAGCCTGGTCGCGCGTTACGCCGCACCCCCCTGCGTTACGCGTTACGCGGCAACATATATTGCCAGTACGGTATTCTCTATTATAAGCGCCGTGCTTATATTTTTTCAACACCCCTCTACCCCGTGCTTATATTGGAGACCGCGCTTATATTGGAGACCGTGCTTATATTTTTTCAACCAATACATCCATACAGGGCAAGAAGAAATACATGCTAGATATCATGCATGCCGCATTGATTTCCACCAAGACCGTGCTAATAATAGAGACCGTGCTTATAATGTTTCGAAAGGTGCTCACAGTGTGCTAGTATTAGAGACTGTGCTAGTAATGGAGACCTGCGCTTATAATAGAGAATATACGGTATACCGTAAAGTACCGCCAAAGCGCCCCACCATCTCATCCTTTCGTGGTCGTATTGTGGAGGTAGTCTGCTGTCTGTAGGTCATACGATATGAACCTTGTACACATATAGCACGATTTGCAGTCAATCCGTACCTTCGAGCGGACACAACCTCCACACAAAACCCTGCCAAGCATGACCTTAGTACACTAAGATTCTTACATCGTACAAACTTCGTTGCACTCTGCCATACGATTTTCCTTTCTCTGGCTGTAAAATCAAGGTGGGGCGCTCTGGCGGTACTTTACGGTACTAGCTAAAAGGTGTTTTATTGAACGCACAAACCAATGATAATACCGATCCCAGTCAGCGGCAAGAACAATGAGTGGAACAACACAGACCCTACGAACACTGAAGGTAGACACATGCAGTCCGCCTTTGACGACTATGGCTTTACTATTGGAGCCGTCAGATGAGAACACAGACCTCATCACAAAAAGTAATATTTTGTGTTAGTGATACTATCTGATTTAATTTGAGTATTATCTCCAAGAACCATGGAACGAGGCCAACTAAAGATTCTAATCCGTCCCTAGACCTGATTTTAACTGCCCCATCTTGTCACTTCATGTTACACATCCATGCCCATTGCAGACCATTGCACTGTCCTCTATTTTGCGCATATCCTCCACCAGAGAAACGTAACTTTAATAGGCGCAGCCCCACAGGACCCCGGTCTCCGGAAAGGTTGACAATCATGCACCTCCTCAGGCAGAAACTGAGCATACTACCGTTGAACGAATGGCACCAAGGTGCACATCAGTTTCAGATGCATGGCATATATATTGTGCACTGCTGGACCAGGGAATTCAGGCGGCAATGACCATCACGTGCACACGCGGGAAAACCACCCAGTCGAACCAACCATGGTTCACGAACCACGTCAGCAAACTAACCGCCTCTACAATGTATGTGCTTCATCGAAAGGAGCCACTCAATATACAGTCATGTACCGGTAATACAGAGTCTATCAGAGACTGGTGTGCTACAGTGGTGTGCTACAGTGGTGTGCTACAGTGGTGTGCTACAAGAGACGTCAAGGTGCTCAACTGCTCCGTCATGGAGTCGAAGTACCTGGGCACCGCCTACGCTCGCGTAACTGTGCATGAAGAACACCAGGAGCGAGTCCTCGACAGAACATTCTGGCCCGAGGCTATTGGGCACACTGTCCGAAAGTGGCGATTTAGAGACAGCAGCTCCACCACGCCCCCTACCACAAACTAATGTCGGTCTTCACCCCGTTGAGCGCTCATGCTTTCCCGTTTTTCCCGGACCACGCACGTTCTGTTAACATTGTAACTATCAACTGTCGCTCTGTAACAAACAAACTTCCGGAATTGTACACAATAATGTCATGCCAACAAGCCCACCATGATATGTTTAACAGAAACCTGGCTAAGCTCGTCACTTGTATTCAGTGTTCCAGGCTACACATGCTTCCGTAAAGACAGATCTACACATAAGAACTTGAGATCAAACCTACGTGGCTATGGTGGGGTGGCCATTCTCATACGTGATGGGACATTTCACATTGCACCCGTCGCCATAACCTGTTGTTGTTGTTGTTGTTGTTGTTGTTGTTGTTGTTGTTGTTGTTGTTGTTGTTGTTGTTGTTGTTGTTGTTGTTGTTGTTGTTGTTGTTTGGCTTTATTTTAGAGTGGAGTTCCAAAACAAGCCTAAACCTAATGACAATGGTCCCACTGATAATAAGAGAAAAGAAAAATATATAAAAAATAAGCGGACAAACAGAACAGAGAAGAATATAAGTTAGATAACTAATATGAGCACGGCAGCAGGGAAAAAATGTCACAAACACGGTAACCGGGAAGAAAGAAGTGAGTGAGTGAGAGAGAGAGAGAGAGAGAGAGAGAGAGAGAGAGAGAGAGAGAGAGAGAGAGAGAGAGAGAGATAGAGAGAGAGAGAGAGAGAGAGAGAGAGAGAGAGAGAGAGAGAGAGAGAGAGAGCGAGAGAGAGAGAGAGAGAGAGAGAGAGAGAGAGAGAGAGAGAGGAGAGAGAGAGAGCGAGAGAGAGAGAGAGAGAGAGAGAGAGAGAGTAGTAGTAGTAGTAGTATTTATTATTTGACTAGGGGAGTCCCAACAGGCATGGCCTTGTTACAGGGAACCCTAGGTGAATCTTTGTGAGGTGAGCAAAAGTACCAGCAGATTGTGCCTGACGACAGTTTGGAGGAAGAGTGTTCCACCGACCTGCCGCCAGAAAAGAAACTGAGCGCAGTCCATACCCAATATGTACAGTAGGTAATACTAAGGCAGCTGTATCCTGGCCACGAGTACGAGCATTTGTGTGCGGGCCAACTGAACGCAGGAGAAACAGTGACTGAAGGAGGGGGCTAGTAATTGATGACAAGCAGCGATAGACCAAAACGTATAGTTTCAAATTAACTCGTTGCTCAAACGAATACAGATGACACCGTTGTAAAACTAATGCAGTTGGGGTCATTCTATCTAAACCAAATGCCTTCTTCATCGCAATATGGCTGA